GACACTATCGCAGAAAACCGTCAATCCATGCTCTTCTCTGCCACCCAGACCACCAAGGTTACCGACCTCGCCCGTATCTCCCTCCGCCCTGGCCCTCTCTACATCAACGTCGACGAAACCAAGGAAGCTTCGACTGTGGACATGCTCGAGCAAGGCTACGTCGTCTGCGAGTCGGACCAACGTTTCATGCTTCTTTTCACTTTTTTGAAGAAGAACCTGAAGAAGAAGGTGATCGTCTTCTTCTCCAGTTGTAATTCCGTCAAATACCACGCGGAATTGTTGAACTATATCGATGTGCCCGTGCTCGATCTTCACGTTAGTTGTCCTTCCTCCTGTCCGCTGAAACCCACTGACAATTCCTATAGGGAAAGCAAAAACAACAAAAGCGTACAAACACCTTCTTTGAATTCTGCAACGCCCCCACCGGTATCCTCCTCTGTACCGACGTCGCCGCCCGAGGTCTCGATATCCCCAAAGTCGACTGGATCATCCAGTTCGACCCCCCTGATGACCCCCGTGACTACATCCACCGAGTCGGCCGTACCGCCAGGGCGGGCAAGACTGGCAAGAGTCTGTTATTCCTCTTGCCGTCAGAGTTGGGCTTTTTGAGGTTCTTGAAGGTGGCCAAGGTGCCTCTGAACGAGTACCAGTTCCCTCAAAAGAAGGTTGCCGATGTGCAAAAACAGCTCGAGGGGCTCATCTCCAAGAACCACTACCTCAACACTTCTGCGCGAGACGGTTACCGCTCGTACCTCCAGGCCTACGCTTCTTATTCATTGAAGAAGATCTTTGATGTCAACAAGCTTGATTTGGCCAAGGTGGGCAAGGCGTTTGGTTTCGCGGTGCCGCCCAAGGTCAACATCAGTGTGGGGAGTGTCAAAGCGAAGAAGGAGAAGGACGACGAGAGCAGTGATGACGAAGGAGCGCCAAAGAAGGCATATTACAGGAACAGGGGCAGGAAGTGATGTTTAGAATAGAGATATTGTTTGTATATCATGCATTTGGGCTCTGCGCGCACTCAATCCAGGATATCTGTCTGATAGATGCATATCTACACTAGTAGCGACTTGTCCATACGTCTAGAAGCCACCATCCTTCTTTCTCGCCCCCCCGCGGTCACCGGGTACGTATTGATTGGTACAAGCGTTGGCGAAATGTCCGTGCTGGTTACACCTCTGTGTCATCTGTCAGTGACCAATCCACAATCGTTTAAAGATGACTTACAAAGCACAAAACAGTGCTCAAATCCTTTTGCCAACCTCCGCCCTTCCTCTCCCCACCGCCTCCTCCACCACCACCTCCCCCCCCGCCCTGATATCCACCTCCACCACCTCCACCTTGTTCTCTCCTGGCATTCGCACTCAAGAAACCTCCCGCTCTCCATCCCGACAAACTACCACCCTCCACCCATGCCGCGGCAGGGACGATGACAGCGTTCGGGTCGTACTTGTACTCGCGCCAACGGCCGTAGCCTGCGGGCAGTTGAGGGGGTGGGCCTGAGAAATCGTCGGGGTTTGGTGGGATTGGGTTCTCATACGCTTCAGGCGGCGGGCGAGTGGGAGAGGGGCTATGAGATGTCAGCTATCGCAACTATCGACTTGAGATGTTACTTACTGGACGTGTTTACACTCTTTACCATCCGGGCAAAAGCCTGCCATGTAAGCCTCGCACAGCCTCTTCCTCGTGTGCTTCCTCGGGCACCCCGGCCCAAGCACGCAGAACCCCCTCAAATAGTCCGGACACTCCACTCTTCTATCCCTCGAATGAAAGTACAAGCACTCTCCTCCCAACTCACACTTTCCCTGCTTCTCGAACCATATACAAGTCGGCATGGTGCGGAGGTTAAAGTCGTGCGTGTACTCGCAATTGTCGCCCATTTTACAGAGATTACGGAGGTAATGCTTGCAGACGGTGAGTTTCTTTTCCCGTTCTCGTGGATGGGTTGGAAGCTGGGGGGGAGGCTGAAAATTGAGATGCGAGGGAGTAGTGTGGCGGTAGGGGCATTGTGATGGGGGAAGGGGGCAGCCCAAGGGGGTCAAGCTTAGAGGGCAGATTTGTTCGTCTTTGGGTTATTGATATCAGCGTGTGTTCTTTCTCAACTACCAAATACAACTCACCAGAATCAAGCTTGAACCCTCGCTCGTTCTTTAAATATCCCTCTATATCAAGATTGACTTGATGAAAGTCTGGCCGGACAAAGTCGGCTGCCCTGCCCAGTTTTGGGTGCAGGGGGGCCGAGGTGGTTGCTGCGGCCATTGTTGTTCTTTGAGTTGGCGTCTTGTCGGCTTAAAGATAGTGTCCTAAATGCTGGTTGGTATGCTGTAGAAAGATATGATTAAAGATAGATATCGAGGCGTAGATTGGGAGTTGAGTTTAGTCATCAAAAGAACGGCAATTGTAAGAGGAGATCCGCGCAGAAAAGGTTCCATTGTCGAGCGGCTATCGCCACTTAGCCACGATTCTCACTCAACGTAGACAAGTGAACCTATTTGTGGGAAGCCTTGACTTTGATCCAAGACGCCTGACTCCTTGCAAGATTTGATTTCGGGAGACTCATGAGGCTCCAGTTCAAATTGAACTGATATGAAGAAGTAATTCTCAGTAGTTGCGCTGTGCCGGTCTCTTACGGTCTTCGCCACGATCCCTGGGGGCGATCCGGAAAAACGCGTTCATCGCCCAGACCGGTGGCAAATTGGGCATGCAACTCTCTCTCTGTTCTTTCTTCCATCGTCATTACTCCCTGGCTGCATATCACCCTGCACTCCGTTTCCCCATTCTGCATCTATCTATACATACAAGTATGTCCAGGCAAGCTGAGATGTAAGTCTCATCTACCCCAGCTACTCACTGGGCACTCGCGCTGACTGACACCCCATATTAGAGCTTTCAAGTCCTCAAGCAAGTGGAGGCCCATCGATAAACAGATTCCATCAGGGCCCATGATGTCTGCTGAATATGGTTCATACTGCCAGATAGAGGGGCCGATAGTGACTGTAGAGATCCAGTGTTCAGATCCCGGGGCGTGAATTAACAAGTCCAAATACCAACATATGCATTACCATTCCAGGGTTGGAATTGTGATGCAATGGCTTTTGCTGCTCATCCAGTTAATTTATCTTACTTGGTATTTAGGTCCTTTACAGTGACTGAGGTACGTGAGCAGAGCGGCATGTGGTGCCGGCTGACATGTCATGTTGCAACAACTTGGAAACTTGTGATTCCACCCAAACGTTTGACCAGTCCATTCGGAACGCCACTCTTGACGGCCACACAAGCTCCAAACCGGCAACCGTCGTGAGTGTACAAACGACTTTGGACACCTGCAGTCAGGTAGACATCTTTCGCTGATGAAAGCTGAGTGCCGTAGGAGATTCCCTGGGTATTGCTGCCGGTATTGGTGAAGTATGGCAAACCTGGGTACCAATGGCCCCTCTGCAAGAGATCCGAGAACAAAGTGTTGCGATGAGGCCATTTGGCGGTAGAGCAATGTATCCTGACACAAGTGTTAATGGACAATCCGGTATTCATGTACATGTGCACTCACCGGCTGAACCAGTACGTAGCCTGACTGCCAACAGGGCAACCCTTCCAATCTCGGGCACGAGACATCCCCACCTGCTGCATTGTTCCGTTTTTGTTTGTCTTGGATGATGTTATTTGGCACAAGAAAGCGACTACGGGGGTTGGGTCACTTATGGCACTGTCCTCAAGTACTGCACACCCATGTCCAAAGACCCCCAGTCAAATGCGACCAAATCCCAAAGACTGACAGAGGTGCCCTTGCAGGAGAATGCTTGGCGGATATCCACCAACTTCCGGTGGGTCCAATTCTCCCACCCTGTCTTGCCGTTGCCTGACACCGCCGTGAAGTTCAGCATGCAGGATGTGTACTCTGCTGCCTCATCCCAGTACGCGTGCCCGAGGGCACAGTCACTTGTCAATGAGCCTATCATCTCCCCCACAGTTTTATTGAACCTCACCGCCACTCCATTGAGCTGGGGAGGGTAAACTGGGGAAAGCTGCTTGATGATACCCCTTGGTGTGAGGTAATGGATGATTTCAGTGTTGACAAACTCCGAACCATGATCTGATTGCACAACTTTCACCTTTACTCCAACTTGACACGTTTTTGGTTCTGGATGCTGTTGCTGTTGGAGCCCTTCCATCAATCTTCACGGTTGGCTTTCCTTTCTGATATGGAGCTGCTTGTAGGCTTTGTGCAGCTAGGCTTGATTGAGGGCTAAGGTAGGGGTTATTGTTGTGGGCTGAGGTAGGGGTTATTGTTATGGTCAACCTGATGCCTCCAGTGACTGATGAGAGCTGACATGTACACATCCAGTGCATGGGGGGTTGACTGACAACACAGCATGTGCTCAATAGCTGCATCTGTGTTGGCGTGATCAGCAATTTGAAGAGGACATCAGATCAGAAGGTGGAAAGAGACATACCTCTCTCAAGATCAAGCTCTATTTTGATGAGGTCGGCAGTGTTGGCTGCCATGGCGGTCGCAAACGTGGGAATGAAGTGCGCGCACTTTGTCAACTTGTTTACAATGACCAGGACCATGTCGTGTTTGCTGCCTTTGGCAGCGGGGAAGTGGACCGGCGCAATCCATCATCACTGTGTGCCAACACTCGGTCAGGGTGGGTAGGGGTTGCAGTTCCCCAAGGGGTTGTTGATTTGTATTCTTGTGTCATTGACACAAAACACATGACTTGACCCAAGCAGTGATATCTTGTTCATGCTTGGCCAAGAGTAGACATTGCTGAAACAAGCATGGGTCTTGGCAACACCCTGTCTGGGTGCGTGGTGAATACCACATTGAACGGCTCAAGGAAGAACACCCTGTCTTTGTGTCCCCGGGTGGTACACAATGTTGTGATCTAACGCAGACATGTACTCACTCCATCACATTTGACAACAAGTGAGCTGCTTGGAAGTGAAGAAGTGTTGTAGACTGGTGTGGTCTGTGAACATGGTGATGCAGTGGAAGGCACCCTCTAAATAGTGGCGCCATTCCAGGAAAGCAGAAAAGATAGCAAAGAATTTCTTGTTGTGAATAGGCCAGTTCGGCTGGGAGCCGTGCTCGCGGTGAAAACCACATTGAATGGCTCAAGGACGTACACCCCGTCTGCACGCCTGTTGACGACCTTGCTGACCAGGTCCAGCTCCTGGCCCTTCCTAGGGAGCGGGGTCTTCTCCCATCGAGCATGGGTTGGGAACCGGAACGCCCACCGGAAGGGGAGGTTGAGGTCACACTTCTACGATATGGTCAGACTAAAGGCCAGTGTTCGAGGTGGCAGACAAAGCACTTACAATGATCAAGCGGCCCTCAACAATGAACTCCCTGTTGACTGGCATGGACGTTGATGACAAGGGACAATGGACAGGAACCATACCGTAGTACATGTCGGCTAGCCAGAGTGTCAGTTTCAGAACATCATACAAGAGAAAATGGGTGACATACCTATTAAGTTGTGCCCAAGACGTGAACCTCTCCATTCCGCGGGGTACACACGGTTGGCAGAGTTTGGTTTGCCGTCATGGACAACGGAGGCCCAAGTAACGCCGATGGCCTCGTCGACCAAATCCGGGGGGTTCGTTTCGTTGGGATCAACGTACAGAGAGATTATACGTGAAAACGAGCTGGCCGCCTTCTCGAGATCATACAACAATTCGAACACTATAGACCGCGGCCTGTCCGGGTCAGGCGCCGAAATGCTGTCGATGATGAAGACCCCAGAGCCGCCCGAACGGGTAAACATTGTTGAGTGAGAAGGGGTGAGTGAATGAGATAGTTCAGTAGTGATGAGGCAGCTGCTGGTGGATGGTTTTCTCTTTGAGTGTCGCCGCCCGCTTTCAGTAATTCTCAGCGACACTCAATTTCCTGGTGTCCTCGACAGCCCGCCGCATGCTCTGCCCAATAGACACCGCCGCGCCTCCCCCTCCCCCGGCCTCCCCTCCCGCACAACCACCTCGACCCCCCACCTGTCTCAGCCCACCACCCCCACCATGGACCAAACACCAAACACAGTGGACCTCCGCATACCCCGCGCCACCACCGACCGCATAGGACCAGAAGAGATCCAAGACAGGGACGCAGGAAGACGAGAGCAGCAGAAGAGTGTAGGATTCAGTCTCGGATTGGGATCTGGCTTGGGCAGTGCCAGCGGGAGCTTGGCGGGAGCGAATGATGCAGTCTCGGATTTGATATGGGACCTGGGGGCGGCGGAGGATGCCGACGACGCGTCTCAGAAGTCAGAACCCGCTGAGAAGGAAAGACAAAGACCCCGCGCGGGAAATAAATGTACCCCCCATTTAAAAAGTCTGGTCGGCTCCGACGATATCAAAGGTTGCATTGTCCTTGTCATTTCAGCCTCACCTGCCGCACCATCACCCAACATGCCGCCAAAGAAGGGAGCCAAAAAGGGAAAAAAGAACGACGACGACGATATCTGGGCCTCGAAGGAGGCTGCCTTCGAGAGCAACCCCCAGACCGCTGCCGCCTCGGACGACGAATTCAGTGCGCCTCCCAAGAAGGCGGGTGGCAAGAAGGATAAAGGGGGTCTCTTTGACTTGCTGGACGAGGGAGAAGAGGTCTCTGATGAAGAGGGTGGTGGTTTGATGGCAAGTCGATATGGTGTGCGGCGCGGTTCATTGCTGATCACACGCAGGCCGCTATCGCTGCCAATGCCGCCAAGAAGGACAAGAAGAAGCACAAGAAGAAGGCTGCCAAGTTTGTCGACGAAGACGAGGACCTTGGTTCTGATGCTGAGAAGCCTGCGGCCGTGAACACGAAGCCGAATCTCGACGACGAATGGCCTGAGGACGATGTCAAGCCCAAGAAGGGCAAGAAGGGAAAGAAGGACAAGAAGAAGGCCGTCCAGGACGAGGACTATGAGTTTGACGAGCCCGCTACGGAGGAGGCCAAGCCGGATACTGCCGTTGACATCAACGACGAATGGCCCGAGGAGGACGTCAAGCCCAAGAAGGGCAAGAAGGGAAAGAAGGGCGGAAAGAAGGCCCAGGAGGAGGACGAAGAGGACATCGATGCGATTTTGGAGAAGGCTGCTGCTGAAAGACGGACTGCCGAGGCCGCTGCTGCTCCCAAGCCCGAGAAGAAGCCTGAGCCTGAAGCTGCCGATGAGGAGGATGAGGCGGAGGGTGGTGACGACGACGGACCCAAGATCTTGACCAAGAAAGAGAAGGAAAAGCTGAAGAAGGAGAAGGAGAAGGTAAGTCTGATCCCTCGGATGTGGTCCGTACTCACACTGTACAGGCCAAGAAGAAGGCTCAAGCCGCCGCCAAAAAGGCCAGTGGGGCTCAGGAGGACTCTGCTCAACCCTCCCCCTCCGCCACCCCTGCCCCTCCTGCCGACGAGGCCTCTGACGAAGAAGGCGATGACGTCGCCGGTGGCGCCGACAAGAAAAAGAAGAAGAAGAAGAAGGCTGCTGCCAAACCTGAAGCTGCTCCTGCTCCTGCCAAGGGTAAGAAGGTGCCCGCGCATATTGCTGCCATGCAAGCCGCTATGGAGGAGAAGAAGCGCTTGGAAGAGGCTGCGCAGAAAGCAGCGGAAGAGCGCCAGAGGGAGCTCGAAGAGGAAGAAAGGAGACTTGCCGAGGAAGAAGCGGCTGCGGAAGCTGCCAAGGCGGCAAAGAAGCAAAAGGAGAAGGAGAAGCAGGCGAGACTCAAGGCTGAGGGCAAGGCTCTGACTCCTGCGCAGAAGAAGGAGAGGGCTGCAGCCGAGGCGAGGAAGCAGGCCATGCTGGCTTCCGGTATGACTGTTGCTGGTCTTCAAGAGGGTGCGCCCAAGAAGAAGCCCGTATACGGCAAGAAAAAGCCTCAACAGCAAAAGCCCAAGGAGGAAGCCCCCAAGCCCAAGCCTGAGCCCACGCCTGCCCCTGCCCCCGTTGAGGAGAAGAAGGATGAGTCTGAAGACGACTGGGACAAGTCTGACGACGAGAAGAAGGTCGACGAGGCTACCAAGGGTGTTGAAAAGCTCAAGGTGGAAGAAAGTGAGGACGACTGGGACAAGAGCAGTGACGATGAGGAAGCTGCCCCTGCTCCTGCTCCCGCTCCTGTTCCCAAAGCCGAACCTAAGGCTGCCCCTGCAAAGAAAGCCGAGCCCGCCCCCGTCCCCGCTCCCGCTTCCAAGAAGGCTGCTCCCGCTCCCGCTCCCAAGAAGGCTGCTCCCGCTCCCACCAAACCCGCTGCCAAGGCCAATGGCAAGGCTGCCCCCGCCCCCGCCGAGGAATCTTCTGAGGAAGACTCTTCCTCAGAAGAGACTGATTCCGACGACGACTCTGACTCTGACGACGATTCATCCGACGAAGACTCTGACGATGAGCTCGCAGTCCGAAAGGCGCAGGCTTTGGAAAAGATCGAGGCGCGAAGGGCGGCTGCTCAGGCTGCCAAGTCCAAAGACGATTTGCGTTCGCCCATTTGTTGTATCTTGGGACACGTCGACACTGGTAAGACCAAGCTGTTGGACAAGGTCAGACAGACAAGTGTGCAGGAGGGTGAAGCGGGTGGTATCACCCAGCAGATCGGTGCTACTTTCTTCCCCAGGCAGGCTATTGAGGAGAAAACTGCCGTTGTCAATAGGGTACGTCGTTTCAACTGTACGAGTAACGGCGCTGACAAGTATTCAGGACGGCGCCTATAAGGTCCAGATTCCCGGTTTGCTCATCATCGACACTCCCGGTCACGAGTCCTTCTCCAACTTGCGAACCCGTGGTTCATCCCTCTGTAACATTGCCATCTTGGTTGTTGACATTACTGTACGCTACACCGTCTCTTATATATGCCGCGCTGACATCCCCTAGCACGGTCTTGAACCTCAAACCATCGAGTCACTCAACCTTTTGCGTGCTGGCAAGACGCCCTTCATCGTCGCCCTCAACAAGATCGACAGGATGTACGGCTGGAAGCAGATCCCCAACGCTGGTTTCCGAGAGACCCTCAACTCACAGTCCAAGTCTGTCAAGTCTGAATTCGAGGACCGAGTCGCCAAGACCAAGCTTGCATTCGCTGAGCAGGGTCTGAACGCTGAGATCTTCGACGAGAACAAGAACTTGGGTCGAAACATCTCGCTTGTGCCTACTTCTGCCGTCACCGGTGAAGGTGTGCCCGATTTGCTCATGCTGCTCGTCAAGCTCACCCAGGAGAGGATGAACGCCAACTTGATGTACATCTCCGAGCTTGAGTGTACCATCTTGGAAGTCAAGGTCATCGAAGGGTTAGGTACGACCATTGATGTTGTTTTGAACAACGGTGTCATGAGAGAGGGTGATAAGATTGTGCTATGTGGTACGGATGGACCGATCGTGACGCAAGTGCGAGCCTTGCTCACGCCTCAGCCTATGCGAGAAATGCGTATCAAGGTAAGTTTCTCCGGTTCTTGCAATATATGCCCTAACATGTCATAGGGTACTTATGTCCACCACAAAGAGGTCAAGGCGGCTTTGGGTGTCAAGATTTCTGCGCCCGGTCTTGAAAAGGCTATCGCCGGTGCCCGACTCTACGTCGCCCAGGACGATGACGAAGTTGAGGCGTACAAGGACATGGCCATGGACGACTTGACTTCGCTTGCCAAGTTTGTCACCAAGACCGGCAAGGGTGTCTGGGTCCAAGCTTCCACCCTTGGTTCCCTCGAGGCTCTCTTGACTTTCTTGGAGCAGATGAAGATTCCCGTGTTCAACTTTGGTATCGGCCCGATTCACAAGAGTACGATCGTGAAGGCCGGTACGATGTTGGATAAGGCGCCCGAGTATGCGGTCATTTTGGCGTTCGATGTGCAGATCGAAAAGGAGGCTAGTGACCTGGCGGCCAAGGCTGGCCTGAAGATCTTCTCTGGTGCGTCTATCTCCTCGTTGTATCGTGAACAGATCTGACGTCTTACAGCCGAGATCATTTACCACCTCTTCGACGCCTTCACCAAGTACATGGATGAAGTCACCGAAGCTCGTAAGAAGGAAGCCGCTCCCCACGCCGTCTGGCCCGTTCGACTCAAGATCATCAAGGCCTTTGCTCACAGAGATCCTATTATCTTGGGTTGTGACATCATTGAGGGTACTATGAGGACCGGTACACCGATGGGTGTCGTCAAGGTTGACAAGGAGACCGGCAAGAGGGAGATTGTTGCTTTGGGTAAGATGTGAGTACTTTTTCGTAGATCGACGTCGTTTCATGCTGATGATTGAACAGCACGTCTATCGAGATCAACCACAAGCCCTTCGAGATCGTCAAGAGGAACCAGATTGGTGCTGGTGCTGCCGTCAAGATTGAGCGAGCGTCTTACCAACCTGCCAAGCTCTACGGTCGACAGTACGTTAAGTTTTGCCTCCTTCTACAGTGCAAGCTAAGCCGTTGTTCAGCTTTGACGACTCGGACGAGGTTGTGTCTCTCATCACCCGTCAATCTATCGACACTCTCAAGTCCACCTTCCGAGACCAGGTGGAGCTGTCTGACTGGGCTATGATCAAGAAGATGAAGATTGAGCAGGGTGTCGCGTAAGACATCTTTCACCTCATTCTTGTTTTCTGTATACCCAAAAAGAGCTCTTCGTGGCTTGCTCTCGCCCCGGCGGCATCCTCTCTTTATCCTTATGTTTTCTTTCCATCTTTTTCTCACCTGCATTGATCCGTCATATATTGTTTAAAAGGTTTTGGGTTCCGTCGATTGTTATTGACAAGACTTCAAAAATGCATAATGCTTGATAACACTGATGTCTACAAAGGCAGACAATATTAGGACTGGAATGAGTCGCTCATGATCAACACGGACGACGAGAATGGAAGCGGCATGGTACAAGAAGGTTCTTCTACGCCGTGCGTCGGGTCATGGTCTGGCCATCGCTGCCGAGATCTGCCAAGTCGCTTTTCTCTGTCGGTCCAATATCCGACGCAGCGTATGTGTGAGAGCTGTTCTTGATCTTTTCGCTCTTCTCGTTGATGGACTCGAGCTCAGGTCCATGTACATCCTGCGAAGGCGTGAGCGACCCGCATCTATCTCTTGACCTTCTCAACGGTACTGACAGGAGAAGCCTGAGTATCCCGGATGTCATTCATCAGGGAATCAAAGTCCGTCATCCCATGTGCCCTCGTCGGTACCTGCAGCTTTACCATCAGCTTTCATGTCATGCCTTGAGGGCGGAGGTCTAGCACGTACTGTAACAACGGGTGTACCATTGTTGGCATGGACATCGAAAACAATCCGAGAGTTGACAGTGTAGAGCATTCCGATCAAGTAGAGTTTCGACTGCAGGGTTTGGAAGGTTGCATCAACTTGAGAGGTAGGTTCAATAGCTGATTACCCCCGGTATCGACTCATCAGCATTATAACCGGTGAGGGGATAAACGAAAGAGAATGACGTACACCAGTCGATACAGTAGGCAAGGGCAAATATTGTAGGAGGCAGTTGGGCTTCAAAGGACAAGCGGACCCATCGCGGGATGAAGTCGTGGGTCAGGAGCCACCCTGTCTTGGATTTGAAAAGGCCGTAGACGATGGATGCGGCGATGAGAACGTCGGCGGCGAAGGTAGTGGCTATCCATGCTGACAGAGTCCGTCAGCTGTGGCCAAGGTGCGATGTGATACTTGAATGACACGAGCTTACTGATGAGGGGTGCTTCACTTGATACGATACCGATCAACGATGTTTTTTGACTTCCGAAAACTACAGTGAGCCAAATGGCGCCTCCGACACTATGACAGAGCGTCAGACATCGTCATACTTTACTAGGTCAGTGCAGGTCATAGCTCACCTTGCCAGAAGCAAAAGCTCGAGTATGGAAATCAGCATCATCTTGGACATCCTAAGCGTGAACGATGGCTCACAGAGGCACATCCAAGAAGGTAGTTGTTGCGTTCAGTGAGAAGGTAAGCCCTGTTGGCAAAGAAACTTTGGATTGGCAGGACCGCAAGGACTTTGAGTTGTTAGCTCAACTCCATGCCCGGCCCGTTTCAAGAATCCTCACTGTCCAAGATAGGTATTGCGGCAATCCATCTGAATCTCATGAGCCAGCGATCAGTCAACACTCTGCCGGATCGTACCTGACTTCGAGCCAAGGACTACCAGTCGCAGAAGGGTTGTCAACTTCTCAAGACATGAAATTGTCTTTCAAACCCACAGCCATAGACCAAAATTAGGGATGAGAAGATAGGACACATGTGCTTGTATGAAGACGGAGACGACCAGCGTCCAGACCTGTCTGCCTGTGAGTATATCGGACTGGGGAATCTGAGGAAGAAAAAGCACTCACAGAAGACCAAGCGATGATCAGCTTGGTTGAGAGCAAGTCTTTGTTTTGATTTCTGATCGCGGATGAGTCCAGCTTGAGCTAGGTAAGAGGTAGTTGTTGATCTCACAGGAAGTATTTGAGTAGCTGCATGACGAGAATGCCCCTGGAAGCTGGTCAGCAGAAACATCAAGCGGGAGGCAAAGACACCCACGCCATGAAGGTGTCAATGACCACTGATGCGAACTGTGATCCTTGAGAGACGAGGAGTCAGCTGTAGAACGGTCAAGATAGGATAAGTATCATACTGAGCATAGGTCCCTGGTACCGTGATAAGCAGACGGTCTAGGACGATCAAAGAGATCACTCACAGTCTCAGAAGCAAACAACTCCGCTGCAGCGCTCTCATTGTACCCGCCGATCTGACCGGTCTGCTTGCCCAAGCCTAGCAAGACTGCCGAGTACATATCGACGTTTGGACTGTGATGCAAAGAAAGAAGAAGAACAAAAGCCGCTCGTTTTAAGGCCTGCTTTTGATGGGTAACCCGCGATCACATGGTGCAATCGAAGGTTCGCTGATGGCGTCTGCACTGCATTGTTCTACAATATCTAGCATGGCAACATGTAAGCAGCGCTACATACTGTGGCGTAGAACTTTATGAACATCCGGACGGCGCTTCCTCTCCTCCAGGTTCTGTCATACTTCCGTAGGATGAGATAACAACTAGGGAACCACTCGACTTGAAGCGTGCATCAACAGCGGATCTTGACCCTTAACAACCAACGGAGGGTCCTTTACGCAGATAGATCCCTGTATGAAACGAGGTATGTTATGATGCATGGTATACACAGATTATAAGCCTTCAAGACGCCTTGGATACCCAACTCTACTCGTCGTCACTGTCGTCTAATTTGAACTCTCCTCCCGTCGACTTTTCCTTTCCCTTTCTAGATCCTGTTCTCCGAGCCCCTTCTTCCTCGCCGTTCTGCACGCCTAACGCCTGGGTCAATAGCCGAAGCATCTCCCCCTGTGAGTCTATCGTCTGTCGTAATGAATCAATCTGTTCCAACAGCACCTGTCATGACCATGTCAGTATTCGGTCGCAAGTCAAATATAGCAACACTCACAAGTTGATTCTTGGCCAGCTTGGTATTCGTCAAATCTCTCTCCTTCCTCTCCCCCGCTGCAGCCCCAGTCCCATCCATCCCTCCATCCCACATCTTTGGCTGGCTGCCCCCTTGTCCCGCCCATTGACCCTGCGCGTTACCTCCCGGTGGTAAGGGCGATACAGAGCGAGCTCTGGAATGGACTGTGGTAGATGGAGGCGATGTTTCGGGTGGGTTGGATATGGGCAGGAGAGGGACGTCGTCGTCGCCGGGGTTTGGGATGGATGTGGGTTGGTCTAGTGATTGTCGTGGGGACGAGGCGACGGACACCTGTGAATGGTGAGTGATGCCTTCATGCTCTGAGAAATGAACGTACATTGCCCTGAAATAGCTGCTTGGCAAACGCATCGTAGACGATCGCAAAGTTCCTTCCCAATACAAAACTCGGCAAAGCAATCAACAAGAGCCCAAACATCAACAACGGCACCGTCAGAAGCTTGCCCAAGAACGACTTTGGCACGACCTCTCCGTACCCCACCGTACTCATCGTCACCAGCGCAAACCACGCCGTTTTGGGGATAGAGTCGAAAGCCGAAGGATCGCCATCTGCGTCGATAAAGTAGCCTACAGAGGCATCCCAAGTCCCCCGCTCGGCAAAGTAGATGAGCGTGGCGAACAACACGAGGACAAGGACGATGAAGAACATCAACGCGTATAATGCGTCCCGCGATCGCCGTACCGCAACGTACATGACCTCAATCGTGAGGAGCATTTGGTTCTGGTACTTGAACGCGCGAAAGACACGCAGTAGACGAAATGTTCGGAGGATGCTGAATCGGAAGAGGATGGTGGTATCTTGGTTCTGGGCGACTTCGACATAGTAGGGGAGAATGGCGACGAGGTCGATGATGGCAAAGAATGACGTTGCCCAAGAATAGTAGTGGGTCCAAGAGTCGGTGTGGGCCAGGGAACGGGCAATGTATTCTATCGTGAAGAGAACGACGATGGTGGTATCTAGCCCAAAGAGAGCTTTGATGATAAGTGGTTCGGTATGGAAGGCGGGCATCGTTGAGAGGGTCGTCAATATTGCACTATCATGTCATCAGTATGGAGAACAAGTAAAAAGGTATCTTGCTCACCTGAATAAGATAGCGCCAGTGACAAGAACATGCAAGAAGAACGCTTCCCGCCCGCTACTCGGCTCTTCCATCAAAAGATACAGCTTTCTTTTCCATCTCGTCCGCATTCCAGCCGCCACTGCAAAATGGTCTTCTCCTTCATCAAACCCCAGCATATGACCAAAGTTTGGCAAGTCCACCTGCTCGGTGTCCTCATACGTCTCCTCGTGGAGAAACGTCGCGCGGTGCTGCCTCTTCGGTGTCGCTTGTTCGTCCACGTCAGAGTTCGAATGGTGTCTCGCATGCCCTCTGTTTCTGGCAGAGGGTAGGGCACCCGAGGGAGCGTTGAATAGCAAGTTGGCAGAGGAGCTGTTCGGATGGAGGGTGAGGGTGCGGGGTTTGGTTGCGGAGTGGGTAGTGGAGCTGCGTGGGCGGTTTGTTGGGCGGGCGGGTGCTGAGGAGGGCCCTGCTTCGTGGGACTGGCGGGGCGGGGGGACTGGGGGATAGGACATGGCGTGTAGATGCAGTTGAGAAGGATAAACGCGACGAAAGCGCGATGTGACTTGCCGCGTGCCTGGGTGATTGCGCGCGGAATTTGGGATTGATGCCCCAAGCCAAGTTGGGCTGGGGTATGTTGAGTGATCTCTTCAGGGTAGCATTACGACGACTCACTTCCACACGCTCACCTTCCCGCTATCTTTCTTCTCTTTGCATCCGTTAGTACACTTCTGTCCAGCAAGCACCACCGAAATGCTTCCCCTTACCACTCTTGACGTTCACAACCAAGCGGCATCTCCGCTCAAGGATGAGCTCGGCCAAGAAAGCGACAAAACGACAGAGACGCCCGACAACTCCAGCCCCGAATCCATCCCGCACATGGAGGCAGAGCACCAGATGATCAACGATTGGCTCTCCGAACAGCTCCGGTACCACGCAATCTACGCACCCCCCATCTTTCCCATGCTCCTGTACACCTTCTTTGCTATCATCTATGGCGTATTGGCTTTCTTTGGGGGGAGACGTCTATTCATCGAACTTTTGCTCGTGGGTTCTGGCCTTCTTCTATTGGGGATGCGCGTGCACGTCCACAGGAGGCTAGGTCGAGAGATCAAGGAGGTAGCGAAGAGCCTGAAGGTAACATTGGACGGTGAAGAAGTAGGAGTAGCCGACTTGAAATGGTATAGGCGTGCCACGCCCGGTCTCAGTAAGCTCTTGCTTTTCAAGGTAGTCTCTCCAGCTACTGATCACATCTATAGCGGATTGTCAAACTGGCACCATCTTTCACCCCTTTCCCCCCTCATCAGAGGACCATCGCCAGAGCCCCATCTCGCCTACCAGCTACCCTCTCTTGCGCAAGTTTACCTCCTTTCCAGAGAAAGCCCGAATCATCGCAATCTGCGTATTTGCGCCTTTGTTGAGCGACATGTGGGCGGCGTGCCCTGTTGGCGACACAGAAGTGTCTCCCCTTCGGGAAAGGATAGTGCTGGATGTCGTATTGACTTCTCTGCTGGGAGGCCTCATTGCGTTCTTTTCCGTTATGGAGTACGAACATATCACGCGCGGTCTGTATCGACGTTCGATGGTTCAGGAGAGTATGGAGTGGAACAGTTTACTTTGGATCCAAGAGCACATGGGATGGTGGGGAGTGTTGGTGATGGAGCAGACACTTGGGCGTGACAGGTTGGAAGAGTTGATGGCCGCCATGAGGAAAAGAGAAAAGCAGTATGTTGACGGTAGGTTGAGCTTCATTCCGTCACCTGAGTATAGCTAAATCCTGCAACTGTATAGACCGTTCGAGAGCTTTGCAAGGATTGATTGATCAAGGTCGTTACGCTGAGACTGAGCGCGAGATGTTCTTCTCAACAATAGACTATGATCTATTGAACGATGAGGCCGTTTACCCTTGATATCTTTAGGGGATATGTCTTCTTTCTTCCCGCCTTCGTGAATTCCCCTCGCTATTCCGCCTCAATTGTACTCGTTCCCGTTCTCCTCTTTTCCAGTAAGGCTGTCCGACGCACGTCGACACGCCCATATTTGCTATACTTACCTTCTTCCACCCGCTCCTCTTTCTTAACCTTTTTAGCCTTATTGTACGCTTCGCTGGTCGGCTTGTACCCTTATTCGCTTGGTGCTGTAGTCGTGTCACGTAGTCGCTCCGTCTATCGTCTCGTCACTATTTCATGTATATATGAAAGGCTGGGTGTGGGAACAGAGACTTCACAAAACTGTTTGACTCTCTTCTCTCCCCTCCTCTTCTTCTTTGACCTCTACTGCTCCTTCCAAAACCTGATCAGGTTCTCTGCATCTTTGTAGCCTTTGAACTCTTGAACAATGACGAGGTCGCCTCATGTCTGATGCATTTAAACATGTTGCTCGGGTAACGAATGAGTGAAACCAACATCTCCAACATGCAAACTTCTCCCCTTTATTGTCCTTGCATTGTGGCTGCCAGTTACATCAACATTTTAAACCTTGTAGATTCTGATGAGACGATGTCTACCGAGCTGGTCAGCATAATTTTCAATGGAGATCGAAGTAGCACGTACTTTGTGACAATCCTCGTCCGACAAAGAGGACACTCCTGCGTCGTAGCCCAAATAAGGTCGGAGCAATGTTGACACATACAAAGATGTCTATTACAATGATCAGCACCCTCTTTTCAATCAAATCCATGAGACTTTGACGTACCCGCAATCGACAACAGCCAGAGTAGCTTCTTCATCCTGACAGACCACACACAGGCCCCTCTCAATCTCTGGCATAGGCCCGGTAGGGACAACTTTGGCTTCGCCCGCTTCAACTTTTTCCTTTTCGAGGGCTTCCCCTGTAGGCACTTCGGGGTGTTCGATGGTGCCGTTTGGAACGGTCGTGGATGCGGATTGGGTAGGAAGGGATGATTGGGCGAGGAGGGCGGCTTCTTGTTGTTCGGCGATACGTTGGCGTTCGAGTCGTTTACGTTCATCATCTATCAATTCTTTAACGCGAGCTATAAGTTCTCCCCTAAAATCACCCCTGTCAGCACCACCCCTTGCACCTACCCAATGAGCTTACTTTTCCAAAACCTGTTTGAAGTCTACACGGACATGATTTTCGTAGAGGATGGCTTTGAGCGTCCCGATACCGAGGGAAGCGAGATACGAGTCGGGCAGTGCGACGAGAGAGAGAATGGAAGGTACGGGCGGGGGCGGGGTGGAAGCTGCTGGCGACCTCGGTGCGGCCGGAGTAGGTCGAGAAGGGGTGGGAGCAGGGGCAGGTCGAGCCTGTTGAGGAGGAGGTGGTCTCGCTTGAGTGTGCGACGAAGGCTGAGGCCGAGTCTGATAATGCGCTCTTGCCGAACCTTGAGCTTGCGCCTGAGGTCTGGCGTATGCATAGTTGGGAGGGGGCGGTCTCGCTTGTTGGGGTTGGGGGCGTTGATAGGAGGAAGCATATGTACCTCCACCGTTAGGGGGAGGAGGAGGTCGAGGTTGGGATGAGGCGGGGTTTGGTCGAGCGGTGATCTTGCCAGGGACTGAATGACGACGAAAGTGATTTTCGCAGATGGCCGATAAACACCCCGTCGTCGGATCTCGAGCCCTGAAGACCGTCTGCACCAATTCTTCCTTCTCGCTCAGTCCTATGGAGGGGATATTGTACGCTGTGAGGTAGTTCTTGAGGCGCTTGATGGGGAGAGACCGGAGAATTTGGAGGGGGGCCGTGGTCACTGCTTGGTCATCAGAACGAACCTCTAGCCCGGATCGAGCAGACTCGCCTTGAAGCATTCCCAAACAGAACGTACATACACTCTCCTTGTAGTACCCAGGGCTTCCCTCCATATCATCATCAATCCCCAGCCCCATCTTGATCTCTCCCAGAGGCGTCTGATTCAGCGGCTGTTGCCCTGGACGCCGGGGCATGAGCGCTTGGCCATCAGAGATGCAGTTGGAGCAGTATTGATATCCACAATGACCGCACGTCTTCTTACGCCGCCAGAGGGGGTTGAACTCTTTGTCGCACTTTCGACAGTCTGGTTTGTCATAAGCTCGGTAATCATCGTATGGAAGGTTCAGGAAGGATAAAGTACGCACGCGAGGCTTCTACGACGACGGGAACTCCTGATACTGCATCCTTATGAGCTCTTTACTTACATGGTGCCGAGATCTCTTACATATGGGAAGACCTGGAGGTGGCCGATTCTGACTTAAGGATGCCATCGGCGATGACGTGGCTTGGCAAGCACGGTGGTCAAGGACGTTGTGTGTGGCGCTTCTTAACACTGTAGACGGAGCGTAGTAGCGCGAGAGAAGCCTGAGTGAGGTATTCCAGCTAGCTATAGATTACTGCACCGAGGATGAATGAAAGAGGAGATGGTCGGAACACCGCCCACACCATGGCCGGCCTCCACCACGGATTTGATCCCGTCGCGCCCATCGTTCGTCACAAACGCGCCGTATACGTCCATTCAACGTGCAGGCAGGGGTCAACGTAGAATATCGTCCATCAGGCAGCATCAAGAGATCTCCAGGACTGGACCGCTCGCAGGATCGTCAACTTTGGCCCAGAATGGACACAACGGCCGACAACGGGAGCGTCAATGGTGACCACGATGGTGCACGGCGAAGATGGGGGCAACATGATACTGTGAGCGACCTTGACTGTCATTCCGAGTATTTGCTGACAATACTACAGCCCCGCGTACGGCACATAACTGGGTGCGGCCAACTTGTGATCTAATGACTCCGAGCTCACCTCCGTCTAGCATCCGCATCCACCAACTCACCCTCCCCGAATCACTCTCCTACGCCTCCAAACTCGTCCCAGAAACACAACAGACCATTCCAGAGGACTACAATCTGGGTGAATCGAGCCGCTTCACAGCTTCACCCGAGCCAGCTCAATCCAGCAGTCATGGACCACGTCCGAGGACAAGTTCCTCCGGGTCTACGGCGCTACGCAGGGACCGCAAGACATCTGGGGACAGTCTCTTTCGACCGAGGTCAAGCTCGTCCTCAACTGTGACGCTGGAGCCATCGTCACCTGTAGTGGGCTCCATGCGAACGCCACGGATAGCCCGACACCGTGCACCTACCCTTGCTGGCGAGGCCCTCGAACTTGGGCACACCGGTGCTGCAAAAGGCAGCTCTGCTCCCGATAGACTACACGGGTCTTTGAGTGAAGAGCAGGAGATGATACAAGTGGACAAGAGAAGGCTCGCGAGGTGCTTTGTGGTGTTGAAGCTTCCACCCCAGCCGGAGGCGAGAGACGACAAGAAGTTGAATTGCTCTGCTTTCAAACGAGCGAACGAAGAAACGCTCTACCGGACTAGGTCCAACACTCAACCAAGATCTGCATCCAAACCTGCCTCTCCCACATCACGATCCCCGACGCCAAAGACGCCCTCGTCGCCTAACTCTATCACACGAACCGTCTCCTTACCGGGCTCTGACGGGACCATGCGAGTCCGCACTTCTTCCCTCACATCCCATGCTTCTCTCAAAAGCCCTTCATCACCCATTGGCTCTCCTCGACGATCTGATCTGAATCTTAACCACAAAGGCTCCTTACGACCTGCGCCCAAAACACGTCCTTCTTTCCCTCACGCCCCTTCTTCCTCCTCATCCCTCCCACCTCTATCCGCTTCCATGCAAGAACGGCCCCAAATCCCATTCTACATCTCCCCCATCCACCCTCCTTCCGTTTTCCCTCGATTTACGAGCCTGGACCCAGAGTCGGATTTTGCCCCTTGGCTGGGGTATGGAGAGTTGGCGAGTGGGGTGGTGGAAGTGGAGGTTTGGGTGCAGGATGGTTTGGATTTCCAGAGAGCGAGGAAAGGCCGTGAGAAGGATCAAGAAGCGGGGGAGGGGTGGAAAAAGCTGAAAGGAGTTGGAGGACTGGTAGATCTGGGAAGGTTGAGGAAGAAGAAGGATGGGGCTGTGGGACCACCGAATGGAATTGAATTTACGCTGAGCTTTGATCCCAAGGGAACCTACTACGTGCCCCTTTCCGAGTCTTTGCTCAACGATGGTGACAAAGAAAAACCAGTGCACAAGGAGAGGGAGACTAGGTTGAAGCAAGGTACCGGAGCAGGTGGTCTGCACCAGTGAGTCCAGCTCACGACCCTGCGTGCTACGTAAAGTACTAACCTAGGACAAGGCTTGTGAATCTGCACGCTGTCATTGTGGATACGCAAAAGAGTATCAAGCAAGTACAAGGAAATGTGGATAGATTGTTGAAGGAGGATGTGGACCATCGAGCTTTGGTAAGTGATTTGTTTCAGATTGGGCTGGATGGATGCTGATGGATATGGGTAGAAGAGGGAGGTGTCGGAGAGGGAAAATAGAGTGGCAGTGATCAAGAAGATGATTGAAGATGTCGAGCAGCGCACCGATAAAGGTAAGCCTTGGTATATCAAGAGGAACACACTTTAACAGTCTTCAGTCCGCACTCGTACATCCACCCTGACAACCTCGCACCAGACCCGCCGCTCCAACCTCTCTGACGCCGACGAATACTCCACCGGCTCCTATCTGCAGGTATCAGCCCTCTCCAACGAGATAGCCTCGCTCGACTCTGAGAGGCTTGGGCTACAACCAAAGATCCACAAGCTGCGCGCCTTCCATATCCAGATGCTGGACAGTCTCTTCCCGATCCAAATCCTCGACCCTTCCATCTTGCTATACACTATAGTCGGTGTACCACTGCCCATACCCGCAAACCCCAAAGACCCCGCCCCGCCTCTCACACTCCCAAACCACAAAATCGACGAACGCACAACATCCTCCGCCCTCGCCCTCTCTGCTCACCTCGTGCAGCTTTTGGCGGACCTCTCTGGTCTTCCTGGTGGGGGGCTTCCCTATCCGATTACTTCTGCGGGGAGCAAGAGTGCGGTGAGGGATGTGGTTAGTGTGATGCAGGGGGCGAGGAGCTTTCCGTTGTTTGCGAGGGGAGTGGAGAGGTATAGGTATGAGTATGGGGTGTTTTTGTTGAATAAGGATATTGAGATGGTATGTCACCTCTGTCTTCTTCGTGGGGGTATGCTAATGGAAGATCATAGTTGATGCAAGAAGCGAATATCCGGCTGTTGGACCTCCGCCAAACTTTACCTAATCTCAAGACTTTGCTACTCACACTGTCATCCCCATCCTACATCCCAGCACCACACCGGCTGCCGTCTACGCTCGGGAACGGATCAGGAGGTCGTTCAAGGTCCAGCACATCCCTATTCGGCGGTGCTTCGCGAGAAACCTCAGGTAATTGGGCTACCGGCAACACATTCCCAGACGGACCAGGTAGCTGGGGTATATCCCCTTCGAGCTCTACAGGCGTCGGTGGAGGCAGAGAGAGTCCGCTGTCGTTCACTGCGAAAGCCCATCCGGCTTCGATGGGTGGGCATACTGGTAGCCCGCTGGCAAAAACGGGTCTAAAGGGGAGACGGTCGACGTTAGGAAAAGCGACGAGGGAGGTGAATCTAGGAAGCGTGGGGAGTGAGCGAGAGGAAGAAGGGAGTGGGGACGATGAGGAGGAGAAGAGGGTGGGGGACGGGTTGAAGAGGCATGTCCGAAGACTTGCAGCCTGAATATGAAAGATGACCGGACTCGGTTCGTTCACTTCTCTGATGATGAATGATGATTACATGACACCTAGCACTTCTACTATCTCGTTGCGCCTGACGAAGCATAAGGGTCGACCATCTCACCCTCCCCCGGTCCCGGCAGATCCCCTTCAAACTGCTCCCTCGGCTGATTCCTCTCTTGAGCCCACTTAGCTCGATCTGGCGAGGCTCCCAATCTAGCCCGGGCAAGCTCCTCGCGTACTGCGTCAGACGGTCTCCCAGATTGTCCTGTGGCGTACCCCCCCGGTCCTGGACTGCCGACAATACTTGGATCAGGGGCAGTTGCTTGGGGGATCGGCGGTAGGTTTCTCGGTGAATCGCCCATACCTCGTGCCCCTGCCACATCGGGACCGTCACTCCCCCACAAGTTCTCGGCAGGGTCTGGGATATCGCCGTTTTGTATGGCCATTGCGCGGGCTTTCTCGCGGATCTTGAGGATTTCAGAGACGAGCAGAGCTCGAGAAGATGAGAAGGAAAAGAAGGAAGCAGACACTGCGGGTCTCTGGGGTCAGTAAGGAGCCGGGTGGCGAAGGGCGATACCCACGGAAGAAGGTAAGTGCAAGGGCGTTTCGAGAAGGAGGTGTTGGTTTGAAGCGCTTCACCAGATACGCTGCCGTCGCTCGTTAGCTATCGATCGCTGGCCACCTCTAGACGGACGTACTCAAGATTCCACCCCCAACCAATCCCCCAAACATGCCCCTCTCAGTACACTTTCTCGTGAGATTGCGGTAATCTTCCATAGTCATGATACTCGACGCCTTGCCCAAGTCGATGGTCTCCTTCTCGCCAGAGCGCTGGTTGAAGATTACGAGTTTGGGCGAGTTGGGCTGCAATGAGCGGTCATTTGGGTTTTTCTTCTGGGGCTGGGAAGGGGCGAAAGAGCCGTCGTCAATGGGGGTAGCGGAGATGTCGGCTTCGGGGAGGACCATTGCAGAGAAAGTATAGGGTGATCTAGAAGATGGTGATGAAAGAGATGCTTAGAATTCGGTGACGTCGTTCAATCTGCCGGCGGTAGCGGCGGCCGCCGGGCAGTGGACGCGACGCTGTCTTTGTGCTGTCTATAGCTGGTCTATAGCATGGATGGCTCACTGCGGGCCGTAGGACCTGCCAGATGGCATCGTGAGGTATGCTATATCGGAGCACTGGCTTGATATGTTTCCGTTCCGCGGGAGTGCTGCATACGAGTACTGTTGCTCGGTCGTTTCCGCATGTATCCCGCCCCCGGCGCGACTCTCGCAAACTGCCTCATTCAGACAACTCTGGCATATTCAAGAATTTAGCTAGGCGGCAACGTCTATAATACCTGACAATGTCTCAATATCACAATAAATGGTTTGAGAAGGCGTACTTGGAATCACCAGTATTACAAGGCAAGAAGATACACCAATGTCGTATCGGGACGTACAAGAAATGCTTCAGCCTTGAACGAGCGAAGCTGTACTTGACCTTCATGGACGAGGATGGCAGAAAGGTATGTGCATCGATATTCAGTAGGAAGAAGTCATAGCTGATGAGACTACAATGCCAGCTGTCGCGATTGCGGCTGATCAAAGCATGGGCTTGTACAGCTCAGAAGACACACTTCTTTCAAGGCCTGATGAGGCGATTGATCAAACTGAAAGAGGATGGAGAGCCGATCCCGATATGCCCTGCATCTCAACAAGAGCTCATCGACAGATATAATGAAGTGAGTGCTGAGGCGTGTGCAGGAAACAATTGATGATGACGGTTACAAGACAGCGCATGTCCTTCGTGAGTCGGCGGATTAGCGTGTTATACTCATGTTTCCAAGGAAGACCATGCCCTCATCATGAGTAGAGCTGACAGTAATCCTTGTTGCTAGATGAGCTTGCTGGCGCGATGGTCACGCTCTTTTTGAGGGAGCGGAATAGCTACGTTCGAGACGGCTGGCAGCCTGCTGCAGGTCCCATCGAATTATCCTGCTGGCCTAAAATCAAAAGGCCCGCCGACATGAGAACGATTGACGAAATCTTTGTCGTATGGATACCCTCGCTGTTCATCAGTGTCGCCCATGTCAGTCTCAGTGATCACCGCGCTGGCCTGTCGGACAGTTGGCTTGACATCTGGGATCGTCTTCAACCGTCGGAAGGTTATGAAAGGCCCCTGGACATGGGAAGAATCAGTCCTGTGTTGAGCAACGCTCTAGATGAGGAAGATTCACATCTAAAATTCGTCGACAAGTATGGGCGAGCCACGATTTGGGATAGGAGCTACGACCGATCGTCACATTCAGATAAATCTTATAACTGCATACTATCCCGTTGCAGTTCCAACAGCTCCTCCGTTCTGACTTTGGTCAACGAATCGACGACTTGCCCACTTCACCCACTACACCATGAGTGTATATTGTCACCTAGGCCTGGCTCTGCCTTCCGACCCCCCCATCGTTATAGTCTTGGAGGTATTATCGACAGTCTCTGCCATCCCTTTACTGAAGACACCGTTCACGTTGGCTATCGTCTTGGACTACTTGCTTCCATACCTCCCGCCGAGGTGATGCACAATTATCGTAAACGGTACGATAGCATATATAAAAAGTAGTAGTTCCACACGGGTCCATGACCTCTAGCGATGCCCTTGTGGTAGTCGAGGTGAGTCGCAATGCTTGAGAAACATAAGAGGTAGCCAAGCCAATGCCGGAGGACATGGACGCTTGATTTCGTGCTGGAGAGACAGCAATATATGATCGACAGAGTACTTAAAAGCTATGAAAGAATGTAGGTATCTATATCCAGCCTCAAGCCTACGTACTATCCCTTTTCCATGACCTTCCAGTGTCTCCTACAGTGGCCAACAGAGTTGCAAAGATGATTCTAGACGCTTCGGGGTATTTCTGGGTCGAGTGGCGACAGCCATGTGACACCATGGATGGCTCGATGCGGGCCGTAAGACCTGCCAGCTGGCCGAGTGAGGTATGCTATTTGAGGGCAATGACGTCTCGTGTTTCCGCTTAGCGGGAGTGCTGCATACTGATGCTCGGTCGTTTCCGCATGTATCCCGCCCCCGGCGCGACTCTCCTGAACTGCGTCATCACCACAGCTCTGGCATATTCAATGATTTGCTAGGTGGCAATGTCTATACTACTTGGCAATGTCCCAATATCACAATAAATGGTTTGAGAAGGCGTACTTGGAATCACCAGTATTACAAGGCAAGAAGACACATCAATGTCGTATCGGGACATACAAGAAATGCTTCAGCCTTGAACGACCGAAGCTGTACTTGACCTTCATGGACGAGGAGGGCAGAAAAGTATGTGTAAGCATATTCAGTACGAAGAAGTCATAGCTGATGAGACTACAATGCTAGCTGTCGCGATTGCGGCTGATCAAAGCATGGGCTTGTACAGCTCAGAAGACACACTTCTTCCAAGGCCTGATGAGGCAGTTGATCAGACTGAAAGAGGATGGAGAGCCGATTCCAATATGTCCTGTATCTCAACAGGAGGTCATCGACAGATATAATGAAGTGAGTACTGTGGCATGTGCAGGAAACAATTGATGATGACGGTTATAAGACGGCGCATGCCCTTCGTGAGTCGGCGGATTCGCGTGCTATACCCATGCTTCCAGGGAAGGCCATTCCCTCATCACGAGTATAGCTGACGGTAATCCTTGATGCCAGATGAGCTTGCTGGCGCGATGGTCGCACTCTCTTGGAGGGAGCGGAATAACTACGATCGAGGCTACTGGCAGCCTGCTGCAAGTCCCATCGAATTATCCATCTGGCCCAAATTAAAAAGGTTCGCCGACATGAGAAGGATTGACGCATTATTTGCCATGTGGATGCCCTCCTTGTTCATCAGTGTCGCCCATGTCACTCTCAGCGATCACCGCGCTGGCCTGTCAGACAGGTGGCTTGACATCTGGGATCGTCTTCAACCGTCGGAAGGTTATGACAGGCCTCTGAACCTGGGGAGAATCAGCCCTGTGTTGAGCAACGTTCTAGATGAGGAAGATTCACATCTCAGCTTCGTCGACAAGTATGGACGAGCCACGATTTGGGATAGGAGCTACGACCGATCGTCCCATTCAGATAAATCCGATGACTGCATATTATCCCGTTGCAGTTCAAACAGCTCTTCCGTTCTGACTTTGGTCAACGGCTCTACGACTTGCCCACTACACCCACTACACCATGAGTGTATATTGTCACCTAGGCATGGCTCTGCCCCCCATCGTTATAGTCTTGCAGATATTAGCTTCAGTCTCTGCCATCCGTTTACCGAAGACATCGTTCATGTTGGCTATCGTCTTGGATTACTGGCTTCCATACCTCCCGCCGAGGTGATGCACAATTATCGTAAACGGTACGATGTCATATATAACAAGTCGTAGCCTGCATGGACGTAGGCAGCCTCGTGATCCTATGTATTTTGTATGTACTTGCTACAGACCCCTCATGGACAAGGGAAGAGAGTTCAGCGGTTGGCGGGACGATGCAAAAGCTGGGGACGCGTCAAACCAGCGTCAAACGCGAAATGGAGGGTGCGGGTACTTCTTCAACTGAACATGACGAGACGACGCGACGCGACGCGACGCGACCTTTACTGATGACAAATCGAGAGCGCTGGACTGTGTGAAGCATGAGCTCGGCACGCCATCTTCCCCTTATCGAATTGGGCCTCTCCTACTTGTCCCTGGTACTTGCAGGAGGCGCATCGCGACAGCGACAGGGCCCGACTCCCACGACTGACTTTGCTCTCTGCCCGCTTCCATACACTACCCTCAATAACAAAATCGACAGCCCAGATCTATTCGCATGTCAGAGTATACTGTTATCGTCTGTCGGTAAATCCGGTCCCCTAATATGTGGATGCTATCGACCCTTCTTCTCCGATCTTCCGGTGCGAATTGCCTTGGATCTTCCGGTGCGAGTTGTCTTGCCAGAGTGGGGAGGGGGGAGGGGGGGCTTGCCCGGCTCTCGGTCTCACACATTTCCCCCTTCTGATCCCTCTTTTCTTCTCGTTCTTCGCCCCTCTCCTTATTTCCCCCCTCCCGCCCTTCACATCCCAATACCCCAAGCCAGAACAACAATTGCACCACAACCAAAATGCCTGTTCCCTACACCGCGTCATCTCCCGACCTCCCAGAACCTCTTCTAGCCACTTTGTCACACCTTTTGTCCGACTCTCCTCCTCCCATCCCTGTTGACCCGCCCGAGATCCTCACCCGCGACAGCTTGGCCACTTACCTGGAAGCTATGGACCGCGCACATGAAACTGTACAACGTCAACTCTCTGCGATCGACAGGCTTCGGCAAGACATCAGAAGCTGTGTTGAAAAACACACCCAAGACCCTGGCCCAAGCACGAGTGGTGGTGGTCAAGGAGGGCAAGGAGAAGTTGTCGCCCCGCCGAAGGCCGAGCAAGAGCCTGAGGTACACGCGCCTAGGAAAGAAGAAGAGGCCGAGGGAGGAGCCGCCGGAGGAGCCGCAGAGGTGTATGCTAACGTTCATGACGGAGCTGACCTTGTAGAGACAACAGCAAAAGTACCAAAGGAAGACAACCACGCCACGGGGGCCGCGGACGATCATCACGGGGATCAGAACACCTCCTCAAGATCAAGGAACGGCTCTTCTCAACCTCTCCACCCCCTCGCCGACGACCGAACTCAGCGTTTGCAAGAGACGAATACGGCTTCGCGCACGCCACCCCAGAACAAGGATATCCAAGCCATACATCATGATCCCAAGTACATTCGTGTGGGAGAAAGACTAGCTGACGCCAATAGTGCCTGGACTCGCTCGGTCATCGCCGTTCAACTGGCCTTCGAAGAACTCAAGATAGCAACCGAAGGTCCGGCCCCAGAAGGATCAAACCGGGACGCCGCTTCCTTTTCGGAGCTCAAGTCGTATTCGAAGAAGCTCTCGACGCTTGTCAGACAAGAGGGAGAGAAATTCGAAGAGACGGTTGGTGCGGCCTGTACTCGTTCAGACGTGTGGCTATTTGTGGGGACAAGTGAGTCATCATCAGTGCTTGGATAGAATAAAGCTGACCTGCTCCCCCTAGCTGTTCCACAAGTGGCTACAATGATACTGAACGTTGTCAACAACGCCCTCGTCCTCCGCGGGTACGTCCCTCCAAGCTTACTTTATTTTACGGGCTGCTGCTGATCAAACGTGATTCAGCCACTCTCCTGCTTGGATACAAATCTCGCTAGGGGTGACCTTATTCTTATCCCTCCTGGCTGCATATTTTGCGCTGACAGATAGAGACATCGAGTCTTCAAAGATTTTACGGCAAGTGAGATTCGGGCTGATAATGCTGACATCGTTGGCAGTGGTCATACTAGACTGGGCGAGTAATTTCCCATCGGAAGCTGCAGTATTACGGCTAATACTGTATATCAGGTTCTCTTCAAGAAGCACCCCTAGTAGTTGCGACCTTCAACTAGACTTCTGGGATCATCGAGCTTTGGTGAGTATCTGTTTCAGATGGGGCTGGATGGCTGCTGATGGGTATGGGTAGAAGAGGGAGGTGCTGGAGAGGAAAAGATAGATTGGCAGTGATCAGGAAGATGATCGAAGATGTCGAGCAGCGCACCGAAGACGATAAGCCGGCTTGGTATATAAGAGGAATACACTCTAACAGTCTTCAGTCTGCACTCGTACATCCACCCTGACAACCTCGCACCAGACCCGCCCGCCAACGAATACTCCACCGCCTCTTATCTCTGCAGGTATCAGCTTTCTCCAACGAGATAACCTCGCTCGACTCTGAGAGGCTTGGGCTACAGCCAAAGATCAGTCTCTTCCCGATCCAAATCCTCGACCCTTCCATCCTGCTATACACTATAGTTGCCGTACCACTGCCCATACCCGCGAACCCCAAAGACCTACTTCGAACCGCTCCCCCTTTCCAGCCACGAGATCGCTGCCGGTCTCCACTATCGCCGCCGGTCTCCACTATCAACTCCTCACTCCCGCCTACTCCCCCACCTGCTCCGCCTGCGCCAACGAGTCCGACCCTGTTCACGACGAAGTTTGCCGCCTGCGCGAGACGTGGTTTATCCGACGACACGACTCTATCAACAGAGTCCTTCACTCCTACCTCTCTCGCGTCGCCGATGCCACCGTCTCCCTCGAACCATCAACTCAAACTGGGCGAAGGAGGAACGACCTTAGGGTGCGAGGAGGGGGAGGAGAGCTGAGGAACGTCGACTACGATCTGAAGGTCCATGGGCTGGAAGACAAGAGCGTGTATGTGGCGGATGGAGGGAAGCCAAGCGGTGGAGTGGATGGACTGGGTACAGGGAAGGATCGTGGCGTGGCTGAGTAAGAGGGACGCGGAAGTTGTGAAGAAGCAGCCGAAAACGCCCCCTTGTTCTTTCTGCGGGCGGCTTGATGAATGAGGAGACGGCGGTAGAGTAGAGGAATTGGAGGAAGTGTATGGAGAAGGAGGTTTGGCACGGCTTGCAGAGCAGGGTGGGGATAGAGCTAGTGAAGGCGAGGGCGAGGACTTTGTGGATGTGAGGAGAGGGAGAAGGGGGGAGTAGTTAGAGGCGAGAGGGTTTTTTATCGACTTGGCGAGTATGGCCGTCTTGTCTTTTTCCCTCATTCCGACATCGTCTTACGTACAGCCTAAGTACATAGAACTAATGAGATTCGCAATCTCTATGTAACTCTCTTCACCCCGCCCCGCCACTCACACTTCCGAACCGCAAAATCGACGAACGCACAACATCCTCCGCCATCGCCCTCTCTGCTCACCTCGTGCAGCTTTTGGCAAACCTCTCTGGTCTACCGGGTGGGGGGCTGCCCTATCCAATTACTTGTGCAGGGAGCAAGAGTGTGCGGTGAGGGATGTGGTTAGTGTGATGCAGGGGGCGAGGAGCTTTCCGTTGTTTGCGAGGGGAGTGGAGAGGTATAGGTATGAGTATGGGGTGTTTTTGTTGAATAAGGATATTGAGATGGTATGTCACCTCTGTCTTCTTCGTGGGGGCATGCTAATGGAAGGTCATAGTTGATGCAAGAAGCGAATATCCGGCTGTTGGACCTCCGCCAAACCCTACCTAATCTCAAGACTTTGCTACTCACACTGTCATCCCCGTCCTACATCCCAGCACCACACCGTCTGCCGTCTACGCTCAGGAACGGATCAGGAGGCCGTTCAAGGTCCAGCACATCCATATTCGGCGGTGCTTCGCGAGAAACCTCAGGTAATTGGGCTACCGGCAACACATTCCCAGGCGGACCAGGTAGCTGGGGTATATCCCCTTCGAGCTCTACAGGCGTCGGCGGAGGCAGAGAGAGTCCGCTGTCGTTCACTGCGAAAGCCCATCCGGCTTCGGTGGGTGGGCATGCCGGTAGCCCACTGGCAAAAACGGGTCTTAAGGGGAGACGGTCGAGGTTGGGAAAAGCTACGAGGGAGGTGAATTTAGGAAGCGTGGGGAGTGAGCGAGAGGAAGAAGGGAGTGGGGACGATGAGGAGGAGAAGAGGGTGGGGGACGGGTTGAAGAGGCATGTCCGAAGACTTGCAGCCTGAATATGAAAGATGACCGGACTCGGTTCGTTCACTTCTCTGATGATGAATGATGATTACATGACACCTAGCACTTCTACTATCTCGTTGCGCCTGACGAAGCATAAGGGTCGACCATCTCACCCTCCCCCGGTCCCGGCAGATCCCCTTCAAACTGCTCCCTCGGCTGATTCCTCTCTTGAGCCCACTTGGCTCGATCTGGCGAGGCTCCCAATCTAGCCCGGGCAAGCTCCTCGCGTACTGCGTCAGACGGTCTCCCAGATTGTCCTGTGGCGTACCCCCCCGGTCCTGGACTGCCGACAATACTTGGATCAGGGGCAGTTGCTTGGGGGATCGGCGGTAGGTTTCTCGGTGAATCGCCCATACCTCGTGCCCCTGCCACATCGGGACCGTCACTCCCCCACAAGTTCTCGGCAGGGTCTGGGATATCTCCGTTTTGTATGGCCATTGCGCGGGCTTTCTCGCGGATCTTGAGGATCTCAGAGACGAGCAGAGCTCGAGAAGATGAGAAGGAAAAGAAGGAGGCGGACACTGCGGGTTTCTGGGGTCAGTAAGGAGCCGGGTGGCAAAGAGTGATACCCACGGAAGAAGGTAAGTGCGAGGGCATTTCGAGAAGGAGGCGTTGGTTTGAATCGCTTCACCAGATACGCTGCAGTTGCTCGTTAGCTGTCAATCGCTGGCCACCTCTAGACAGACGTACTCAAGATTCCACCCCCAACCAATCCCCCAAACATACCCCTCTCCGTACACTTTCTCGTGAGAGTGCGGTAGTCTTCCATAGTCATGATGCTCGACGCCTTGCCCAAGTCGATAGTCTCCTTCTCTCCAGAGCGTTGATCGAAGATGACGAGTTTGGGCGAGTTGGGCTGGAATGAGCGGTCATTTGGGTCTTTCTTCTGGGGCTGGGAAGGGGCGAAAGAGCCATCGTCAATGGGGGCGGCGGAGATGTCGGCTTCGGGGAGGACCATTGAGGGGAAAGTATAGGGTGATCTAGAAAGATGGTGATGAAAGAGATACATGGAATTTGGTGACGTCGTTCAATCGGTAGCGGCGGCCGCCGGCAATGGACGCGACGCGACGCTATCTCTGTGCTGTCTATAGCTGGTCTATAACATGGATGGCTCAATGTTGGCCACAAGATCTGCTAGCTGGGGGCATGAGGTATGCTCTTTGAGAGCAGTGGCTTGATGTGTTTCCGCTCCGCGGGAGTGCTGCATACTGATGCTCGGTCGTTTCCGCATGTATCCCGCCCCCGGCGCGACTCGCCTGAACTGCGTCATTCTAACAACTCTTGGCATATTCAATGATTTTCCTAGGTGGCAGTGTCTATACTACCTGACAATGTCCCAATATCACAATAAATGGTTTGAGAAGGCGTACTTGGAATCACCAGTATTACAAGGCAAGAAGATATATCAAGGTGGTAATATCGGGACGTACAAAAAATGCTGCAGCCTTGAACGACCGAAGCTGTACTTGACCTTCATGGACGAGGATGGCAGAAGGGTATGTGTATCGATATTCAGTACGAAGAAGCCATAGCTGATGAGACTACAATGCCAGCTGTCGCGAGTGCGGTTGATCAAAGCATGGGCTTGTGCAGCTCAGAAGACACACTTCTTCCAGGGTCTGATGAGGCGATTGATCAGACTGAAAGAGGATGGAGAGCCGATCCCAATATGCCCTGCATCTCAACAAGAGGTCATCGACAGGTATATTGAAGTGAGTACTGTGGCGTCGCGTGTGCAGAAAACAATCGATGATGACGGTTGTAAGACAGCGCATGTCCTTCGTGAGTCGGCGGATTAGCGTGATATACTCATGCTTCCAGGGAAGACGATGCCCTCATCATGAGTAGAGCTGACGGTAATCCTTGATGCTAGGTGAGCTTGCTGGCGCGATGGTCGCGCTCTCTTGGAGGGAGCGGAATAGCTACGTTCAAGACTGCTGGAAGCCTGCTGCAGGTCCCATCGAATTATCCATCAGGCCCGAAATCAAAAGGTTCGCCGATATGAGAACGATTGACGCATTATGTGCCATATGGATACCCTCGCTGTTCATCAGTGTCGCCCATGTCACTCTCAGCGATCACCGCGCTGGCCTGTCAGACAGGTGGCTTGACATCTGGGATCGCCTTCAACCGTCGGAAGGTTATGAGAGGCCACTGGACATGGGGAGAATCAGCCCTGTGTTAAGTAACGTCCTAGATGAGGAAGATTCATATCTAAGGTTTGTTGACAAGTACGGGCGAGCCACTATTTGGGATAGGAGCTACGACCGATCCTCACATTCAGATAAATCTGAGGATCGCATACTATCCCGTTGCAGTTCAAACAGCTCTTCCGTTCTGACTTTGGTCGACGGCTCGACGACTTGCCCACTACACCCATTACACCATGAGTGTATATTGTCACATAGGCCTGGCTCTGCCTTCCGACCCCCCCATCGTTATCGTCTTGCAGGTATCAGGCCCAGTCTCTGCCATCCCTTTACCGAAGACACCGTTCACGTTGGCTATCGTCTTGGACTACTGGCTTCCATACCTCCCACCGAGGTGATGAACAATTATCGTAAACGGTACGATAGTATATATAACAAGTAGTAGCGTGCATAGATCGTAGGCAGCCTCGTGATCCCACGTATGTACTTGCTACAGACCCCTCATGGACAAGCGAAGAGAGTTCAGACGTTGGCGGGACGATGCAAGAGCTGGGGACGCGTCAAACCAATATCTCTCTCCCATTGTGAGATCAGCTGGTTGATCTGACGCATGCAGCCGGACGCATATCCTACAGCTAGAATTTCTGTGGTCAGCCAACTGTCCAGTGTCAAGTGCGAAACGGAGGGTGCGGGTACTTCTTCAACTGAAAATGACGTGACGACGCGACGCGACGCGACCGCGACGCGACCTTTACTGATGACAGATCGAGAGCGCTGAACTGTGTGAAGCATGCACTCGGTACGCCATCTTGCCCTAGTCAGATCGTGTCTGTACTACTTGTCCATTGTATCGCAGGAGGCGCATCGCGACACCGACAGGGCCCAACTCCCACGACTGACTTTGCTCTCTGCCCGCTCCCATACACTACCCTCAATAACCAGATCGGCAGTCCAGATCTATTCGCATGTCAGAGTATACTGTTATAGTCTGTCGGTGCATCCGGTCCCGTAGAATGTGGATGCTATTGGCCCTTCTTCTCCGATCTTCCGGTGCGATTTTCCTTGCCAGCATGCCCTCACCGGCTAGAGTGGGGGCCTTGCCCGGCTCTCGGTCTCACACATGTCCCCCTTCTGATCCCTCTTTTCTTCTCGTTCTTCGCCCCTCTCCTTATCCCCCACCCCTCCCGCCCTTCACATCCCAATACCCCAAGCCAGAACAACAATTGCACCGCAACCAAAATGTCTGTTCCCTACACCGCGTCATCTCCCGACCTCCCAGAAACTCTTCTAGCCACTTTGACACACCTTTTGTCCGACTCTCCCCCTCTGCCTCCCTTGCCCGAGATCCTCACCCGCAACAGCTTGGCCACTTACCTGGAAGCTACGGACCGCAAACATGAAACTGTACAACGTCAACTCGCTGCGCTCGACAGGCGTCGGCAAGAAATCAGAAGCTTTGTTGAACAACACTTCCAAGACCCTGCCTCAAGCACGAGTGGTGGTGGTCAAGGAGGGCAAGAAGAAGGTGTCACCCCGCCAAAGGTCGAGCAAGAGTCTGAAGTACACGCGCCTAGGAAGGAAGAAGAGGCCGAGGGAGGAGACGCCGGAGGAGCCGCAGGGGTCTCTGTTGACAGTCATGACAGAGCTAGCCTTGTAGAGACAGCAGCGAAAGTGCCAAAGGACGACAACCACGCCACGGGAGCCGTGGACGATCATCACGGGGATCAGAACACCTCCTCAAGATCAAGGAACGGCTCTCCTCAAACTGTCAACCCCCTCGCCGACAACCAGATTCACCGTTTGCAAGAGACGGATACGGCTCCGCGCACGCCACCCCAGAACAAGGATCTCCAATCCACACATCCTGATTTCGATTACCATCTTGTGGGCACAAGCTTAGCTAACGCCAATAGTCCCTGGACTCGCTCGGTGATCGCCCTCGAACTCGCCTATGAAGAACTCAAGATAGCTACCAAAGCTCCGGCCCCAGAAGGATCCGACAGAAACGCCGCTGCAGTATCAGAGCTCGTGCGTTTTGAGGAGAAGCTCTCGGAGCTTGTCAAACAAGAGAGAAAGAAATTCAAAGAGACTGCTGGTGCGGCGCGTACTCGTGCAGACGTGTGGCTATTTGTTGCGACAAGTGAGTCATCATCAGTGCTTGGATAGAATAAAGCTGACCTGCTCCTACTAGCCGCGCCGCAAGTAACGACAATGACACTCAGTATTGTCAACAACGCCCTCATCCTCCGCGGGTACGTCCCTTCGGGCTTATTTTACGGGCTGCTGCTGATAGAACGTGATTCAGCCACTCTCCTACGTGGATACAAATCCCGTTAGGGGTGGCCTCATTGGCGTCTCTCCCGGCTGCATATTTTGCGCTGACCGGTAGAGACATTAAGTTTTCAAAGACTTTACGGCAAGTGAGATTTGGGCTGATGATGCTGACATTGTTGGCAGTGACCATCCTTGACTGGGCGAGTACTTGCTCATCGGAAGCTGCAGTATTACGGCTAATAATTATGTCAGGTTGTTTTCAAGAAGCTCACCTAGTAGTTGCGACCTTCAACTAGACTTCTGTGACCATCGAGCTTTGGTAAGTATTTGTTTCGAATGGGGCTGGATGGTTGCTGATGGGTATGGGTAGAAGAGGGAGGTGTCGGAGAGGAAAAATAGAATGTCAGTGACCAAGAAGATGACTGCAGATGTCGAGAAGAGCACCGAAGACGATAAGTCGGCTTGGTATATCCAGAGGAATACACTCTAACAGTCTTCAGTCCGCACTCGTACCTCCACCCTGACAACCGACCTCGCACCTCCCTCTGACGCCAACGAATACTCCACCGCCTCTTATCTGCAGGTATCAGCCCTCTCCAATGAGATAGCCTCGCTCGACTCTGAGAGGCTTGATCTGCAGCCAAAGATCCACAAGCTGCGCGCCTTCCATATCCAGATGTTGGACAGTCTCTTCCCGATCCAAAACCTCGACCCTTCCATCCTGCTATACACAATAGTCGGCGTACCACTGCCCATACCCGCAAACCCCAAAGACCCCGCCCCGCCTCTCACACTCCCAAACCACAAATCGACGAACACACAACATCCTCTGCCCTCGCCCTCTCTGCTCACCTTGTGCAGCTTTTGGCAAACCTCTCTTCTCTTCCAGGTGGGGAGCTGTCCTATCCAATTACTTGTGCGGGGAGCAAGAGTGCGGTGAGGGATGTGGTCAGTGTGATGCAGGGGGCGAGGAACTTTCCATTCGGGGAGTGGAGAGGTATAGGTATGAGTATGGGTGTCACGTGGCTGTCGCCACTTGACCAAACACCCGAGCCAAACACCCGAACCTCCACCTCCCACGTCCGCGTCGAGCCCACATCTTGCCACCATCTGACTATAACATCCATCCATCTACCTCCGCGGCCGAGCTATACCAGCACCGCCTTCGAGATCAAACCTTCACGGGCAAGAATGGAAATACGCGGAGATAGAGAGAGCAAACCCATTCCACCACTTTCGAGAACATTCTTTCGCCACCAGGTTGGCCGATGTAGTTGATTCTAGAGGTTTCGACGGAGGATACGATGAGTAAGCAGACTTGAGGTGCCAGGGTATATAAGGACGTGTCTCCATAGCTGTAGATACTTCGTCGATCCACTATTGTTGTCTTCTCTAGTACACACTTTTCTCTCTCGCTCAACACACTCGTACAAACGCTATCTTCCTTCGGCATTGGTCTGGCCACTCACTTCGAGTTCTCAGACCATTTCGTCTCTACCCCTCGGCGAGCTCTGAAGGCATAGCCTAAGGAAGGTAGCCCCTTGACAATGGGGTGTTTTTGTTGAATAAGGATATCGAGATGGTATGTCAGTTCTCTCTTCTTCGTGGGGGTATGCTAATGGAATATCATAGTTGATGCAAGAAGCGAATATCCGGCTGTTGGACCTCCGCCAAACTTTACCTAATCTCAAGACTTTGCTACTCACGCTGTCATCCCGTCCTACATCCCAGCACCACACCGGCTGCCGTCTACGCTTGGGAACAGATTAGGAGGCCATTCAAGGTCCAGCACATCCATATTTGCCGGCGCATCGCGAGAAACCTCAGGCAATTGGGCTACTGGCAACACATTCCCAGGCGGACCAGGTAGCTGGGGCATATCCCCTGCGAGCTCTACAGGCGTCGGAGGAGGCAGAGAGAGTCCGCTGTCGTTTACTGCGAAAGCCCATCCGGCTTCGAGGGGTGGGTATGCTGGAAGGCCGCTGGCAAAAACGGGTCTGAAGAGGAGACAGCCGATGTTGAGAAAAGCTACGAGTGAGGTGGATCTGGGAAGCTCGAGGAGTGAGGGGGAGGTAGAAGGGAGTGGGAGCTAGGAGGAGGGGGAGGAGAAGAGTGTAGGGGGCTGGCTGAAGAGGCATTTCCGGAAGAGTTGCAGCTTGAATATGAAAGATGACCGGATGTCTGATGATGAATGATGTTTGCGTGCTCCTAGCACTTCTACTACCTCGTTGCACCTGATGAAGCATAAGGATCGACCATCTCACCCTCCCCCGGTCCCGGCACATCCCCTTCAAACTGTTCCCTCGGCTGATTACTTTCTTGCGCCCACTTGGCTCGATCTGACGAGACTCCCAATCTAGCCCGGGCAAGCTCCTCGCGTATTGCGCCAGACGGTCTCCCAGATTGTCCTGTGGCGTACCCCCTCGGCCCTGGATTGTCCACAAGACTTGGATCAGGGGCAGTTGCTTGGGGGATCGGCGGTAGGTTTCTCGGTAAATCGCCCATACCTCGTGCCCCTGCCACATTGGGACCGTCACTCCCCCACAATTTCTCGGTAGGGTCTGGGATATCGCCGTTTTGTATGGCCATTGCGCGGGCTTTCTCGCGAATCTTGAGAAATCTCAGATACGAGCAGAGCTCGAGAAGATGAGAAGGAAAAGAAGGAGGCGGGCACTGCGAGTTTCTGGGGTCAGTAAGGAGCCGGATGGCAAAGGGTGATACCCACGGAAGAAGGTAAGTGCAAGGGCGTTTCGAGAAGGAGGTGTTGGTTTGGATCGCTTCACCAGATACGCTGCCGTCGCTCGTTAGCTGTCGATCGCTGGCCACCTCTGGACGGACGTACTCAAGATCCCACCCCCAACCAATCCCCCAAACATACCCTTCTCAGTCCACTTTCTCGTGAGGTTGCGGTAGTCTCCATAGTCATGATGCTCGACGCCTTGTCCAAGTCGATGGTCTCCTTCTAGCCAGAGCGCTGGTTGAAGATAACGAGTTTGGACGAGTTGGGCTGGAATGAGCCGTCATTTAGGTCTTTCGTCTGGGGCTGGGAAGGGGCGAAGGAGCCTTCGTCAACGGGGGAGGCGGAATTGTCGGCTTCGGGGAGGACCATTGCAAGGAAAGGACAGAGGAGGAAGCAGAAGAGACTGGGGGGGTAGTGTGACCAGCTGAACACGACCCTCGAGCCAGACGACGAGTACAAGTCAACGTAGAGCTGCATCTCAGACGCAAGAGAAGTAGCGGGAGACAGGCGAATATCCGGGAAAGCTGCCCGATTGATATTCCAAAGCAGAGTTCCGGCGAAATAGGAAGAGAGTACCCATGTACAGGATGACAGGCTAGAAACTTCTGGTGAGAAGGATACACCCAAGGGCGAACAGTGGACAATGAATAGGGTAGTGGAACAGGTTCACAGGAGCGGGGAATGGACTGCGCGGGCCTCCTGAGCCGACCCCGTAGCGCTCGTGCCCTAGACAGAGTGCTCCAACATAGCCGTAGACGGGTCATAGGGTCGAGAGGGGCGAGTGGAATGGCTGGATGTTCGTGGTGAGGGGAAGCAGTCTGGAAGCAGTGGATGAGCATCGCGGTTCCCACAGCACGTTGTGATGTTTGGTGATTGCTTGCGCCTGCCGATCTGAAGCTGCCTCTTTTTACTCTTTCCTCTTTCCCCATTGCATCTATCCGGCTTTCAACACCAGCAGCTGTGATCGCTTTGTACAGCCCCTTACGCTCAACAGCCACACAAAGCTTTCGGCGCCCGACGCCCGGCGTGCTCCGTTTCCGCCTCCACCTTCGTGCGCCAACAGCGATTCATTCTCCCGTTGCCATTCTCCTCTTCATCTCGCATCCCACCATGCCCGCCCACACCCCCATCCCAGACATCCCCGGCGAGCGCCTCCAGAACCCCGAAACCAAATACCACCTCGCCTCCCGCGTATCCCAGCTATGCGGCCTCAATTCCCCCGACAAATTCCCGGGGTCGCAGCCCGTCAGCTTTTCCACTGCTTCCTTGGACTTGCTGGAGAAGAAAGACTTTTGGGTGTGTGAGAAGAGTGATGGAGTGAGGGTGTTGGTGTTTATCGTCATCAATGGGTTCTCGGGGGTGCAGGAGACGTGGTTGGTGAGTGTAGCCGTGCTTTCATCGAGGAGGTGCTCATGAGGCAGATCGACCGAAAGCAAGAGTTCTACAATGTCAAAGGATTGATGTTTCCTAAATGGGATGACCGCAGACAACCACTTGGAGAGTCCATCCTTGATGGAGAGCTGGTGATAGATGTCGACCCAGTGACCAACAAGGCAAGTCTTCATCTTTGGCGATAAGCGTGTCTTTCTGACTTTCGTGTAGCAAAGACTGAGATTTTACGGATTTGACTGCCTGGTACTAAACGGTGAGAATATCATGAGCAAGAATCTAGAAAAGCGTTATGCGGTACGTTTCGTAGTCTAACGATGCGCCCGTGCTGACAGCAATTAAGCGTCTACGTGACTGGGTGGTCGTGCCCCTCGAGAAGCATATCCGTGATAATCCCGAGGCTAAGCAGTATCTGCCCTTCGAGTAAGTCTATTCCCGATTTGCCTTCTTCAAATGCTGATAGAATGATGAAGGGTCCTGGCGAAGCGCGAAGATCTGTCGTATCATCTCAAATATGTCATGAAAGAGCACATCCCAAAGCTCCAACACGGACATGACGGTCTAATATTCACTTGCGTCCAGACGCCTTATATCATGGGGACCGACGAGAATATGTGGGTGGCTCTCTTTTATCCCCAAGAAGATGACTGACTTTGACGGAGCTTGAAATGGAAACCGCCCTCTGAAAACTCGATCGACTTTAGGATTGAGCTCCGCTTCCCACCCATACATGACTCGGATGAGCCAGACTACCATGCCAAACCAGAATTCTGTCTGCATACGTGGCTTGGAAGCGAGAGATATGAGTTTTTCGATTTCATGGAAATGACGGATGAAGAGTGGGAAAGGTGCGTGTCTTCTTGTTCACCAAAGGCTGTCGTGCTGACTTGATATCAGCTGGAAGGAATCTGGAAAGCCACTGGATGATCGGATAGTAGAAGTGACCTGGGACGGGGCCATGCAAGCCTGGCGGATGATGCGAATCAGAGACGACAAGCTGCATGGGAACCACAAGAGTATCGTGGAGAAGATCCTGGTCAGCATCAATGATGGTGTGGAGATTGAAGAAGTGAGCATCTCTCCAGCATGTTGGGCTTGGCATACTGACCGAGGTCAAGCTGTACGCCAGATCGGATGCTATCAAATCAGCGTGGAAGTCCCGCGCTGCTCATCCACAAACACCCGCCGTACAGCGCGCTCCTCCTCCTCAACAGCATCAGCCCCATGGACATGGGTACGGAGGAGGTGCTGGAGATTATGGGGGAGGCGATCATGCAGGCGGATATGGGCAAGGGCATGGGTATGGACAGGGGCAGGCGCCTCAGGGAGTTGTCGCTGGTTTGAAGCGATGATTGGACGTATAGAGAACGAATGAGCAATCTCACAAAATGTTATTTGAAAGATGCGATACATTATAGATGCACGAGCTATGGAGAACGTGGTTCTTATGTATAAGTCAAGAAACGACCATGAGATGACGCAGAATTGACAAGAAGCGCGCGTCGCATATCTGTGGCCGTCTGTCGAATGCCGGGACTTATCCATGCACCTTGAAACTGCGCTTCCCCGTCAAGGATGCCGTGTCAAGAAGCATTGCGATGCATAGCCCGACATAATGGAAAGGTGAAAAGAGATGGAGAATAGACAGCTACCGCCACTGGGTTCTATCGCCGCAAACTCCGCCCTTGCTGGTGAGCGCGTCTTTCAGTTGCAGCAACAGCCAAGTCGATAGATCCTCCCTCGCCCCCATACCCATACCCCTCAAGCGATACCCCGCTCTCCTACAGCACCTCGGACACGCCACGGGAAAGTCTTGAAAGCCATCCGGCACCATGTTCGGCGGAACTTCTTCATGGGGTCAAAATAATCAACAAAATCAACAGCAGCAGGGAGGTGGCCTTTTCGGCGGCGGCGGCACAGGAGGTGGATTCGGACAGCAGAACAACACTGGAGGTGAGTCTTGGGACCCTTGCGAATGGTGCTGGGGATGCATAGGACGATTGGCCGGGTGGTCGGAGGGTTGCAATGAAGGGAGTGTGCAGCTGACTTTGATGCCAGGATTCGGCCAGCAAGCCAATACCGGCGGTGGCTTTGGACAGCCTGCTCAGAATACAGGGAGTGTCTTTGGCGGAGGTGCCGCAACGACCAACACTGGTGGATTTGGCAAGTGTCTCCTTGAGCGGTAGAGACCAGAGACTGACCGTGAAAGCAGGCGGATTTGGAGGTGCGAATGCTACACAGCCAACCAACACTTTTGGAGCGAGGCCAGCATTTGGAGCAACAGGATCCACTTTTGGCCAGCCTGCTGCGAATAGTGAGTGGACGCATTTGGAGATGAGTGGGTGGCATGCTGACGAGGACGAGCAGCTGGCGGCGGAGGTCTGTTTGGTAGCAACAACACCACCAACACTGGATTCGGAGCTCCCGCCAACAACACTGGAGGTGGTCTCTTTGGCGCCAAACCTACCACTTCTACCTTTGGCTCTGGCGCAACATCCAATCTCTTCGGGGCCAAGCCCGCTACCGGGTTTGGCGCTGCCCCAGCTGGGCAAGATGGCTTGAAGGGCCCTAACGAGCTTCAACAATACCGCACCGATGTCCCCCCTCCTCCTCCTCCCTCTACCGGCACAGCCAACCCTGCCTACTACCCCACTTGGCAAGCCGATCCTTCCACCAACACTTCTCTCGGCAAAGAGGGACCTCCCCATCTGTTCCATTCCGTCTCTGCCATGTTCCCTTACCGAGGTGCAAGTTGGGAAGAATTGAGGGCGCTGGATTACCAGCAAGGAAGGAAGGAAGCTACACCTCAGCAACAACAGCAGCAGAATGCTTTCGGGGCCTCCTCAGGAGGCTTTGGGCAACAGCCTGCTGCTACTGGCTTTGGTGCTCAGCCTGCCGCCACAGGGTTCGGCGCTCAACCTGCTGCAACTGGGTTTGGCGCCAAGCCGGCGGGGACTGGCCTGTTTGGCTCTTCCGCGCCCTCCACTGGCTTTGGGTCTACCCCTGCAGCCGGAGGCGGGCTTTTCGGCCAATCTCAGCCTCAACAACAAAACCAAGGCTCATCCCTTTTCGGAGGGCAGAGCAACACCACCACGGGCGGTGGTCTTTTCGGTCAGTCTCAGCCCCAACAACAAAATACAGGAGGAGGTCTCTTTGGAAGCTCTACAAACAACTCTAGCCCTTTCGGAGGGCAACAAAACCAGCAGCAGCAAGGCGGGAGTACCTTTGGAGGGTTTGGACAAGCGGCCAAGCCTGCTGCGTTTGGTAGTACGGGCACTGGCGGGTTTGGTTCCGGAAGCACGGGGAGCACGTTTGGACAGCAGCCGGCGGCAAACACGGGTACCACCGGGTTCGGAGGATTTGGACAGACACAACCACAGCAACAGCAGCAACAGCCAGCGGCTGGTGGCGGTTTGTTTGGAGGCGGCGGCTTTGGTAAGTTGCTCGTTTATGATTGTGGAAAATGCGCTGACTTTTGTAGGCGCCAATGCCCAACAGCCGAGCACGGGTGGTGGTCTCTTTGGAAGCCAAAATAATCAGCAACAACAGCCTGCAGCCACCGGCTTTGGTGCTGCTCCCAAGCCTGGAGGTCTCTTTGGCAACTCCACCCCAGCCCCTGCTTCTACCGGCTTTGGCGGATTCGGTCAAACACCTGCTGCTCAGCCTGCTGCAGGTGGGGGATTGTTTGGCAATACAGGCGCTGCCCAACCTAGCACTGGCGGCGGACTCTTCGGCCAAAGCCAACCTCAACAGAATGCCCAGCAACCAGCCGCTGGCGGAGGTCTCTTTGGCAGCACAAGCACTCCCGCTGCGGGAGGAGGATTATTTGGTGCCAAACCTGCGACAACTACTCCTTCTACCGGTTTGTTTGGTTCCCAGCCTACTCAGCCTGCCCCTAGCGGTGGTGGGTTGTTTGGTAACGCTGGCGCTTCTACTGGCGGCGGAGGTGGCTTGTTTGGCAGTACCAATAATAATGCTGCCGGGCAACCTGGACAGCAACAGCAATCCGGCGGTCTGTTTGGCGCAAAGCCTGCTGGCAGTGGTCTCTTTGGAAACACTGGCGCGGCTAGCACGGGTGGACTCTTTGGTCAACAACCCCAACAACAGCAGCAGCCTCAGGCTGGTTCCACCGGTGGCCTGTTCGGTAACCTCGGGCAGTCTCAGCCAGCGTCTTCGGGCTTGTTTGGTAGCACTGCCGCTCAACCCCAGCAGCAGAGCACTTTCGGAGGCGGTAGCTTGTTTGGCGGCATGGGTCAATCTACTGCCCAGCCTCAGCAGCAGCAGCAACCGTCTTTGACCGCCTCCATCGACCAGAACCCCTATGGCAACAACCCTCTTTTTGCCTACAATGGCCAAAAGCTCGAGGTGGGCTCGCAATCCAAGAAGCCTGCTCTTCCTCCTCTTACTGCTTCGTCTTACCGCCTCACGCCTTCCACGAGCAAGTCCAAGCTCAACAAACTGCGAGGCTTTGCTTCTCCTCTCACTGCTTCACAGAGCACTCCTGCTCGAGCGGGAAGCCCTCTATCAGTCAGCTCTCCTGGAAAGACAAGCTTGTTCAACTCGCCTGTTGCACCCGATAGGTACAAGGGTTTGAGCGACACTGCTCTGACCCCGAACGCCTTTGTGCCTCGACTCAACATCAAGAAGCTATCTGTTACGCCCAAACTCGGTGGCTCCCTCGGTGGCGGTGATCAACTTGAGAGTGTGCTGGGCAAGTCTGCTTTGAGGAGCTCAACCAACTCTAACCCTGGGTCGCCCGCCCCTAGGCAGGTACCACTCGTGTTCCACCCCACCGCGAACGCGACACCTCAACCCGAGTCTGTCGCTTCTCCTCGTGCCAATGGCGTTGACTCTCCGCGTCTAGCAGGATCCGAGCGGCCTCCCAAGAAGGGTGACTACTGGTGTCGACCCAAGCTTGAAAAGCTCAAACAAATGCCCACGGACGAGCTTTCTGCTCTCAGCGGCTTCACTGCTGGGCGACGCGGCTTCGGTGAAGTCACATTCTTGGAGCCTGTCGACCTCACCCGCACTCCCCTCGACGACATTCTTGGTGCCATCATCGTCGTGGACCAGTCAGAACTCTCTGTCTATCCTGATGAGTATCCTGACAAGCCCGAGATGGGTGATGGCTTGAACGTTCCTGCCAGAATCATGCTCGAAAATGTCTTTACCACCGACAAGGCCACCAAGGAGTGGGTCAGGGATCCTCAGGACGCTCGATTCCAGAAGTTCGTCAGGCGAGTCAAGGCGATCCCCGATACTGAATTCGTCAGCTACACCGATGACGGTACTTGGACATTCCGAGTCGAACACTTTACCACTTATGGTATCGGTGACAGCGATGAGGACGAGAGTGTCGCCAGCGGAAGCAATAGTGCTCGTGACTCCAGCCTGTCGCCTTCTGGAAGCGAGGACGATGAGGATATGATGCCCCCAGTCAAGTCTATCCGAGATCTGGAGGGTCAGCATGACTCTGGCCTTTCAGAGGACGATTTCACTGGCGAATCCATCGCAGATGACTTTGATGGGGATTTGACCGATATGGACACAAGTGGCGAGTTTGACTTGCCCTCTCACCCCTCTATCGAAATCCCACTCAAGTCGCATCTCGGTCCCGAGGGCATGCGCAATCTCAAGGAAATGCAAAGCTCTTTCTTTGGCCCGTCCGCCCCAACAATGAGACCAGCGAGAGAGCTGGCGGGGTCGAGAAAGCGGGGAGCAGAGCAGGGTTCGTTTTTTCGTGAAGCCGAAGAGGAAAATATGATGCTTGACAAGCGGGCTGTCAAGGTAAATATCCCATGAAAGTGTTGTGCAAGCTTCTAACGATGATCGCAGCGGACCTCTTTCGGCGAACCCCCAGTAAGCCTGCCTATAATCCGACAAAAGAGGAAGTATGCGCGAGTTGCCGTGGATGAAAGTATCGAGAAGGGGAAAGAAGGAGTCAAGGTGGATGCGGGGCTAGCGCTGGGACGATCATGGAGGTGCTCGTGGGGGCCGAATGGAGAGTTGGTGCACCTTGGAAAGATATGTGGACCCAGGGCAAAGACGTGAGCCCTTACATCGACGTGGTCACCCCCTCATACTGATGCGTGCTCTCAGATTTTGCAACCCTGATGCCGTCGTAAACATCGAAAAGGTTGAAACTCTGGCGGAATCCGTCAATGTCGAAAAATCAAAAGCTGAGCGGTTGCTAGCACTGCATCTCGAGACAAGTCTTGTCGAACAGATTGAAGGTGTTCCTTTTGCTATAGTCAACCCTGACATCCGCTTCGGCGACTTCGCTTCTCGATTCGACGCTGGCGATAGGTCACACGAAGCCAACGTCTTCCGTCTTGGAGTTGCTCTTTTCGACGAGATCGACCTCCGGCTTCCAGAGGACTCGTCCGAGGAACTTGTGCATCGGATTACTTCCCTTCGACGAAAACTCGCTCTTTCCAAATGGCTTGAAGACGCGGTGGCTTCTTCGGTCGACTCTGATTTGATAACCAACAGCGACAGTCGACCCAACAAACTATTCACTCTTCTGAGTGGCCACCAGGTTGAGCGAGCTGTTGAAACTGCTCTGGAAGGTGGAGATATGAGGCTGGCAACATTGATCTCTCAATCAGGCGGGCAACAAACGTTCAAAGACGAGCTTTTGCTTCAACTCGAAGATTGGGAAAATCACAAAGTCAACCCATTCATCGCCGCTGGTTACCGCAGAATATATGCTCTTCTTGCTGGTATCACAGATGTCTTGGCGGGTTCACCGCCCGGGCGAGTTTCGGAGAAATGGCCGCAAATTTTGATTGCAGAGGGTCTTGATTGGAAAAGGGCCTTTGGTCTTCACCTCTGGTACGGCATGCCCTTTGAAAACACCATCAGCGACGTTGTCAGCTCGTTCGCCAGCTCCCTCTCTGCTGTGAACCCTCCAGCAAAGCCTCTCCCTCCTCACCTCGAGAAGCCTTCCGAAGGTGTCAGATCATGGACGCTCCCTACGGAGCCGACGGATGTCATCTACAACTTGCTTCAGCTGTACTCCGATGACGCAGTCTCTCTCGATCAGACCTTGCGGTCAAGAGATACTTCTTCTAGCCCGTTCGACGTTCGGTTGGCTTGGCATCTCTATATCCTCCTTGCCCGGGTTTTCGGCAGAAGAGACTTTGAAGATCGGGAAGAAGAATATAGTGCGAGTGCAGACCGATTAACTGCGGGATACGCTGCGCAGCTGGAAGAAAGCGGAGAATGGAAACTTGCTGCATTCGTCTTGCTTCACCTCGAGACCGTAGAAGGTCGCGAAAAGTCGCTCCGCGCTCTTCTCAACCGACACCCAGATGTCACCGCAGACGACACGTCGTTCCTTGTTGAGACACTTCGTATCCCAGCCGAGTGGATTCACGCGGCCCGTGCTGCTGCTTTCACATCGTCTGGCGACGCTTGGAAAGAGTATCACGCTCTTCTCGAAGCGAGGCTGTTCGATCGGGCACATCGAGTGCTGCTTGAACGGCTTGCACCTGAAGCAATCATCAGGGACGATAGAGCCCTCTTGAAGAAGTTGTGTCTGAAATTGGAAGGCAAGGGCGTGGCTGGATGGGAGTTTGGAGGAAAGGTGGGTTTCTTCTTCTCTCTGGATGACTGACCGCTGACTTGACTCAGCTTTTCTTGGAATGGAACGAGATCTCCGAAGACACCGCTCCCCTTCTTATGTCTGTCTTGCGATCAGGCTCCCGACCCGACCCTCGACAAGTCGCGGAATTGAATGAACGCGCACAGGTACTTCCTCGACTATTGCAACTGCTACCATCTCTGTTTTCGGATAGAAACGATGTACAGCAGGTGGCCGGTTTGAGTGAAATATTGAGCCCCCTGGCTGATCTAGCGTCTGCGTTGAGCGGAGCCGGATACGTGAGTATCGTCCCAGACTTGATCTGCACAGCACTGACAGGCAATACAGATCGCAAAGCAACCGGTCTCGGTGAATCTTGTAGACGAGGATAGGCTTCATTTGTTGCGAGAGTCGGCGTTCGAGGCATTTAACAGAACACTGGCCGAGGGGGCATGAGGAGGATGGGAGTAAGAGTGGATGGTGTTCGCCGTACGTAGTAGAGTAGAACATCTTTTGGATTTTCGCTGTCAATTATAAACACCTGTCACAGAGCGGCACATGATCACGACCACATGCATTCTCTTGAAATACTCAAATGGCGTCGAGAATCGCTGCCGCCTCTTTAACACTCTACAGTATCGCCGTCAAACTGCAGTGCTATGGCAGTGCCGAGGCTGCACTGATACGGATGATGGATGCCGGGTAGTACGTACGCATTTATACTTGTACACGTATAGTCGGCCTAGCATGTCTTCTTGCGCTTTTGTTGTTCGGTTCAAACCTTATTCAGCTTATCTCCGAGTTCTTTGGGCCTTCTGTGCCTTTGCGGGATGCCTGCAGTCTTCTGATGAGATGACTGATTCCAGCAAGCTGATAAGGGCTTCGAGATCTTCAACATCTTCAAGATCCGCGCAGTCGAAGCAACAAGATTTAGGGAGATCTAAAGGTATATTTAGCGAGTCTGCACGCGAAAGATCTACATCAAATACTGACGGCGCCAGTTCCTCATCTGCTAGGAAGATGCCGGATGCGTGCAAGCAGCCCTATAAAGAGCGGAAGGTATAATGAATGACATCCCATCACATTCCTTTGAAATACCATACCAGCATGAGTCCAACAACGACGAACCATCATACCCTCCTACCAATCACCTTCTCGACCTCACCTCTCGCGCGCACGCCGAAGTGGACGTATTTTAGAAGCCGCCGATCCAAGACTGCTCTGCTCTGCACAGCTCTACTGGTCACCGCCGTCATGACTCTCCTCGTGGTGCCTCTCCCATCCCACAACGAACGACTGAATGATATTTCGACGCTGGTGAACGCCAATCTCCCCGAGTGGAGACCCTTTACTGTGCTGCGTGGGGGGGAGCCTAGAGGTTGCGCTGGATGGAATCCGGCCAAGCCCGAGTCCGAAGATCCAGTTGGATGCCTGAAAGCGAGGCAGTATGGACAGACTCAGAGGGTGTTGGAGAGAGAGATCGCACATGAACCGTACGTCTTCTGAATTGATCTTTCCGCTGTGGCAATTGTCTAACAGGTATCTCACAGAATGCATTGGCGCTGCACTATTGAGCATAATCTGGATACCCTCAAAAACATGAGCAAATGTTTCTTGCCAGTATCTGACCCCAATTTTACCCCATGCCCTGAGAGGCCTCTCGTCATATCCGGCTGGTGGTATACTGCGGTAGTCCTAGCAGGAGGCACTTCCGGCGAAACTATTTGGCAACGGTCTATCGTGAGTTCTTTCGCTTCTGAATAGCCGATGAAGCTGATAATGGGGTGCTTTGTAGGTCGACCGGTTGGAAAAGATGGGTTACTTCTGGCTCGCATTCGGCCCTTACGAGAAGTGGATTCAAGTCGCGGAAATGATGCCAGACGTCTATAAGACTCTTTGGGGCGCAGACACCGAGGTTGTTGCATGCGCTACGGATCCTCGTTGTGTAGCCAAAGAACATTACGTTCCCCCGGAGGGTTCCGAGGACCTCTCAATTGGTGTCCCGGATGAAGAGAGAGGAGTGATTCCTCTTTGGGCTCTGAACGTCGTGGATTATGTGCGCGCTTTTCCTCTGACTGTCAACGTAAGATACAGGCTGGCATTTCTCTAGTGGGGAGCAACACCTAAGAGAGTGTCAAACTCGGACTACTGGTGGGGCGTGACGAAAGAAAGGGAATGGAGCTACCAACCACTTGGCCAGGAATGGATAGCGAGTAGGTCAAAGCTGGGGTGTCCGGTGTAGGATTTATGCTTACAGCCTCTTCTCCAGACCCTGGCCTCTTCCTGGGGGACACTTCCATTTGCCATACTCGCTAGAGGATTCTTGTCTCGCTCTTCCGATGATGCCTTTTGAAGAGCGAAACGATTCGGCCTTGATTCTCGCAAAACGATCTTGTAAGTCGCTTGCCTCTGTAACTCCTTAAGGACCACCTGCTTATGAGAATTGACAGCATACTTCACCTCTGACAGAGTCACACCTCCGGAACACTTGACAAATCTCACCCGCGTCGACGGTATTGACCTCATCTCTACAGCTGATATAGAAGAGGACAAACCTATGCCTGAGGGGTTGGCAAGCATCGGCAAACAAACAGTCGAGGATTACAATAAGCTCGTTGGTAGTGTCAAGGCTATGATCGGTATCGGTCGCCCACACATCAGCCCCAGTGTCTATGTATCATTGTGAGTGATCAGTTCTCGCATACTTCCCAATGTCAGAAGGTTGGAGCTGACGCCTTTGTTAACAGATGCCAAGGAACGCCTGTTGTCCTTCCAACCTTTCGCCAGGAGCAGCCCTCGGAAGAGTGGCAGCATTACTCGCTCTCGTTCTCCCAACACGGTCCGGCAATCCGTCTCGGCGAGCCATACGTTTACTCGTACCACTACCGAAACTACACCCAGTTGGTCGAGGCCGTCGACAACGCCATGTCGACGCCTATCGATCGGTACATTCCGGAGGATATGCGAGTGGAGTATGTTAACAAGAAGCTGAAAGAGTACATGGAAAGAGACCTGGAAGGGATGATGAGAAAGAAGGTGAAGGAGAACCAGGGAAAGGTACCGGCGTTGATGAAGGGACCAAGGGAAAGATGTTTCGAGTTGGGAAGGTGCCCAGCCACCTTTGCAGCGGGAAGGATTCCCAATGCCCTCGGCAGAGGCGTGTAGGGTACAAGCTCTCTTTTGGTTATGTTATATAGAACATGAGGGGATGCCCGCATAATGTACTTTAGCCCTACTCATAACTGTGTGACACGTTTCTCGTCCAAGAGACCCTCATGTAGATCAACAATTGCACGTTTTTCTTACTCTCAACAGATCTATAGCTTCGATATCGCAGAATGAAGAAGAGGCAAGCAAGCAGTGTCGAAGCAGGAAGGGGCAACAAAAAGTCAAAAAAAAGCCTCCGGCGGGGCTCGAACCCGCAACCGCACGATTAACTGATGGCCCGTAACCGGTTCAAGCAGACTCGTAAGAGTCGTGCGCGCTACCGATTGCGCCACGGGGGCTACTATATTTATGTTAGTTTCATGTGAAATAGATCACAATTACTTCTGTATCTGTCGATGTTGCAGCCATTTTCTCGAGTTTGGGCATTGCTTGAGGCTCTCTACAATTGTTTCTCTTTTCGGGAGGCCGAGACTTGGGGGTCTCTTGTGATGTGCATTGATCGGTATGTCCCGTCCAACGGAGGTCGCTGCCGCTGTCGTTCAAGCCAACGTCTTTGTCCAAGAGCTGCCTTGCAACACCGACAATGAGTGCCCGCTTCCGACTTAATCTTCGATTGCAGACGGTCACAATCCAACATGAATAGCATGGCCAATATTCAAGATTCAACAAATGCCTTAGATAGATCCCTTGCCCTCGGAAACATCCACCTTCTCCTTGCTCTGCCCTTTGATTTTCTCAATCAACGCACGCACACCTTCCTCACCTCGCACCTTGTGCACCCTCTTCTCCAAACCCTCGAGCTTCTTGAGCTCCTCGGGAAGAACGTCTCGGCGGAAGTCGAATGAGGGGAAGTCGGACGCAGAGAGGGCGAGCTCGACGGCGGACGAGAATTTGGCGGGGTGGGCAGTGGAGAGTGTGATGAAGGTGGTGTTGGGAGAGCTAATGATGGATGTCAGTGCCGAGCAAACGGAAAAAAATGACACTTACGCCTTCTTGGCCGCACGCTCCTGAGCGGCAAGACCGACAGCAGTGTGAGGGTCGACGACGTAGGGACCGTACTGAGGGAGCTGGTAGTACTTTCGGATCTCCGCAAGGGTCTGCTCGTCAGACACTCTCTCGGCCAAAAAGTCCCTTCCAGCAGCCTCCCTGACCTTCTCTCCAAGGTCAACCTTGCCGTCGGTCTTCAAGGCATTCATCCAGCCGTTCAAAGTCGCCTGCGCCTTGGTACGGTTTTCCTCAGCAGAACCCTCAGAAGCGTTGGTCTCGAGCGCGAGGTAGTAGAGGAGACGCTCAAAGTTGGAAGAAAGGAGAATATCCATAGCAGGGGAGTGGGTAGCCTTGACAGCGCTGACGGCTTGTTGGCCGTCGCTCGACCCGTTTACAGCGGCAGTCTCGGCAGCCTCACCCTTGGGAGCTTCAGCGACGTCTTCCCTCTCATATCTGCCAGTCTTGAAGAATCTCTCCAAGATGTCGTTCTCGTTGGTAGCGACCACAAGCTGCTCCATGGGGAGACCGAGCTTCTTGGCGAACCAACCGGCAAGGATATCACCAAAGTTGCCAGTGGGTACGACGAACTGGAGCTTGGCGCCTTCTTGCCTGGCAGCCTCGGGAAGCTGGAAGTAGGCGGAGAAGTAGTAGACGATCTGGGCGAGGATACGAGCCCAATTGATAGAGTTGATGGCACCAAGACGGTGCGTGGCGTTGAACTTGGCGTCGGAGAAGAGGGTCTTGACGATGCTTTGGCAGTGGTCAAAGTCGGTGTCCTGAACAGCGACACAGTGGACGTTCTCGTCGGTTACGGTAGCCATCTGAGCTTCCTGGATAGGGGAGATGCGGCCGTCGGGGTAGAGGATAAAGATGGTGATTGAGGGTTTGGAGCGGAGACCGTAGATGGCAGCACTGCAACTCTTTCAGCTCAGGTCCCTAAGAGTGGTGACCAAACTCACCTCCCAGTGTCACCACTGGTGGCACCGACAACGGTCAACTCCTCCTTGCCTTCAGTCTTGCCCGCATTTCTCCTCTCCAAAAAGTACCTGAAAAGCTCGCCCAAGAACTGGAGGGCGACATCCTTGAAGGCCCAGGTGGGGCCGTGCCAGAGCTCCAAAACGTACTCCTTCTCCCCAGTTTGCCTGATGGGGGTGGTCTTCTCAGATCGGAAAGAGCCGTAGGCGGTGTTGATGATAGACTGAAGATCCTCAGAGGGGATGACGGCGGTGGGGACAAAGAGAGAGAGGATTTCGTGGGAGAGCTCGGGGAAAGGGAGGTTGGCCCACTTGGTCTTCCAGTCCGCAGGGAGGTCGGGGATGTGAGTGGGGATGTAGAGGCTGAAGAAGGTGAGCTGAGTTCGCCATCGATCGCGCCAACTTACCCTCCATTGGGAGCGAGACCAGTGAGGACAGCCTGCACGTTGTCAGCCGGCAATCTTTCTGCTCGCTGGGGTCTCTGTACTCACGTCCTCGAAAGAAAGGGTCTCGCTGCCACCGCGGGTTGAAAAGTACCTCATTTCGGGGGCCATGCTGAATATCTTTGACTTTTTTTGCAGTTGAACAAGAGTTCGCACTTCTTACGACGACCAATAATCCGAGTCGCGGATAGTTACGTAATACAGCATGCTCGGCCGGCGGCCGGGACATGAGCCAAACAATCAACTTTCATCGCAAATTCACAAAGCTCTGACAATCCTATGCATTGATTGCGCCTCTGACTCGATCCCCCGTGATAATTGTCATACATATGTGGAAACATTAAAGTCGAAACATCAAAGTGGAAACATTAAAGATAACCTCGGACTCTCCTGCAGAAGACATGTTCACAATTCCACCCCAACTTTCCGCCGCCTGGGAAGCTCAATCATTTCACTCAACTTTCCGCCGCCTGGAGGATACATGCTAGAGCGGGTGGCATATAATTCGGAAGCTCGAATATCTCACTCAACGTTCCCCCGCCTGGCGGATACATACTAGAGCGGGTGGCATAAAGTGCGGAAGCTCAATTATTTCACTCAACTTTCCGCCGCCTGGGGGATACATACTACTCTAGAGCGAGTGGCATAAAGTGCGGAAGCTCAATTATTTCTCTTCTTCTTCTTCTCATACACCTGTGCTACATTCATTTCGAGATTCGACCCTCTCCAAAGAATCCCAAAGCCCTCGAACCCCCTCACTAAGATTACTACCCGCGACGACAATGATTCCCTTCATTGTGCACGGATAATGGCTGTCTGGACTGCTATCGCAGTTTACCAGATAGACATCATCCACCAAAACCATTTTGCTATCATGGCAGATGCCTTCTTTCACCCAGCTTTACCTATTATCCCCTTGCTGGTCGTCTACTCTATCTCTGCTCCTTCTGTCTACAAGGTTCCCGAGCTCCCCTCGGCGAGCTTTACTTCTGCTTCTTCCGCGTCTTTAGGATCGCCCGCATTCCCCTCACCCGAAGGTGGCGCTCTCGAACCCTTCCTCACATACACTGAGGATGGGGAGTTGCTGAACACTGTCGCGTCTGGACCTGGTGCTGCCAACATCATGGTTGAGCAGCTCATTCACTTGACCGGCGCCGTCGTCGTATCTTTTCTGGCTTTCTTGGGCGGAATGAAAAAGGTTCTGAATGAACACAACGATCAAGCTATGTGAGTGCCTCTGTGCTTCTGTACTTACAGAACTGAAGCTGACGATAATGGCAGAAATGAGTTCAAAGCATCATTTGCAGAAGGTTGCCGTCGGTACAAAGTCGCCGTAGAATTCTGCGGAACTCTCAAAGGCGAACTGGTCCGCACAATGACCATCCGCTATCTTCGCCTTTTCGAAGATCTCCAACCGCCGGTTCCTCCTACGCCTGAATTCGGTGTTCATGTGCCTGTAGGTCTCATTTCCATAATATCCCTTCCTCTGCTGACTCCATGCACTAGCGTCCCGCCCCGATTCGACGCGCTCTGCGTTATCATCCACCTGGGCACGTATCACTCGAGTCTGCGGTCGTCGTCAAGACCTCTTGGCCTCATGTTTTCTCGGATCGGTGGTCATTGGAAAATTCTCTTGGTCGCCCAGTGTCTCCACCTCGTCTTATTCTTCGGCCGTCTCTTCCCTCAGCTCCTGCCGCTCATCCCACCGACAAGGATCGTTCCATCACGAAGGACTCTACCAGCAACAGCACCTTGTTGGAGGCCAATCGTGAACCGTCTAGTCCAGTGAACGACCTACTTGAGCCCTCTTGCAAAGTGGAAGACCCGTCGAATCCATCACGCAGTCCTGGAGATACGATACTCATCCATGAGGCAAAAGTGAACTTGGAATGTCGGATGGAAAGGCAGGCGGCTGTGGGGCATGAACCGAAGGAGCGAGTGCACTCCATGATCAACAACACCGACACTCCTCAACAGACATCCACTGGCCCTCCCGCGGATTCTTTCTCATCAAGCGGTACTTCTACTCCGACAATTACTGACGGCAACATCAGCAACCCTGAGCTACCTTCCACTGGGAACCCACCCCCACGCCCGACAGGGGAAGGTACGCCAGAAGAAGTTGATTCGTCTACTGTGCGTATTGCCTCTGCCTTTTCACCTTTACTGACACCTGATGGGAAAGGGGCTCCAACCCTCACGCCCGATAGGAGATGACTCGACTTCTTCTCAGGCGTCACCTGATGCTGGTACTGTAAGCTTTGACGGTATCTTCGTTGAGCTTCTACTGACTTGTATCTTGCAGATGACTATCGACACTCGTACTCAAACGACTAGCACAGGTGACGTTGCTGTAATCGAAGGCCTTGAAAGAGCAACATCTGTAAGACCCCTTGTATATACACTGATCATCCGCTGACATTTCTGATCTCCTCGCAGGGGCCAGACCCCCGACACCCGACAGAGGTTGCCGCTCCTTCCACCCCCGCCCCTTCTTCTTCTTCCTCTTCCATCTCAGGTCCATCAGTGAGCTTGATTCATTAGCCAACTTCAATGTGTTCGTTAACGTGTTTCTCAGCCTAATGATGAACCGGCACACCCTGGATCATCCTCCGACCGCAACAATGTTGACGGCGGTGACGCCCCTCAAGAGTCCGCATCTTCTGGACTTCAAGCGACAGCTGCTGTTACCGAATCATCGCGTGCGCCTCCTGTGCTCGTTGCTCCTGTGTCCTATCCTGTAGGTTTTCGTCTTCCTCACTTTCAGCCGGGGCTGATAACGATGCTAGGAAGTCACCGCCATACAAAGAATGCCTGGACATTGGCCGGTGAGTCTACGTTGTTGTTGAGTGACAAGGGTGAAAGCTCAAGCTGACATCACTTGTAGATCCGTCATGACGGTACAATGTCCAGTGCTATCCATCCTCGCCGACTCCGGAGCTCTTCCCAGCGACAATCTCATCCGCCATCAGTCCACGATCTTCGCCGTTCCGCCGCCCTCCTGTCCAGCTCTCGTAGCTTTATTGATCCACGGTATGTCAACTCCCGGGACGCTCGGTCATCGTTGTTCGACCGATACACCAGTATTCCTCGGATCCTCCGTCATGATAATAGTCGTGCATCGAGGCTCGGGCCCCACAATATGGAGAACGTACAGCCAGAGCCTGTGGACGAAGCCATCGATGTACTAACAGAGCCGCCGCGTCAAATTGTCCAACCACCGTCGTATGAGAGATTCGACCCCAACCCGGCGCCTCCATACTTTGGTTATCCAGAGGGACATCCAGACCCGGATCTACCTCCTCTTTATCATCATGAGGTTCCGAGGGATGGCGTGTTGGCAGACGGATCGGTTCAGCATGGTAGAGATAATCCTGCGCTCCCACAAGATGGGGCCGGCTTGGATGACAATGAGCCGGATGATCGAGTACGTGGGTGGCTACGGCAGCAAGACGTTGCGAGGGCTACTGGAAGGATGGACAATGATGTGTTCAGCTGGGTATGTTATCTCCTTCCAAATATCATCATATAACTCAACATCCGCTAATCATACTTGTACCTCACAGCCGGCTCGCAATCCCTACGACCACCTTCCAGCGCCATTTCTTCAAGGCGAACCCGTGGCGCTCCCTTCCCAGCTGCAGGATCCTGCCGTCACCGCGTATCAGAACATGAACGCAGGACATGTTCTGCCCCAAAAGTACGCGAGCCAAATCGTCCGCGAGCAAGTACCACCTCAGGATGCTGTCCCGCCGCCCCAGCACGTCCGTCGGCCTTTTCCTGCCGCTCCAATCCCCGAGCCGTTTCACTTCATGGCAGGTCCTCAACCAGGAGAGACAAGGACATATCGACCGCCTCGAATGAATTGTATTCGGCGGAGATTGCCAAGGAGGCAGAAATACCCGCTTCTCTTCCCTCAAATTTGACATGGTGGGATATTGCCGAGAGTGAGAAGTGTAGTGAGGGATGAAAATGAGGGTGGGAAAAGGGCGAGAGGCGCGAGCTGGTCAAGTGAGGAGATGGTGGCCAGCTGGAAGGTTAGGGGGTGTGGGTGGGAACAGCCGGCGCTGGCTGAAGAGCTTGGGGATGGAGAGGGGAGCATGGACGTTGATCGTCTGAGAGTTGGCGAAAGTGGCTCGCATGTTCGTAGTTGTCGCAAGAGAGGGCGGGTTGATGGACATTGAAAGCTGTAGAATAGAAGAACCTCAGACGTGGCTCAAATATATGATAAGCTATAAAGAATGAGATTCGGCAGGGTGCAGTTCAAGGTGCTTCGAGAACTTGTCCAAGCGACATTGTGTCTATGCATGATGATTCACGATTTTGCAATATTGATTTGCTGATGCGGGTGCGCTGTAAAACATGTCTATGAAGATCTGTGGGCGATGGTAGGAGAAGCCTGGTTGACGGGGAGTACAACTGTATTTTACGTCAGTGACTATTCCCGAGGTAGATGATACTAGAGTGGAGAGGTGAATTAACTGACAGAGTTGGGCAATGTTGACGTGCTCGGGCCTAGAAGCGACCCATACAATCTCCTCCGCGATATCCTGTCCACTCACTATTCACTCCCATCAGCACCGTCTCTCTCCCACTCCTTCACAAAGAGACTTACAAGGAACCAAACCCTCATACACCTTATCAGCCGCAGCCTGATCACCCCTAAACCTCACCAAACTAAACTCCGTCTCGACCATCCCCGGCTGTACTTCTGACACTCGGATAGGGGTGTTGACGAGCTCGCGGAGGAGGGAGCCAGAGATGGCGGCGAGGGCATGCTTGGTGGCGCAGTAGATGGCACCACCGGCGTAGGGCTCGCGGCCGGCGACAGAGCCGAGGTTGATGATGTGGCCGCGGTTGCGGGCTTTGAACTCGCGGACAAATATTTGGGTGAGGTTGACGAGGCCGATGACTATGAGGGAAACAGTCTTAGTATTGATTTATAGAGGAGTGATGTGGAAGCTTACCGTTAGTGGAGAGCATGACGTTGATGTCGTCCTCGGCTAGGGCGTGTTAGCTATGCGCGTACGGGCGAGCGCTCGACCTACAGATGTCTATGGTACTCATCAGTACTTGTAAGGCTTCATGAGATAGCTGAGACACTCACCACCGACTTGCTCCTTTCCTCTGACCATACCAGCATTGTTCACGAGGCTACAGACAGTCAGTAAGGGGCGATCAGATGATGTATAAAGAACTCACATGTCGACCTCCAAGCCCTCAAGCTTGCTGGGTACAGCATCCACATCCTCCTTTTTCTGGATATCAGCCTCAATGAGCACCACCTTTCCACCCTCCTTCAGTCCCGACTCTTTGTGGGCAGCCTCGATCTTGGCTTTGACGGCCTTGAGGTTGTCGGCACGGCGGGCGAGGAGGACGAGGTTGGCGCCGGTCTTGGCAAAGAGCTCCGCGGTGGCAGCGCCAATACCAGCAGAAGCACCAGTGATAAGGACTGTAAACGTCAGAAAGGTATAGGATCTCTGGGATGGGGGGCATACCGGTCTTGCCAGCGAGACTAGGCGGGGTGTCAGCAAGAGAGTGATTGATGTCGGCGTGCCGAGGACTTACCGGGAGGTGTTGAAGACGGACATTGTGCGTACTTGATGCAGTGTTCTGAGGCGGAAGCGGTGGGGTGTGGCGAGTAGGGAATTTACGAGAATGTTTGGGAGAGAAGAGAACATGGATGCGATGGAAAAAGATCAAGTAGGGCGGCATGTGAAATCAGAGGCAGCGTCGCTGGTGCCTGGGTGCGATAGATGGCGTGCGGCTACTTCGCTTATCGCAAGTCACCGATCCATCGCGGGTTGCCGAGCAGGCATAGGGTGTCTTTACATTTGACAAGTACACGGACCCTTGTCTATTGTTGAGGTACAGCCGCTGATGGGTGGATCTAGTAATTCGATCTCTTCGCCCGAGCGCCTGGAAAGTTGTTCTTCCCCTCCGTGCCAGAGGATAGACGATTCGGCGTAGAGATCTTTCAGCAGACTGCCGTGTTGATCACAAAATACGGCCTGAAGCCCAACCCGGTGCAGATAACCGGCGGGTTTAGGGACGTGGGTAAGGGTCTTGAGCTGTTGAAGGTACGTTCCCCGGCTTGCTGATGGGTATGGAAGAGAAGAGAAGGCGGCTTTGCTGACGTTGAGGCAGAACGGCAAGATTTCGGGAAAGAAGTCTGTGATTAGGATCGCCGAAGAGTAGTGTATCAAACAAAGCGACTTGAGATTATCCTCCCACATGTATGTATCTGTCAGTTCTGGAAGCGAGCAAGAGTGACATGAAATTCTGATGTTCTCGGGCGTCCACAATCCAAGTATACATGCGTAGGGAGCTCCTGCTACAGTATCTTATGCCTCGTTTGCAATCCTGATAACAGACTTCTTCCCCGAAATCTGATTGTTCTGCCTCAACGTCAGCATGACCGCTCCCTCCCCCTTCGACACAGTGTAAAAATTCACCTTCAACAACTCCAACCCCTTACCCACGTCCTCAAACCCGCCAGTAATCTGCACAGGGTTCGCCTTGATACCGTATTTGGTGATCAGCTCGGCAGTCTGTTGGAAGATTTGGACGCCGAATGCGCGGTCTTGGGGTATGGCGGGGATGTAGTGTTTACCGGGTGTTCGGGCAAAGATGTCGAATGGCTAACCCCCACCATGTCAGCCTCTGGCTCTCACTCGATAGGCAGGTGGAAAAGTTGGGGTGGGTAGGGACGTACCTTGCCACTGAGGGTGTATACAATGGTAGTATCCAACTTCAACCCCGCGTTCAACGCCCTGACATCATCCTCCAACACTCCCGGAAACGCATTCAACTGCCTCCCCTTGGACCCCATAATCCCCACAGTGATCCTGACACTGTCCCCCTCCCCAATCGTATCCAACCCAAACTCGGCGCCCTCGCCTCGTGTGATCTCGAGACCCTGGGCGATGGCGGCGTCGGGGTCGTGATAGTCCAAGACGGCGTCGGCGCCGTAGGATTTGAGTAAGGGAAAAGAGTGGGGGGAGGCGAGGGCTAGGACGCGGTAGCCGAGGATCTTGGCGAATTGGATGGCGAAGAGGCCGACGGAGGTGGATCCGCCGTAGATTATGTACTGCGTTTTTCGTTTCTCGTTGTCAGTTGTTGATGACGAGATGGATGGCTGGGGGGGGGGACGTACCCAAGGGTTGTTGGTTACTTTGGTATCGCCTGTAGAGGGGAATGCTTTACCCTGACGCTGAACCAGAACCTACGAAATCGTAATCATCAGGACCAAGGAATGTACAACACAAAAGCACACCTTACCTGCGCAGCAGTAGTCCACCCAATCCCAAACGTCACCGCATCCTCCAGCTTGACCTCGTTGGGCACGACCCACAACAAATCACTCTCCACCAACGTATACTCTGCAAAAGCACCTTGGTCTCTGTAATACCCGCCACGCAGGGTGCTTGCTACGCGGGTACCCGGGGCTAGGGTATGAGGGGAAGCGAGGTCGGGGCCGAGGGCGACGATGATGCCGGAGAAGTCGCAGCCGCTTGTGGTGCCGGGGGCGGATAGGAAGAGGGCGTGTTTCCAGTCTGTGGGGTTCTTTTGGGGTGTTAGTGGGAGGGCAGAGGGAGGAAGATGAGGCGAGGACTGACTTGGGCGGCGTAGAGGACATTGACTAGGACTTGGTTAGGTCCGGGCTTGGGGACTGGGATCTCTGCGATGGAGACCCAGTCGGACTAGAAAGCAAGTGTTAGCTCTGTATTGGATCAAGTACGAGGCTGTATACTTGCGTCGTTCTGGACCCAGGCCTTCATGGTCTCGGGAATGGCAGTGGCACTCATGGTGATGAGCAGTATGAAAGTAGAAGTCTGGGGGAGTGCTACAGGATGCAATGGTCTCTGGTATATATATATATATACCCCGTTTCGCCAGTGGTGGAGGTGATGACTGATGGAGCAGCACACCTGCTGCCTGCATGGTCAGAGCAAGTGGAGGCATTCGGCGGCCGGGTGTTACGTACTCGGATGCGATAGAGATGCAACTTGGGCGACAGGGTATACTCGTTACTATACTCGCACGATGGCCTTCGCTCGATTCGGGGCATCCAAGTACCGCAACGCAGTCCCACAAATCCCCCACAATGACACGTGGTACAGGGGACACCTGCCCCCTCTCAACAGGGACACCACCGCCAGCGCAGCCACCACATTCACCTCCGAGATCAAGACTACCAGGGAATGGATCGTCACTGTCGCCCCCACTGGCGAGCTGTCTCTCAGGGGATATGCTGGTGAGGCTGTGAGTATCAAGGTGGGCAGCGGGGGTGGCGTGGGCGATTGGGATGTCTCGAGATTCGAGGATGGGCTCTTGGCTGTTGGTGGCCTTGGCGGTGCTGTACGTCCACTTGTCTTCCTCCGAACAGCCGCTGACAGTGCTACAAGGTATCGGTATACGTACTCCCAGCACCCCCGTCTACCACCCAACCTTCACTTCTCTACCTCATCCCCCCCTCATCTTCCCCGGTCACCAACATCGCCTTCCATCCCACCACCCCCGGCATCCTCCTCGTCTCTACCATCACCCAGCCCGCCGCCATATACGACCTCCACTCCAACCCCACGGAACCCAAGATAATCCTCGATATGCGGGAACCGAAGGGGCTCTGGACGATAGCGTGGAAGAACGATGGTCGGCGCATAGCCGCCGTCGGCAGAAGCGGTACAGCCTACACCTGGGACCCCCGCTCCTCCCTTTCGCCCACCTTCTCCAAACCCCTCCAGATCCAATCCCTCAAACCAGCTCGTCTAGCTTGGGTAGGAGACGACATCTTCCTCACGTCCTTCTCCAAGATGCGCGTCCGCCAGTACGCGCTTCTCTCGGGCGCGGACCTGGGGACAAAGTTTGAGCAAGGGGTGGATACGAATCAGGGTACACTCGTGCCCCTTGTAGACGAACAGCGGAACATCATCTTTCTCGCCGGGCGGGGCGATATGACCCTCCGCCAGATCGAACTCTCCGGCGCCCAAGGGTTCCAAGAGTCCATCCACCCGCTGCCCTTCCCGCTCGCTTCCTCCTCCCTCGCGGGGGTCCATGCGGCGGAGTTGGAGGTGATGCAAGCAGAGATAGCGAGGGTGCTTGTGAAGGGGGAAGATAAGGATGGGGTGGTGCTCTTGCCCGTTGGGGTGAGGGTGCCGAGGAGGCAGTTGATTGATTTCCATGAAGATCTATACCCGGACATTCCTGGGAGCAGTACGTTCCCTTCTTTGTTTTTCTTCTCCTTCTTCTTCTTCGTTTTGCGTGGTGTGTGCAAAAGCTGATAAGGGCTATGCAGTTGCAGAGCAAACCTCGGAAGAATGGTTCAAAGGCAACGATAAACTCCCACTCCCTATCTCGGTCAACCCGGCTAGGAGGGGGACGTGGGAGAAACAGGTGGAGCAAGCTGCTCAAAGTCGACAGCGTACTTTCACGCCTCAGCAGTCTGCTGTGGGTTCGGATGATACTCGAGTGGCCGAGGACCAGTCGGATTCACCTGCTGCGGCAGAAGAGGCACCTATCACCACGCCTAGTACCGCACTTCCAACCAAGCCTACCGAGGAGGACAAGCCCCGCAAAGATATTGCCTCGACCACCGCAGTATTGGGAAGCGAGGAGACAAGGACGCCTGCGCCTCTTACAGAAACAAAGCAGAGTACCGAAGAGGAGAACACTGTAACGTCTCCTATGGAGTTGCCTGCTGCTCTAGGGCCCAAAGCAGAAGATCCACCCAAACAGCCCTCCCCCAATAACGCCCCGGCTACTCCCACCCCAACCGCAAAAACCGCCCTCCCTCCTCTGCGAGAGGGCGAAACCCACGCCTCAACGAGCTACAAAGTGCGCATCATCGGCGACTTTCTCGCGGACCAAGTGGTGGAGTGGAAGAAGGGCGAGGAGGGCGATAAGGGGGAGAAAAAAGGCCCGTTGATGGTTGGACTGCAAGGACCGCAGGGGTGTGGAAAGACGACCTTGACGGGGGCGTTGGTGGATTATCTGAAGGATGAGAAGGGGTTGGTGGGGGCTGTGCTTTCTACGGATGGTGAGTTTCTTCACCCAAATTACTTTCGCCTAGATGTTGGGGAAAAGAGGCTCATGAAGGTGAAATTTAGATTTGTACAAGAATCACGCGGGGTTGAAAGCTGTAGCTGCAAAACACCCAACCAACGCCCTCCTATCCGGGCGCGGTCCCCCCGGCACGCACGACCTAGACCTCGCCGAGCGCACCCTCTCCGCCGCCACACAACTCAACGCCACCCCCGGCGCATACGTCCACCTCCCCATCTTTGACAAGAGCAAACACGGAGGGGAAGGGGATCGGAGCCCAAAGACGAGGAAGGTGGTGGGGCCGGTGGATGTGTTCATTTTGGAGGGGTGGTCTATGGGGTTTGGGCCGTTGGGGGAGGGAGAGTTGGAGAGGGCGTATAAGGATCCGAAGGCGGCGTCGCCAGAGACGTCTAGAGTATTCTTCCCGGACCATCCTCTCGAATCTCTGAAGACGCTCAACGAATACCTGCGACAATTCGCCTCCGCCCTCTACCCCTTCTTCTCATCTTTCATCCAGATAGAGCCCTTATCATACGACTACGTCTTCCAATGGAGGCTCGAGCAGGAGCACGGGATGAAGGCGCAGAATGGAGGGAAGGGGATGGGGGATGAAGAGGTGAGGGCGTTTGTGGGGAGGTATATGCCGGGGTATGAACTGTGGGCTGGGGGGGTTTCGGGGAAGGGAAAGGGGTGGGAGGGAAAGGGGTTGAGGATGAGGTTTGGGGAGGGGAGGGAGGTTGTTGAGCTTGGGAAGCCGGGGGAGGGGTATGTTGAGCACAGTTTTTCTGCGCCGGTAGCAGGTGGGAAGGTAGTTGAGAAGATGTCAAAGCCTTCACCTGAACGGGCTGGTTCTGTCCCAGCTGCGCCTACCAAACGCCCCGAAGCAGCGACATCCAAAGACTCCCCAGCCAACCCCAAACCAACAGCCACCCAGCCACTTACCAATCCATCGACTGACCGCTTCAACCCAACCTGGTCCCGCAAATACCTTGCCGCCAAATCCCCCCTCATCCCCTCCTACGACTCCCTCCCAACCCTCTCTTCCCTGCACCAAGACTCCCACGTCTTGCGCCTTACCCCGCACCTCGCCTTCTTCCCCATACAAGGTACAGGCGGGAGGCTGTGTGTGCAGCCGTTGAACAAGAAGGGCAGGGTGGCCGTTGGCGGGGAGGGGTATCTGAGTGGGGGGGTGGAGATTGTTGATTTTGATGCGGAGCTGGGGGAGGGGAGGAGGGTGGCGGTGGCGGGGGAGGATGGGAAGGTGCGGGTGTGGGTGGTTGGGGAGGAGGGGGTGAAGGGGGTTGGGCCTGAACCTGGGCAGGTGTTGCATGGTAAGCTTACAAGGGTTTTGGCGAGGACTAGGCTGATGGGGAGTAGGCAACTCTATCGACAAGTTTACGCAGATCCTCTTCCATTCCACGGCCAAAGACCTGCTCGTGGGCGTCACGAACGATCGAGGCGTGGCGAATATCAGGTTCTGGGACCTCTCCAAGGGCGAGGAAGTGAAGCAGGTAAAAGTCCCCACTCTTGCCGTATACCGACTTGCGTTCAGCCCCTCGGGTGACCGAGTGGCTATCGGAAGTAAGGACGGAAGACTTTTGGTCTTTGATCCCCGTGACGCTTCCACGGTTGTCTCGGGCAAAGCGCATGACAGTCCTCGGTCGTTCCAGATCAGCTGGATAGACGAGGAGCATATCGTCACTGTCGGATTTTCGCGCGGGTCTCTGCGCAAAATCCTTCTCTACCGACTACCCACCACTCCCGGCGAGGAGATCGCTACCATCTCATCTCTAACTATCGACACCTCCCCCTCCGTCTTGTTCCCCGTATACGACCCCGACACGTCCATCCTCTACGTCTGGGGCAAAGGCGAACGCGTCATCCAGGCATACGAAATCAACCCCTCAAATGAACGGGAGCCTATCGCGAAACTACCGGGGTTCACGGCGGATAACCCGCAAGTTGGGGTGGTATGGTTGCCAAAGAGGATGGTGGATCTGAAAAAGGTGGAAGTGGGCAAAGCGTTGAGGTTGACGGCAAAGGCGTTGGAGGAGGTTAGCTTTACGGTTCCGAGGAATAAGGTGAGTGCTTTTAAGGAAGATGGGATAAGCGGCTGATGTTGTGCAAAGCCTGAATTCTTTCAAGATGATATTTATGTCCCAACGACTGATATCGAGGCAACGCCTTTGACGGCAGAGGAGTGGTTATCTGGTAAATCTGCTGAAAGGCCTACGATCAACCTTCAGCCCGCCGAGATGACGCCTCGTAAGTGGACTCATATCTATGGACAATGCCATTGCTGATCAAACCTCAAAAAAGTATCTCAAGCACCAAAGGCTGATACATCTACCAAAAAGAAGTTTGTCCCAGCTGCCAACGTCATGTCGGAAGAAGAAAAGAAGAAGAACGAGATGGACCGGCTGTTTGCTAAAGCCAAGATGGACGACGGTAGTGATGAGGAGGAGGAGGAAGAGTCAAAGGGGCTGGATCCGCCGGATGATGACTGGTAGTTTCGAAAGCTGGAGGGTATGGTTGTAACATAGCTACTGTCATACGGAAGTAAAGGAAATATGGATATGCTTGTAATGAAGATCCAATACGTTTTGAACCCTGTGACAGCCTCAACCCTACTGTTATTACCTACTCGTTGTGGAGAAGCAGCTAGATGGATGCATATTATACTCTACAACTATCTTGCACAAGGTGCTAGATCAAGATTTATGATTTATGACGATGACTGATTTACACTATGCTATGCTAGAATTTTTGAGGTTTTTCGACCACGCCCTTTGCCTGCCCTTCACTTCACATCCTTGCCCGCCTGGGACGGCTACCTCCTCTCACGCTCGTTCCAGCCTCCTTGTCGACCTACCGCCCCTCCGTATCCTGCCGCAGAGCTGATAGATGTCATGGAGGTGGTGCTCGGCAACCCTCCCATACTAGAAGCGGCACCTTCCTCGTCCAGTCCAAACGCGCTCTGGTCTCCCATGTCGCTCATAGATGACATTGAGTGATTGGGAAGATGGATCCTCCTGCTCTCACTGACACCCAAGGGAATGTTGACCGAGCCCGTGGAGTGGGATTGCCCGTGAGATTTGACCGGAGTCAAAGATCCCAGGGTACTACTGCCGCCGCTCTGGATCGAAAAGTTGAGCCTCTGAGTGGCATTCTCACGCTCGTCCATGGACGACGATGTCATACTCGATTCGCTTGCTATCGTATTTGATCGAGTGTGATTATGCCTGAAAGGCCGCCCATTGATCCGGGAATGAGCGGGGCTGGTTTCGTAGATGGGCGAGGTTATAGACGATTGGTGTTGGTGTGAACGCTATGAGGAATCAGCATGGGAAAAACTAGAGCATCAATGGGAACTCACTGCCATGATCGCCCTCACTCTTCGCTCACTAACATCGCTATTGCTGGCTGCGTGTCGCGACATGTTGTAGTTTGGTAGAGGGCTGGAAGTCCCATTTCCAAGACCAGCCATCGTATCCCCGTCCTCAAAGAAGTGCCCCAGGCTGTGCAATGCGCCTACTAGGTCCCCGATTGACGCGTTCTCCATAGACCCCTCGCCATTGATTGGAGGTGAGGAAGGAAGATCAAGGCTGACCTGGCTCGCATTGTAGTCGAATGGTCGCATGTCGGCGAATTGCACAACCGAGAAATGGGCGGAGGCTGCACGAGTCTCTGTTGTACATGTGTTGAACACAGCTCGCACATTCTCCCGGGTCAATGAAGACAGTTCTTTGGCTCTTGGCACACTCCAGCCACTCTCTTCCACCAGACCAAAGATGTCGCCCGAGAAGCTCGGAGAAGCAGGGACATGGTTGTCGACTGAGGCAGCAGTAGTCGCAGTGATCGGCATGTCGAGTACGTCGAGCGCCTGGGTAGCGTGTTTGGTATTGAGAAGATTGAGAAGCGGCTGGAGCAGCTCATTCCCATGGGTTTGCAAGGGTGCTCGTGCTTCCGGCGATTGCAAAATGAGCTTCAGCACTTGCATACTCTTCTCCCTCATCCAGTCGTGGGTATTGAGCACAAAGCCCAAGAGGAGCGTCACGATGTCCAAAGCATGTGTTGGCATGTAGTCGCGCAACAAGCTGGCTGCTTGACGGATGAAATCGTCCTTGGATCGGAAGCGGACCTTGGCGAAAGACGTCAGCAAGCGCGAAAAGCTTTCCCGGCCTTGCTGGTCTGCTATAGAGGCCAAATCCAGCGCCATCTCTGCCAGCTCCTCATTCGGTTCGCCAAGATCAGTCGAGTGGAGCATCCAGGGCAACGCCGCGAGGAATCCATGTATCAACCTGTCGTTTGGAGCGTCGACAAGCTCACCGATAGAAGCACTTGTGAGTCGACGTATAAGATCAAACGTCATGAATGAGGTCTTTGACGAACGGAGACCGACAAGGAGAAGAGACTGAAGGTAGGGCGCCGGGCCGACCCAGTCGGCTGGACGGTATTTGTTGAGAAGTTGAACCACACTTGGATCGGAAAGGTTGGTCTTGTCTAGGACATGCGACAACAGGTCAATGACCTCCGAGAACTCGTTTTCGTATGGCGTCGTGAGGCATGCAAAGCTACACCAGAAGATCTGAGGATTTGATTGAGCCTCAGTGGGCCCAAGATTTTGCACAATGGACGCAAATGTCCTGAGCACCTCGCAATTGAACGCCTGGATCTCCTGGGAGGAGCTCGCAATGGTACTGGAAAGTCTGGCCAGAGTATCAGAGATCATTCTGGGTTTGACGTTGGGCGATAGGATCCGGAATATCTGGAAAGATCGACAGGCAAGGTGTCTCATAGGACACGTGGTGGCCCACGACAAAGCCAATTCGCCCCATTGCTGGCGTATACGGGGTTGGAGAGGAAGGAGGATACCCAAGATCTTGATAACAAGATCTGTCATCTTTGGAGGGGCCATAAACGCGACATCGCTCCCGCCGTTGTCGTCACTCTTCCAGAATATGGTCTGCTTCTTCATGGCCAGCGCTGTGACCTTGGTCTCTGCTGATGTCCAGATGGCATGGGCGTCTTGAGGTGATACCAAGGATACGTCTGAAATCCAAGCCCGCAGGACCTGGAACAGCACAGTCTGAGACTGATCTCTGAGCGCTGAAGACGCACTGTCGCACTGGATCAACGCGGCTTGAAGTAGCGCAGGTAGCTTTTTGGACAGCTCAAAGTCACCCAATCGGTGCGGTAAAAGTTCACCGGCAAAGATCAGAGCCAGCTGACCAGTTGAAAACGTTTGCGACCTTGCCGAGGGTGCGCTCATGATGGTGTCGAGATTTGCTAGAGATGACATTGGGCTTGGAGGCACATCGGCTTCAGGCAGAGCGACCATGGCATTCGGCTCGACAAAGTTGCAAATGTCTTCAAAGATATCGTCCCCCGCTGAACTGCTTGCGAGGCATGCGACCATCCTCTGGGCATGCTCCACAAAGTCTGGTGACTTGCGCTTCCCACCCTGTTCGAACAAGAACTTGACGAGGGCAGTTGTGTTCTGAGACGAGCTCGACCCAGCAAACGACAGCACGATGACCTTGATCTCCTCCGGGTGATCCTCGCCGAAACGCACGCCAAGATAGACGAGGTTATGGAGGGCCTGGTGTTGGAGTGACGCATCTTCTGGTGATAAGTCAGACATATCTGACACCATATCGAGGTATTGAACCCATGATCTGATGACGCTGAGGGTAGCCTGTCGACGGGGAGCTTCCAGTTGACTTAGGCGCGTAGTACATTCGCTCAAGAATGAGAATGCGTTGTCGGCGTATATCGAAGCCAGCTGGCCGGATATGGCGTCTTGAGCTTGTCGGTAGATCGCCGCAGAGGAGCTTCCAACTGATGGTAGGAGCTTGCTAAAGACGAGCAAGTCGTCTGGATGCGACAGGAGAGATTGTGCCAGCTGGAATGCCCGTTGTCGGATGGTAGACACAGGATGACCAAGCTTGGATAGCGCTAGACAAGCAACCTGCTCTACAGGAAGATCGAGGTGGCCCTCCAAGAGGAGATCTGCAACAACACCAAAGAAGGACGACTCGAGAGTGAATTGCTCGCCCTCGCCGAACGATTGGTGTAGTACCTCGTCAAGCAGCCTTTCGCAGTCCCAGTTGTACTTTATCAAAGCAAACAGAGCCCGCCTAGATGAATCAGAACCATAATGAACAGAAAGACAAGATACTCACTTTGCTGTTGCATTATGTGACATGTTTGCAGATCCAAACATTCCCCTAATCCACCTCAGCACCAACAGCGGCTCTACAATGTGATCCGAAGCCTGTTGTGCAGGAGTAGAGTCCGATACCGATATCAATTTGCCTTGCTATCGCAAGGTCAGCGAATATCATGACGCGCCGAGATTTACTCACACATAGCCCTGCCATAGTCTCAGCCGCTGCCATCGACAGCAGCTTGGTCTTGTTTTGAAGATTATCCAGATAAGACGCTCTGTCTCTTTCACCCCTATATCCTCCCGCTGCAGCCTGCAACATCTGACTCTCTCTTGCCTTTGCCACATCTGGCCTTCTCCCGACCAAGCACCACTCGTAACAGAGCTTGAACACTGCGCCTCGCATTTCTTCTCCTAGGAACCGGTCCGAAGAGTCGAGTTTGCCGAGAGCATTGGTGAGATTTTCCACAACAATGCAAAACGAGCGACGAAGATTTTGAAGGTCATAGTCTTCTTTCACTGTCCGATCAGACAACAGCGTCCAAGTGACTTTGATGAAGCCAATCATGGAAGACAAGTTTGCCAGGTGATTAGACGACTTGTGATCAAGGATAAGGGGAGAGATGAGTCGGAAGATATGCGCGACAGCGGTCCATATGGTAGAGTTTGGTGTCTTTTTTGTCGTCCCTTCACGAGGTGCCGTACCCACTTTCGCCCCGTCCATCAATCGCCTAGTGACATTCAAAAGCTGCTCTGCAAGGGGTCTCATCATGCCCTGTCGGATGGACCCGAGGGCATGGACAGCAGCATCTTTGAACCTCGTATCCTCCCAACCAAGAAGAGACGTGAGGTAAGTGAAGAGAACGGGCGTGCTGATAGCCTCCTGGTTGAGGATGATGACGTCCTTGGCATTGGACCGTTGAACGGGAGGCGTAGGAGGAGCCGGTCCATTGGCGGGGTTGAGAGTCACACAAAGAATTGAGAGGTATGCTCGCCAGTGATCAGCAAGAATGGCTATATCAGAAGAGCTCCTTGTCGCCAAGCTACCTCCCGTCCTGCTGGGAGTACCGCGCATGACTCCACCAGCCACCAACGCGACATGGGCTTGAAGTCGAAGGACCAGCCCTCCGACCACAGTTCTCAGCTCCTGAGATACTTTTGGCAGTCGATCAGCAACCCTGCCGATAAAGACGGGAAGCACTGATAGCCACAGAACAGCATCTCGAGAGCTCTCGCCCTCGGCTATACGCTGCAGCAACTTTCCACCCTCTTTGCCCCTGTTGTTGTTGACGATCTCAAGTCTCGCCTTTTCGGGCTGCGACAACCAGGGGATTTGGTTGAGAGCGTCGATATCTTTCTCGTTGAGGACATGCTCGTAGATGTCGAGGACATGGCCTGCCGAGGCGAGTTTGTCGGGAACCAGCCGGCTGTATCGGAATGCCGCAGAAGGAAGACGCTGTTGACTCTCGAGATCTCTGGCAGCAACGAGGATTTGACCAGCAAGCTTTCTCAGCGACAGAGCCGAAGAGCATAACAAGAAGATGGCCGAAGCCTCTATCTGGGCGATCTGCGAAGCATCGGCAGTCGGCGCTTTTTGCCCATCTTCATCATCCGCCTGGGCTTCTGCCACTCTTTGATGCCCAACAAGCAGTAAGAGCATGTCTAGCCACAGCTTGACCACCCTCTCAAACTGGCTATCCATCAACTTTGCGCCGACAAAGGTGTCTTTGAATATATGCCGGGTCTCAAATACGAATCCTCGATAGGTCGCAACGAGGAGCAAGCATCTCTGCGGATCTTGGGCCATACGTTTGAGCGCATTCCCGGCTGCCACGCAGACGTTGGGATCCGCAGAGAACGTCGCTCGGCACAAGATACTCGCCAGCTCGGCCCACTTCGGGTCCTTGGGCAAGCACCTCGGCAGCGCCTCAATGACCGCCTCCATCAACCTCATCTTGCCCGCATATCGCGCTGGATAAGAGACATAGACGTCGCCATGCTTCGAAGTGATAATTTCGACGGGATTGTCCATCGTATGACTCGATGCGTGCCCAGAGATGGCGACCGAGTCGTTGGAAAGGAGGAGATTCCGGACGTCGTTATCACACTCGACCAAGAGGTTCATGAACGCAGGACCAGCCTTCTTGAGCAAGTCGGATACTTCCGGCTTGGTTTCGGTGTCGAACGGCATCGTCTCGCCTGACGACTCGAACGCAAAAGAGTCGTGGTCAAAGTTTGTAAAATCGGGGGATTGCGGCCAGGTTGCGTGTTTCTCTAGCTCGATAACGCGCAAAGTATGGTTGACAGCTTTGACGACTGCGGTTGATCTCTCCGCTCCCGACTCTGTCGCTGACCGCCCACCCAAGAACTCGACCACAAACTCTTCTCCGTAGTCCGTCTGCCTTGTCATGACGTAGTGCAAGACGGCGATGAAACCTTCAGAAGGTATTTCCGACGGGTAGAGGTACTGGGAGGATGCGAACAGAACGCGGATGAGATGATCGAGCCGTTTACGCGTCGAGGTGGAAGATTCGTGGCATCGATGAAGGTATACCCAGAGAAGACGGATGAAGGCTCCCATAGCGACAGATTTGGTATTCCGATCCTACGCCTTATCAGCGACATGATGGCAGATAGAACAGATACTCACCTTGAATTTGGCCATGATCGCGTCCACCACATTCTGCCACTGCTGAATAAACACCTCCCTCGGACTCACCCCCAGTGCAGTCACCATCAACGGAAACGCCGCATTCCAGTACCTCGCCTTCCCCACCATCCCCAACGCTCTATCCAGAATTACAGCCATCGCCTGCGCCCACACCGGATGATTCACCTCGGCTGTAGCCGTCTCGATGACAGGATGCAGTAGATGCGTAAACGTCTCGGCGTATGCGATTTTGAGGGATTGACCGTGGGCGGAGGCGTAAAAGGCAGAGAGGGATTGGATGAATTCGGCAGACATTTCGAGCTCGTCCTCGGGGTAGACTTTGAGCTGCAGATGGCGCATGCCTTTGAGCAGGTGCTCTATCCTTGCCTCAGACTCTTTCGTTGGTTGTTGGTTTGTCGCATACTTGCTCAGCTCGCGGACAAACCTATCACTGACAGTCAAAAACCGCGTCTTGGACAGCTGGCCCAGCAACTGAATCTGCAATTGCGATACCGCCTTCTTATGCGGAAACTGCATCACATCCTCCGGTTTCTCCGAGCGATACGCATTGAAAGCGTTAGTCTCCAGCGTCATGCCCAGTTCCTGATCTAAAGAGTCTTTCGGCGTGATCTTGAGCAGCTCTATCAGCGCGCGGTTCATGATGAATCTCGCAGCGGACGATTTGCGGGCTTGGAGGATGGCAGCGGCATCTTCGACTTTCATCTGGAGGCCCATAGATCTGTCGAGGTGCGAGCGGACTTCGCTGGCGCCAATGTTGCCGCAGTAGTCGCGACACCATGATATGAGGAGGTCGACGACTCGGCGGGCGTGTCGCGTAGCGCATTGGGAGAGGGAGGTGATGGTATTGTCAAATTGTGGGTCGATGCCGGCTTCGAGAATGGTCGATAGAGATGGGTGTGAATTCTGGCCGGTTGTCAGGACACGTCTTTGACAAGTGGATCAAAACTTACTAGAGGCCTCGCGCATACTCTCTGTACCTTGTTCCCCGCCGCTTCACGAAACTCTACAAACACAACCCTCAACGCCTCCTCCCCCGGCGTCCGCCCAAACTCGCCGTCGTCCAAATCGACACTCCCTCCTCTCATTCTCCCCAGATAACTCCCCACATCGCTCCCATGCCTCCCACCTAGTCTCGACGGCGTCTGGCGTGAAGGTATAGGCGGCAGTGCCGGCATGGGGTGGTCATCCGCTCTAAAGTTGACAGAACCGTTCGATGTCATCGACCTTCCTCCTTGCGATCTATGCGACGAAGCGATCGAGTACTTTCTCCCCTGTCCATCTGCCGTATTCCCTCTTGACATTGGGGACGCCGTTGTCGAAGACGAGAGATTCTTCCCCTTGACCGGTGTCTTGAAACCTGCCGGATTCCTCGGCGACATGGGCGAGTCATACCTCGAGAACGGATTCTTCAGCGCCGGGTATCCCGGGGGGCCCGTCCTGTCGAAAGCAGGCAGCGGCGGAGCAGGTGTAGAGTGGTTCTGCTTGAACGCATTCTTGATGGAGGCGAATGATCCTTTGGTAGCGAGCCCCGGGCGTTTGACGGCACCGCTAGAGCTGATGGACGTGCCAGGCGTCACAAGCGAAGACGAAGACGCATTATTAAACTTGCCCAGCGACCCTGGCGTCTGCTGCTGCCCAAACCCATGTGCCAGCGTGGGTGCCCCAACAGAGAAGCTTGCTGAAGCCTTTTGCAGCCCCGGGCGCGTAGGGGTGGTGGTCTGGAGTTTGCCCGGCGCGTAGGAAGAGTCTGAAGAGAGGTTGGAGCGGTGTGAGTTGGAGTAGGGGTCGGTGTCGGGGAGGGAAGAGGTGGAGGAGGCGGCGCCGAATACGGGGCGGGAGAGGGAGGGGAGGTAGTCGTCTTCGTCGTCTTCGAGATCTGGGCGGGGTGAGCATGGACAAGGGAGGGGTGGTGTGCGTACTGGGAATGACGATCTCCTCCATCTTGGCCGGGTTCTCTTGTACACTTTCGCCCAGTCAGACAGTCTAGTACAGGCTACAGAAGTAATATAAATGGTCAAGAATCCTAATTGATCTCACTTCGTCAGTCGGGCTCCTCCTCAAAGCAAGACAATGCAAGAAGAACGCGTGATTTCCTGCTTATGTAATCTACCATTCGGGCCGCCGATGCCATCATGCTCGTCGTCGAGTACAAATTAAGTACAAATGTGGTCTAGACAACTGTCTGTGTCTTTAACCCTGGATATGCTCTTGGTGCTTTGCACAGATAGGGTACCTACCTGCTCTGAAACAACGATCCGGCTCGAGTCGTGCAGCAAGATATGTCTGAGCCAACTCCCCTCAAAGATGTGCTCGCGGGAGAGTCCATTTGTCTGGCGCAGGGACAATTCTCAGCGTTTGTAGTGAACCTCATCCATGGCATGATCCAAGTACGTCTTTATCTCTTCCCATCCCTGATTTTCTATTGACATACAACGCAGGAACTGGGTGCGACCGTATCCACCGACAAAAAGTCCTCCACCATCCTCCTCACCAACCCCTCCCACCAATCCTTCCGCAATACCCCGGACCTGTTCCAACCCAACGCCCACTCCGAGCCCAAGGTATACCCATACCACTGGCTCGCTTGGTGCAATGACCAGAGACGCCACACACCGTTAACAGATCTGAAATCAGAGAAACCGTTGTTCACATACCCGGCGAGGTCGGAGGATTGGCGCCCTCTGAGGGCCTATGTGTCGGTCAATCTGTGCAAATTTAAGGGAGAGGAAGATGGACGCGAAGCCCGGCAAAACTGTTCGCGCGACTTGCTCCTCCATGGCGCACTCATTGTCTCAAAACGAGCGGACGCCGACATTCTCGTTATCGATAAACTCACCGAGTTTTACAAGATCGCCAAAGCTGAAAATAAGAAGGCTGGGAGAAGCTGGCAGAGATTTTTGGAGAGGAACTGGGTGCTTGGATCTATCCGGACGGGCAAGATGGAGTGGTGGCGTGCAAAGCATGATCAGAAGAAAGATAGTGGGGAGGAGAGTTTTGGGGATGAGCCTCTCGTGCAGAGAGGGACCGGGAGACCTGTGGGATCGTGAGTGTCTTGCATATCGCAACGAATCGGAGGCTGATGTAGAGCAGAGAAAGGGGAGATTACACGCCCGATGACGATGACTTTTTGTGTCGCTGGCTAGCGGCACACTTTGGCACTTTAGGGTCTCTCTCGAGTCGCATAACATATGTCATGCTCGTAAGTCACCTCCTCTCTGTATGGTTCTCCGCTGATAGCGTCAAAAGGCCTCAGACAGTGCGCGATACCCTACTGCTGCCCGCCATCCACCGCAATCATGGCACGAGCGCTTCCGCAAGAAGGGCCACATTCTCAAGGAACGTGTGCATCGATACGTTCGTGAGGGCGTCGATAAATCCTCAAGACTCAGAAAGAGCGACGGGCCTCAAATGTGCAAGAACCGAGCGATGAAGAATATCAGCTTGACTCGAGTGATGGAGAAGTCGCTTTAGAGGCGGGGCCGTCTGTTGTGGTAGAAAAAGGAAACGGCAAGCGGGTGCAGGAAGATTCGCCAGTGAGAGAGACCCCGGCCACGAAGAAGAAGAAGCGGCAGATTGCTCTCTCGGATAACGAGGATAATACCGGTTCTCCAACCCAGTCTCGAGTTCGTTCAAAAATCCCTACCCCGGGTCGTTCCGAACATCAAGCTACAACAAGTCAAGCGACGCCGAGTCAATCTGCAGTGGTACCTCCCTTGCGCGATGAAGCACCCCGTGCTGCGTCCTCAAGTCCAACTCGTCCTTCCCAATCTATTCCCGAGCGCCAGCCTGAGGAAGAGCTCGTTCCCGCTTCTATCGAGAACAGCAACTCTCTTCTCGTCCCTTTTTCGCAGGCTTCTGACGACAATGCGGCTACAAAGGACCGGGTGGGCCAACGGACCGGACGTTCGTCGATCGCCACTGCTTCTCAGGCCGACAATGCCCCGAAGGAACCGCTTGCCTTCAGCCCAAATGCCTCACCCGCTGAAAATCAGCGACAAGCCTCTGACCGGCGATCTCGCAGGTCGCCCTCAAGCTCCCCTGATATCGACCCACTCCAGAGCACTCCTTGCAATTCGCCAGGTCGACATCCTGGTAGAGCAGAGCAGCGAGAGGAAGAAGGTATCGACTTTGGGAGAGTTAAACCTGGGATATTCGAAAGTCTGCCGACCGCCGAGAAAGTCATGGCTGCCAAGCCCTCTCAACCTGCCGAAGACGAAACTACTTCTCCCGGGGTAGCAGTGTCCAGGCGGCCTCGAGTGTCTGAAGCCAGCACTGCACCTGGTGACGACGAAGCCTTTTCAGGTGTATGAATCCTTGTGTTCTGCCCCCGCTATCTTCATCTGTTTTGTGTTATGGTTGCACGTTTTAACGCAGGTACATCTTTACCCCATCCTAGCTGACAGACGGCCGTTCCCATCTTTCTCGTTTCTGACAACAGCAGCAGCTCCTCCCTCTTGGAAAGACGACGCATACATGTGAAGCAAAAAGACATTATTTACAGATCAAAAAGACAAAAACGACGGCACCCGGGATTCCCAGGTGGTCCCCCACCCTGGTACTAACCGAGCGCTCTCCTAGTTGACTTCGCGGATCAGACGGGACGCGGTACTTTGAGGAGGCTATGGCCGTCGATATTGTTTGAGGGGGTTGGCACAATATAAGGTAGAAACGGCCGTCTGTCAGCCAAGAGAAGATGTAGCAGTGAAGAAACGTGCAACCATAACACAAAACGCATGAAGATAGCGGGGGCAGAACACAAAGATTCATACACCTGAAAACACCTTCTTTACTCTTTCTTGCTTATTCACTCCTTTCATCTTGCTTTCACAAGTTCATGCCAAAAGCTGTGAGAAGCTTAGACGGTACCGGAAGCGGAGATGGTGACCTTGGCCTTGGGCTCTACAACATTTCATCAGCTGTTGCTCACGCGGACGAGGTGAAGAGAATAATGAAGACGCACTGCCAGAGTCGGAACCGAGGCCCTCGATCTGCTTGACGAGGTCCTGGCCCTGGGTGACCTCACCGAAGACGACGTGCTTGCCGTCCAACCAAGAGGTGACAACGGTGGTGATGAAGAACTGGGAACCGTTGGTACCGGGGCCGGCGTTGGCCATGGAGAGGAGGAAGGGGCGGTCGTGACGGAGCTTGAAGTTCTCGTCGGCGAACTGTAACGATCCGTCAGTCGCCGTTCGAATATTCTAATGAGCGGGGGACTGACCTTGGCGCCGTAGATGGACTTGCCACCGGTACCGTTGTGGTTGGTGAACTATCCAAATCATCAGACGATATCCTATAGGACAGCTAAGAGTACTTACGTCACCACCCTGGAGCATGAACTGGGGGATGACTCGGTGGAAGCCAGAGCCGGCGTAACCGAAGCCCTTGGCGCCGGTACAGAGCTGCCTGAAGTTCTCGGCGGTCTTGGGGACGACGTCGTCGAAGAGCTTGAAGGTGATTCGGCCGGCGGGGGCGTCTGGAGGATGGGTTAGTTGTTTGCACAGCCCGGGTCAACCGTCACACTCACTGTTGATGGCGATGTCAAAGTAGACTTGGCTGACAACAAGAGGTCAGTCCTAATCTAGAGTCGATGTAGGATGGCACTCACGACATTGTGCTAGCGGTGGAAACGAATCGTTTAGCAAAAGACATGGCGTATTTTGAGGGTTGACGGAAGCAAAGAACGGGTCAAGGAAAAGCAGCAAGAGCACAAAAACTGGGGGTAAGCATGAGCTCACGAATGGAGCGCAAGACGACGGCTTACACGATGTTTTGTGGTTTTTTGGGGGTGGTGGATGGGAAAGCAGAGGAGAAGGCGATGGAAGGCGATGGGAGGTGGCCGTGGGGTGGAGGCTGGCGTGGAGCGTCATCGGCGTTAGGGGCCGGAATGCCACGTGGGTGGATGTGGCACTTGTTACGCGCGGCGCAGGGTGGTGAAGAACGTTCTGCATTGGGATGGAAGAATGCGGATGGATGGTATCTGTGGATGGTATCGTCAGCATAAAAGTCGGTCAACCGCCACTGCACTGCACCCAAAGGAGGGCCACGTGGGGTGGGTTTGGGGTGATGGCGTGGCGGGACCCGGACCCCGGTCGTCATTACTCAACCTAGCAACCAGACCCTCCTTTCCCCACGAGCACCCCGGGCGGGCCTTCCCGCTCCCTCCACGTCGATGCATATAAGGGCTCCACCAGATCCCTCTTCCTCTTCTTCCTCTCTACAACTCATTTATGAACTTTACAAGAAAAGTCATGTCGTCAGTCAACATCCTGCCCCTGTCACTAACTAGACGCTAACCCATCTCACAGTCAAGTCTACTTTGATATCTCTATCGCCAGTACGACCATCTCTCCCACTTCCCATCTCTCCACTGACCTTCGCACAGACACCCCCGCCGGGCGCATCACCTTCAGGCTCTACGACGACATCGTCCCAAAAACCACCGAAAACTTTAAACAGCTCTGCACTGGCGTCAACGGTTTCGGCTACGCCGGCTCTGGCTTCCACCGAGTCATCCCCCAGTTTATGCTCCAGGGCGGTGACTTTACCCGTGGTAACGGTACTGGGGGCAAGTCGATCTATGGCGAAAAGTTCGCGGATGAGAACTTTGTCAAGAGACATGACAAGCCTTTCCTCTTGTCCATGGCAAACGCCGGTGCGTGCTCTTGTCTTGGCGGTGATTTTGGGTGCTAATAATCTTCAGGCCCCAATACCAACGGCTCTCAATTCTTCATCACCACTGTCAAGACTCCTTGGCTCGATGGCAAGCACGTCGTCTTTGGCGAAGTCACCTCTGGCCAGGACCTCGTCCAGCAGATTGAGAAGCTCGGTAGCAACTCCGGCAGTACGTCCCTCTTCCTCTCTTCTGTCTACATTGGTCGTGGAAGCTGACGAGGGATGTGCAGGCGTCTCCAAGCCTGTTGTCATCTCTGCCGCTGGTACTCTCTAGGGCAATAATCGATCAATGGTATGAAGGAGTCGGAAGAAGTAGATAACAGAAATGAATGAAAGTCGTCATATCATCGTACATGATCTTGTGTATGTTTGACAAACAGCGGTGTGACTGCTGGAACGCTCTCAAACTCTCGTTCGTGCAGAGGATGCGCTCTGGGCAGTCTGTGTTCTGGCTACAACCGGGGATAACAGACATAACTATGCCCAAAAAACCATAAACATCTGGAGCTGGATATTTCAGCGGTTACACTTCTTCATTAGTATAACGGTTAGTATAACCGCTTCTCACGCGGTAGACCAGGGTTCAACTCCCTGATGGAGAATATCTTTTTTTGTCGCGCTTCCTTCTTTTTCGCCTATCTCGCCTTCTATGTCGACTCTGCATCGTTATTTCAACACTCAGCAGTCCACAGGAGACAGCATGACACCAAACACAGTAGCACCATACGAGTACACTAGGACACGTCGTCGGCCCACACGCGTCTCACCATCAGGTGCTCGACTGTCTACCAACATGCATGCATGTTTGCATTGCATTCAGCCACCAGCTCAGCTGCAGTGATGGTATGTTGCCCCAAGAATAATCGACAATTACACTAGCAAAGTGGTAATAATCAGTCTCGCGTCGCGCAACGGAGTCTTCCTTGACTAACGAGAAACCCTGTCGGCGTGTTAATGGACATCGTCACCGCCCTCATCATTCTCCAGCACATCTCGCTTTCTCTTTCTGGTGTTGGTGGCACAAGCACAGATCGTGTCTAAGCGCTTAGACACTGTACAGCTGGTCGCCGCTTGGAGCTCGATGACAGTACTGCGGCGTGGCACCGACTGTGGCAGACTTACCAAGACTGTCTTCAACCGTCCCCGCGCGCAGCTTCTCAGCTTCTGTCACTTTCGAGCTATCGATCGAGTCTCTTTGACCGATGTCGTGAAGCGCGATGTCGAGATGTTTAGCGATGTAGCTATGCTTGATATCTTGACCGAAGAGCTTTTCCTTCCATACCCTAATGCAAGCTAAAGTTGTCTCGTCGTCAGCTATAGCTTTCCTTCCCCTTACCCGAAAGAGCCTACCTGCTGGACGCCTATCTCTCTATCCTCTACCCTGCATCGTTCACTCGTTGGAATACCGGCGGTCTTCTCATCCGCGAATTTACGGTTGAGACCCCTGAATAGATTGTTGACAAGACGTGCAGAACTGGAATATACATTCCATGCTCAAGTGTAGAGATCGATGAAGTCCTCCCATGCCTCAGGACGAGCAAGGGTCTACTTGAAATCAGCCTCGACCCGTATATCAATGGGAGAGCCTTGTGCTTTGGTCCTGAAAAACTGCTCCAGCTTGGCGTATATCAACTATGAAATGGTATCATCGGGTCTCAAGTACAGAAACGTAGTGGTACGTCCGTTGCGAGGAAAACTACTCCATGCCAAAGAGTTGGCATGCGCAAATACTTGTAGTCCGGAATAGTACGTTAACAACAACTCGTGCACAAATTTACATCATAGCATATACAATAGCATACAGGTATCACGTCACACGATGCAAAAGTCTTCTTCGCCCTCATCTGCTTTTTTATCGACATCGTCTTCATCCTCTTCATCCTGTTTAAAGATAGGCCTTTTGTACTCTCCATCGCTCTCTTCAACATTCACGTCATCATCTTCAACATCCACTTCATCATCGTCCTCTTCCAGAAGCGTTTCCAGACGGGTCGTTCGCATAGGTCCCCTCCTTTTCTTTCTGGCAGAGGCGCGAGTGCGATTCGCCTTAAAGTGTATAGATACTATGCTGCTCGTTAGCTTTAGAATACGACTATGAAAAAGTCGCTCATCTACCCATGCTTTGCACAACCGTCTCCGCAAGCGACACTTCATCGTCGGTGACTTGAGAGCTGCCGTCCATCGTAGTGGTCATCTTGTCCCTCTTGATTAGGTCTTGAAGCACGATATCCAGGTGTCTTGTGGTGTAGCTGTTTCTGACGTCATTTTCGAAGAGTGTTTCTTTCCATTTTCGGAAGGCCAACTGAAGTTGCGGTATGGTAAGCGGTAGGACACATCTCCCCGGTCGTCGGAATACAAAACGACGCAGGAAATCATGGTGATAAAGTGAGCTCACCTGCTGTACCCCTGTTCCTGGCTCTAAACTCTTCCAAACGTCGATCTCTTGAACACCTGGAATTCTCTTATCCGCGTAGAAGTGGTTGAACCCCCGGAATAGATTATTGGCGCGTTGGACGAATGCCTCGTATGTAGTCCATCGTCGGCTGTAAATCTCCACGAATTCCCTGGACGTGTCGGAATGAGCAAGTTCCTATCCATGTCTTTTTCAGCTTCAATCCATATGGCACTAAACGACTTTATCTTTACCTCTATGAAATCTTGCGCCTTTTTCATGAAGAACACTTCCAAATGGTCGTACAATTGATATTCACTGATGCCGGGACGCATATGGCGATCGTATTCCCTCAAGTGAATGTCGCAGGCACGAGAGTACAGCATAGCGTAGTATGTGTACGACATGGCCTCGAGTGATGGGTCAGCTACTAGAGTGTAGAGTCGTTCAAGGCCGATCTCGAGAAAGTCCCATATCTCGTCCAATGGGGCATCTCTATGGAATTGCCAGGTACCAGCTCAGATGTCTTTCATTTGACGGCGTGATGTGACCTACCTCGCGGGAACCTCCTCTTTACTAGGCTCCTTGAAAGTATCGGAAGGTCGAAGAGCAGAGGGCGGGTCGTTGGAGAGGGGCGAGGCAGTTGGAGATGTCTCCGGATAGAAGTAAGAGAACATGAACAGGAGCATGTTGACACTACGCGAGCTAATGCCGATCCTATATGTCAAGTGTAGCGAGGATTATAATAGAATCAGTGGTGAAAGAGAGAAAAGAATCAAGTAATTGAAGAAAGCGGAATGACCATCTGTGCGGAAAGAACGAACAACCAAACACCACTCGTCGTCATCTTCTTCCGTGTGGCGGCAGGCAACAAGCCTGGACCGTATCCTGTATGCAAGCATACTTGTTCTTATGCCATATACAGGCATTCAAGAATTGAAAGGGGGACACATAGAACGTTATACATCTTTCAAAAAAGGAAAACCAGCAGGGCGAAGAAGGCGGCATCATACGAGAGCCAAAAATGTTGATCGACGGCGGGCAAACTAAAATACCTGGGGGCAATGTGAACATATGTACAGTTGAGACCACCACACCCTCTCCAAGAGTACATTGTCTCAGCATCCAGTTACGCCTCTATCGCACGTGGCCATGTACAATAGCACGAGGCATCTCGCCACGACTCCCAAAAGTCTTCTTCTAATTCATTGCGCACCACCTAAAAGTCCAGTCCTGTCAACAAAAAGATTAGTTGAAAGACAAAAAAAGACAATGACGAAGACGGGATTTGAACCCGCGCGCATAAGCATGCCGGTAACTCAGTACCTGAACGACACTCCATAACCACTCGGACACTTCGCCACTGCGACAATAATTACGTTTTAAGCATGGCTATTATAAAAACCAAAGTGACCTGCAGAGACAAAGACAAAAGACATCAACAAGACTTCTTCGTGGGTGACAAAAGGGTGCAGAGAACGTACAGAGTGACGGGGGCCTGGCATATCCTGTATGAGAGCTGTTACGGTAGCAAAATGTCTGGCACGTAAATGATGGCACGAGAATGATTACATTCATGCTTCCGACTTCTGACTATCTGCTACAAACACCAAAAACAAACGCATCTATTCTCGTTAAAAACACAATAACCCTAGTAGTCGTTTTGAATTCTTCTCACTAAACTCACCACTCCCCCAACATCAACAGCAAAGAGGAAAGACGCCTAGTTCCTGTTGACGTTACCCAAGTCCTCACAAGCCTCCTTGACTCGGGCGACAAGGGTCTTCTCACCCTCACGAACCCAGACTCGGGGGTCGTACTGCTTCTTGTTGGGCTTGTCGGCACCTTCGGGGTTACCGACCTGGGACATGAGGTAGTCCTTCTTGGCGAGGACAAAGTCTCGGACACCGGCGAGGTAGGCGTACTGGACATCGGTGTCGACGTTCATCTTGACAACACCGTTGACGACAGCGGTAGCAATCTCCTCCTTGGTAGAACCGGAACCACCGTGGAAGACAAGGAACCTGTTCAATGTGTTAGCTCAGAGTCTAAAACACAACTCGAAACACGAATGATAAAAGTTGATAGTAATGTGACACCAATATGACACCTCCTTTCCCACTACTCACGCCCCTCCACGGCCGCTCAAAAGTGAGCCAGCCGCAGAGAATGAGCGCTCATACCACCAGGGTGGTACGACATCAAAGAGTTGGGAAAGCAAGTTCTAAATGTGATGTAAAGGCTTTAATCTTCGCTGTCCAGAATCGCCCGAGCCTTATTGAAAGAAGACCCGGGCACTGTCTAAAAAGGATGCGTGAAACCGAATGTGGTCTGCTGGTAGACGCCAGGCAACCTCGGTGAAAGAAAGAAAGATGAAATAGGAATGATACTCACAGAGGCTTCTCCTCGGAACCCTTGACCTGCTTGTGGGTGTACTCCTGGTGCTTACCGAGGAGCTCGGGCCTAAGGACAACGTTTCCGGGCTTGTAGACACCGTGGACGTTACCGAAACCGGCAGCGATAGAGAAGTTGGGGGAGATGGCGGCAAGAGCAGCGTGGACATCGTAGATGTCTTCGGGCTGGGTGTAGAGAGAGTTGTTGTCGACGGAAGAGTTGTCGACACCGTCCTCCTCACCACCGGTGATACCGATCTCCATCTCGAGCCAGACTGTGCACGGCGTAAGCGAGAGCAGGATGATATTCAGGGAAATGACGCACGGTTGATCTTGGCCATTCGCTTGAAGTAGAAGACACAGTCCTTGATGTTGTCCTCTTTGGACTCCTCAGACAAGTCAAGCATGTGAGAGCTATGACGTCGATAAGCTACGTACTACGTGAATGGAGCAGATAAGACTCACGAGTAAAGAGGCTCTCCGTGCTCCTTGAAGTAGGCCTCGTCGGCCTCGAGCATACCCTCGAACCAGGGGAGGAGCTTCTTGGCACAGTGGTCAGAGTGGAGGACGACGGGGCTATGCAAAGGTCAGCTTCGTATCACCGAGACAAGCGCTAGCCAAAACATACATGCCGTAGGCGGGGGCAACGGAACGGATGAAGTGGGCGGCAGCGACGGCACCGGCGATAGAAGCCTCCTGGTTGCCGTTGGGAAGACCCTTACCGGCGAAGAAGGCGGCACCACCCTGAGAGAGCTGGAGGATGATGGGAGACTTGATGTCTCGGGCGGCCTCAAGGACACCGTTCACGACGGAAGAAGAGGTGACGTTCTGGAAATGCAGGTTAGCATTGACATCAATGATAAGACTGAGAGTCACTCACGATGGCCTAATGTTGAAGGAACAAAAGAAAAAAGTGGTTAGTAGGTGATAGAATCCGGTAGAACCCGAGAGACGTACAGGGATAGCGAACTACCAGTTGTCAGCGGTGATATCTCTAGTCTAGATAGTCTACTCACCTTGTTCTCCTTGGCGTACTGGAAGAGCTTTCGGACGTTGTCACCAGTGATAACACCGGCCTATCAGATGGTCAGCATGTCAACCCATATGACGTGTCACTGCTCGAGCGCTGGTCGACGTGGCAGGACAAGAAGGTATACGTACGGGGACGATAGAGAGGGCACCCTGGGCAGACATGATGTGTGTTGTTTTAAGAAGTGTGATGAAAAGAGAAGATGGAAAAGTGATGGAGAGATGGAGATAGAAATGGGATGCGTTAAGAGGGGCGTGGGCGAGTGAGGTCACTGAATCTGCCGGCGGCGAGCTCCGGGTCCCCACGCTTTTTCGCCCACTTTCGCTTAAAAAATGACTTCATCCCCTTGCATCTCACCGAGTAACCCCGAAACCCCGCACCGTTGGCACCTCCCGCCCGTGTCCGTCCACCTCCTCTCGCCAGCATTTATCGGGCAATCCAGCCTCCATCTGTGGGGTAAGGCGCAGGGTCAGGTGCGGCTGCTTCCTTGCGAATCTGCGCCGAGTTCCGGTTGGTCGCTTGGCAAGTTTGCATGCGTGGGCCACTTGTTCTCGCGTACTTTGGCTCGGGAGTCGGGATAGACCGGGAAAGCACGCTTCAAATCGGCCGTTCAGCCGGGCTTCGGCTTGATGTTTGGTCCCAGCTGTATCTGCTATCCGTGTAAAAGTTGTCAGTCAGCTACTCTATGGTAGCTGGCTATATCGGCATCGCCTGGCCTGCTGACGTTAGATCTCATTGATTTATCAACTATCGATCTTTGTCCTCGCACCTAATCATCCATGCAAGCGCTCCCTCCCTCCCCTCCTCGCCGTACTTTTGCGTCCATGCTGTTAGTTGGTCCAGCTTGAAACCAAAGTTCTCAACTATCGATGCATCACTCCTCGTCTTCTCTCACTACAGTGTCTATGGCCCTTTGCCATTGCTTCTCCGTCTCAATCATCTCCTCCAGTTCGTGCTCTGTGTATCCATCCCACCTCGTCTCATCTCCACCGATCATGGCTGTCGCTTCCCCTCTCAAGCTCAATATTTTACCGGAGGGAGGAATGGCCATCATACTCCAGTAATCTCTCTCCTCGTCGTCCATCTCTCCGTTCCATCTCGCTGGCGAGTTGTAATACTCTGCCGACGACTGGAACGACACCTCCAACCCCAGCACCACATCCTGCCCCGTCCTCAGTTTCGCCCTCTCCTCTCTCCCTCTCACAAACGACTCTTCCATCCTCCTCTTCACCTCCTCCACACTGACCGGTCCTGCCCTCTCCCACTGCCTCCCCGCCGTCTTTTCACAATTCCAGACTCTCACCCTCCTTACCTCCGACCCTTCTCCCAGCGCATACATCAACGCCGGTAGCTGCGCCCTCGCATCCGGCAAATGCCTCACACACCCCCGCTCATCACAATACGAGCATCCCTTCATCCGGATCCCCTCCCCGTTCCCGATGACCATCTTGCTCAACGTCAACCCCATCGACGAGCGCGTAAACCCCCCGGGCACTTTATGCCAGTCCACCCGGAAACAATGGCGTTCGTCCCAGAAGACGAGGTCGAGGGTGGTGGCTTTGGATGCGATGATGGGGAGGGGCCAGACGTAGTTGGGGTCTTGGAAGAGGTAGATTGGTAGTTGGCAAAGCCGGACTTTGAGCACGATGTGCTCGAGCTCTTTGAGCGGCTTGATGGGGCCCATCTCTAGACTCCTCAATAGCACTTTCTTCGCCCCTTCACACACTTTGGCCAAAAACTGGCACCCCTCGCTGGTGCATACATCCTCAGAAGCCAGCTCCTCCGGCGTCGGCCCGTTCGCGAGGTGGACGAATTGTAGATTCGGGAGAGGATTGATATAGTGCAGCACGAAAGGGCACTCATTCTTGCCATGCGTGTGGATATGCACGTCTCTCACATATTTCAAAAGCGTGTTCTTGCTGTAAGGGTCCGCAGGCGAAGGCGGCGTCGGGACGCTAGGGCCGACATCAAAGATCCCACTCGCCGCTCTCTCCCTCGTGGACCCGACAAAGCAGTCTTTTGCGTGCTTGACATGTAGTTCGCGATATAGCAAAGGGGCGGCGGAGTGGAAGAAGGTCGATGAGGTGAGGAGGCAGGAGAAGAGGGAAGAGGGTGGGAGGTGGACGAGGATGTCGGAGAGGATGTCGGAGGTCTGGGCGACGAGGGTACTTGGGCGATGCGAGGATGCTTTTTGTGGCATTGTTTCTGGACAAGAGAGTGAGAGTGGGTAGATGGGGTGGAGAAGGAGCTTACAGATGAGTGTGCGCCTCCTATATATGTGCTGTGGCAAATGTCTTACTCGCAACCCAAGTCATTCATCATCGTCTTCGTCATCACAACGCGTCACGGGACAAATTTGAGCCCGACGGCGATCCGTGGCTGGTGATTGACCGCCAGCAGCCACGTCGTCTGGCCAAGGCGATAAAGGTGCTTATACTTCAAGATAGTATCGTGTAAGTAGAGGGAAGTACAGCAGACTGCCTCAGGTGTAGTACAGTCGGTGATGCAGCACACACGTTCTGGTACTGCGTCTTGTGGCGCCGGAATGAGACGTTGAACGAGCCATGGCCACGTGGCTGACCCATGCAGAAGTGACGAAACGCCACACAGTAGCACGTAAATGGGGCAACTATTTCTATAATATGAACTGGGTCGTTCACTCTGGCTAATGACCATGATTCACCTAACCTGACTACTGTCCCTGCTCCTCTCAGCAAGCCGTCTGGCCGTCCTAGGACTACCCGTACTCTGCCTCGACCTGCTCCCCGCCCTCGAAAGAACAGGCGTGCCAGGTACACTTCCCCTAACCCGACTCGGCTCCCTGCTTCCCCTAAAGCTCTCGCTTTCCGCACGCGAAGACGCCCTCGTCCTGGGCCGAGCCCTGCTATCTTCCCGACTTGCTAGCACTGACGTGCTCCCTGTACGTTTCTTTGACCTCGCTCGACTTGGATCACGGCTGGTTGGTTGTCGCGATGATCCTGTGCGGGGACGAGAGGGTCGTTTGGAAGGTCGATGTTTGGTACGGCGATAGCCCGACACAAGAGATCTGCCTGCTTTCCGTCTCTCACCCTTCACCTTCTCTAGCTTTCTCTCCCAATGCTTGACGACTTTCCCAACTTCTTTCCAATCAAATCCAACAGCTTCACCAGCACTCTTGAGCACAATCTCCATCTCGCGGGGATAGAGTCCAGAAGCGTCTTTCGTATCGTAAGACCGGGTCTTCTCGCCAGGCATGAGAGGCAATGTTTGCGAGCTTTGAGCCAGGGGAGGACGGGTGTGTACGACCGGTGTGAGGTCAGAGTGGAAGGCGGTCCAGGAGTTCTTGTTGGGCTTCAGGACGGGTGGACAAGGGGGGAGTGGGAAATGGGACGCGTCTATTGGAACGTCAGCTTGAGTTCCCACAGGAAAGAGAAAGATGCGCACCAGATCCGGGGGCATGATGATCTAGCAAAACGTGTTCGGCGTTGTTGAGGAAGGAATCGATATCGGTGTCCTCCATGCTCACAAACTCGCTGTACCGCAACATGAGCTTAGGACGCTAGATGCAAGGCGAACGTACGCTTGGGATATTCTAGGCGCCTTTTTTCTTGCGCTCAAAATACCTTCGCCCAACCTTCTATCCAACTCATGAAGCCAGATCTCACCTTTTGGCAGCCCAATGGCAGGATCTCGCGACAAAAGTGCGGCTCTGAGACGCCCATCAGCAAGGTGCTCTACCTGAGATGTGAAGTGAACTCGCCTTGGTTGACCATCGAGTCCGTACACAAGCTTCATCAACAAGACCCACGCAGAAACGATACTCAGCTCCGGTGGGAGCTCGTCGTACATTCTCTTTGTACGCTCATACTTTTCCCACCTCGGTCCCTCCTCCTGTTCATCCCTCGGAGCATCTTCCTGGTCTGAATCGCCCTCTTCGTCGTCGGCAGTGGGACGTGATTGTGATCTGGTCTTGGGTTTGGCCTTTGAACGAGACTTGTAGGAGGATTGTGTACGATGTTTGCGGGTAATGGTGCTGAGATCATGGGTGGTAAGATGAAAAGGTACCGAGATCAAGTCCATCAGGCGAAGCAGGAGAGCATGTATCATTGCTGAACAGAGATGAGCTTCTTACATCGTCTGACACGAGAAACCAGCTTACGAGCACTACCGAGAGAGGACACGATACTCCAGCTGACAGGGTGAAAGTTGAAAAGCGGCACCTGTACGCCATACTTTCGATACAGGATTCGGGCAAAGATTCTGCACGAGTCGTGAATCTTGCTGGGACTAGGTGATCTCTGGTCTGCCGTGAGCAGAACGTTTGCGTAGAAGCGGGAAGGGTCTCACCCGAGGAGATAGCGCTTGGACAACACTGCGATTGAGGCGTTTCTTCATGTTCTCGGGAATGTATGTGGAATGACCAAAGTCGACATACGGTATTTGAACCGAGTTTACAAGGCTGGAAACGTATCAGCTCGTCCAACTGTCAGACAGTATGGTACACACCTTTCAATGTCGGATCCCATGACGGGCACCCTCATCATCCACAGCGCCAATACCAAGGTAGTGATGGTATCTGCAGCTCTCAACCGTCTCTTCCGCTTCCACCGCGCATCTCCTCTTGTATTCTTGTCCTCTTTCGCTCCATCTTCAACATCCTCGCCGTCACCGTCCCCTTCCTCTAGATCCCTCAAGAGCTCTGGATCGATGTTATCTTCCGGCTCGCTTTCGCCCTCGTCTGAGTCGGATTGAGAACCGGAAGAGGAATGTTCGTCGCGAGTATCCGGCTGGGGATCCGGGTCGATGCGTAGTTCGGGAAGACACTTTGAGTGCTGGATTGGAGTCTCTTCTTCGGCTACTGGGGGAGCAGGAATGTCGGGGAGGACAGAAATGGAGAGTTGATACGCCCAAAGATCTCGGACGATCATCTTGAGGGCTGTCAGCAACCAGTGCATATAACGGAGGAATACATACCTCGAAAGCTTCAGGAAGCTGCCATAGCTTGCTCAATGTGTGACTCTGGTGCCGAATAAGAAGCTGAAGACCTTGGATCTTCATGTACTCTGCCTCGTTCCCGTGGTACACTAATACCTCATCAGTCTCCGCATTGTCAAGACTTCTCATATACGCACGCTCTTTGTTCTTTCGACCTTCAGTCCTTCGTTTGTTGTTCCGAGGACCCTTTGCAGTCCTTCTCCGTTGAAGTTGAAAGTTGACACCACCATCAATGACCAGCAGCTCCGACCGGTAGTCCTACAATGTCGTCAGCATGGAACATGACAAGTCCGTAAGTCCTACCTGAAGCACATGTCCGTCTTCACACACAGCATTTCCCGTGACTCTATCTCTCTTCCACTTTCTTGACCCACACACGGGGCACTTTCTAGCCATGATTGTATTCTTCTATGCACAAGTCTTACTGACAGCGCTTGAATACCTTGTTTTGATACAAGAGGATGAGCAAAGTGGAGGTCGACGGAACCAAAATTTCCCCTCTATGCAAATTTCAGATCCGGCCTCCACTCTTGTGCACATCTTTTGGTGTTTTGTTGTGTTCTTTGCTCAAAAATCATTCTTTAAAATGGCCAAAATCAAGCGAAGAGGCGAGTCCGGCGCGTGAGTACAAACTATATCGAAAACAGGGCACGGCTGACTTGGATGTAGGGCCAAAAACTACGTGACAAGAAATCAGGCCTTGAAAAAGCTGCAAATCTCCTTGTCCGACTTTAGGCGTCTCTGTATCTTGAAGGGTATCTACCCCCGTGAACCCCTCAACAAGAAACGTGCCAACAAGGGATCGTCCGCCCCCGCCTCGTTCTACTACCACAAGGACATCCAGTACCTCCTCCACGAGCCTCTTCTCGTCAAGTTTAGAGAGCACAAGGCTTTCGCGAAGAAGCTTGCTAGGGCTGTCGGTAGGCAGGAGTGGGGTTTGGCGAAGAACTTGGAAGATGCCAAGCCTGTTGCCCGATTGGACCACTTGGTCAAGGAGAGGTGAGCTACCCACCTACCGTTTCTGTCCCTCGCTGACTTGGTCAGATATCCCACCTTCACTCTCGCTCTCCAGGATCTCCAAGACCCCCTCAACCTCGTCCACCTTTTCTCCACCCTTCCCACCAACCCCGTCCCCGGCAAGACCCTCGTCCCCGCCGAAGTCATCGCCGAGTGCGGTCGCTTGATCTCTGAATGGAAAGTCTGGGCTATCCGCACCCACTCCCTCCGCAAGATCTTCCTCGGTGTCAAGGGTATCTACTACGAGTGTGAGGTTCCCGGACAAGGCGGCGAAACTGTGAATGTCAGGTGGTTGGAAGGACATGAGTTCCAGCAGCATGTGCCTCACGATGTCGATTTCCGAATCCTCCTCACTTTCTTGGATCTTTACCGCACCATGACTGGCTTTGTGCTCTACAAGCTCTACACTGAGGAGAACCTGGTCTACCCCCCTCCTCTTGATGTCAGCCTCGACGAGCAAGGCGAGTCTGTCGGCGCTTTCAAGCTGGTGGAGAAGAAGAACAACGAAGGTGCTGAGGGTAAGGGTGTCTCTAAGAAGGCTGTCCGAAAGGCCATCAAGGGCATCAAGGCTTCTGGCGATGCCGATGTCGCCATGGACGAGGAAGCCGAGTCTGACGAGGAAGAAACCGTCGAGGAAGACTTTGTTGAGCGCCCCAACAAGGACGCCGCCACCGACGTCGCCTCCGCCCCTCTCACCACCTACAACTCCCTCCTCGCCACCTCCTCCTCCTCCACCCTCCCCAAAAACCTCCTCTTCTCCCCCTACACCTTCTACCTCTCCCGAGAGACTTCTTCCCGTACTTGGGAATTCGTCATCCGCGCGATGGGCGGCCGGGTCGTCACTTCCCTCTCTGCGCCTTCGCCCTCTGAAGCGCCCCAGGCGGACGCCATCACGCACGTCATCATTGACAGGCCGATAACGGCCGAGAGGATGAGGGAGATGGAAGGTGGCAGGAAGTGGATCTGGGTCCAGCCCCAGTGGGTCGCCGATGCTGTCAACAAGCACAAGATCATCTCCACCGAGGGCTACCACCCCGGACAAGAGCTTCCTCCTCATCTGAGTCCTTGGGACGGGGAAGGCGAACTTGACAGGCCGTGGTTGGAGAAGACTGAGGAAGGCGCCGAGGCTGAGGAGGAAGAGGATGTGGAGCAGGATGCGGAAGAGTCTGATGACGAGGATGAAATTGTCGCGGAGTCTTCGAGCCCTTACCCCCCTGCTCTCCTCGCTGCTGCTCAAAACCCCTCCAACAGCACTTACCTCCATGCCGCCGAGCTCGAAGCCGAGACCAACGGTGTCTCCCACGCCGACTTCCGTGCCCAGCTCAAGGAAGCTACCAAGCTGGCCAAGAAGTCTGGTGGTGAGAAGAAGGTTGCTGGTGGTAAGAAGGGCGAGGAGGACTTGAGGAAGATCATGATGAGCAACAAAAAGTCAAAGCTCTACGAGAAGATGCAGTACTCCAACAAGGAGAAGGCTGCTGAGGTGCGTTCTTCTTTCCTCTTCTTTATCTGTAGTTTGCTAACGATCATTGCAGAAGGAAAAGCTCGACAAGAAGAGGAAGGCTATCGAGAAGCGCAAGGCCAAGGAGAGCAAGGCTTGAGCGGATGTTTAATCTTTAGATGTACTTTTACTTTTCCGGCTTCTTCCTCGATTTCCTTTCTTTAGCATACGGCTGTGGCGGACGAGGGTTGGTGTATCGCATGTACATGTCTATCCCTACCCTTATAGGATTGCGCTGGACATCCCGGACATACTCGTTCAGCACGGCTGCATTATCAGACATCACATCAGCGGTCCTGCTGCAGCTGATTCCTTTTCGATTCTTCTTATTCATATCCCTCGACAGTAAAGAAGCGACAAGTCACGACAAGGTCCTCCTTGGTAAGCTCGTACGACGCAGTAGACTATTGCTTCAATCCGAGATCTTGATAAGGAGTTTCCCAGTAGTCCCGCGTCCTTGAATATCCTTCTCCGCCTGGATAACACCCTCAGCCGAGAACGGGTACTCTTTGTAAACCTCAAACTACCCCAACGCCGTTAGCTTTGGCTCTAACTAAAAGAGGAAGAGAGGCTCACCTTGATGTGAGCCTTCTGCACAATCTCAACGAGCTCGGCAGTATAGTTTTTGAACTCTTCGGCGGTTTGGATGATGGCGAAAACTGTGGGGCGAGTGACTTTGAGTGCTTTGGGGGAGAGTTTGGTGGGAGCGAAGGGAGGTACAACACCCTACATTGAAAGTCAACCGTCGAGCACGCACAGTAGACACAGAAAACGCACCGAGGCATTCCCAAAAGTCACAATCGTGCCCTTCCTCCTAACGACCTCAAAGTCTTGCTCCCAAGTCGCCTGACCCACACCATCATACACCGCATGCACACCCCCATCAGTAAGCTCCAGGATCTTCTTAACGTTGTCCTCGCTCTTGTCTGTACTGAGGAGCACCACGTCCGCACCGTGCTTCTTCACAAGTTCGGCCTTCTCCGGGGTGGATACTTCGCCAATGACATGCCCGCCAAGGTACTTCACAACCTGCGTTAGGACGAGCCCGACGCCCCCTGCTGCCGCTCGGATCAAGACCCAATCACCCTTTTGCACGGGATAACTGTCTTTAGTAAGCGTGAGCGCAGTGAGACCGATGGTGGCCAGGGAAACACCGTCTTTCTTGTCAATGAAGTCTGGGAGAAGACCAACGCGGGCAGCGGGAGCGACAATGTACTCTGCCCAGGCGGCACCAGAAAGAGTGAAGACGGTCGATCTGACGGGAATGTCAAAGGGCGCCGAAGGCTTGGAAGGGGTGGTGAGGAGGGTGCCGACGGCGTCTTGGCCGGCGGTGTAGGGGAATTGCTTGGGGTAGACACCACTTCGGAAGTCTGGGATCTTGTCAGAGAAGATATTGAAGGCGGGAGGGGTGGCTTACAGTTGTCGATGTAGTTTACGCCGCTGGATGGAGTGTTTGTCAGCGACATCCGGTAAACTTCCATCTACGTTCTGGGCAATACGCACCTCCACTGGACCTTGATCAAGACCTCGTCATCCTTGGGAGTAGGGACAGGAATCTCCCTAAGCACATTAACCTCCGGGCCTCCCACTTTATCGACCTGTCCGGTATCAGCTCTCAGCCCATCTTGAGGGAGAGTTATACGTACTTGGATGGCTTTCTGTGTCTTGGGGATGTCGATAGTGCTCATGGTTGCAAGTAGTCTGCGTGGGGCGAGGTGTCTTGTGAGTGATGCGAGTCTGGGAATGGACATCCAGTTGCTGGTTATATAGATGGGAAGAGGCAAGTCACGCCATTCGTACCCACGCATGAGGTGCCGAACTACCTCCACCCTCGGCGGCCGACAATCCATGTTGGGAAGACAACACATCTCATTTGCATCTCATAAACGTATCTCTTCTCCATGCACTTGTAGTCATATCATTCCCTCTTCATGTATCACAGCACAAACAAGCAAACCATCTCCAGGCGTCTCAACGAATGCCAAAACTGACGGCAATATGTAATGAGCGAATCACACTGAACTAGCTGCCTTTGGAGGGTCGTATGAGAACGAACGATGCATTTGTCTCTCGAAAGTCGCAACAAAATTATACTCTATGATGGCTTTGAAATATGCCTAATAGTTGTGTAGAAACCAAAAAATATGAAAGTGCCCTATAAAACCCAACTCTTACTGCTCCAAAGTATGAGTCTTCTCATGCTCAGCACCCAACCTCGCAGCAATTTCCGCCTCCTTCTCCGCCGCCTTTCTCGCTACTATCTGCTCATCCGTCTCCTCGGCAGGGCGCATGGCAATGACCTTCTTCTCGATAGCGTTCTGGTGCTCTCCGAGGTAGAAGTTGGTGGTGAAGGCACCGAAGATGAGGGAGAGCATGGATGTGAGGAGAGCAGCGAGCATGAGGGGGTGGATCGCGTCGTTGTACGCTATTGAGAGTCAGCTCACATCCATAGACCAAGTAGAGAGAGGGAAAGCTTACCCTCGATGATCAAAGCCCTGGGCTCAGCAGTCCTAGCGACCGTAATAGACCCAAAGATCTCGGCCAACTCGGTCGCATTGTAGTAATCACCAACGTACTCGCTCAAGAAGTGGGGCACACGCTGGTTCCAAACAGCAGCAGCGATGGCGGAACCGATAGCACCACCGATAGAGGTCCAGAGGGAGAGAATGGCCATGGCGAGGGCCATGTCGGCGTGGGGGACTGAACCTTGGACGGCGACTTGGGAGGAGACGACAGAGATACCACCACCGAGGGAGATGAGGACTCGGGAAGAGACGACGACGGCGTTGGTCATGTGTCCGTTAACGGCCATGAAACCGAGACCCATACCGCTAGAAGCAATGTCAGAATGGGGATTAGGGAAGAGGCAGGGAGACGTACATGACACGGATGGCAAGACCGGTAAGCTGGAGGTACTTGAACCTGTGGGTGTATCGCTGGACAAGACCGGCAAGGGCACCGAACAGACAAAGACCGACAGTAAGGATGTTCTGCATGTAGGTGTAACCCTTGGACTATTGAAGGGTCAGCATGTGGATATGGGAGCAAGGGAGATAATACGCACGTCGTAGTCCATAGCGACCCAGAGCCAGGAAGACCAGTAAGCGTCGGAAAGGTACCCGGAGAAGTAGTACTACGCGAAGAGTCAGCGAAAGAAGGAGGAAGAGATGAGTAGAGACTCACGTTCCAGTCGATGAGGATGCAGCAGATGAAGGTCCTGTTGAACACTCGTCGAGGCATGATCGGGTGAGAAGCGACCTTCCACTCCCAAAGACAGAACGAGATGAACAAGACACCACCGACGACAAGCAAAGCGATCAAAGAGGGGTTCTTGTAGCCGTTGGAAGCGGTCGAGGAGAGGGTGAAGGGAGAAAGGATACAGCCGAAAGCGAAACCGAGGAGCAAGAGACCGACGGCATCGATCTGTCGAGCATAGTAGATGCAGGTCTGGTACCATGTTCGCTGTGCGGCTTCCTGCTTTCGGAGGATCATGTCTCGGGTGTAGGTGGACGAAGCGAGCGACAAAGCACCGACCTTCTTGGCCTTCTTATCGGCCCAGAAGAGGATGATGAGGGCGGGGGCAATGCAGATGGGCACCATGATCGTGAACATGCCGTAACCCCATCGCCAGCCGTCGCTCGTGTAGGCGCTGATACCGGTCGAGATGTCACCGGCGACGAAAGCCCAGATGATGTAGGGGATAGAGTAGATACCGACGATGGCCCCTCGCCATTGAAGGGATGTGATGTCGGCGAGGAGGATGGTGACGAGGAAGTCGATACCGGTGTTACCCTTTCCAGATGTCAGCCGGGAAGCGCATGATGGAGAGAGAGACGCGTACCAGAGTGTAGAGGACTTCTCCACCAGCAACGTCAGAGACGGACTTGGAAGCCGCGATGGCAATGTAGCCAACAGTGTAGAAGAAGACAGAGACAGCGATGGCGAGAGGTCGGGACCACAAGTCGGCCATCTTGGCAAGGAAGGGTTTGGCGACACCGGCCATGATACCGGTGATGACAGTGATCGTACCGAGGACAGTGTGTTCACCGAAGGAAGAGGTGGCAAAGGCAGTGTCTGTAGAGAATTAGTAAGAGCGCAAAAGGAACCGTCACGACGTACAGTTGTAAGTGGTCATGGAGGAGAGAGAATAGACGTTGGCGATCAAGGCAATGGAGCTATGGGATGTCAGCACGACCCGAACAGCGATATCAAGAAGACTTACAGCCAAAGCAACCACAATTTCCATCCCTTGCCAAAGACGAGGTACAGCGCCTCGATCTTGGTCACACCGATACTCTGCTCGACTTCGATACTCGCCCTGTCGTCGTCCTCCTCCTCGTGCTGGGTGAGGTGGTTGACCTCCGGGTCGGTCTCGACATTCTTGACGTCTTTGCCGTCTGTGGCGGAACGTTCGAAAGTGGGTCGCTCGCTGAGCTGGCTCGCGAGTTGCTCTGGGATCTCTACGGATGGGCGCGCCATGCTGAGAAAAAAGTTGTCGGGGAAAGCGAGGATGCGAAGGATGAGGGGGTAGATCTTCTTCCCAAAGTGTTCTTATAGGTAAGACGATGCCAAAAAAAAGTTGCTCCACAAAAACCGGTAAAGATCTCGCCTGGAGCTGTGAATACCATAAGCGGGGGCATACCTTGGCAGACAAACAACGGCGGGGATATCGGCCGGGGGTGATAACAGATATCTGATAGACAGTCGGGTGTCACCCAGGCACATGATAAAAAATTGAGCATCTGCAAGGAACAGGGCTCCAAATTTTGCAGTTTGAGCGCTCGATTGCCCTGAAATAGACGCTGATCATCACAATTTGGTCCCGTCCGCAGCAGCTCTATACATCTCTTGCATCCAGCCCTGCGTGTCTGAAACGGGCCGGGTAAATGTCTGCGGCTCGCTACCATATCATGCACGCCTACCGCCCTAGAAAAGATATCACCGCATGCCTACAACACCACCTGCCCAGAGCGGTAGTCGGCGCGCCAAGCGCCCACCCTTCTCGTCAGCTATGTCTATATTTAACCTTTTACACCCCTTCTTCACCCTCACCTTTGTCCCGATGCTGCAGCGCTCGATGAACCCTCTTTACCGCTCGCAGCGCCCTTCCACCCGAACGCTCTTCCCCCGTCGCATACACACCCCGCCCAGCCTGCAGCAGTGGATCGACCACATCACCGCTCGCAGCCCACAGCGCTCTCACGACATCCTCGACCCCGACCGCGCAAGCCAGCTCCAACGCGCTCTCCCCACCAGGCAAGGAGGCGGCTACATCGATGACCTGCCAGGAGGAGCGGTGCTGCCCCCGGCTCATCATCTCGTGTACTTTAGGCCGAGGCCTATGCTGCGTGACTTGGGCGAGGATGGGTCTGCTACTGTGAGTCGTGCCTTGTTTCCGGCGATTATCCACCTGCTTCTGTTTTTTTGGCTGGGTGCATGCATGCATGACTCATGGCAATGAGATCATTCTTACTTCTTACCCCTTCCGTCGGCCCCGTCGGTAGACCGACGCTTCGACATGTTTGGTACCTGATGTTCCAAAATTGGTGCCAACTTTATCTCTCCTCTTATGATACGACGTTCTTCCCTTTTCTTTGGCTCTTGGTCTCTTTTGGATGGACTGCGCAAGGTTGCTCCCGCGGGGTAATTGTGCTATGACTGCCTCCATCGATATTTCTGAGTTCTCTGACGACCTACGGGTCGCATCGCGTCGGGCGAAATGCCCCGCAAAGCCGCAATGCACTGCTGCTGCTGAGTGCTGGCGATCTGGCGCCTGGCGAAGAGCTGTAGCGGCTGTGTGGTGTAGCGATGTCAGTCTGTCGGGTCGGGTCGGGTACCCGTACGCATACTCTTACCGCGTAGTCCCATCAACTTCGGTCTGCATTCCAGTCTTTCTTATTTCTCTTTCCTCGTCTTATCCCTTCTCGAAAGCAATATCGGCCTACCAAAACCCGACGATCATCATGATTTCATGACAGATGAAATCCAAGAAAATGTTCCCATTGCATGCCAATAACCGAAGCTCCAAGAATCCCAAAATGGTAGACTGGAAGCTAACTCTCTTTCTGAATTCTTAGGAGTTGAACCCCCCAGCGCCATTCCTACGCCGGATGTGGGCGGGGGGTGAGTTTCAGTGGCCCTCTCTCTTTCCCCCAGCGACTCTGTCATCTTCCCCTCCTTCCTTTTCCCCGCCGTCGTCGTTCTCCTCTAGCTCCAGCCCGGCGAATGTACTCAAAGTAGGCGAGCTCGTGACACAAGTCCTGACTATCCCAAAAGTAGAGTATAAGAAGGGAAAAGTGTTTGTGCATCAAGAGCGGGTTTTGTACCCAGGCAGCGTTCGTTCTGACGAGCTGACTCTGGGAGGGGACGGGTGGGCGGTCAAAGAGACAAGGATACATGTGTTTCAAACGGCCGAAGAGAGACGTAAGTCACTAAACTCTTGTATCAAAATCAAAAAGGAATGTAGTTTACTGACTATGTTTCCAGCTACAGACAAACCATCTTCACCTTCTCTCACATCTTCTCCCCCAGCCCCGCCCTCAATTTCGACCCCTGATCCAATCTACACCCACACCTACACCCCCACAACCCCGCTCCTATTCCTCTTCTCAGCCCTCACCCACAACCCGCACAAAATCCACTACGACCACCCTTTCTCCGTCTCCCACCAACATCAAAAAGGGACACTCGTACATGGGCCGTTGAGCGCGCTCATCTTGGTGGAGATTGCGGATTCTGTCGCTCGGCAGGGAACGGAAGGAGGGGACAAGGCTAAGAGGATGGTGGGGTTCGAGTATAGGGCGACGGGGGCTATGGTTGTGGATCGTGAGGTCGTCACTTCTGCGTGGTGGGAAGGGGAGGTGCTGGCGTTGGAGTCGAGGCAGGGAGGAAAGGTTGGTATGAAAGCTCGAGCGAGGTTTGTTTGATCATCCTTTTTTTCATTCGATAGAGCGGATATGACATTAGTCGTGATATCTCTAGAGCGAGGCCTGGTGTGCCATGCTTCGTCTGAAGCGCATGTAATGTAAGCACACTGCCAATCTACCGGTGATGGTCGTTTTTGGTATCTGGACATGGACAAGCCATTTCTTCCTCGCCTTATCTACAAATTGCCCCAATCTTATCTCAGTCTTATCAGCCCGTACGATCACGGTCACCAATCACACCCTGAGTCAAACGCTCCCTGCTCTGGGATCCCTGGGCGGAGTCTCCGCCATAAGATAAACAGCCAGTCTGCAAAAAGTACCACGGAACCTGGCCGCCGAGAAATGGGCAATGACGTCTGCTCTTTCGCTGCGACTGATTCCAAAAATCGGACGATCTCTATATGTATCTCTTTCCTTCTATACCAGCCACAATGTCAGAAGCGGTTCCATACGAACAAGTCCCCATCGTCAAATCCACCGCCCCAGCCCCGGAAACGCCCTACCAAGCCCGCATGTTCTTGCATGTCGGGGCGGCGGGGGTGATGCTTTATGGTTTCCAGGCTATGAGGGCGTGGACGGTGTTTGGGGATGTCATGTCTAACCAGGTGAGCCCATCTTCTGCTTTAATGTATCTGAGAAAGAGCTGACGTGGAGTGTAGTATGGAGGTAAGCTAGACGGAATGAATGATGGTCGGTGAGGCAGAGCTGATGATCGATGGTGTGTAGGGTTCTGGCAGTATCTCACTATCCTCGGGTATGTCCCACCTTCTCAACGTACTGGCAGAGAATGGCTGGCTAACATGACAACAGTTTGACGATATCTGGTGCCACTATGCTCTTGGCTGGCGTGCAGGACCTTTTACCGAATATCCATCGTACGTCCTCGCTCTCCTTGATTGTTGATAAGGCCATGGACTGATTGATTGGGTAGTGATTCGGTTGATCAAGAGGACGCTCTTGCTCATCGCTCTCCCTGTGGAATTCATCATCACGTCCATCTACGTACGTCTCCCTCCCCTTCACCCTCCCAACCCCAACCCCAACCCCATTCCTCAGATAATGCCAGCAGCGACAAAGCTAACACACTCACAGTGGTCGCTCATCATCTTTGCCCCGCACCTCATGCTCCCCCCCACCGACCCTGATGCCGCCCAAGGCGCGCCATCGTCGTCTACGGCGGAGCCGACGCTGTTTAGGATCCCGTTGTGGATGGATATGAGTATGCACCTCTTACCGGGTATTGCTCTAGTCTTCGGTACGTCCCCCCTCCTCCCCCTCTCTCCTCCCACTTCCTCTCCCTTATCCACGATACTGACCCGTGCCTAGAATTCTTCCTCCTCGAAACCAAATACCGCCCCCCCTTCTCCACCTCCGTCGCCTTCCTCCTCGCCTCCGCGTTCGGCACATCCTACGGCTTCTGGGTCGAACACTGCGCAGAACAGAATGGAGGGGTGTTTCCGTACCCGTTTTTGACTATTCTGCCGTTGGGGGGCAGGGTGGGGGTTTATGTCGGGGCGACGGGGGTTGCTTGGGCGGTTTTTAGGGGGTTGAATTGGGTGCATAAGTAAGGGGAGTTTTGTGGGGAAATTTTGAGGATAGAGGCGTAGAGTTGTGGGACGGGAGAGTACGAGTTGGATTAGTTCTCGAGCACAATATATGCGAAAGGTCAGCAGCGAAGAAAGCAGTGTGGGGCACCTACTCTGATCTGGAGACCTTCAACAATCACCTGGGCAGAGCGATGAGAAACCGTATGAGCGGAGTGTCAGATGCATGTGCACGTTGATGAAGATATGCCATGGAGGAGAGGGAAGGCCGAATCGAGCAGTGGCACTACTGACAGGAAGCCTCGCTTGCCAAGACCAACTATTGTAGCCTGTCGATGGTCCGACAAAGTTCAAATGATCCGCCCAAATGATCCGCCCAAATGATCTGAGGGTCTCAGGTGGGAAGGATCGGGGCGTGGTCAGTGAAGGCATGACTGAAGAGTACTAGTACTGTAGAATCACGACGGGACGGTGAAGTGAAGTTGATCGATTCTGGCTCACGCAGCTCGTGGCTTGTGTGGTTTCCTCGCTGCCCCTGAGTGCGCGTTACACCTTTTCCCTTCCCTTCGAAAAATCCTTTTGTCTCCCCTTCCACCCCTCTCCGTGTGCCTCCTCCCCTGTTCCGCCCTCCCGCCCCTCAAGCCCCGCGGGAGGGGCTTGCGCCGAGCCAGAAGCATCATACCACCCCCGAGATATGTATGATACACACAGCGAGCCAAGGCACCCATGTCCGAAAGTTCAGAAAAGTATGAGAATGAGGTCCCGACACGTTTGGAGGCTGGGAGTTGAGAGTGAAGCGAAGTGAAGTGATGAACACGATGTGAAGGCTAAATGGATAGATGAGCAGCTGAAGTCCGTCGTTTGTGGGTATATATATGCATGCAACATGGAGGAGGTAGATGTCCACTCACATTACGAGCACCCGCCCACCACACGTGCCCAACCAAAACCACAACACACCCCATCCCAGCACTTACAATGTACCCCACCCGCTCTGCCCCTACACCCCCTCGAGCCGACCGAGGCGAGCTTCGGGAAGCATTGCCAGCCGGCCACCCATTCGCGAACCCCTTCCCTTACGACACCCCCAACCACTACAGCTGCTCTACTTCGTCGCTGTCTTCTTCGGCTTATACGCGTTCTGCGTCGAGCCCTGTTTCTACCCCGAGCAGACGCGCGCCTCAGAGCCCGACGGCCAGGCTGGCCCAGCCGCTCTCGCCTGCGAGGTCTGCCTCCCCTCCTTCTGTCTCTACTACCAGTGGAAGAAGAAGGGTGGATGAATTTGGCAGGGGCAGGTCTATGACCAACCCCGCGCCCCCTCCCGCGCCGGTGTATGCTACCCTGCCTACCGAGCTATCTTTGTTCGAGGCGCGCCCGAGGCAGACATTGCTGCAGGATGTGGAAAACATTCTCGGCAAGAGGATGCACTTTCCTTTCCTTGCTCGATACTCTTCCTCCTCCTGCACCTCCTCCTCATCATCATCAGCGAAGAAAGAGAAAAAAGCAAAGAAGGAGGCGGGGAAGGAGAAGAGGACGCGGAGGCGATTGACGAAGGAACGGCCGTATGACGACAACTGGGCGATCTGGGCGGGGATGGACCAGTTTATGGATAGTCAAGTGGTAGTAGCGGAGGAGCAGAAGAGCAGGAGGGGGGTGAGGGGGGGGAACTGGATTTAGACATGCATGACGATAGCCCACGGACCAGGTTGAGGGATGTGGCATTGGTGGGGCTCTCATTGGCGGTTCGAGTGCCACACTGGCCGGCGTTTTAAACGTCGCGATTCTCGTTGGCTGGTGCGTCCATAACCTCTCACCGTGTCATCTATCCACAACATCCCTCCCTACTCTTCCTTGCCTCTTTCCCTCCCCCGCCATGCTCTCCCGCCTCGCAGCACGCAACCTCCGCTCAGTCGCGGGCCCCTCAAGTCAGTCGTGCTACAACAACCACAGCCATTTTGCAACCCACAACTGACGCTGCTTGCTTAGGAACCCGACTCTTCTCCTCTTCCATCCCCAGATTAGCAGATGTCACCCTCACAATCGACGGCAAGGAGGTCACCGTTCCCCAGGGAACCGCTTTGATTCAGGCTTGTGAGCAGGCGGGCGCTACGGTTCCTAGGTTGTGAGTGTGCTTCTCTGTAATAGTGTTGGTTTGCATTGGAGATGGCGCATGTGTGTGGTGCTGGAGGGAGACTGCTTGGGGAGATGAGAGAGAAGTCGAGTGACTTGAAGAGCAATGTAGGGGCGGGAAGTGGGGCGGCGAGATGTGGATTCGCGCGTGAAGGCGGTGGTATATGGACGCATACTCCATCTCCCCCGCCTTCCCCCTACCTCCTCTACCCTGTCACGCATCTCCACTCTCCGAGGAGACGCTGTATATGGCGGTCGCTTGCTCTTTAGCAGCATGCGGGGATCCAATTCCCACAGTGACTTTATGGTGTCGTTGATTGGCTCTTGAGCAGCCGAGGCGCGGGGCTGCTAGTCTGCGATGGGGCCCGCTGGGGTCTAGCTGCTCGCGCCCATCCAATAGTGTTGCCCCTGCTTGTTTGGTTGCATGTCAACGGTGGATGGGATAGGAAGCATGGCTGACACGCAAGCAGCTGCTACCACGACCGCCTGGCAATCGCCGGTAACTGCCGAATGTGTCTTGTCGAAGTCGAGAGATCACCAAAACCCGTCGCCTCCTGCGCCATGCCCGTCATGCCCGGCTCCAAAGTCTTCACCAACACCCCCCTCGTCCACAAGGCCCGTGAAGGCGTCATGGAATTCCTCCTCGCCAACCACCCCCTCGACTGCCCCATCTGCGACCAAGGTGGCGAATGCGATCTCCAAGATCAGTCTATGCGGTACGGTTCGGACAGGTCGAGGTTCCACGAGATCACCGGCAAGAGGGCGATTGAGAACAAGGACTTGGGACCTATCGTCAAGACGTCGATGAACAGGTGTATCCAGTGCACCCGATGTGTGCGATTCGCGAATGATGTCGCTGGTGTCGAGGACATGGGTACCACCGGTCGAGGTAACGACCTCCAGATCGGCATGTACATTGAAAAGACGATGGACTCGGAGATGTCTGGTAACATTATCGACCTCTGCCCCGTTGGTGCCCTCACCTCCAAGCCTTATGCTTTCCAGGCCCGACCCTGGGAGCTCAAGAAGACGGAGAGTGTGGATGTCCTCGACGCTGTGGGCGCCAACATCCGAATCGACTCGCGCGGTACCCAGGTTATGCGTGTGCAGCCCAAGGTCAACGACGAGATCAACGAAGAGTGGATCAGCGACAAGACGCGATACGCCTACGACGGTCTCAAGTACCAGCGTTTGACCACGCCTCTTGTGCGAGAGGGCAACAGGTTTGTGGCTGCTGGTTGGGAGCAGGCGCTCGAGACGATCCGACATGGGTTGGTGTCTTCTGGTGCCAAGGGTGATGAGATCCAGGCTGTTGCTGGTGCGCTCGCCGATACCGAGGCGCTTGTGGCTGTCAAGGACTTGCTCAACAAGCTCGGGTCTGAAAACCTCACCCTCGACCAGAACCTCGGCGACGCCCCGACCAACGTCGACATCCGATCCAACTATCTCTTCAACACTGGTATCGAGAATGTCGAAGATGCCGACGCCGTCCTCTTTATCGGCTCCAACCCCCGACACGAGGCTGCCACCATCAATTCTCGATTCCGCAAGTCTTTCCTCCACCGCGGTACCGACTTTGCCGTGATCGGTGAAAAGTTTGACTCTACGTTCGAGTATGACCACCTCGGTACCTCTGGTAAGGATGTGGCGGCCTTCTTTGGCGGCAAGGCTGGCAACTCTTTCGCCAAGATCTGGAAGGATGCGAAGAAGCCTCTGATTGTGGTTGGAAGCGCCGTGACGGAGACCAAGGATGGGGCTGCTATCCTCGCCGAGGTCAGCAAGCACGTCTTGGCCAACTCTGAAAAGTTTTTGACTTCTGAATGGACCGGTTTCTCTGTTCTCCAGAGGGTGAGTATCTCGTACATGTTTTGAGTTTGGGGCTGATGAGATATAGGCCGCTTCCCGAGCCGCTGCCTACGACATTGGCTTCACCCCCTCCGCCTCCGCCGCCCAAACCAAACCCAAATTCGTCTACCTCCTCAACGCGGACGACGTCGACCCCGCCTCCATCCCCGAAGACGCCGTTGTCGTCTACCAAGGCCACCACGGTGACCACGGTGCGCAGTTTGCGGACGTCTGTTTGCCTGCGGCGGCGTACACTGAGAAGAGCACAACTTGGGTGAATACTGAGGGTAGGAGTCAGTTGGGTAGGACGGCGGTGCCTCCTCCTGGGGCTTCTAGAGAAGACTGGAAGATTGTCCGGTGAGTTACACGCGTACTTTCTAGTGATTGGAAGCTGACGGGATTGCAGAGCATTGTCAGAAGTCGTTGGCGAACCGTTGCCGTATGACACTGCCCACGACATCCGTGTCCGTCTCTACAACATCTCCCCCTCCCTTGTCCGATACGACGAAGTCGAACGCCCTTCACCCGAAGTCCTCAAACTCGGTCTCACCACCCTCGCCTCCTCTTCCGCGCAATCATCAGCCGAACCGTTGAAGAAGCCTATAACAGACTTTTACAGGACGGATCCTATCTCCAGGGCGTCGGTGACGATGGCGGACTGTAGCAAGGCGTTTACGAAGAAGGAGTATGTCATTGGGGATGTGGACTCGGGAGCGCAGGCTAGTTATGCGTAGAAAGTGTAGAGGGTAGTGGTTTCGTTTTTTTTTTTCTTTCCTACTCTTTCCGTGTTTATTTGTAATCAGCATATGCAGGACCAGCATTCATCACACAATTACAATAGGCTCTATGGTTGCGGTGTCGGTCCCCTACTCGCGCGCTCGCCCATCTTTTGCCGGACATTCCCCCAAAGTCTCCCCGCTCCATCCCTCAGCCCGCCCGCCACTTGATCCATCTTGGGCATCTCAAACGTCGCGCCCACATCCCCCGGTGTAGTCCTATACAGCCCCGAACCAGCCACCCCGCCCACATTGAGCTCGTACCCTCCAGCGCGGAGGCTGACGCCGCTGGTATTGCCGGCTGCTTCTCCTGCTGCTGGTGTGCTCAAGTTGGCGGAGGAGGAGGAGGAGGAGACGGGCGGAAGGGCGTAGCCGGCGGTGGACAAGCCTGGCGGGGGTTGGTAGATGGATTCGGGATAATGCTCTGCGGCTTGTTCGACCATATCCAGGAAACTACATTCTCTGTCAGCTTTCTGGTTCATTATGGGCTAAGAAAGAAGAAGGGGGACAGACCTGTTGGAGTTGTGGATGGTGCTACCGCCGAGTATGATGCGTGTACCGCCGGCCGGACCGTTGGCTTCGGATGTGAGTCTCTGATTGAGGAGCGCGACGGTACGGGCTTCTTCGTATGTCGTACCGCCGAGCATGAAGATGATAATATCTTGCGGTCTGTTCCCTTTCGTCAATAAATGATCTGATCGATGGGGGGAATGGACGTACCTCTGGCTTCTGGCCCACTCGTCTCCTTCCAAGAATGGATAACTCGTCTCCCTCAACCTCCCCTTCAGCAACAAGTCCAACGTCTGCCCCAAATGCGGCGTATGCTGCGTATACACATTCTCCACCCCTTTCAACCCTTTCAACGCACTCTTCCCTCTCGAGAAGAAGTTCTCATTCATAAACAGGTCATCTTGCCTGACGTCGGCACCGCAGAAATTGAGAAAGGCGTATACGAGCCGGGCCTGGGCGGGGGGCAGGTGGCCGGCGGTGGTGAGGAGGGAGGTGATCTGGGGGATCTGGGCGGAGGGGGATTTTTGGTAGCGGAGGGCGTAGAGGATTGCTAGGCGGAGTTTGTTGGCTGGGGGGATCTTGGGGGAGGAGATGAGTTCTTGGACGCTCTGGTCCATACATCAGTATGTGATCAGAGGCAGGGATGGAAGACGTACTTTGAGATCAGCGGCGTGGCTGTCTTGACTCGCCAGACTCTGCTCCACCTCGCTCACTTCCAACAGACCATCACGCTCCACGATCCGACTCAGCTCCCCGACGATACTGACATGTTTACTAACATTCCCTCCGAGCTTTCTGAACTCGGGATAGTCTTCCACAAAACGCTTCATATCCGCCACCGTCTCAATCCTGTTCGTCGACTTGGCGCCCGAGAGCGCAGCATTACGCGCCTGGTAGGACGAGACGTACTCTGCGATGGATGCGCCGAGATCACCAAAGTTTGAAAACAGGTTTTGCGAGTAGAACGGATCAGACGCAGGTGAGAGTATGAGGTCCCGGAGCTCTGGCTTGGACTCGTTCGGTATCCTCACCCGTCCATTCGTGATCCCCAGCAGCTCGTGCACCATTGCCTGATACGTCCATTGGCTCAACAACGGCGTCACTGGGTCATTCCGCCTGTCTAGTATCAAGAGCAGAGGGGCAGGACCTTGGGTACCGCGGAAATCAAAGAGGTCGCGGTATTTGGAGTTGATCTCGCCCGACACGGCTTGGGCGAGGGTTCGGCCGGGTTGGGACATGCGTTCCCAGCGGATGATGGGGCGTTTCTTGAGGGAGAGAAGGAGGGCGAGGACGGATTGGAGGTGGGAATCTAAAGTCGGGGGTGGGAGATGAAGGGGTGGGGGAAGATAGAGAGGTGGCTGGATGTCTGTCAGAAGAGGCCATACTCGGGAGACAAGGGACGTACATTGGGTGGGCCGTCTCCGCCATCTGCAAGAGCTGCCGGTGTCAGACTCCAATGCGACGGATAATGAGCTAGGTAGTCGGCAAAGTATTCCTGCCAGAGTCAGCACCTTATCTTCCCTAATGCCAGCATACCCACTTGGACCTCCTTGACGACTTCAAATTCGTCCACGCTCGCCATCTCTTCAATCTGGCTTTTCTGGAGGACATTCGAGAAGAATAGCCAGTAGCTGCCATACCGCGGTTTGGCTAGCTCGGATTTGACGGCTTCGATAGATGAGCGCGTGGGAGAGAGAAATGCGATACAGGAGAGATGGTTGAGGGGTTCCCGAGAGGAACTATGAATAGGCAGTCAGTTTGAGGACAGGCAACAGCACCAAGACGCACTTGTCTATGCGGTCTGTCAGATAGACCTCGTGAGCTAGCAGCTCGCTTTGTGTGGTGACGAGAGAGACAATGGGTGTCTGGACATGGACGCATGAGCATGGTGATGAGACGGGAGAGGGATACGTACAGTATGGGCATCGAGGAGGAGGACCTTCATGCCAGAGACCTGGTTGATCATCTTGAAGACGTACGTCTGTACGGCCTTGGTGACGTCCATGGTGGGTGTAGAGGATGCAGGGATATGGGAGGATATAGGTGAAATTAAGAGAGACGAGGACAAGACGAGGATGCAAGAGGAGATGAGCGGAAACCCGGGGTCCCCGCGGCCACTGTCCGTCGTTCTGAACGTGTGAATATCGTTGACATTCTTTCTTCGACCGAGCTAGGCAAGGCGTAGGCATCACGGATGGACCTCAAGCAACAATGCGACCAGCTTCTTATACATAGATGCATACAACAACAGCGTAATGCGCAGATATCTCAAAGACCCTTATCTAACGCCTCTAGAACGGCTTTTGTCCCCTCGTTCCCATCTCCACCGGACTATCCGTCATGCCACCACCAACATCCTCAAGCCACGTCTGCTTATTCGCCTTCTGCCTATCCATCTCCTGCTCTCTCTCCCAAAATGTCTTTGGCTTTTCCTTCCCCTTGCCTATCCCCACATCGTCAAGACTGGGTTCCCTGGAAAGCCGCAATGGCGGAAGGTTGGCACTCAGCCCCTTTCTTGCAAGCTTTGGCGCTTCAGAGGAAACTTCATCCTCTTCATCACTGACGACCGCCGAGCTCGGGATGAATGCGTTTCGCAAAGGCGACTTTGTACGCGCCGGATCTTTGGACAGCGGAGACAGCTCGACGTCTGAATGCGAGCGGACAATCGTCGGTGGGGAAGGTCTCTGAGAAGTGGTCGTCTGAGGAGCTTTTTCTTCTTCTGCTGGGGCGTCGTGCGGGAGGTCGAAAGTGGGATGTTGGGAGAGGGTACCGATGTCGACGGTATTTGTGCGTGGTCTAAATCCTTGTGGATGAGGGTGTTGGAAGGATAGTCTAGGAGTCCCTAGATCGTGGTAGGTGCGTAGAGAGTCTGATAAAGCATCAAGCTGGTGGCATGTCAGTCGTGGGGTGCTAAAGCGAATGGGACGCTCACCTTTTGCATGATCTCGTCCACGCCCTTCTCTCGAGCTTTGAGCGACATTTCAACTTTCGCTCCATCCCCCCCTTCCTTGTTCTCTTTCCCCACTTGATCATCGTTCTCCCCCAGCGCTTCCAGAGCCAAGTGCATCCTTGCAACCTCTTCCTGCCCTTTAAACACCTTGTCCAGATAGCCTCGCATATTGCGGCACAGATTGTCTCCATCCTCAGATATCTCCGCGTTGAAGATCTCGAATACAGGCTGTGGTATCCCGGCTTTCGACGCCTTCTTCTTCTCGGGACTCTGCGGCAAAGCGGAGGGTAATAGACCATGGTTCGCTTCCCCCGGTGCAGAGGACGACCGATGGATAGAAGGCCGATGATGCTCTCCCCCTGCCCCCATATCCAGCGCCACAGACGGCTTGATGAACCCCGACACATAGGCGTCGTGCACGCTCGCAGGCGGTATACTCTTTACGTCTATAGGCCTGCTTGCCCGCGGAGGAGGGGCGTGGGCCGGGAGAGTCGAGCGGGAGGTGTTGTGGTCGGACAGGAGGGTGAAGGGTTCTTCGCTCGCCGCGTGGGAGTTGAGCGTGCTCTGGTCCTTGTCTTTGGGGATACTGGGCGGCTCTTTGGCACTTGAACCTTCTTGAGCAACAGGGTCAGACCGCGGGGGTTTCGCAAAGTCTTTCGCAGCCACCAGCCGGCTCGGCCCATCAGCTGACGTATGCCGCAGCCCAATATCACCCCCCACAGGCTTTATCGGAGCATTGGGCGATTGACTATGATCTCGAGAGGAGGAAGGCGGGGTGGTTTGTTGTAGTCGGGGAGAAGCGAAGGAAGTGGATGCGGGCGAGTCGTGGATGGCGTCGCCGTATGCGGGGGACTGGAGGATGATGGATGGGGGAGAGGCGAGTGAGGAGGACTTGCGGCGTTTTGAGGTGTAGTACCCCAGCATTGCGTGAACGAGGCAGAAAGAGAGCTGGCGGAAGACCGACCGTCAACAATGTCAAAGGTCATGCTCGCAGTTACGTAAGGCATGATCCAGCTTGTGCAAGTCCGTCGACTCGTCGAGTGAGATGCTACAAGAACGGCAATGAAGGCCTCTCAAGACTCATTGGGTATACCCCGGCCTCGTGTGTACTCAGAAAGTTACTTGTCCATGACAGGTATGCGGCATCAGACACCCAGATACGACGAGGTTATCAATGCCGCCGCGCTTCGTGAAATGGCATTCAACGTTCAACCTGTCCAGTCGTTCCTCAGCCACAACAACCTCATACCCAGATGAGCTCCCAGAAATACAAGCAAAAAAAACGACGGCACCCGGGATTCCCAGGTGGTCCCCCACCCTGGTACTAACCGAGCGCTCTCCTAGTTGACTTCGCGGATCAGACGGGACGCGGTACTTTGAGGAGGCTATGGCCGTCGATGGTGTCTTCGCCAAAACTGCGTTTATGGCACTATCACAAGGAGGCAAGATATCAGTGCCAATAAGCGATGATATAGCTTGGGAGATTGAAAGTGGAGAGCAGATTGAGTGCGACAAATACAACATTGCTTGACGCTATGTATTCAAACCTCGAACGGTCAAACTGTATATCACAGTTCGAGCTGACATTATGAATACAACCACCACCGACATCTCTAAAACTCTTCTACTGCCCACCCACGGCCCAGCTGACACCAAAGCTAGCCATACTTCCGCCCGCCAAACCCGTTACCAAACAGAAACTTGCCAAGCTCGCAGCCACATCGCGCTCCTCATCCTTGATACGCGGATTCAAAGACGGGGAGGAGGCGACGATCATACACAATGAGCTCATGTAGCTACAGCAGTGTTAGTATCGGTCGGTTGGAATGTGGTGAGGACGTACCCGTTGGTGATAGCAAATGCCAGAATGATGGCGAGGTAGACAAAGTCAGAGTTGATAAAGGGCGTGTTGCCGACGCTCCTCGGAGCGACGTTGCAAGCGAAGAAGACCGGGATGAATAGTGTCCTACTCAGCGATAGAGTGAGAATATGCTTGGGAGAAGTCAAGAGCAGAGAGGGGATGGCGGGGAGGTATGTTCGGCCGATATAGTCGCCGATGTTGAAGAGGACGAAATGCAGAGGGATGAATACGTCTGGTTGGAGCAGACGCGGGGCTGGGACATGGGTCGATAAGATGCGTGTTGTGATGGGAGGGAACACAGACTGTATAATGTTTAGAACGCGAAGGGACATATAGCAGGACTTACGAGAGTGACGATAAAGACCCAGGCCACGGCAACATTCACCTCCCAGTTCTGACTGAGAATCTTCATAGTCGAGCCCTTCACTTTCGTATGCTCGTCTTCCCCGCTGGCACGAGAAGCTTTACCAGCAATCACAGAAGTGTATTTCGGATGCTTCTGTAGGTAGTTGCTCGCTACAAAGCAAGCAAGAGCGCCCAGGGTACAAGCAGCCCAGAGCCCCACACCGGCCAGCTTGCTCGCTTCTTCACCGCCCGGCACACCATTCTCCTTCTTGCCGATAGCACTCACGAAAGCCAATACGAATTGGATCCCAGACACCAGCACAGCTATCCCTCCTTGCCCTGACATGACGCCCAGCGTCTGTTCGCTGCCCCACAGAGATGAGAGGGCAAAGACGGATGATTGTAGGTATGCAGTCGCGAGGGAGAGGACGAGGGAGATGGAAAGGAGCGATGTAAGGAGGAGCGCTGGGGAGAAGTGGGGGAGAAGGCTCGGTAGTAGCGGGTATGTGAGGACCAATGCCGATACGAGGAGTAGGAGAAGGGAACAGTGAAGACGTTTCGCCGGTGATGCCTATCTTGTTAGACGACAGCCTTTGAGATCAGAGCTGTGCTCACTGTGCTGACATGGCGTTGGGCCAGACCCAAGAAGAAGAGGTTTCCAAAGCAGTACACCGTAGACAGTATACTTGATAGACTGCCTCGCATGGCAGAGTCGGCCGGGAGGTACGATATCAGCAGAGGGAACGTGCATATCAGAGCTATCCGGAGTGTTAGCGGCGTGTTCGGTGGTCTGTAGTCACTCACCATTCCAGCTGATGAGTACACCAGCCCCGAGCACCCAGAAGCAGAGATACACCTTGACCCTCTCATACTCGCCCACTTCCCTAGTCGCACCGGGGCCAAGAGCGTCATCGAGCTCTTCGCCGTCGATGGGTTCTTCGGGGTTGCCAGATATCACAGGCTGGTACTCTGATGGATCTGGGCGTTGGGAGGGCGAGGGTGCGAGTAGTGAGCGGATGGCGTCGAGCATTTCGCAGACGATGAAGAGGAAAAGTAACTCTGATAATAGTCACCTCGCGCGTTTCCATTTCCTCTCCTTTTGCCTTTTCTTACCATTCGCCTTCGCCATCACAAGTCTATAATCTGCCCAATCGTCGTCTCGAGCGGTATCTCAATATAGAATCGGTACAAACCCGGCCCTCGCTACACCCTCCCACAGCCAAAAATGTCTCTCCCCCAAGCGGGACATGAGGAACCAGCCAACATGCTGTCACCAGCTGGGGTTTCGTCGGACGTATTACCGACAACAGCCCAAACGGCAACAAACGGCAACATCGAAACGGCAGCAAGTGTCATGCCTTTGGAAAACGGTTCAGAGCAGTCAGTCACACCGTCACAGCCATTGCCGACGAACGGTTTCACCAATGGGTCTCGAACGGCAGCGGAACATGTAGCAAATGGGGACGTTTTTCATGGCAATGGTGAAACATCGATACAAGCTGCCGAAAGCTCACATCCGTAAGAAGAGATAAAAAGTGACCGTGTGGGCATACCGCTGACGTTCGAAGCAGATTATATGTTCAAAACAAGCCGCCTTATCCTGCACCGGCTCATGTGATCTATCCCGAGGAATCGATACCCAACCCCTCCGTGAATGATCCGCGACCTCAACCCGTCTTTCACAACCTCGATGCAAACTCCCTGTATCGACCTGCAGTCCTCCCAGCGGATTGCGATGATAGAGTAGAAAAGTCGAGTATATGGATCAATATCGATCCGGCGACGTGTACGTATCCCAAGCTCATCAAGCTCTGCGCTAACGCTCTACTCAGCTAAAGCCGTATATTGGCTCCCTCCCACTTGCATGACTTGCAAGAATCCTGCTTTTGCCCAACATTGCGACCGCACATGGCCGAAATGCACTCGCTGCACCACTCGAGGCGTCCGCTGTATCCCCGGCAAAGGCTGGGGTCCGCTCAAACCGAGAGGCAAGCGCCGACCAGCTGCGCCCCTGGTATCTGCATCTACTGGCACTAGGACACGGGGGAGAGATAGTACGGGATCGGTCGTGAAAATTGAGAGGGAACCGTCTCCTACGTTTCAATTGGAGAGTAGCGAAAGGCCAAGGCGGATCTCTGGAAGAGGGCTGAATGCTGGGAGTGACGTGGAGATGGCCAGTCCTTCGTCGACTTTGGTGTCTAATACTACGACTCCTCTGAGTGGAAGGGGCAAACGGACGCGGACGGAAGTGGTGCAAAGCCCGGCATCTACTACTGCCTCCGTGCCCAGGGCTGCGAAGCGCTTACGCCCGAGTGTCTCTCACCCCACGTCCCCCTCGCCGCTCCAAAATCAAATTCCCAATCCTACTCCCGTCCCGGCTTCTACTCCACCTGTGAACAATGTTCCTACACCGATATCCCTCAAGATATCGAGGTCTCGTTCATCTCTGGCTTCCTCATCCCAGTACCCCGCACTTCCGTCGCCTATAAAAACGCCATCCCTCATTGCCGACATTGCCCCAGTCGTACAACGGCCTGCACCGATACCTAAAGGCAGCACAAGGGCGAAATTACCCCTACAAAAGGAGCTTACAGACCAATGTCCGGCCATCGCGCATACTCGGCAAGACCTCGCCGCTGCTCTCGACTATGTCAGCAACCCGAAGAGGACCGCCGGGGGGAGTGTCAGTAGTAGTGTCACCGGGGCTGCCAAAGGTTTGATTCTGGAGGGCAAGGTGGATGCTCAGGGGGTGTACTTTGGGATGGGAGAAGAGGCTGGAACTATCATCACCACCATGTAAGTATACATCCTTCTTGCAGCAGACGCTTATAACGGTGTCAGTGGAAATGCTCGAAAGCAAAATACAGAATCCTTCAGTGATCCCACTATCGTCCCTGAAGCACCCCAAATACAGTCCCTTCTAATGGCGCAGAGCACCAGGACCCCTGTCGGTATTGTGGTCAAGAATGATTATGAGGCTCTGCCTTGGAATCTGCACGCCGAGTATGCTGTTTTGGGATTTTTCTGGGTTGTTGATGCTTGGGTAAGTCATGCGCCCCGGGTAACATTGAGGCTGACATCTTGCTTTAGGTCGAACCGGTGGTCTCATCACTGGAGCTCTTCACCCCAAACCAAAAAGCGCCCAATGGCCCACCTGAAAAAGTAATCTGGAAATTCCGTTTCGAGTGGTGTCAAGATGGGACATCTCCATGGTGGTCGCCTTCGTCAAACCTTCATTGGTCTCGTCAAGCTTATATCGAAGTCGAAGATACAGCCTCTTGGGATCTACCAGGAGGCGCAGACAAGACCATCGAGCCTAGGACGGTACAACGCTCAGGCAATCTGGAGGCGAATGGGCAAGATGTCGTTATGAGGAATGGAGAGAGGGATGCTGTGAGGCATCGCTGCGAGAACTGTAGAGCTGTGTCGCAGAGAGTGTATAGAGATGGAGATATCTGCTTGAATGAGCAGTGTGCTTGGTTCTTTGGTGATGCGTCAGACGCCAATAGTGAGTCTACCAGCGCTCATGAATGCCTTCTCTGACACTCTACAGACCGGATAGGACCCATCAGCAACACGCCCGGTCCCGTCAAACCCCTCCCTCGTATACTTCCCAGGCAACAAAACCGTGTCATCTGCCCACCCGAGCCCGGACATTCAGTCTTCAAAAGTGGTCGCGAAAACGCAGGTATAGAGTATTGGGTGGCTTGGGTCTGTAAAGACTGCAAAGTGGCGCAGCAACGGGCCACATGGTTATGGAAATGTCGATTCTGTCCTGTACGTCAAGCAACGAGAGTTGCAAGTAGGGTCGCTGATGGAATGCGGCAGAGAAAGTACGATATAGCTCCGGTGACCTACACCCACGTTGGCCTTCGCCCACCTCGTCCTGTATGTACAGGTCCTCGCCAAGAAGACGGCTACGCCTATTGGCCGCATAACGCTCCTCGGTCCTGGTCCCTCTACAAGGACGATGTGAAGGTCGTCAAGCACATGCCGACAGAGTCTCTGGGAATGGGTGTGGAGGTACATCATGCGCTCAGTAGCGATCGGACGGCAAGTGAAGCGGGTGTGTTGCTGGTCAGAACGCAGAAAGAGTTGGCGAATGATCTCCTTCGGGGAAGTTATCTCGAAGGAACAGCAAAAGGTATGTCTATTTACAACCAGCCCGAGACTATGTGCTCATCAAAAGCAGGTGCCGAGATGGTCCTCTCACTCTTCTACGCCTACAGCGTTGGCATGCAAGCCTCAAGACTACCCGCATTCCCTGTCAAAGAGGTTCTTTTCTGGGATCGGGCCTATAAAATCACGCTCGACATCATGCGCATGATCAATAGCCAGGCAGCACGCATGTTCCCTGGTCAACGAGAGTTTGGCAACCTTACCATCGCTGCCATGCCGCCCCACCTGGACGCACGCTCTGCGCCGCTCATCACTGTTCCTGCCAAAACGCTGTTGACGATCCTATTCATGGGTTCAGACTCGACAGTCAAGATCAAGTCAGTCGGCCGGGGTAAGCAGGGGTCGCTAGTGGCACAGCATGGTGATGTGATTGGAGTCAAGGCTGGAGAGGTTGCTGTCGATGTGTCGGTCAAGATGGATTCATTTGGGTTCTGTGAGTACCCCATCTAACTTGAATTGAGTGGTGCTCATACGCAAATATAGTGTGTATTGGACGTCATGGTGTCATGCCAGGCCAATCTCCAGCCCCAGTCCCAGCCCCAGCCCCAGCAGCTCGGATCCCACCTCCTGCCCCTGTTGCGAAACCCCCAACTCCCGCCCCTGCCCCCGCCTCCTCCTCCAGACCTTCCGCCCAACCGCCCATAGTCGGCCCTCCCAAGCTCGCCACAGCTCCATTGAAAGGCTGGTACCTCGGCGGCCACCCTCTCGACCCCTCGGATCCCGAAATCATCTACCCAGCCTTCCGCCCGCCTCAAGAAAATCCTTATGCCAAGGTCGACAAAGGCAAAGGCAAAGCTACGGAAGAGTCGGAAGTCGAGCCAGAACCGCCTGCACCCGAGCCTGTGACCAGGCCACCACCTATCATCCTCGATGAGATGCCTCCCCCGCCTAGGTTGTGGGAACCTCGCCCTTTGTCACCTTTACCCGGTTATGGCGAGAGTACAGAGACTATGCGAAAGCAGATGGCAGAAGCTGCTGCGAACGCGCCTTCGCCTACTCCGTCGGTAGAAGAAGTCCCAGCCTCGAGAGGCCGCGGTCGTGGTCGCGGAGGCCGAGGCGGACGAGCAAGAGGCAGAGGCAGAGGAAGAGGAAGAGGGCGTGGCGCTGCGACTGCCGCTGCTGCTACTCCTGTTACAGTCCGGGATGAGTCGGAAGCTCCTCCTGCTCCTGTTCGTGGGGCTAGAGGTGGAAGAGCACGGGGTACTCGAGGTACTCGCGGTACTCGTGGCGGAAGAGGTTCGCGAGGCGGTACCAGGGGAGGAAGGGGCGGTAGAACAGCAGTCAAGATTGAGCCTGACCTTGAACCGGAAGATGATCACAGCGCGAATGGTGGCCAGGAGATGGATGTGGATGTTGATCGGGCGAAAGCCGATGGTGATCAACCCGCAAACGTGGATATGGATGTGGATGCCAATGCGGAGACGACGGGCTCCGGTCCGAGCGCGACAGCTGGCACGAGGGGTAGGGGCGGCACTAGAGGGACACGGGCTAGGGGGAGAGGGTCGAGGGGTATGGGTGGCACGAGAGGTCGGGCGCGGGGGGGAGGGTAGACGCAGGAAAAGGCGGCACGGTATGCTCAATCGTGACCGGGCACCTTGCCCAAGAACCACAACTTCTATCAATCATTTTCAATACCTATCGGTATTGCCTTCTGCCCACAGATAGGAGTAAGGAGTGTGTTGCTTGTCAGTGGCATCTCAATGCATCTGATCATACTCTCGGAAACAACTCGAGGTGCTGCAAGATCACAGTGTACGGTACTCGTACCGCTCCAGTAAAGAGCATCTTTCGACCCAATCCATGACTGTGGCTTCTTCTGTCTATGATAGGTCTTTTCTCCTATACAATGATACTAGCCAGATGCGATACTACTCTAGTCCGAAACGTGGATAAGAAGCTTTCCAGTAGTACCCCGTCCGACAATATCCTTCTCCGCCTGGATGATGCCTTCAGCAGTGAACGGGTACTCTTTGTGCACCTCAAACTGCAACTGATCAGTATGTCCCTCAATCCGTCAATGTAGAGAACGCACCTTGAGGGGCGCCTTCTTGGTGATATCGACAAGCTCGTCAGCGTACTGCTTAAACTCTTCTGGAGTGGCGATCATGGGGAACAGAGCTGGGCGGACCAATTTGAGGACCTTGGGCATGAGCCTGTTGACTACCAGGTCCGGAGGAGTACCCTATCATAGACCAATCAGTCACAGCTCCCAGCAGCAGGAAGACTCGGATGACTTACCGAAGCGTTGCCATAAGACACGATCGTTCCCTTCCTTCGCACAACCTCAAAATTTTCATCCCAAGTGGATGCACCCACACCGTCGTACGATACGTGCACACCGCCACCAGAAGCTTCGAGGATCTTCTTGACATTCTCTTCTGCCGGGTCGGTGGAGAGAAGGACGAGGTCTGCACCATACTCTTTGACAACCTCAGCCTTCTCGGGCGTCGAGACAGTACCGATAACGTGTCCACCAAGGTACTTTACAATCTGCGTCAAGATCAAGCCCACACCTCCTGCCGCAGCTCGTACCAACACCCAATCACCCTTCTTGACCGCATAAGGCTCTCTCACCAATGCCAATGCCGTCAGACCGACAACGTTGAGGGAGACACCGTCCCGCTTGTCTATGCCTTTGGGGAGGAGAGCGACACGTGAGGCGGGTACGGCGATGTACTCGGCCCAGGCGGAGCCGGAGGGTGAGAAGACGGTGGATCCAACGGGAATGTTGAAGCCGGGGGAGCCGGAAGGAGAGGTAAGGAGGGTGCCGACGACGTCAAAGCCGGCAGTATAGGGCTTCTCGCGGTCGTAGACGCCGCTTCGCTGGTCTAGAAATGCTGATGAGATGTATGCCAGTGGGTCCAAGGGAGGGACTTACAGATGTCAACGTAGTTAACGCCGCTGCGACGGTATTGGTTCAGCTCACGCCCTTTTCAAAGAAAGCAGTGCTGGGTAAGAGACTCACGTCCACTGGACCTTGATCAAGACTTCATCCGCCTTGGGAGTCGGGACTGGAATGTCTCTGAGGATGTTGACCTCTGGTCCGCCCACCTTGTCGACCTAGAGGATCACGTCAGCGAGGGGGGGAGCAGAGTCGAAGCCAAGGGCTGCGCACCTGAATTGCTTTCTGTGTCTTGGGAATATCGGTGCTGCTCATGATGAACGATTTTTGTGGATTCAAAAGTGCATGAGCGGGGAACTATATATACTGCATGGTCGTGGATGGAGGCCGTCATACCATGGCCCATGCTGACCTGAGCAAAAGACGAGCTGACTGTCCTCGGGTTGCCGAATCCGCATGATGTGTCATCATGCACCACCGAGTTGCTACCTCCACCTCCTCCACCCTGCTTACCTATCTTGGTGCATGTCGTCCAGAGGGAGTATACGAAATACCATATGCCACAGAAAAGAGCCCCCTCTCGCCACTGAGTGACATGGTGGGATGGTCAGTCATTGGCCCTTCGACAGGTGACCAAATCGCTATGAAACACGAACGAAGAGCAATAAGAAACACACTAACGCTTCTCATACATGTTCCTAGTCTGACCGTTACATATGCTACAGATATCACACATATACCCTGCAAAACCCACGAAAGAGTCGCCTAGTCATACAACGCTCAACAGTCCCGGTCTCAAATCCCAGACCAGTCCATGAATCCCCGTCAATCTACACCCCACTCTTAAAACGCCTAGAGCTGATCTCTCCCCGTCAACACTTCCGGCGTCGACATCCTCCTCGCCTCGTTCCAGTTCCCACTCCCCCCATGCCCATGCCCAAACCCTCTTGACCAGCTGGTCAACTTTGACCTCGTCGGCTGATCCACCAGCTTGCCGTGATACACTGCCCTCATCACATTCGCCGTCGGCGACGCCGGTGTGCCCTCCTTGATCTGTTCCGACCTGAAACTGAACGTAGACGGCGTCGGCGGGGCGAAGGGTGATAACAGCGGCTTAGACGGAGATGGAGGCAAGGGAGAAGTCGATCGGGGTGTAACGTCCGCCGTCTTGTTGTTGAGATTGGCAAGTAACGCTGACGGCAACAATAACGGGAACAACGTCCTAAACCGCCCATCCAAACTCGCCCCCTCAATCACGGGCTGTACCACCATCCTCGCCGCCTCCCCTTCTTCCTCATCATCCTCCATCAACGCATCCAGCCTCGCCTTCCACACTGCTTGATTGTTGGCACAGCTATCGGCGTAACGTTGCAGTTCGGGGAGAGCGTCGGATACGGCGTCAAAGAGGGGTTTGGTGAAGAGGTCGATAAACCCAATTTGGCCTTTGGCTTGGAGGGCGGCGTCGGCAGAGGCGACGACGGAGACGGGGAGGGAGAGGTCGTGTTCGAGTGAGGCTTGTTTGGCCCATTCTTCGAGCAGCACAGATGACCAGTGTTGCGAGACGTCTATCGGTCGGCTCTGTCATATAATCAGTGTCGTCGTTGTAAAAGAAAAGGGGTGACTCACAGGATTACTGATATCTGCACTCTTGATCAACGCCTGACAAATCAACACCCTCTCCTCCTCCTCCCCTCCCACAACGCCCTCCCTCAACCGCTCATCGAACTCCTTCAACCTCGCAATCCACGCAAAATGCAGACTCATATCCGTCGCCAATATCGACGAATAGAGCACCTTCCTAAACCCTTTCTGGTCGATCCCGCTCTCGGTCGCGCGGGCCAGGCAGGACGGGGTGGAGGATTCGATGAGAAAGCCGAATCCGTGCTTGCGCAAGAGCTGCACGACGAGCATGCAGTGCATGTTTTCGAGCACGGATTTGTCTTCGTACACTTGTGAGAGCGGTACTTTGGCGTTTTTCTGAGACATTTCTTAAGCTTGAGAACTTGTATAGTGAAAGCGGGGACGTACCATGAAAGCATTACTCAGCCCGGGATGTCCCACATCATGCCCCATAGCAGCAACAAGCACCGCCAACACATCCTGCGGCCTAATCAGCTCTCTCGCCCTCTTCGTCCCCCGACTCTCCCCTCCCTCCTTCATCCTCGTCCAAACCTCCTTCTCCCCCTGGTCCTTATCCGGCCACTCGCGCAGATAGTCAAAGGGCGGGACGACCCCAATGTCGAGCAGGAATGTATAGGTCGCTTGGAGCACGTCGATGGCGTGGACGTAGTTGTGGTATGGGTTGGGGGCGTGGTAGATTGCGCGAAGAGCGTAGAGGAGGCGGTTGACTTTATCTAACTTGTGCGTTAGTTTGTGGGTTCTCTGAGCAGAGACGGATACTGACCTCGTTCGAGGCCAAGATGCGCTAGACCTTCAGTGTTCAGAACCCCCTCAAACAAGATACAGGCGACACGGTAAAGATCGCCTTCTTCCAAATCATGCGGCTTAAAGTCCCACGTCGCCATCTTGTCCACCAACCTGACTCTCTCCTCTTTCGTCAAAGGTTTCGACAGCCTACTCCCTTTTAGCAACAAGATCACCCACAGAGAGGACACTCAACTCACAGCTCATACTCTTCCATCTGCACTTCAACCGTCGCCCCCGTCTGATAATACAACGCACTCAACAACTCTGCCAGCTCTGTATATTTCCCCCACGCATCATTCTCCGCACTCGTCTCTGTCCATATCCCCGGACTCGTCGGTGATTTATGGTCTATGCGATCCGTGATGTCGGTGGTGGGCGATACGGAAGGGAACGAGTACCCTTCATGTATCTGCCCCAGCTTGTCCCCCGCTCCAGCATGAGCATTGAGAGAGAACGATTTCGGCGCTACGATACCGATACCCGGTACCCCGCCCTCCATCGCCGCCGTATCATACATTCGACTCGCCCTCTTGATCGCCAACGCCAGCCCACCCACATCCACACTCCTCCTCCTCGGATCCGGCTTCAGCTGTCCCTGGCCCCCGGGGTGGCTCGCGCAAAAGACGGTTGCTTGGTCGTATAGGTACGGGAAAGCGTCTGTCGGCGCTGGTGATTGGAGGGGGTCTTTTGAAGTGAGCAGGGCGGGCGGGTCTTGGGTGAGCTTTGGGTGTTGGGCGAGAAGAGCGGGGGACGCGCATGTACATGCCGAGCCAAAGGGGTCCGACGCAAAATTGACACCATACTGGACTGACCCTTTCCTCGACGCCGACCCGGGCAAAGACGGTTCGAACGATATAGAATTACGTTTCGAATCGCAATGCCAAGAGCTCGTCGATCCCCTCCTGGACGAGCCCACCGCAGCGCTCAACACCCTTTCGCCCTCTTGTTCCCCTCCGCCCATGCCCATGGACAGTGCCGTCGGCGGGAGGACGACAGACCTCTCTTCACCCGACATGGCTGACGCCGAAAACGACGACCGATGGTTCGAATGTACACTCTCCGCCCCGCCACCCACCGCGGGAGAAGCAGAATGGCCCGGTGATTGTACATCCACCGCCCCGCCGTCTTTATACGACTCTGCCATCCGTCTCACCGTACTTGCTGTATCAGGGCCATAAGGCGGGCGGAGGACACCGATAGCGCCGGCAGAGAGACATGCGGAGATGGCGTTTTGGGATAACGCTGGGTTGGCGCTGTATGCCATGATCAACGGTTGCCCCTTGCCCTGCTCCGCTTCTTCTGTGGTATTGGTATCCGGCGGCACCATCTCCCCCACCCTCCTGATCTGCGCCAAAGCACCCTGCAACCACTTGTCCTCCGCCCTCCTCGCCCTATTCAATATATCCTGCTGAAAACACACTGCCGTCGGCGTCGTGCCGCGGTTCGTCAGGAGCGAGAGGGAGGGGAAGGAGGGGACGTCTGCGAGGGGGACGAGGATGATGTTGGTCAGGGGCTCGTCGGTGGGGCGGGTGATGATGGGGTGGGGGGTGAAGGCGGTGCTGGTGGTTGGGGGGTTGAGGATGGTGGTGAGGTGGGGCAGCGCGCGGATGACGGTCACTAGTCGCCGTCAGCTTGTATCCAGGACGGAAAAGGATAAGAGAAGAGTGGCGATTCGGCTCCCTCTTTCATCCCTTGTGTGCGCCATAGTAGAGAAAGAAATGACTCACCTTCTAAACCACTTCCCCTCAGGTTCCCAACAAGCTCATCAGCCTCCCACCCCGCTCCAGGGCGCGAAGCACTCGACGCCCCGCTCGCCACCGCCAAACTCGCCCTCGCGCTCGCCGTACCAGCGACCAATCCCGGGGCTATGCCGGATAACCCCGGGGCGCCTGGGGCGGTAGGGTCGAAACCCGAGGCGCCGGTGGCTGTCTGTGGGCGCCGGCGCGATCGGCTCCCTGCAGCACCAGAGAGGGACGCAGAGCCGAACGGCCGGGACTTGGCGCCGAATGGAGGAGCAGCCAGAGTCGGTGGTTGGGGTGGTACAAAGCCAGAGACGGAAGATCCCTGGGCGGGGGTAGATCCGGGGGATGTCGCTGTGGGCGAAAGGAGAGGGGAGAGGAGTGGTTTGTGACTCGGACCTTGGCCCGGGGCGTGGGAGTGGAGGAACGATGAAGGCGGATGGACGTTAATTGACAGTTCGCCCGCTTTCCCTGCCGCTCCACCACTTGACCCAACGCCCAGAGAGGGAGGGACGACCCCCGCTCCTAGGCCTGATCCTAAACTCAGTCGCCGCCCAGCAATGATCTGTTTTTGGATCTCCTCTCCCACCTTTGAGCTGCTTTTGACCTTTTTCACCGCTGCTGGTGTGCCCCCGGCTCCGTTTTCTCCTCCAGATCCTACCTCGGCACCTCGTTTTTCAGAAGCAGAGGTAGAAGCCGACGCCGATTCGCGCAAGCTCGATAACGTCGGTACTTTCGAACTCGACGACCGACTCATCAACCCTCCGCCTCCCACAGGGCTCTGACCCGGACGCGTAGGCCGAAGAGTATCCACAGGCCCCGGTGATGTTGATGTCGGTGATAGAGCCACGGCAGAAGGGAGGAGGACGAGGATGTTGAGTGGAGCGGCGTTTGAGCGTCCTCCTGAGGTCGGGGCGGTAGGGGCTGGAGGGAGTGGGGGTTGGTCAGGGTGAAAAGACATTGTGGATGGCGTTGGCGGGATGACTGATTGAATAGGGTAGGATGGGGCAGAAGAAGAGGGAAGGGGAGTTGATTACTGGATGGTCGATGACCAATTGCGAGCTAGTTGAAAACGAATGGTCAGTATCCGCCTCGAGCATGTTTACGCGTAGTTATCAACCCCGGCTGATAGCGCCCAGCTGTATCTCAAAACTCACCAGAAAGACTGGTCGTCCACCGAACCACACGAGATGTCCGTTGTTCGAATGAAAAGCCGTTAACCGTAGAATAGACAATTGAAAGAGTCGGCGCGTTGCGCTGTCGTTTCTAACGTCTAGCCTGTGGCCTGCGGGCTGTGGGGCTTGCGGGGCGGCACGAAGCCAAGAAAAAACAACGAGAAAGATGTCTCGGAGTATCAAAAATGACCCCTTGTCGAATTCTCCTTTGTTCTCCAAATCGAGGTGGAGGTATGTCCAAGCACGTAAAGTGGTATGCTTCTCTTTCCGTCTTTGTACGCGTAGTCGGGTGTGTTGAGTGGGAGAGTGGCGATAGAAGAGTCGATGAAGGGAATGAGGAGATAAGAGAGGCGGCGTACTCTTGGAATACGTCAAAGGATCGACGCAGCGAGAATATGCTAATCGCCATCACGCGCACAGAAAAAAGTGATCCCGTTTCCCTGGCTCCCTGGATGACGCTCCTGCTGCCCACCGGGGAGCCTGATCCAGTGATTTGGCCCCGCTAGCCATTCCCCGGGGTTCACTAGGGACGTATTTGGTTCGGGTATGCATCGTGCTGTGCTGTGTGGTAGCGAGGGAAAGGTAGCTGCCGTTCTGGCCCCACCTTCGGCGCGTTCGCCACTCCCGGCATATGTCTGCCGTCAACCATCAATCAGTCCTCTGACTACAGCACAGCGTTCGACTGTCGACCGGTGAGTGAAGCTGAAGTTGATCTGCACAATGAACAATGCACATCAAGCCACACACCTCGCGTCGCGAACGAGTTTCAAGGTGCGCTCGGCCCTTCTTGGGTATCGCTGACATGCTTTGTTCTCTGCAGCTTCATGCACGCAGAGATGAGAGATGAGAGCCGAGGGCAGTCCTTTGCACTCCCGGCCTCCCAGCTATGCATCCGTCCATTTCCATGCATCCCGCATTCTTCTCTCTCCCCCTTCAGGCCCCTTCAAGCGACACTCACGCACACATCAACTTTGCCTTCACGCACCACTCACCCCTTCGAAACAGGACGACGAGGCCGTGCCCTATGCAGTAATTCCCCGCGCGGCGGTTGAGAGAAAGGATGATGGTGAGACTTCACTCGCTCGTCAAGATGCATGCTGTTGCTGGATGCGCTTTGACGGGAGTGAGAGGGGGGTGAAGGGGGTGAAGGGTATATCAGTCCATGCATCGATTATTCATCGCTTCATACAGCCAACCAGTCTTTCAACGAAATAGCTCCAACCAAGAACACTATCCCAGCAGTGAGTATCACCCAACCTCCCACACTCTCGCCTATCGCCCCAACTGACAAATCTTTCAGCCCCTCCCTCATCCACATCACCATGGTCTCCATCGCCACCCACAACAAAGAAAACACCTCCTTCTCCCTCACCGACGTCGACGCCATCACCCTCTCCCTCCGCTCATCCCTCTCTGGCGTCTCTGTCCGTCCCAAGAAACACCACCTCCAGGGGACTATCGGTATCGGCCGCGCCCCCAAGCACTCTTCTTACCCCAGGCGGTATGTGAGCTCGACCAAGCCTTATGCGCGGGGCCGCAATACCTCCGTCACACGCGCCAAGTTGGCTTCTGCTTCTTCTTCTTCGACCTCTTCTTCGGGCAAGGTGCAGCGTCGAGTCAAGGCAAAGCCCAAGGAGCGACCGCCTCCCCTCAAGTTGGACGACGCGGCCTACGACCTCAAAGTCATGCAGGAGCGTGTCAAGAAGGCGCGATACGACCCTGCGAACGGGGACGTTGGGCAGGTGAGGATGCCTCTCAAGTTGCCGTTCCCCCAGATCCCGCCTATCGAGCATGTCGACCAAGAAGGACTTCGCGATGTTGTAAGTAACTTTTGTCTTTTTTCTAATTTGGGAATGAAGGCTGATGAGATGTTTTAGCCGGTAGATTATATCCTGAACAAACTCCTCCCTCTCCTGCCTTCCATCTCCACCATCACTCTCGCCTACAAGCCCTACCCACAAATCCCCCACCCCTCCCCTTTCCCTTCCTCCTCCTCCTCTACCCGCACCCTCGCGCTCGCCATCCCCGAAATCATGGACGGCCGCAAACCGGAATGGCAAGCCAAAACCCGGGGACGCGAACCCAACATGTGCCTCGCCATCCGCCAGCGAGCAGGGGAAGCGACCGCGGGCGATATGGTGATTGCCGTCAACTCTTTGGTGTTTGCGAGTCAGTGTTCGTATTGGAACAGGCTGATCTCTGCTTCGCGCCTTCCTTCCTCCTCCTCCTCCACCACTCCTTCAACGAGTGCCAGCAAGCAGGCTACACCTTCTGAAACTGCCGTGTCTGCTGCTTTGCCCGCCATCTCCGAGGAAGAAGGCGAAGGCTCGTCGTTCTCTAAGAGTCCGAGTCCGAGTCTGAAGACGGTTCCGACGCCGACGAATACGAATCCCTCGAGCCCTCCCCTTTACCCCCAGTCATCAAAGACCCCCACGGCTTCCTCCACCTCCCCATCCTCCCCATCCTCCTCCCCTCCCCACCCACATTCCACCTCATCCACCGCCTCCTCCACCACCCCTCCCTCCCCTGCCTGCCCTCTTTCCTCGGGCTGCCGGACCATGCGAGCAGGCAGGACATGTTGAGGCAGTTGGGGGAGATGGATGTGCAAGAGTTGATGGGGAAGGCGGGGGTGTTGCAGGGGGTGTGGAAGAATCTTTGCGCGCTTGGGGTAGCGCGGGCGAGCGTGTGGAGGCAGTTGGGGGAAGCGTGGAGCTTTGTCACGGGGATCATTGCGGGGCATGGGCTTTTGATTGTGGGGCAAGTGAGGAGCGAGGGAGGGGGGGCGAAGAGCGGGGCGGAGGAGGTGGCGTGGGAGTGGGTGGGGATGATGAGGGAGAGGGAGAGGGTTAAGAAGGAGGAGTGGGCTAGAGGGGCGGCAGCGGGGGGGCAATAGTCTGACGGCGCGGCTCGAGGGGAGAGTGGGGGTGATAGTAGATTAGACATTTTATAGTTATTTTTCTTCTCTTTATCGAGTACAGTAGTCTAGTTGTAGCCAAGCAGCAACAGTAGTTGATTGATATGTATACCTGCACACAAGCAATGATCATAGACAAGCTGGACGTTTCTGAAAAGCTCGAACGCCGTACGCTTGATGTCAGCAATGCTATCGATGCTACCGTGGTAGATGATCGTCTGTAAGATCGAGGGATGGCTTGGGTGCGATGCACAAGGGTTCAAAGTTTGGATGAGCGTGCGGCTGATTACGTCTCAAGATATGTATGTTGGTCGATTACGCTGATCCATTGCTCCTCTCCTCTTCCTTTTTTCTCAACACCACTCTCGTCACCATCCTCCCCCCACCCTCACTATATCCTCTGCCTGCTGTGGTTTTCTTCTCCTCGAGACAGTGGAGTATGTCTGACGGGAGAGGATGACCGCCACGTTGAGTGACGCGCGGGGACAGTCGAGCACCTGCCTGATGCTGAGACGCAGCAGCTTGATCGCCAGAACGACTGTGCGGGCCGACGACGTGTCCTAATGTATAGTACCACTGTATTTGGTGTCATGCTGTCTCCTGTGGACTGCTGAGTGTGAAATAACGATGTAGAGTCGACATTAAAGGCGAGATAGGCGAAAAAGAAGGAAGCGCGACAAAAAGATATTCTCCATCAGGGAGTTGAACCCTGGTCTACCGCGTGAGAAGCGGTTATACTAACCGTTATACTAATGAAGAAGGAACCGCTGAAATATCCAGCTATTGTTGTTCAGAGCTTTACAACGTGGCCATAGCCCATCATTCAAGCAGCCAGCTCGCGACGCGTCTTGTTGTCACCTACACTTCTTTACACTCTTCCATTTTGCAAAGACCTCATCACAAACACCTCCTCATTACAGCAAGTATTGACTGTTCGCCCTCCTTCTCATATCATCCGACATCCCCACCCACCCCTGAATTGCTGTCCCCGCAGAGGCAACATGGTAGCCCCTGGCCCGAGCCCGGGTCCGAGCACTCCCACGCTCAATCTCACCAACAACAACAGGACAACAAGCGATGGCAATACAGATGGATCACTCTGGACTGAGATCCTGGCCAGCACGGATAGGCAGCAATCGCTGGGCAGGAAGAATGTGGTGTTATTGTGTACGTGGAAATTGACGAAGAGCTTTGTGATGGGCGCTGACGGACGTCTCTCCTTTTCCTCTGGCAATCTGCTCTCCTCCTGACTTGAAACTATCAGCTGAACGGAATCACGGAAGAGCACACCTCCTCTCCCAGCTGACCGCCTCTTCTCGGAAAAAGAAGCTGGCCAAACCATCGCAACCACAAACCCAAGCTGCCGGAGCTGCCCAGGCCGGACAAGAGAGAAGGAGCAGGAAAGGTCTTGCCCTGGGATACGAAGTGATTGAAGTTGGGGAGGATGAGGGTGAGCTCTTTTCAATTTGCATGGTGGGTTGGTCGCTGACAGGTTGTAGATTCGGCGCCGCCGCTCTCGGTTTTCTATCCTCCTTCGTCGCATCCGAGCCTGTTGAGGCTCGCCCCCAGTGCTTTGCCCGCAAAGTCTCTCTCGGTTGGTTTTCCCTCGTATAAACGTGTCTGAGCGCTGACTCATTGGTGTGCAGGATACTGCCGTCGTCATAGTTCTGGACTGGACGAAACCACAGTCAATGGTGAGCTTGACCTCTTCACGGATGATGTCGTAAGCTAATTGCATACATGGACAGCTCCAAGAGCTATTAACATGGCTCTCATGGGTAGAGACATGGGCTTCCGAGGCAGGCGAGAGGGGTGAGGTAGAAGAGCTGCATGAGCGACGTGAGTCAACTCCATCTCGAAAGAATCATGAAGACTGACAACGAGTAGTGCAATCACACTTGCAGCACTATACCGAGCCGTCACCCGCCAATGTTGGTACGACCACGTATGCTGGTGTCGGGCCCCTGTTACCACTTGGCTCGGGTACTTTGACCCTCAACGCGTTCGTCCTCTCCCAACGTCACGCGCTCGAAGCACACTGACGATATCACAGCTCGGGAATTCCTATCGTTGTGGTTTGCACGAAGGCCGATCTCATGGATAATGCTGCCGAGGATGTGGGAGTGAAAGGTGGAGGCTGGGAAGAAAAGACAGATCGAGCACAGCAGGCACTGAGAACTGTCTGTTTGGCCTGTATGTTCATCCCATCTTCATTGACTATCATACTGATCATCGATTTAGATGGCGCCGCTCTGTTCTACACTGCCCCTACTCAGCCTACGACATACGCTTTCCTGAAGAGCTATCTCCTCCACAGACTGTATACCGTCCCGCCCCCACTGAATCCGCCACCAACCTCCCCAAACTCCGTGGCCGCACCCGCCATCGTCGGCTCTACCAAATTCCCCTTCAACCACCGAGCCAACGTGCTTGACAGAGATGCTGTCATGGTACCCAGCGGATGGGATAGTTGGGGCAAGATCAATGTTTTGAGAGATGGTTTCGACCCCGCACTGGTGGAGAAGGGTTGGAAAGTCAGCTTGAGCAGGTATATTGCCAAGTCTGCGGGTCAAGAGCCTGAAGAGGATGATGGAGAACCTCTCGAAGAGTTCTGGCAGGCGCTTCTCCCCTCCTTCGCGTCTCCTCCCCCGCAATCCCCTGCCAACCTTACGACAGTCACCGAGCCCTCCCAAAACTTCCTTTCCCGTCAACTCGACCTCCTCATGAAAGACCCCAACCGAGACCCCCGCCAATCTTTCCGCCACGCCGCTTCCGCCACCTCATCCTCCAACGTTCCCTCTGCTACCAACCCCGGCGCGGGTGGGTTCAACAATACCGCCGTGGGGCCTATGGGCGGTGCTGCCGAAGGTTTGAGCTTGCCTGGTGTTGAGAAGGTCATGCAGGAGATGGAAGGCCGGATTGGGGAGGGAGATGATGCGAAGGAAGGACAGTTGAAGGACAAGTTTGCGAGGCTGGGGAGGAAGGATGGGAAAGCTGCGCCGGGGACGCCGGCACCTGCTATGCCTAACGAAGCGTTGCACAACTTTGTAAGTCCCACGCCGAACGTACTGGAACGTCTAGCTGACAGACTTGGCAGTTCCAGGGCTTGCTGGCGAACAGGGGCAAGACGGGGGGTAGTGCTGCTGGGACTCCTACGAAGGGAGCTAGTGCTGAAGGGGCGGGGGAGGGCAAGTAGGCAGATGTGCAGACATGTGGAGGGATCCGTATAACGACCATGTAAACGATTCGTGCAAATTCGGCTTTTCTACTCTTTCTTCTATTACGTTCACAAGCCGGCTACTGCTTCTCGAGTAGTACCCATACTTGATGCTAGAGATGTCGCATCTGTGGGCAGAGCCGGCCATAGACCCCGACACCATAGTAAAACACTCAAGATGCCTGAGGCCGACGCCGAACTCACGCGCACAGTCTTTCTACGCCGCGTCCACCCTGCAATCGGGCAAGCCTGATACCCATGAGTGAAGGGATGTTCATAGGTTACATGATACTAGAAAGAAATGTCCATATGTTACATGATAATTAACAGCCACCACCCAGCTCTTACGTCCCCGACACCTACCTTCTTCCCAGCGCCCCAGCCCAGCCAAATCTGACCGTCCGCGCGAGCAACACATCTACCTCCATGGGCGTAGCCAGCACGAAGGTGAGGCCATACCTGGAGAAGCAGTCGATGTAATCTCCGTGAGTCCAGTGTTCGAGGGGAAGGACTTGCCCGGCAGTGGTGAAAGAGAGAGGATTGGGAGGGATGGCCGAATCGATGAATGTACGATTGGTACAAGCCTCCTGTTTGACAGACAAACACCACTCCTCTACACTGACTGGAAGTTCAGTTTCGAATCGTGAGGATATTGTTAAAAAGGAAGACGGCGAGGGTATGAGGAGAGAAGGAGTGGGAGGTGAAGTTGTGACCATTGATTCAGGAGTGTACGGCATGTGCTCTGTCAGTCCTAGATTCAAGTCAGACTAGAGCACCATCGAGACGAAGCCGAGAACTCACCAGAGATATGGGCCCTTTTCTGTATTTTACTGACATCCTGATCATGAGTGTCAGAGACTGCCGAATCCGTCGATGTCTGTCTCGACGGGCGGCGTGCTTTCATCTTCTTGCTGACATCGTCACACTGATATGCCACTTTCGCGGAGGCGTCCGCGTCAATGACGTTAGTAAGGGAATGGTTGCTGATGTGGGGACCTGGGACAGTTGGATGATGAGTAGCAAGAGCAAGGTTCAGATATATAGTGGCATCGAGGCGTTTCTTAGCCTCTTGATTCAAGCTCCGATCCTTGTAATTTGCGATGAGGGAATTCGGTACTTTCCACTGGATACCGAACAAAGTATCTTCTGCCGCAAGGGCGCCAAATTGCTCTGCAGACAGGCAATGGTATCTGTGGTACCTCAACTTGGCAACAAGAGCTGGATCGGCTTCGACCAAGATTCTCCCATCACCGCCTTCTCCCAGAGTCACGCCCTTTAAAACTGCCTATTCTCCTTCTGGCACCAGATCAGACAGGTTCAGGATACGAGTGTAATCCCCGTTGGCCAATGCGATGGCCGAACGACACTTTGAAAGGGTAAAAACAAGTTCGCTGTAGTAGATTGTCTGAGTGATAGCCTCCATGTTTGCGAATTGGAGGCCTTTGAGATGTAGATTGATTTTCTCTTGTAGATCGACATTTCTTGCTTCTGGCCAAGGTAACCACGAGTCCTTGATGAGAGCGTAGAGGACTTTTTGGGGGTCGTCGTCATCATCCAATTCTCTGCCGCCCGCGGGCTCTTTTTGATACGTTCCTTCCGCAAGATCTCCAATGTGATATCCCGTTTTAAAGCGACATCTGGCTTTATGCCGCCAAGCTTTTCCGAGAGCAGGGATGCATTCTGGGATGAACGCATCAGACGCTGTACATAGAAGCTGATCAGCGACCAGTTCCGGGGCACAAGTGAGACTCCTCACTTTCAATTCGGTGTCATGATCCCTTATACTTCGGACAGGCGGCAGATTCACAAACCCTTCTTCCGAGGGCAGATAGAAAAGAGTCTCGTGGAAGTTCACGTTCGAACTCCAGGTAGTAGGGTATGCAACAGCCTTGGGATAAACATAGAATTCACGGAGATAAGGGACAATGTGGTTGATTTGGAATTCACATTCGTTTGGGATCTTGGGATAACGTTTGGTCCAGAATGAACCCATCAAAGGTCGGTATACATCACTGTATGGGTTGATTGTGAAAGAGTTGGGATAGCGGTGGCAGATCGTAAGGTCGAACGGGACCAACTGCAGAGGACCTCCGAGACCCACATTCGCGGGATGTCCGATATCGGAGGGGTACACATTGACGACAGAAGTTTGCGAGGAGGGAGGGACTGCGGGAGCTTTGCCTTTGCATCGTGCAGAGTCGGCGTGCGAAGCTGTAGCAATGGCGATAGGAGGATTCGTGGCGGGACCGACGACAGTGGCGTCATTGATGGAGATACCCAGGTGCTTTCGATTCTCCCGTCCGTTCAGAGGGGCGTGCATGGGTTATAGAAAAGTGAGGGTTGGTAGACGCCGTTGTATGAGGGGAGAGAGGCGATGGCTGATATGGGGATGCACAAGAACAGAAAGCGACCGAAAAGGGAACGCCGGAGGACGCGTTCCGATGGGCCACACAACGGACTCATTGTAAAAAATAAAGCTAACAGAATCAAAAGCTGGATATTTCAGCGGTTACACTTCTTCATTAGTATAACGGTTAGTATAACCGCTTCTCACGCGGTAGACCAGGGTTCAACTCCCTGATGGAGAATATCTTTTTGTTTTCCTATCCACCACCCGCTCTCGGTCCATGCCCTCGTTCCACTTGCTTTTTTCGAACCATTCGAGGAAACGGAAGGGATAGATAAGCACATAGGAAAGTTGATGCATGAACTTTTGCATGATGTCCATCTTACAAAATCTCTTCCATCACTCAACTTGAGATGATCACAGACGCGTCGACGCGTTTGTACCATTTCCTCTTTCTTCTCGAAGCCCTCTTACACTATGTGTGTATAAGCCCATACATCACGCCGATCATCCAGTAGAATTACCCAGAGCGGCTGAGCTATCCTATGATACGGGACAAAGGCGTCCTTCCGTACCTTGCGCATCAATTTCCTCCCATTGTCCTCGTCGGACAGCGCTGGGTGCTTCGCAACTACCGCTATATATTCGCATTTCATTCCTCTTTTTTCTGTTTCATTCGTAAAATACTGACTGCCGACTATTATCCCAACCTGCCGGACCAGGCGAGGACAAAATGCCAAACCCACGTCCTGCGCACGTAAGTCTCACATTGCTCTCGTGCCAGCGGCGCGAATGGTTGTAGGGTGGCTTATGCTGACTCGTTGTCTCACCTACAGACTATTGAGCTCACCATAGGCCATGTCCTTACAGACTCCCAGTTTGAAGAGCTCGAAGACCTTACGTTCTTGCACTTTGAAGGCGACGCCGGTACGTTTCCCTGCCTTTCCTCTTTCGGCAAGGTCTCTGGGAGAGAGCGTGCCTCTGCTACTTTCTCTGCGCCTACATAATTCATCATCGAAGATACTGGATGGGCTCACAGCGCTGACACCATCCTATAGAAGCCTGGCCAATCTCCCTGAAAATCGTCTCCGAATTCAACCAAACCACCTTCATCCCCGCCCCTCCCCCAGTCCCTGCTTCCCCCTCGTCCTCCATGTCATCCACCGGCTCTCGACCCCCCTCCGATTCTGGCTCACCTCCCCCTCCTGCTTCAGGGGGAGGAGGCGATTTGGAACCGGTGGTGAATAAGAAGACGACGACTATAAGTGTGGCTGTTTCGAGGGAGTGGGATCCGGCGAGTGAGGAGGCTGTGAGGGCGATTGTGAGGAATATATTGATGGAGATTATGGGCGGCGGGTGAGTGGCTCTTGGTCTACTTACAAGGTAAGGCTGGGGCTGGGGTGAAGAGCTGACAGTCTTGCAGCATCACCGTTAAACGGTCTTAGGGTCTCGCCTTCCCGCCATGTTCACCAAGTGCCCCGGCTCTTGCACAGCACCATCTTCGTGTACACACACTTACGGCGGCTATATATAAGTATCGACCATTTTAAGAGTCGCCCTAGTCCAGTCCGTTCGGCGACTACGCCTCATCCATTTGTACCAAAGGTCATCTTTCTTCATCGTTCTTCGCATGGACTCTACCATTCGCTCATCTACAGACTGGCTCCACGCTCGATGGATAGCAGACAGAAACACTCCATGTTTTGATTTTTGACGCTGCGATGTCTATTGAACTGGATATCTGAGCGAATGGAACGAAGAAAAGAAGATTTAAAATTTTGCAGTATGGAAAGGTAGATTTAACAACACCCCCAGCCCTCGCTCTCCTTCATGTCCAGGGCATCTTCCCCTTTATTCGCGCATCCCCAACCACTCGCCATATCTCCCCTGCACATCATCGTCTAGCCCATTTAGCTTCCGTTGACCTATCACACTTTATCAGCACAAACCCTCAACCAATCCAAACAGATCAAACTCACCTTCCCCTTAACACCCGTCAAGAACTGCGCATAGCTCCCCATCCTATCCACCCTATCCTCCACCAACGCACTCAGCGCCCACGCCCTCAACGCCGGCTCCGCATCCTGCTTCACCACATAAACCCCCGGCCTATACGGGCCCCGGCGCATCTCACGCGTCTTGTGGATGATATTGTTGATCCTTTCGGAGAAGGGATTGTCGAGCAGAGGGAGTGTGGATTTGCCTGATGGGAGCTCGGCGTAGGAGGAGAGGTCGAATACGTCTTGGACGAGGCGGGGGACGGCTTCGACACCGACGTAAAGGAAGATGTTTTGTCCGTCTTCGATCAAGTACAACCCGTGCCTCTCCAGGCGCTCGCTCGTCAGGTTCAGAGCAGGGGGAAGGATGACGCCGTGCTCTGCAATAGTACCCGCTTCAGCGGGCATGTTGTGGAGCGAGTAGAATTTGGCGTGAATGTAAGGTATGAGGGATTGGGAGGGGAGGGTAGTGAGGAGGCATTGGGCATATGACCGGAGGTCGGGGGGGATGGAGGAACCTTCGCGCAAGCCGACGTGCTTGACGAGGGCGTTGAGCAATAGCGGTAAGAGCTGCAAGTTCTCGGGAACAGCCAGCTGCGCGCTGGCACCCCCTGCACCGGTCGTGACTTGGTTCTTGTAAACACCCAACATCTCTCCGAGTCTAGACGAGACCAAGTCACGGGCAGAATCGAGACCGTGGGACATGGACCGCTCAACGGCCTTGTTGGCGAAATAGGTCGTAAGCGCGACTTGGTCGGCGGAAGCGAAAAGCTCAGACATGGTATCGGTGGTGGGCATAGCTTGGGTGATGACCCGAATACGTCGCTCGCCTTCACAAGACGTAAACAGAACAGCAGTCTGGATGACCACGATCCCCGGCTTGATATCATCTTCGAGCTGAAGCTCAATCACATAGTTTTGGTCTTCGGGCACGACGGGCAAAGCCAACAAGTCTGTCGAACGGATGAAGAAGTTGCCATGGAAAGCAGACATCCTCACACCCCTGCTCGCGCGCACACGGATGACAGCCTCCAAACCCATGGGTACACTCAGCACCTTGCCAAACTCGCTCGCAAACTTGATCGCGTCCTCTTGCCTGCTCGCGTTGAACCCGGGGTACAAGTACGTCTGGCCCGCCGTATACCTGGGCAGGCAAGACAGCGTCGCGACGTCCGTATAGCCAGAGTTGAAGAGGAACATGTCGACGGCGACTTGGGCTTTGGAGCACTCGATGGCGAATGATTTGTACCAGCTGTTGCCGGCGGAGAGGAGGGTGTATTCTTTGGAAGTACCGAGGAGCTTGGGGTCGTCTCGGGCTTTGAGAGCGCCCTCGCCGATGGTGGGGAGGGTGTTGCAGAGGGCGACGATTTTGCCGCCGATCCTGCCGTTGAGCTGCAAGGCCGCTTGCAAAGCAGAGCCGAGCGCACAGCCGATGGTGTTGGCGTCCTGGAACATGTCGCTCAGCTTGCCGAGCAAGTTTTCGACAGCGGCCCTGCTCTCCTTGAGGTTGACGAGGAGGTCGACAGGTTTGGGCAAAAAGACGTCAGACAAGTCGGGGACGACGAGCATGCTCGCTTCTGTGGCACCCGGAGGGAGGGAGAAGAAGTGCAAGCTGGTAGACACCGCGATAAAGCTGACCAGTGTGCGGTTGTCGGGGTTGGGCAGCGAGTCGAGCGACTCGAGAATGGTACGAGCAGCAGTAGCTACCATACCGCTCTGGATGGCCGAAGCGGAAACATCAATAACGAAGATGTATACCGGGGGCTGCGGCGCGCGGACCATATACTCGGTGGGGGCGATAAACTCGACAGCACCATGGTTGAGCTCTGCCCTGGCCCATCTGTCGGCAGGCTTCTCCTCCCTCTGATTCCAGTCAAACAGCTGAGGCACCTCGTTCGACAGCCCACACATACAACACTTCCACCTGTTTCCGCCCTCGATAAACGTGACGAACGGGTTGATGTACGCTCGGCACCGTCTGCAGCGCGCGATGACGCCGTCCTCGACAACGGGCACCTCGGACCCGGGCTCGTTGGGGGGCACGGAGCGGTTGGGGGTCATGACGAGGGCGAGGGGGAGCTTGGATTTGTTGAGCAGGGATTGGGTGGTGGGCATCGCGTTCAGGGTGCAACGCTGGTAAGAAGGGTCGGGCTGCACAGTCGCGGAACCGGTGATGGCAGCGTTGGGGGGGAGGAGGGCAGGAGGGGGAGGAGCGTCGAGCAGCTCAATGTTGGGGGGAAGGCCGATGAGGTTGATCGTCTTTGTAGACGTGGAATGGAGCTGCTTCTGATTGTTGTAGTAGTCCTGTCCCTGCCCCTGTGCCCCCCCGCTGATACCCATCTGTTGAAACTGCGCCGATGCCTGGTCGACACCATAGCCAGGTACACCCGGCGACACCGCTCCATACGGCTGTCCAGCAGGGAACCCATACGCCTGCTGCCCCTGCCCCTCCAACCCAGGCGTAATAAACTGCGGCCCGCCATGCGCCAATGCCTGGGGCGCGCCCACCTGGGGCTGAGACTCGTACTGCGCGGTGTTGTTGTACATCTGCGAGGCGATTTCGGCCGTGGGGTAGTGTCGCCTGCCGTGACGGGGCGCGGGAGTGGAGGTGGAGGGCGTCTGGTCGAGGGAGGCGGCGTTGGGGTGGGAGGTGGGGAAGGTGGGGTTGATAGGGACTTCCCATTGGGACACGCCTGTGGACTGGTCTAAGGGAGGGTCAGCGGGGTGCGGGCGGAAGTGGAGGGGACGGACCGATGTAGATGTAGGCGTTCGACTGGGAATCCCTGTGAAGTGTTAGCGGGAGTACGAGGGGGGGTGGAGGGGGCTTACCATCTGGCTTCCCATCCCTGGGGGAGCATGATCGGCTGGGACATGGCGGTATAGGGGATGACTTGGAAGAATCCAAATGAAAGAGGAGAATGGCGCGGCAGTGCTGGCACTGCTTATATGGGGGGTGGAAACATAACTTACGTAACTGAATATGCGGAACGAGCTGAAACATACGAGGACGTCTCATAAGCTTTCCAGAGCATAGGAAGCGTGCTTGTGTTGACCTAGAGCTGTGGTCCACGTATGTAGATATGTGTTTCACACTGAGAGAACTTAGATAGCTGAAAGATGAGACGTAATCGTGCCCAGTCGTCTGATCTTGTCACTCAACTTAACATCATCAACACCAGCTCATCAATGCTGACGTGGAAGAGAGCCCTAAGACTGGACATGTGCCGCTGAATTTGGTCTTATGAAATCTACAGAGACATAATATTGATACGTCGGGCATTTTTTCCCAGGCGGCGGATAGTTCGAGTACCGTTCGACACTCGACATCCGACAGCAGACCCGCATTCTTCCTAGATCTGGAGCTGAGCGATTGCTGCTCTGCTCTTGCCAGGCTAGCAGAGCGTTTGTTTGCACCGAGGGTGATAATGATAAAACCATATCAGTCTGCATTCCTATTAACCTAGCGACCTAATGTCCATTCGCCTCCTCATGAGGTGGTTCTTCAGCTACCAGCTGGCCCAACAACTTCCAGCTCTTTGCGTAGGTCGCTAGATCGTTCAAAAAAGTCAGTATTGGGTTTCAAGGACGAAGAGCAGAGGAGTAGGGAAGATGGGAGAAGAGGGAAGAGGGGAGAAGGCCGCACGTTTGTATATCCTGACTACGCCTTCGTCGTCTGTCGTAGAGAGCATTGTGCCCGTGGCATTCCACTACAGATATTGTCAACATTGCCTCGATCCGATATGAAGAGACAAAGCGAGAAGCAAGAAGGAAGAAAGACCCACATCAACACTCCCAACCCTCGCCCCGCCCTTCCCAAACTCCGCGGTACACTCGCCTCTCCACTCCCTAACAACATCCCCCCCAGCCTCGCTCCCTTCCGCCGTAAAATCCACCCTCGCCCTCTCCCCTGGGGGCTCCAACCTCCAAATCCTGATCGACCCGTCCCGAGAACCAGTAGCGAGGAGGTGGTAGTTCTTCCCGCAGTTGGGTGCCCAGCTGAGGGCTGTAAGCGGGGCCGGAGCGGCGGAAGAGGATGAAGAGGAGGAGGAGGGAAAGGAGGAGGATGATGGGGGGGTGAGGTGGAGGATGGAAGTGGGGGTGGGTTCGAGGGAGATGATTTTGATAACAGGGGAAGAACCTGCGAATGTGGCGATGAGAGAACCCCACCACCGTTCTTTACACCAGCTCAAGCCCCAGCCGCCTAGTGCCAATTCCGAAGATGGTGTCGCTGCTGATTCAATAGACGAGGAGGAGGGGTTGGCATCGTCGGAAGAGGATGTAGAGTGCGGTGCGGGGAGGGAAGGGATATGGATCTTGTGCGCCTCTGACCAATCGTTCAAACTCGGATCAAGCGACGTATGTACCCGGAGATACCCATCCGTCCCCATGAACGCCACCCTCAAGCCAAAAGCAGGATCAGGCGGACCAAACTCCACCCCCCTCACAGCGCCCTTGGCGCCCGTCAGGATCCCGCGTTCGACCCAGCGGACAGAGCCGGGGGCGGGGGCGGAGGAGGAAGGGGGGAGGGAGGTGGGTTCTTCCCAGATGCGGACGGTGCGGTCGTGCGAGGAGGAGGCGAGGAGGGAGCCGTGGATGGGGTGGGAGAAGGAGAGTCGGAGGATGGGGGCGTCGTGCGCCTGTATAATGGATTAGAATAAGTTGGAGGGAGAGGGGAGGACGCACCTTCCAGTCGGCTTCTTGAGACCACTTACCAAACTCATCTTTATGGAACACCTTGACGCGTTGGTCGGCGGAACATGTGGCCACTACAAACAGTCAGGGGAGAGTAAGAGAGTTGGATGGAAGGACAAACATCGCTCGCCGTAAAAGTCGTACACCAGATCTGCAAACGGTTAGACATGTCAGGGGGAGGACGGGAAAGTGCTTACGGGATACGAGGTCGGCGTGTGCTGGAGGGAGGAGGTCTGTTTGTAGCATGGTGGTGGGAAGAATGGGAAGAGATGGGATGGAAATGATAGAGAAGATGCGCGCTTGTATTTGATCCCGTCGGTTTGATGTTTTGACCTGGTTTCGACGGACTTTCAGAACGAAGTCAAAACGAAGTTCCAGGTTGAATCATCTCGCAACATCTAGCACCGCCGCCGGCAAAACCATGTACCACCCCTTCGGACCCCTCCCAGTTCCCGACTTTACTCCTCCCATGCGGCACATCATGGCTGGCTTCGTCCCCGACGCCATGGACTTCACCTCTCTCGAAGAGTCACCCCGCAGCAAAGCCACAGGATCTTCCATCGACGTACTCGCCGAGACTAAAAGAGAAGGTATAAGCATCATCAAAGACCCCGGGCCGAATAGTCGCCTGCTTGCGGCTCTTGGTCATCACTTGCCGGCTCATATACGCGCTTCAAAGCACATCACTGGGCTCATGTCTTGGAAACAGGCTCTGGACGAGATGGACGATGAATCGAAAGATGCAGTACCTGTCTTCATTGAACAAGACCTCTCGGACAGGATGACCGAGACGTTTTGGGTATATGCAAACCTTGTTCTGAAGAGCAAAGTCCTAAACAAAAACCTCCGGGGCGTCTGGCAATCGTGCAAATCGAAGAAGGGTGGAGCTGCCAGCTGGGGGTTTGTCAGGAAGGCAGATGCAAGGTTCAGGCACTCTCCCAGACCACCCTACCCAGCATCGCCGGAGGCAACCCCGATCTTGAGGGAAGAGTACAACGACTTCTGGAGGAGGCGTCAAAGCCGGGAGAAATGATTATCGTAACCGGCGAGAAGACGGTAGGCGTAGTTGAGGAAGATGGAGCTGAGGTGCCGGAATTGGGGTACTGGGCAAACTGTATAGCGCAGGTGTATGCTGAAGCTATACATATGAGTAGAGGGCGGAAGCGAGACAAGGCTCGTTGCATACATATACAGCTGGCGAGATTATCACGGATACAATGTACGACTCTAAACGGGCTTGTTTTGCATCCCTCAATCAACGCACTGGTCGGCACCTGCAGCGACATGAGTAGCCTGGGTAAAGAGTACTGTATACCATTTGCAAGCTTACGGCTACTGGCAGAGACGTACGGCGCGAGTACCTTACCAAAGAAAGAAGGCAGAATCACGCCAGAGTCCTAGTAACGCCCTCAACTCTACCGCAGACACCGTGAACAGCGGTATCCTCTCCCTTTCACCCATCAACTGAGCCGCCCTCGCATAGCGCTCAACAATATGACACAGCCTCCCCTCATCGTGCTCGCTCAGGCCGACGCAAATGACCCTTTGTTTCCGCTACTCCTCTGAGAACCGGTCAGGCTTCCGAAGCGCTCTTGCTGCTGTCACCGAAAGGCTCCAGCCGGCCTGGAATAACGTAGATGGCTCGCCGGATCTTGGGGGTGATCATTATGGGGGCATTGGGGTGGGAGGAAGGAATTGTCGGAGGTAAGTTCAAATGGCGTCGACTTGGGATTAGTGTCACGCGAGTGATATCTTTCAGCTACATTTGGATTAGCGCCTCGTGATGAAGCGTCAGAAAGAAGGTACTGACACTAGCCATATCTGTCCACTCTTCGCGCATGGAGAAATCTGCCGACTGTCTTACCCGTGGCCCGACTTCATCGTCTCCCCTTGACGGCGATAACCCTCTCACTGGGCTTCCCAGGAGGTCTCCCAGAGCCTTGACGGTATTCGAGATACTCAACAGATTGTTCAGGAGGAGGATAGCATCATTGGTGTACGACTATGGGAGATAATCAGCGGGATGTTGCCTGTCAAGAGGGTTTGGCACTTAGGAACTTACAGCCAGGCTTTAAGAGGATAGGGTGTGATGGCTCATCTTGAGTATAGAGTGGTGCTGAAAGAGATGGTATGGAGTGGCTGGGATAGATTAGATGTTACCCCTGGCCTGTCAGTAGGGATCTCGACAAGCAGCTGACTTTCAAACTGGTCGAGCGTGCTGCAATCTGCATATTACCGGTCGTCACGTTGCTGCATGGGAATAAAGTTACGTAAAGGTATCGGAGGACCGAGGTTGGTTGATGCAGCAGTGCGTTGTGATGAACTGGCGATGGAAGCTATGAGCTGGTCCAGTAGTCTATGATAGACTGAACGTATCGCATCCCTTGGTGTATATACCCAGCTATATGTCCGTTGAAATGCATTGTCATTGGCAAGCCTTATTACCTGTCCAGCAACGAAAGTCACTGCTTCTCGACTCCTCGTCGCGGCGCGCCGCTCTTCTTCTCCTTCTTCTTTCGCTGCATCTTCCTCTCCCACAACCCGGGCTCTCAATGCATTCGCTGGAGTCTACCAGCAGCTACTCGACGCTGAGTGTGCTCGCTGATCTCCTTCGGGCAATTGGCGCCCATGGCGGAAAGCAATATGAATTTCTGCGGATCCGGTCGCCCGAGGAGCTGAATGAAGAAGGGAAGGAGGGGCGCCCGGGAAAGTAGAAGCTGGGTGGTCCGGATAGATTACGTTAGGCGGAAAGAAGAAGTCAGAAAAGGAGAGAGTATGTAGTGCTGTTCCAGTATAGCGACTGCCCATACCCATATAGCATGACGTCCTTCATAGTCCTGTTCCGCTCTCCACGCATCCGCAAACAGACACGTCTTCGTTCCTTCTTCCGTACATGTTTCCTCACGTAGGCAGCGCATACATATCGACCCTGAAAGTGCATAAATACCCCCCTCAGTTCTATCCCCATCTCTTTTCTGTCCATCCATTTCACCGAGACTCACTTATACTATTCATCTGCCCAAAGAATTCTTTCACGAGTAGGTATACCCCTTCCCGCACCTCTGTGCAGTGCTGACCATAGTATGTCCAGTGACCAAATCATCTTCCCTTCGAGGACGTTCCGACATCCTCACAAACAACACCTCGCCCGAGCGGGTTGAAGCCCCAGTCACGTTGAAGGCTTACCTTCTCTGTGTTTTCGCTTCTTTCGGTGGTATCTTCTTTGTGCGTCGTTCCGCCTCCACCACTTGCATTGAGTGTGCTGACACGAGTGTAGGGCTTTGATTCTGGTTACATGAACGGTGTCCTCGGAATGGACTACTTTGTCAACATGATGACTGGTCTTCCCATTCCGGGTCCCAACGCTACCGCCGCCGAGATTACTGCTTTTGCCATTCCTGCCTGGAAGAAGTCTTTGATTACCTCTATTCTTTCCGCAGGGTCAGTTTCCGCGCGCGTCATTGCGATCCCGCTAACGATACTTCAGTACCTTTTTCGGAGCCATCATCGCTGGTGACTTGGCCGAATTCTTCGGTCGACGTATCACCATTGTTGCCGGTTGTGGTGTCTTCATTGTCGGCTGTATCCTCCAGACCGCCAGTACTGCCCTCGGCCTCGTATGTCTCGCTTTACTCTCAGCGCATCTTGGCTTTACTGACCATCTCAGCTCGTTGCGGGACGTCTGATCTCCGGTTTCGGGGTCGGATTCATTTCCGCCATCATCATTCTTTACATGTCGGAAATCGCCCCCCCGAAAGGTCCGAGGCGCCATCGTCTCCGGCTATCAGTTCTGTATCACCATCGGTCTTCTCCTCGCCAGTTGCGTGTGCTACGCTACTGAGAACCGTACCGACAGTGGCTCTTACCGAATCCCCATCGCTCTTCAGTTTGCCTGGGCGTGCGTGTCTTTCATTCCGCTTCCGTGACTTGAGCTGACGCGAAGTAGTCTCATCTTGGGTACCGGTCTCTTGCTTTTGCCCGAGTCCCCTCGATGGTACGTCAAAAAGTGCAGGGTTGAGGAGGCTACCAAGGCCCTTGCCCGTGTCCGAGGCCAGCCGGTCCAGTCCGACTACATCAAGGATGAGATCACCGAGATTGTCGCCAACCACGAGTACGAGTCCGAGCTTATCCCTAACCAAACCTACTTGGGCTCTTGGGCTGCTTGTTTCACTGGTGGTATCAAGAACCCCCAGTCTAACCTTCGTCGAACTATCCTCGGTATTACTCTTCAAATGATGCAGCAATGGACTGGTGTCAAGTGAGTATCTTATTCCCTTCCGCTCAATATAGCTGACTATCATCATCAGCTTCATCTTCTACTTTGGTACTACTTTCTTTACCGACCTCGGCACCATTTCCAATCCCTTCCTCATCTCCCTCATCACCACCCTTGTCAACGTCTGCTCTACCCCCATCTCCTTCTGGACCATCGAGCGATTCGGTCGACGACCTCTCCTCATCTGGGGCGCCCTCGGTATGTTGATCTGCGAATTCATCGTCGGTGTTATCGGAGTGGCCAAGCCCGGAGACTCTACCGTCGTCAAGGCTCAGATCTCCTTCATCTGTCTTTACATTTCCCTCTTCGCTTCCACTTGGGGACCTGGTGCTTGGGTCTGCATCGGTGAGGTCTTCCCCATTCCCATCCGATCTCGTGGTGTTGGTCTTTCCACTGCCTCCAACTGGTTCTGGAAGTAAGTCCACCCCGTCTTTCTCTCGTCCGAGCTCTGCTAACTCGTTTGCAGCTGTATCATCGCCGTCATCACCCCTTACATGGTCAGTACCGACCAAGGCGACCTCGGCTCTAAGGTCTTCTTCATTTGGGGCTCCACCTGTGTTATCTGCTTCATCTACGCTTATTTCTTCGTCTGGGAGACCAAGGGTCTTACCCTCGAGCAGGTTGACAGGATGATGGAGGAGTGCGGCTCTCCCCGCCACTCTCCTGGGTGGAGGCCTCAAACCACCTTCACTGCCGAGGTTCTCGGCCGAGACCAGGGTATCGAAAAGGTCAACAGCCAAGAACAGAACGAGGAAGCTCCTGCCCATGTCGTTTAGACGGCTGCGCGTTGCGTCTACAGTATGCCTTCTCTTATCTCCTTTCATATTGTGTTTTCGTTTCGCTTACTTATTGCGTCCTGGGAGGGACTTATCCTAGCCTAGGCTCTTATACCACTCTACTCTGTACAGTCGTATAGTCTCGTATTTGCATGTCATGCATTCAACGTCTTGCGAAAATTCAAAGTTGAGCGTCCACCCGCTACCTCGGCGTTGGCATTCGCGCGGAACGTCCAACCTCCCCGCTATCCATCACCAAACCCTATCCTCGGAATCCCTTAGGCGACGCCGATGACCCTCTGAGATGTCACGCCAGTACCACCCATGACCTCCGTTCATGCATCATGCAGTCCTATCATCTACATCTCCTTTGTACCAAGCCCGAAGAGCAACGCCCCCCGCCTTCCCAGTCTACTCTGATCAACTTGACCACTTCCACTGGTCACAATTCCCTACTCGCTCGCCGATCCTTTCTCCATAGTCTCCCGGGCAGGTGTCGCCCCACCTTCGAGCGTTCTCTCGAGCCCGGACCTTCTCTTCTCGCACCTCAACCTTCTCCCACGTCTTGGACTATCATACTCCGCTCGATGGTGGTACACTCGGGGAATGGAGGGGTTCAAGGTGATGAAGATAGAAGGGGTCTGAGTATGGTGTATGAGGAATGAAAAAGTGATCTGGAACAGGAGATCAGTATCGCGTTTCACTGGGTGCTGGTTCGAGAGTTCGTGATCGCGTACTCACCGATACTGTGCATGCAACACTCCGATAGTCGAATGCAAAGGTCTTTCCAGATATCTAGTACTTGCTCACTGCGAGCGTCTGTGAGGGTATGAGCCGATGGCACAACGCACTACAAAACAACTCACAATCGAGACAGCTCTGACGCCACTGTACATCCACTTGGCGGGAGATGGAGAGTAATAAGATGCCCGGGATTGGCCTGCGCCAATTTCTCCATCAATCGCGAGATCACCTCATCCGGACCCTCGCCGTCGTCGAATTGGATCCGTCAATTGACGTCTTTGAGCCACAAGTCTTGTGCGGTAAGGCTGTCATCTCTGTAAGCTATGTTCGTGGCATACATTTTCAATACTGACACAAATACTCACTAAGCTGGAGCATAGATAAGGAACGAGGGATGGTCGCGGAGGAAAGTGGGATGTTCCAGAAGGGATTTAAGGGCTTCGAGAGATAGCGTCTGCCGGTACAGCTGATAATTCAACCGACTGTACGGCTGTGACCCAAGTTCTACTATTGCGTCGTCCCATACAAAGCCTTTCCACTCATCCGCCAAATCGAAAGCCTCATATTCGGCCTCCAGACGCCCTAAAGCCTGATACAATTGCCCGACATCTTCCATATCGAGCATATCCTTGGCCTGAACAGCTTTCAAGATAGGAATGGCGAACTTGATGCTGGCAGCGTCGGCGTGAGCCGCAAACAGGTTAATGATGTAATGGAGAGTGTCTTGAAAGTCGTATGTCATGGGGATTTGGGGTGGAGTGGAGGATGTCTTCGAATACAAGGCCAAGTCGTACTCTTGTGAGGTGCTGAGGATGGCTCGGATGACTTCCATGTTAGTGTGTAGAGCCGTGAGCACGTTCGGCAACTACGGGTGATATGTCAGCCAGCATCCAGAATCCCATACAGATACTGACAAGGTCACCTTGGACTCCTCTCTTACCGGTCTCTCCGCCCTGGTCAGACCCGCTTGGCTCGTTGTCTAGGCCAGTCTCAAAGTCGGCCTCTGGGAAGGAATGAGAGGGAAGGGCGGCGGCGGCTTGGAGGATAGGAAGAAGGGTGGGGTGTCTGAGAATAGTCGCAAGAGAGTCCAGGGCTTTCAAAGACTCATTCAGGGAGAAAGTATGCCCTTTATCTAGCGGCCCCCCGAGGTCTCGAATTGTCCTTTCCCATATCATGGCCTTTGTCTCTGTCTCCACATCCGGCATTGCACTGTAGTCGCGATACTCACTCTCCAAACGACTCAAAACCCCATGGAGTTCGCCAACATCCTCCAAACTCAAGACATCCTTTTGCTGAATGGAGTCGAGAATGGGAACAGCATACCTGGCGCTGGCAGCGTCTGAGTGATCTGCAAATCGGCTGATGATTTGCTGACAATTGAATCGAAAATTGTATGTCATGGGGATTGAGATGGGGGGAGAGGTTGTGGGTGCTTCGGGAGAAGTAGACAAGTCGTGGCCTGTGAACGAGCTGATGATCGATTGGATGGTGGTGATGTGGCTTTGGATGGCCTGATGTATGTCCGGTAGCTAGGGGAAATGATAAGTTCGAGCCTTCATGAAGGGCGAGTACTCACAGGACCATCGTTCGCAATGCTCGCGCCAAGACCGGTTGTAATGTCACGATCGTCTGGGGTGGTTGTGTGAGGGGGCTCGTCGTAATACTGTTGGTACACCTTTCAGTATCATTTCAGAAGATCAATGGGATAACGCACCATATAGACCACTTGGGTCAGACGAGGGTTAGGGACGCTACCAAGCAAATCCCGACTGAGCCCTTGCACCATAGCGAACAGGTCTATCTTGTCTGGGTCTCCACCTTCCTCGTTTTCCAAGTACTCCAGAGACTCGTGCAGGCGCCCCACAACACTATGGATGCTCCTGATATCCTCAATCTTCAATATATCCTTTCTCTGAATGTGTTTCAGTGTGGGGAGGACAAAGCTGACGCTGTCCTCTGCCGTATGAGCCGACAAAGCATCGATGATCTGGTTGATGGTGGTTTCATGGCGATGCGTCATGGGGAATGAGGGAAGAGGGGTTGACGTGCTGAGAAGATGGGATATAGGGTAGTATTTGAGGGCTTCATATGGAAGGGCGATCTGGGAATGCTCGTCGGGGGCGCTAGGCTGCCCGAGAGAAGTCAGTCAGCGTGCTTGATGAGTTGAGATTGATAGAGATATACGTACGAGCAGCTGATCCTGTGGCCCAGTGGCGGGGCGTGGGACTGACTCGGGCATCTTGCTAAAAGCTGACGAAGAAAAGAACTGGGCAACGTCGGCCCTGTCGTCCAGATGGCTGAAAAGGAGGAGGGCGAGTCCGAGAACGGCGATGGTCAGGGCGTAATTTAGGGAGAGTCCCATATACGCTGGAGGGGTACGAGATACTGCCAATATGTGACGGGAAATCAGGATGACAGTGAGAAGAGAAAGCGGAGAACAGCGAGGGAACAGATACAGGGGGCCGAGAGAAACCTGAAGGAAACTGAGACAGAGTGCCTGGGCATTCCGGCCGCCGGACAACCACCTGCCTTCTCTTATTTGTAGATGTGATCAGCATCCCAGTTTGAGAAAGGCTTCTGGAGAGACTGCTCGAATGGAGCAAATGTGTGGGTACGACAGAATCTTGATATTAGATAGATAGTGATTGCTAATCGAGGAGGAAAAAGGTGCCGCAGGAGAATCTGCAGATGAACATGAGGGGTGTTGGCTTCGCATCAAATGTCTGCATCACTCCTATGGACATGCTGAAGGCTTTCTGCCTACTTGATACCACGGAAGAGAGAGTATATACCATGACTGACATCGTCGGTATCTTTCCGGGCAGCTTCTGATTTTCTGATTCCTCCAGCAACGTACGCCCCACCTTGCTCACCATTCCTGCTCTAGACCCCTTTCCGGTCCACAATCACTACTACTCGCCACATTCATCCACAGTATACGATTGGAGATATCCTGAATGGAGAAGAATCGGTAGCAATGAGATCTCCTTGACAGAGGTGAAGAAGGAGCCGGACAGATGGAAGCCGACTGTTGATGCCATGTCGTCCGGGCGAGTACTGTAAGACAGCAGCCGGTAGAACAACCAAGGCTGAGGCTCACCCCAGTCCTCATCGTCTTCATCCTCCTCCTCACCGAGGTCAGCGATGCCGTGCTCCTCTAGCCAATGCTCAAAAGGCTAGGTGGGAAGGATTTGCAGGGTAACTATCGTCCTGAAGCAGACTATCAGGGTATTGATATCCTGGATGGAGACGGTCTCGACGAGACCGTTGAGGTAGATTCGCCTGGCGGGGGGGATTGCCTCTCCTCCATGGGCGTTTACACCACCGCGCGACAGTTTGGCAGTCTCGGGCCAGTTCTCCTTCTATTCATCATATTCCTCACTACACTCAAGCCCGGAAAAGTCAAGCTTGGACATCTTTGAAGTGAGCTCGATACGTCGATATAGGATAGGAATGAATTGGGTATATACGCGTAGACGAAAAGAAGTCGCTGCACTAACGCGGACGCGTCGCACAGATCAGCCATGCACACGACATGTGCCTTGTATGTTGACCGCTTGTTGATCCTACGTCTATTCAACTGACCAGCGCAGTGTCCTGCATATTGGACGTAGACGATGGAGATGCGCTCAACAAGTTCAACGTCTCGTCAACGAGCCAGAGGGGATGAGCAGTGGGTCAATCTGGTATGCATAGCGTAAAGACACCTCAATCATATTCGAAGCTGGCTACCGCGCAACAACCCCCTAAAATCCTCCAAGCTTTGGCGGCAGAGATCCTTCTGCCACCCGTTCGACTTCGCAGTCATGGCCTCCATACAGCCGATCACCCGCGCCAGCTTAAGCGCGGCCTTTTCATCCATAGGAGTCTGGTTCTGAATCCCTTTGATGACCTTTTTCGCCTTGTCAATGGATTCGTTGTTGATATGGTCCAGTCGACCGAGAGCAGCTTCAATGACGAACTTCACATTTGGCCGAGGAGTAGGGGTAGCAGCGGGGACGGGGGTCGATTTGAGGGAGGCAAGAGAGGATTCGAGGGCTTCGATCCGGCTGAAAATAGGGGCTAGAGACTACGGAAGTATCAGATACAGCCTCAAAGCATCTGAAGGCGTGAAACAAAGAGGCCGGTAATCGTAGCATCACGGACAGGGACGTACCTTCTCAACTTCCTCTTTCAGCCCTTGCGCCTCATGCTTCTCGGTCCTCTCGTTTATGTTTCGGATCTCGGCGTGCAAAGCAGTGAGGATTGCCTTCAAGCTGTCGTGCATGAGAAGCTAAAAAGTATCAGCGCCGACCCCATTGCAGAAGTTATCAATGCTCACCCAGTCAGGGCGGTCAGGCAGGGGTGTGAAATCATCGTCCAATGTGAAAGACGACATTTCGGTAGTAGCAGGGCTAGTTACCATGGGGCACCAAGGAGTAAAGTGGATTATTGGCGGGGGTTGGCTGGAATGGAGATGGGAGAAAAGAGTGTTTTTTGGAAGTGAGAGTATAAGTACACTTTCAGTTTTTGCGCCCTCTGATGGTTGTCTTGAGTGCGTCTGGTGCATGATGAGTATCTATGATCCTGTCCTCTCGCCCTCTGAGGACTGTGATGGTTGCTTGTTGCCTCCAAGATCATGTCCCTCGTGGCGGTTGCCATGTACGACCATCGAAGTAAACCAACTCGGAAGGTTCTGTCCGAGGGGACGCGGGCTGCAATATTCGCAATGCCACCGACGATCGACGAGCCTAAGTTGTCCTATAATTGAGGAGATTGAGTGCGACTGCACCGTACGCTTTGTGATTGGGAACAATACGGAGCAAGATGGGACGAGACGCTTGTAGGCCAGACGCGAGGCAAATATCGTGCATTGTCGATGCCAAACTCGCTCAAAGTAGCCTCTCAAGATCCATCCTCGTCGTCTCGCACACCTCCCCCTCCCACCTGCCCGCCCATCTCAGTTCCAAGGCGTCTAGCACGACAATAACTCTTGCAAGAATTCCCTTTGATGCCTCGTCAAAGATCTCCTTCTTCGATCCTTCAGGTGCATCTTGAATTCCGACAAGAGCAGAGTCGTCGATCGTTTCGACCCGCCCAAGGGCCAGCTGAAGGGCGTATTGGTGAGATAGCATGGGAATAGTTGGGAGGAGATGTAGGGTTTGGGATCGGGGTGTAGTGTTGTCGATGCCGTGCGCGACTGTCAAGATCATCAGTAGGTCATAAGCTGCCAGCTTACTGCTTACTTGAGTAGACGATGGGTGATGGAATCAGTGCCCAGATAGCCCGGAGAGGAAAATAAAACAGAAGCGGAACACGACAAGTAGGCAACCATGGTAGGATTGGCGTCTCTACACACTGGGTAACATCTACACGTGACACGTGGGCACACCCGGAACGCGCTGAGTCTTCATCCCCGAAATGTAGCGAAAGTGATCCGAGGAGGAACTGAGTGCATGGTAGACAGTAAAAGTCACGCATTGAGAATTATACTCTAGGCTGTGAGATAATCAGCTGGGCTGGGATGAAAAGGTCGTTGTACGCACAGATTCTCAATGTCCCAACAATTCTCTCAGGTCTCGTATTGACATAGCGAATGGTGCCATGCGATAGCTGTGTTCCGCCACTGGTGTCGTCTTGCAGTGTGCGCACGCACTCTCAAATCGTCCAATCACCCGCGCCAATTTCAGTCGGTCGTCCTTCGAGAGCTCCCCCCTTTTCCGCATGAGCGCTTCAAGGATGGGTCTAGCAAAGTTGGCGCTGCTACTATCTGTGAATATCTCGATACGGCCGAGGATAATCTGAATGACTTCTTGGAAGTGGGAGTCGATTTTGGTGGTGGGGTCTGCTTTGGAGGGACGGGGGTTGTTTCGGAGAGAGGCGTGGATCGATGTGACTTGAGATTTTATGACTTGGACATCCTCTTTGAGCTACTCCCAGTCAGCCCCCGAATCGATGTCGTGGCGTAGAATCCGCGAAGACGGGGATACTCACCTCTGCGATATCTCGCTTCCGGTCTTTGCCAATTGTCATCGAGTCATAGTCGCCGTAGCTGCTGACGCTATCTTGTGGGTATAAAGGGTTGAAATGCTGTGCGAACATGTTTGTATGCTGCCTTGATGTTTTGCGAGAGGGAGAGAAAGAACAACAAGATCGGAAAGATTTACGGGCATGTCCGCTGCGGAATCAAAATAGAGCTCGGCCCTCCGCCATCACATCGGCCGCCGCCGTCCGTAGCTGTGGGCAACTTGAACTGAACGAGCGAATTGTACCTCTTCTGAAATGACTGCAACGCCCAAGTGAGACTACTCTCGAAGACAAGTGGATTCGGGGACAACTCCGTGATGCTTTTCTCCGTCCAAGAAAGTCGTCTCTGAATCTCTCCCGCCTTCGTCGGTCCACCTAGGCCCTCCGTCTCTCCTACTCTCCTGGTAGTTCTGCCCTAATCTCACAAGACCTTCCCTTCCCTGAAGTATGTTTCTGTCTGCCTCCGAATCATTCTTTCTTCACCACATCTAAAGACATCGACGGTCACTATGCACTTGGCTCGATGATAGCGTGCTAGGAACTTCTAGGACCTGGGCGGTAGATATGGGGTGTGCCGAGGGGAGGGATCTTCGGAGTCTCTTACAGGGGATAATTGTCTGGAAGTTTCCCGTCCCTGATTCCCGAGACTACGCATACATAGTGGTGATGTTTTAGGTTTTGTACCTCTCGAACAAACGATGACACAAAAAGAAAAGATACAGTCCATATGCCTTAACTCAACCTTAGTATCAAGCCATCAAATCCCTAAACTCCCCCACCGTCCTCCCACCAACCACCCCCTTCCTATCCCCCTCCCACCTCTTCTCCAACGCCTCCAAAGCGCCGATAACCCTGACAAGCGTGTACTTTGAAGCTCGTCAAAGACGGGTTTGTGTTTGATGAGCCGGATGGCGTCTTTGGGCCAGAAGACGGCGGGGTCGAGTCGGCCGAGGGCGAGCTGGGTTGTGGTTTTGTGGTTGGGGCGCTGGCGCTCGGATGGGGATAGGGAGGGAGAGGCGCGGGGGAGGATGAATGCTTGGGAGGACATTGTGGTGTTGGTGTTGGTGTGGGGAGAGATGGATGATTGGAGCACGGGTGTATTATACTTGAGCTGAATGCTGGGATCAGCACGGCCCTTGTCGACTCGATGCGTAAAGGTGTATGTCTTACCTTTCAAAGCGCAGATGCACTTCCTTTCATCACGAATGCAAACCATAGGAGTAGAAGCCACTTGTCATACTGTCAAAGGTTACTCGCGTGGTGTTTGTCTCATGATGCAAATGCTGCAATATATATGGCATTGGTCAGCGTGTACACGACGGCGGCATGGGTGATGTGTCTATTGCTAGTCGTGTGGGTGGTCGAGAGCGGATCGAATTGTTCCCAAACTGTGCGGTAGATGGTATTGACGAAAGGTGCAGATCGTGGCCATACGGACCGTATTGATGATCGCGTTAGTGGGCGCGTCGCGTGGGTGGAGATGCGGGGATGTCCGTTGTGCCTCTGCCTTTGCCGCAGAAGGACCGCAGCAACCGCAATTTGAACAAGAACACCTTTATCTGCGTATCTGTCTATATTCTTTTGTCCCAGCATCCATTCTCCCTCCCTCATAACCCCATCCTCCACCGTGCATGTCGCGCAGCAGCACCCACAAAGCCCGCCGCCAATCCCTCATGTTTCGCCGCATCGGTCCTCCCACCCCTCTCGGCTACGCTGCCATCATCTTCTTCGCCCTCGTGGCGCTGTGGCTCTTGTCCCCGGTGGATGACGGGGTGGGGTTGTTGCCGTCTTCTTGGACTTCTGGCCAGGGCGAGGGGACAGGGGATTGGGCGAATCCGGTAGAGCCAGAGGGGGAGGTAGACGACGAGATGGACGACCCTCCTCTCAGCCTCCTCCCCAAGATATACACCTCCGAATTCCCCGACCTCAAACTCCCCCCTTCCCTCCTCGCCTCCCCGCACCTCTACCCCCTCGCCCACCGCCTCACCGCCTTCCTCTCCCGCCCCGTCCTGTCCCACAAGAAGGCGACAGAAGCCAACAAGGCCGGCTGCCCGACGGAGCTGGCGGACAAGCTGGTGAATCCGGATCAGTATAATGGGGATAGCGAGTTTTGGATGGAGGAGGTTACGGAGGAGGAGATTGTGAGACGGCGGGCTGATGTGGTTCGGTACTTGTCGGAAGCGGTGGAGAGGGGGGAGGAGGTGCTTGGGCGGGAGGGCAAGACGGGGAAGGGGAGGGGGATCGTCTTGACTGGTGGGAATCAAGTGAGTCGTTTTATCTACAAGTTGGAGTCGTGCTAAAGGGGTGTAGGATACGACACTGAGGACGATCACCGCTATCAAACACCTCCGACGACTCAATGTCGACCTGCCTATCGAAGTGTTCCACTACTCTGACGAACTGCACGATAAGAACCAGCGCAAAGAGATCGAAAAGCTAGGCGCCACCTTGCGCGAAGCAAAGGGTCTCGAAAAAGTCGACGGTGTCTGGAAAGTACGCCCCCCCCCCCTCCCATCTTCTCCTTCCATGGCACAAAGCTAATAGGTGAGGGATTTAGAACTGGCAAATCAAAGGCGTAGCCCTCGTCGAATCCGCCTTCCGCGAAATCATCTACCTCGACTCTGACAACACCCCCCTCCGCTCCCCCGCCCACCTCTTCACCGCGCCCCTCTACACTTCCTCCGGCCGCGCCGTCTTCTGGCCCGACCTCTCCAAAGACCACCCCGACAACGCCATCTGGCGCCTGGTAGGCGACACGTGCTCCCTCGAGCATTTCACCTTCGAGTCTGGGCAGATTGTGATTGATAAAGCGGGCAATGGGGGGATGAATTTGGCGGCACTGGTGGTGGCGGCGGGGATGATGCGGGATAGGGAGTTTTGGTTCCATATGTGTGGGGGGGATAAGGATACGTTTAGGTGGGCGTTTAGGATGCTGGGGTTGGAGTTTGGGGTGTCGCCGAGGTGGATGGGGACGGTGGGGATGATGAATGGGTTTCAGGGGGGAAAGTTCTGTGGGCAGTGAGTCTTCTTCTTCTTCTTCTTCTTCTTCTTCTTCTTCTTCTTCTTCTTCTTCTCCTTCTGGGTTAGAGTGCAAGACCAAAAGCTGACTCTATGGAACAGTTCGGTCCTGCAGCACGATCTCGTCATACCCGATGGGTTTACGAAAGAACCTCCTCTGTTTGTGCATTCCAACCTCCTCAAACATCTCGGGGGAGCAGGTCTCAAGCGGGGTACGCTTTTCACGCATATCGTACGTTTCCCTCCCCTCCCCCCTTCCCCTCCCGCACCACACCAAGCTAACCCCACCCCCTTTTCCCCAACAGCGCCGCCTCTCAGACGACTACGTCTCCTCCCCAGCGCTCAACCACGCCCACTCCTTCGTCTACAACGGCAACATCCGCGGCATGTGCCTCGACCTCGAGTGGCACGCTGATACGCCGCAAGAAGTGAAAGAGGAGGTGAGGGTGGAGACTGTTGGGGTGGGGGAGGAGGAGGGGGGGGTGTTTGGGGGGTTTGAGGAGGCTTGGTGGGAGGAGGGGGGACGGGTTGGGGGGTGGTGATGATTTGAGTATGGGAAGGGAAAGGAGAAGGGGAAGGGAGGGAAGTTTTTGGGATTTTTAGTTTGTATTAGCGGTGAAACCACATATTGCATGGATAGAAGAGTTATCATGACCAACTCTTATCTGGATCTGTCTTCATATCACTATGTGCACCTCCGTTTGCCTCACTTCAAGATGATCAAGAGTCGAGTTGCAATACATAGGCGCACGAGGATGCGCCGACTGCGGGCAAGGGATTGACAGAGGTCGGCTATGCCCGCAGGTACGCAGAATCGCAGTGTTTCGTTTACGCGAAAACCGCGAACGTGATTATTCGGTGACTGTGATCCTACGCAATCGTCGCAGTTATGTCGCGTACGAGTACGCGCGGGGGGTATGTATGCAAGTATCTTCTCTATCACTCACATTTCGAGCTCTATCGACGGGCAACAGCAAACCGAGGATAGTGGACAGGACAGTCAGTGTGCTCGACAACACCGATCAACGCACCGCACAGCAACCTTCATCGCCGAGGGTGCGAAGGCCGGATATAGCATAGTGAGCTACAGCTTGGTCACCACCATCATCTGCTGCTCCAGGGTACTGATTCTACTGCAGGTCGACTATTCAAAGCAAGCGTGAAAACACTATCCGAACCCTTTCAGGATATGCCGCCCAGAACGTACTCCGTAACCCCTCTAGGGTATCTCGTGCTGCTCCTGCTATCACTCGTAGTCATATGGCAAGGCTCCCGTCTCCTCGCCCCGGATCCCAAGGCTTTGATACCAGCATCATGGACCGCCCAAAAGCCAGCGCCGTTACCGCCAACGACAGGCAACGCATGGACGGACGCCGCGGATTTGGCGATGGTGGAGGATACGATCGAAGAGATGCTCGACATCCAGAACGTCCTCCCTCCCCTGCCGCATATGTATGCCTCCCAGTTCCCAAACCTCAAACTCCCGCTCCCCCTCCGGCGATCGTCGCATCATCTCATACTGGCGCAGAGACTACATTCCTTCCTCACGAGGCCTGTCTTGTCGCACAAGCAAGCTTTGAAGGCGAATGAAGAAGGGTGCCCGAGGGAGACGGCGGATGGGCTGGTGAATCCGGAGCAGTTTGAAGATGGGAAGGAGTTTTGGGAGGGGGTTGGGGAGGGGGAGATTGTGAAAAGGAGGGCGGATGTGGTCAAGTATATCTCGGAGAGGTTGGAGGCTGGGCAGGAGGTTATTGGGCGGCGGGGGAAGCTTGGGCATGGGAGGGGGATTGTTTTGACGGGTGGGAATAAGGTATGTGATTTTGAGTGAGAGGCTGGTTGGGCTGATGGGAAGGGGTAGGATACGACGCTGAGGACGATAACGACGATTAAGCATCTGAGAGGACTTGGGGTGGACTTGCCGATTGAAGTGTTTCATTACCCAGGCGAAATCAGTAATCGAAAACAACGTCAAGCTATTGAAGAGCTCGGTGCGACTCTGCGCGAGGCAAAGGGTCTTTCCAAAGAACCCGGAGCTTGGAAGGTATGGCTTTTACCTCGAGTTTTGGCATCACGAGCTGACATGTGGGGGTGTAGAACTGGCAGATCAAAGGCGCCGCCCTAGTCGACTCTTCCTTCCGCGAAATCATCTACCTCGACTCTGACAACACCCCCCTCCGCTCCCCCGTCCACCTCTTCGACGCCCCCATCTACACTTCCTCCGGGCGGGCCGCCTTCTGGCCCGACCTCACCAAAGACCACCCGCACAACGCTATCTGGCGCATCATAGGTGACACCTGCTCGCAAGACCTCTTCACGTTCGAGTCGGGGCAAATCGTCATTGATAAAGCGGGGAATGAGGGACTGAATATGGCGGCGCTGGTGATTGCGGCGGGGATGTTGCGGGATAGGGAGTTTTGGTTTAGGATGTGTGGGGGGGATAAGGATACGTTTCGGTGGGCGTTTAGGGTGTTGGGGTTGGAGTTTGGGGTGGCGCCGAGGTGGATGGGGGCGGTGGGGATTGAGAATGGGTTTGAGGGGGGCAGGTTTTGTGGGCAGTGAGTTTTTCTTCTTCCCTTTCCCCTCCCCTCTTCTTCTAGGGTAATGATTTGTGCTGACCGAGTGCTAGCTCAGTGTTACAGCACGACCTCATTATCCCCGAAGGATTCACAAAAGAACCTCCTCTCTTCGTACATTCCAACCTGCTAAAACATATGCGCAAGATCGGTCTTCGTCAAGGGGACATTTTCACCCATACCGTACGCTCCCTCCCCTTCCCTCCCTCATCAAATGTCTTGCTAATATGACCTACCACAGCTTCGGATGAAGAACGATAACGTCTCCTCCCCATCCCTCAACTACGCCCACTCGCACGTCTACATGGGCCAAGCACGCGGGATGTGTATCGACACACAATGGCATGCCAACGCGCCGAAATCGCTTCTAGAGGGGGCGGATGGGAAGGAAGGGATCGAGATGGGGAGAGTGGAGGAAGGGGAGGAGGGGGTGTTTTGGGAGGGGTTTGAGGGGAGGTGGTGGGAGGAGGGAGGGAAGGTTGGGGGGTGGTGAAGGCGAGGAGTCGGGGCGAAGAGGAAGAGTCCCATCTCGTAGCATTTTTCTACTGATATGTTATCGCTTCGTTTGATCAACTTTGACAGACGACAGAAGAAGACGTGGCAGATGTAGACACGGCAGCTGTTGAATGACACGTGCAACTGGACGTTGAATGGTCTTTGCAGTTCAAGCACTGGCTCTACGTGATGGTTTGGCTACATGATTTTATAGTCATAGTCGGAAGATGCTGGGACTCGCTGGTGCTGAAGATCATACTCAAGAAGAAACGGGAGTACCAGTGGAGGAGGATGCGAGCAGCTCATCATCGAATTCTGAAGACTTTCCAGATCAGCAGCCAAGAATGATGATACTACATGGGTAGGGGCCTTGTCTGAGAATGCAATTGTCCGTAGTGTCTTGATTGCATGGGGTGATCATTCACTTAGTCGATATCTTGGTTACAGGCAATCCTTTAACGATCTGGCTATCCTAAGCGCGGAGCATAGACGCGCTGACATCGATCAACATGTTCTTCGTCTTTGGGGTCAAGGAAGGTTGTCTGTATGGACAGCTTCAAGACTCGCCCGTTTATTCTCGAACGAGGATTCTACTTCCATAGAGCGATCATCGCCATACTTCTCATCAGAGGCGATGCCCAATCACATCATGATTAGAAGCTCACCAAGCGCACTTTTCAAGCAACTGATGTTCTGACTGTCAATGCCCGTAGTGTTTGCATCCGGTGATTGCCATCTCGATCCCCATAGGGAGGGCAAAGCGGAGACTGTCTGTTATTTACGCCCTCAAAGGAGAGTTAGAAACCATCTTGGGGCAAAGGAGTAACGGCATTTGTGTTTTGTAACTGAAAGGAAAGATGACAAGGAAGTGCAAGGCCAGAATGCGCTGCGACGCAAACGTCTTTTGGTCGGCTACTATCTCGCTACCCCAGAGTCGTTCTGATCAGAAAACCATTGTGAGTGATGGCAAGCGAAAGCATAGCGAAAGCGAGGGTACTGAGGGGTGGTGCTGATGCGTGGGAACTCAGCGCTTTATAATGGACATGTTACCGATCTGTCAGCTCGAGCTCTGGAGATATAAAAAAGCCGATCGGAGTATAGCGCTATAACCAAACGTCAATATGCCCGCCACCGAGATTACAAGCCTTCCGCCACTCCTCCCCGTCGAGCTTCGGATCTACATATCTGAGTGCTTGTTGGATATCCTCCCTCTATTGCATATTGCCAAATTGGCTCCTTTATCTAAATGCGTCTACAGTCAAGTTATGCCTCTACTCTATCGAGATCTAGTCCTCAACCGGCGTAACTGCGAGGCCTTCTTCTACGGCTTGAAAAGTCAACCCTACAAGGGCGAGAGGGAAGAGTGGTACAAACCCAGCATTGACCCGTCTTCATCTCAATCAACAGCCGCTCGAACGCTGAAACTATTCTTCCTCTCGACATCCGTCACTATCCAAGACGTCGACGCCTTATTTGTTTGCTTTACCCCTTTGCGCCTGATATTCGGCTCATTCAAACTACCCGCGCCACCGGAAGGGTCCTGGGGCCCGTCCATAGGCGAGTGGCCTGTGCTCTTCCGTAATGCCGGGCGAGAGAAGGGAGGTTTGACTTGGGGTTCTGATCTCATCGAATCTGTACAAGCTGGCTTGACGCGTGATCTGCGGTATCGCGGGATGGCAGATTGGAGTCTTTTACCCTACCTCACCGCTGAGAGGACTGAGAGTATGACGTTTGTGGCGTTGCCGTCTGAATGGTCGACGTCGTTGGTTTACTTTGTGACGCATGTGTTGCCGTCGGGGCGGGTGAAGAAGGTGGTTTTTGGAGAGTGTGAGCCGGGGTCGGTGGAGCTGGATAGTACTGAATTTGGGAAACATACTTTTATGGAGGAGGTTGAGATATTCATCCCGACAAGGACGTCGTTGTCCAGGAGTGAGGTGTTCGAAGGCTGTGTACACGCTGTCCGGTATGTCTCTTTCCTCTTCATCCCACGTGAAAAAGGTCGCCAACATTGTCTGTCAGAAATCTGGCACAAAGCCGTAAATCCCTCCGCACAATAACATCCCACAACTACCCTCTCGACACCGCCGAAAAAGGGGACGACGAAGCCGACCGCCTGCTAGTAGCAGCCGAGCGTGGGGGAGAAGGGGTTCTCGAGATGCGTCTCGAAGATATAGAGATCGTACTGTACAGAGCTCTGCCTCCTGATTAGTTTCGCATGTATTCATAGGTTAATGTATAACAGCATATCAACATAAGGACGAGCGAGCTCCACTGGTCGTTGACCGAGGATGAAGAGAAGACGCCGCTTACGGCAACACAATCGTTGACCGGTCTTTGCGCGCTTCTACAATTAAATCAACGTCAGCACCGCACTCATCCTCTATGAGGGATGACGGATAGGGGACGTACGCTAATGATGGCGGTACAGTAGCAGCGAGCTGAATAGCGCTCAAACTGCCCGAAATCGTGATCGAGTCTGCTGCTGTTGATGACGGAAGGGTAGCTGACGGATCGGTTTCTGAGCCTGATACTGTTGAGCTACTGCTCTGAAGGCTAGTCGTGGCGGACGCTGATGAGGTGATCGTATCGGGAGATAGGATACTCCCATTCAGAGCGATGAAATCGAGATCGAGATCTACCCCGCCCCCAAAAATCAGCCCCCTCCTCCTTCTCCTTTTTCCTCTAAATCCACAAAAAAACTCACAAGTCCCCCCCGAATCAGCATCCCACATCCACTCATTGCTCAAAACAACCTCATGCTGACCATCCTCAAGCCCGTGGACTTCGTACAGGACTTGTTGGTAGAGCTCGGGGTGTTGGGCGGTGCCGTTGAAGTATTGTTTGCTTCCGCCGTCGAGCTGGCCAGAGTAGTAGCCGTGGCTGTGGGTGATGAGTCGTAAGTTAACCCATGTGCTGGAAAGAGGGGCAGAGAGAGAGAGAGAGAGAGAGAGAGAGAGAGAGGGAGGGAGAGAGAGAGGGGTAGCTTACTTCGGTCGTTTACCCCCAAACAGCTGGATATCCGTCCCAAAAAAGTAGACAGTCGCGCTATCCCCATCCACGACCGTGCCGTGGAACGTCTCGTTCCTGTATTGGCTGATATACACGTCGTCTTTATGCTAGAATCAGCCCGGCTTGAGAGGAGAACGAGAAAAAGACGGCGGAGGTGAGAGGAGGAGGGGAGGGGGGGAGGGGGGGAGGAGGGGAGGGGATGGGAGGGGGAATGGGACTTACAGCCTTGAGGCGACCAGCCGTCACCTTGATACAGGATGTATGGCGAGGTATCGTCGAGGACGAGCTGGGAGGACGAGTCTATGGACATGGATTGGTTTGGTTGGTAGCTCGGGGGGGAGGCGAGAGTATGATGTAGTGCGCTGATGAAGTGGCGTTGTTGTGTAAAGGTGCGACATCAGCGAAAAAGACAGGTTCTGTGTATACCACAAAGGAATGCGATTTCGGAGCGTTTGAAAACGATCCCTCATCTTCCAGAGGTATGTTCCTTAGTACTGGGTGCTGGCTCATTCAAAAAAGTCATAGACTGACCGCCCTGCAGATCGATGAAAAGTACAAAGGGGCGCCATCGTGGTAAAGAGCGAGTTTGTTGATGGATCAAAGGAGAAAAATCGGACCTCGCCGTAGCATGCCTTTTCTTCCGGTTAACCGGTGAGTTGGGGATCCATGTTGCTTGACGACGCGATTTACAACCGGTATTGGACAGGGATGAAGTAACAAAGCTGAGGGAAAAGGGTGCATATAAGGTCGACTTGATCTATTTGCCAAGCCTCTTTCTCAAAGCGCGCGTAGCCTATCAACCCGTCAGCTACAACTCCAAAACACTGTTGATGTAGAAAAGACTCACCTTTCTTCTCTTCTTGTGCTTGTGCTTTGAGATCTTCTTTCTCCTCTTCCTCTTGACACTGTCCATGTGCACCTCGTCCCCCTGACTCACTTGCATCTTTGCCAGCATCCCTTCCAGCTCTCCGACGACGTCGTCCAAGCTGATATCCTTCACCATCTCCTTCTTCTTCTCCTGCTTCTCGGCCTGGGCAGAGAGGAGCTTGCCATCCATCATCGCCATGACCTTGTTCCACTCGGACTCGTTCACGCGCGCGAGGTCTTTGGCGCGGTTCTCGAGGAAAGCGGTGATGGACGAGCCGTCCATCTCGGGCGTCCCAAATACTTGACCGTGCGCAAACTGCCTCGAGGCCATGGGCAAAGAGTTGACAACATTCAGGTGGTCTGCCATTGCTCCTCCGCCCATCTTGGGCGCCTTTGCCACCGGCTTCCTAAAGATATCCCCCCCATTCTCTCCCTCCTCTGGGCTGGGCTGGGTATATCCTCGGGTACCGTTGAATAAGGGGAGGGGGTAGGCAGGGTGGGTGAAAGCGGTGTGAAGCTTGAATTGCTCGGGGTAGAGAAAGATGGGGGTGAATTCGTTGGTATGGTTCAGCGCGGGCGAAGCGTGGGTATAGCTCAGGCGGGGGGTACGCGGGATGTGCGCCGGAGCCGGCTCGGGCACGGTCGGATAAGAACTGCCAGAGTGGGAGGAGAAGGAGAGGCGGGGTTTGCGGCCTCGGCCGGCGGTGATGGCGGGGAGAGGCTTGGAGAGGGTGGTGGTGTGGCGGCTCCGGGGCTTGGGGAGGGCGAGGCGGGGCTTGGTGCGGCCGCGGGTCTGGGGGAGGGGGGTGGGGGGGTGGTGGCTGGCGTGGCCGTGGGGGCACGTGGAGTAGAGCCGGCGGAGCAGCATCGTCGATGAGGAAGCACAGAAAAGAGCGATGGATCAAAAGGGGAGAGCGCCGCGGGATCAAATTTACTACGGCGGTCGAATCCGGTTTCGCCCTTTAAATGGGTTTACAACTTTACGTAACCCGCCCATGAACGCGATATTTTGGATTTTTGTTTTGGCACAGTTCTTGAGAATACATAGCAGCAAGATGTCCAAGAGAACGATAGAACAAGTCGAGATGGAGCCGTCGACCTCTGCCACCGCCTCCCCTGCGCCTGAGGGAGTGCAGCTGCTGAAAGTCCCCCAAGTGAGCGCGCTGAGAGAGGTCTTGAGGCTGCCGCTAACTCTACATTCCAGAAACGGTTCTACAGACAACGTGCGCACGCCAACGTCTTTATCGACCACGAGCTCGAATAGTACCTCTCCTCTTCCCCTAATGGAACGCAAGAGCTAAGAGCGCGTAGCCCGAAGAACCCGGAACGTATGGACTGGTCCACCCACTACCCCGCCTATTACCCAGCCCCCAACGACGACGGGTCTATCCCAAGCAATAGCGAACTCGGGGGAAAGAAGGTGGAGTGGGCTGATGTGGGATGTGGGTTTGGGGGGCTGTTGATGGCGCTGGCGCCAATGTTTCCGGAGAAATTGATGCTCGGTACGTTTCTCTGTCCTTCCTCTGTCCCTCTGTAGTAGAAGGCTGACGAGGAGATACTTGTAGGTATGGAAATCCGAACAAGCGTCACCAAATACGTGACCGACCGCATCGCCGCCACCCGCCAAGTCCAACAACTCCTCCCACAAGACTCGGCAGAGAAGAAGGAGGGGGGGTACCAGAATGTGTCGGTCATCAAGGCGAATAGTATGAAGCATATGCCGAATTTCTTTGCAAAGGGACAGGTGCGTTTTGCCTCTCCTCTATCTTTTATGAGATTGGAGCTGGAAGCTTGGGGCTTGGAGCTTGGAGCTTGGTCTGCGTAAAAGAATTGTGCTGATATGGATGATGGTGGGCTCTAGCTCGAAAAGATGTTTTTCCTCTTCCCCGACCCGCATTTCAAGGCGCGTAAGCAGAAAGCTCGGATCATCACGTATGTCCTTCTCCTCTCCCCCTCCTCTCCTCCCTTTCCCTCTCCTCCCTCTTCTCCCCTCTCCCTTCACCTTGATCGTCTTGTCGGAAGGCTGACTGAATTGGGTAGACCGGCGTTATTAGCAGAGTACGCGTACGTCCTCCGGCCTGGGGGCATTTTGTATACCGTCACGGACGTTAAAGGTAATGTCTCTTTCTCTCCCCTTCCCTCTTTACCTCTCCCCTTCCCCTTTCCTCGTCTCCTCTCCCTTATCTTCTCCCCCCCTCCTTCTCACAGCCGCCCCATCCCCAGCCTCATCCCCAAACTGAAAGCTGATTGAAAGCGTAGATCTCCACGACTGGATGGCCCACCACCTCCTCGCCCACCCCCTCTTCACGCCCATCCCGAATGAAGACTTGAAAGACGATCCGATACTCGAAGCGGCGAGGACGAGCACGGAGGAGGGGCAGAAGGTGGAGAGGAATGGGGGGGAGAAGTGGGTGGCTTGTTTTCTGAGGAGGGAGGATCCGGAGGAATGAGGAGTGATTAGATTAGGGTGAGGTTTGTTTGGTTTCCTGGGAGATGTACAGTACGAGTATGTTTTTCGTATACATGTGCGTCCGGACAGCCGCAGTTCGCAGTTCGGTAGTCAAAATATCGGTCATCTCTCTCTCTTTCTCTCTCGCATAATATGTTTTTCTTTGTTTTATCGGCATCGGCAGTGTCTACAGTTAATCGTCGTCCGTTGTTTTTCCCTCGTATTGATTGTCGATTATCGATCGCGAGGAGTCTTATCGCACTTATCATCCTTTCATTTTTCTCCACATGTCCCTCCTGGCCCGACGCCTTTTGTGAATCATGATGTCTGTTTCCCACCTGCATGTCTGGGCCCCTCCCCCTCTGGAAGTGGGAGAGAGTGGTTGCGTGGGAACTGAAAATGGAATCCTTCAGTATCACCTGTTGTATTGTTTGTAGTCGTCCTGCCAACAAAGAGATGGGCAGAAAGAGCTTTACCAAGCCACCACCCGAGTGTCACTACATACAATGCAATACTACAGTATATAACCAAGTTCACAGCAGGACAGTGTTACCTTGTGTCTTTACAATAAACATCATCATGGGACAATCATGGCAGACACCATCACCGACTCTTCTTCTTCCCCAAGCTTCGTCCGTAGCCGTAGCTGGGGCTCGTCATACCCAAAGGCACGACATACCAATCAAACCAGCGTGGACCATACCTGTTGTACAGTCTTCAGCTAGATAGATATACATAGATATACATAGATATAGATAATCAGACATGTCCGCCAGGCCAGCATACATTGCACATCCGCTGCTGGACAAGGGATGTTCCTCCGCTTCTCTTCCTGCAGCTACAAAAAGGAGGAGTGGCTTACCGGTGATATACATACTCATAGTAGAGGGCGGGAAGTACTCATCACATGATATATGATGTGATGCCTCGACATAGAGTACGAGTACCAAGTAGCACCACATCATACACGTATCTAAAAGGCCGCAATCATCATGGGGCTGTTGGAGTATAGACTCGTGCCATTGGCAGGTGTGGATATGCCGAATGACTCTTTGGGACGATAGAAGGCCGTCAACTCCAACAAATATTGGCTAACGACGAACTGCAGAAGAGACTGGTTCTCCAATTTTTTCGTCATATACATCGAACACACTCATATCGTTTACTAGTGACTGGTCGCTTATCTTGAAACGTGCAGGGATCAGGAGGTTCACCCAAGTGCGTTCACCTACTATCCTCTACTACATCATGTCCTCTTCAGCGGCACCTTCATGATTTCATTCGCCTTCCGCTCCGCTCGACCTACGTTCAGCAGGGATGCTATCTTGAATCTCGTGGAGACGAGTTTCTGCCAGACGGCGAGCTTCTGCCCGCTTGGCTCGCAAAGCACGTTGGCTGTCGCGATTACGCTCCCTTGCTGTCATCTCAAAGTCAGCTCGAAAGCTCAAAATCCAATCCAAACTGCCAAGGGTCATGTACGCACTTCTAGCAGCCCATCCAGGATCTTTCTGCTTCTGCCTTTCCTTATAGGCAGCAGACCTTTCAGCGTTGTTCTCTACGAAGGAGGAGGACAATAATAGTCAGCATCAACTCGGCACGGCACACATTCACTATCGCTGTAAGAGTACGCAGAGGGACTCGAGTTGATCAAAATATATTGACGTACTTGGAGGTCTCTTCTCTCTGGGCCCCCCAGCACTACTAACCGTATATGTCAGTCTTATAGACCTTGGGAAAGTAACTGTTCTCACATACCTAAAGTTTTCTGTCAGAGTCTCGAGCTCCTGACGACGTCTAGATAGAAATTCCGGATCTTCAGAGTCACCACTGAGAAGACTGTTGAAATTTGTAGTCTGGTCAAATACTGTACTTCTGTGTACATCTCATATCAGTGCCATGAATCTCGGTTGCCGAACGACACAGTGTTTACCACGGTCAAGACATACCCAATGATTTCTGAGCGAGTACGAGTTGCTTCTTGACTTTCCCCAGCATCATCCGGCTCGGCAGCAGCACTAAGAAAACTGTTGAAATCTGTAGTCTGGTCGTATATCGTACTGCTGTATATTACATATATGTCAGCAACAGAAAGGTCAAAATGGTGATGAACCAGTGGTCAGCGCTTCTCTTACATACCCAATGGTCTCTGGCTGTTCTTCTTGAATACTACTAGTAGATGATGAACTCTCCACCGGCGAGGGCCCCTGAAGCCTCTCTGGCTCATTGTTGGCGGCATCAATCATCGTGATTTTCTGACGCACGCGCTCAATGAAGTCATAAAGACTGTCGTTTGACTCGCCATGGATAGCGTATCTTTTCCATTCCTGCAACGTCCTGGTAAACTCAACCTGTCATGGTATCAGTTTGTCAGCGAACAAGAGGTGGTGCCCAAAAAGATGGGATCGGTTAGGTTGCATACGTCAGACATATTTGCAAGCTGGTCATAGGTGATATCGTCCCATGAGCGAAGCGACATCATCGCTTTCCTTCTACGCATATCAGTAAGCACCCGCCGATGGTGAATCTGCGTACAGCCTCAAGAAGTGAGGCACAAGGAAACATGAAAAGACCAGTACCTTTTTCTGTTTGTGTCTTACAGTGTCTCAATGGGGACAGAATTTGGGCTTGATATTCGAGTACAAAGCGGTCGAATAATCTGCATGACGGTCTCAAATGATATATAAATCTTCAGAGTTGTCTACGAAACGCCAGACACCCGCTGGACAAGGGATTGTGTACCCTATGTATTCGTCGCGTTCGTCAAGTTGTATGAAAAGCTCGGCGGGGGAGCTATAATTATCCAGGCTAAGGGCCCTACTACTCAGTACTCAGCGCGTGCTCCTTTCAGACCATAATGGCATCCTTTGATCCATGCACGGATGTAAAGAAGAGAGGGAGATTCCACCACCGCACGCCCCCGATCGAACATGGTAGTAATGATACCGGTTGATTTCATCCCCTCTTGCTCACTGAACAACAGCCGACATACAGACTTGTTCACCATGGCCTGAGATCGCTCCTCCGTTGTTGTAAGGGATTGGCGTTCTCGCTGGAGGCCTCCATTGACTCTTATCGAGGACCATATCGGAGCGACTGGCGCACGCATAGTACGTTTGTCGCAATGTAAATATATTCTGTACTGGGAACCAAGAATAACAGAATGCTGCCAATTATGACAAAGTGTTGTTTCGAGACCCGCTTGGGCAAAGCTGCAAAGCTATTTCAGCAGCAATGTCATAACATGGTGTCTACTGTACATCATATCTCACTGCCTCTTCTAACCCCTACTATCAAAAACGACACATTACCAGAATGCCAGACAATGATACCGACCCCTCCTCTCAACCCCGGTTTGTCATTCCTACGGGGACGGAATACAAATCGGGGGGAGTCAGCAAACAAACTGTATCTTTGAGACCCAGAACAAACGAGACTATCACTCTGAATACCGAAATTGATTATGATCCTCCTCACTATAGAGAAGATGGTGAGACCATCTGGGAGGAACCGCTCGTTCGCAATCACGTTAGTGACTGTTTTTCTGTGTCGTTGTTGCCTGGTAGACATCCATTAATGAGGCTATCAACAGTGGCAGATACGTCCGGCTCTCCCCCCTACCCGCGACCCATCTCAGGCAGAACGTATTCTTAGCGACATTGAGAGTGCATTCGCCAGATTCAGGGAAAGCCAGCGCACCAGGACCGAAAACGAATACCTCACTCTTTCCTATTCGGAGATGTACAATTCCTTCATAAATACGATCGAGAGTCTCTATGGAGATGTTCTTGGAACCGTCGAGAAAGATCTTACCCAAGCGATGAGCTTTGCTGCGGCTCATATTGCAGCTGAGGATGATGATGAGGTGCCGGCGTATACGGAAAACGAGGTGAAACAGATCACAGCCAGACTCGCAAGAACACACGTGATTTCCATTCTCAAGAGTCAGTCCGATATAGACAATTGAATCAACGCGTTCACCCCTCCAGAACTGAGGATAAGTCCTGACCTAGATACCGACATTGCAAATGAAGCTACGCAGGTCTATCTCAAGCGTATGTCAGATCTTTCAAAGATTCACATGGATAGGACGATTCTCGGGAGCAAGGCGACGGTTGTTTGGGATGATCACGGAGCCAGGATGATGGTTGTGACCGGGAATCTTCTGGAGCCGAACAGAAGTCGTGATGATCAGGATCATGTCGATCATCATGTGACTGATGCTCCGCCTGAGCTGGTACTGGAAGAAGACACAGAAAGGCAGTCTTGGGCCGCTATGAATAATTGTGGGTCAGTTGTGTTTGAAGATGCCAACGGCGCAATTTACGATTTCGGTTTTGATTAGAGACACGATGTCTAGTCTGACGATCCGACCTGTCGTTGAAAGAGGAGAGGGATATAATGTAGTGCAGATATAGTGTGCTGGTTTTCGATGGGTGTATCAACCGGGCTACGCTCATGCTTCTCACCAGCGAAGGGAGATAGTGAGGGGGGCCATGTACGCGGATGACGGTATATGAGTTCAGCAAATCACAGCATGACTCTTGGGCATTTACATCGGACATTGCATAGATTCCAATCTGACTTTCAAGAGAAGAGGTGAGGACCGACGGGTTGTTGTTACAATCCATTCCCGATGCAAACATTACGCTGAAGACCTGATTCTCCGAGGTTGATACTGAGGATGGAAGGGAGGCAGAGGCCAAGGCTGAGGAGGATGAGTATGATGAGTGTGATTATCAGGCCTGCTCTTGGGGGACAGCTGAAGTTATCACCAAGTGTGATTCAGGGTTGAGTTCAAGTACGTGAAGGGGAGTACACAGTCATACCTGGATGAGGTCAGGAGCAGTACAGGCTGAAGAAGAGGAGGAGGGGAGAGAAGAAAGTCAAAGAGTTGGTTGTTTGAAGTCTCTGTCCCGGCACCCAGCCCGTCTTATATACATGAATGAGTGACGAGACGATAGACGGAGCGACTACGTGACACGACTACGGCACGAAGTGGATAAGGGTACTAGTCAATCAGCGAAACGTACGAAAAGGCTAAAAAGACGATAAGAAAGAGGAGACTGGTGGAAGAAGGTAAGGGTAGCGAAATATGGACGTGTCGACGTGCGTCGGACAGCCTTACGAGAAGAGAAGAAGAGAACGAGAACGAGTAACGGTAACGAAGACGGAGGCGAGTTAAGCTAAAATAGTCCAAGGGCGTGCAGGCGACTAGCACGCTACAATGAGGCTGGCGAGGATGATAAGGCTGGTGAGGCTCTTCTTCATCCTTATCTATGAAACCTATAAACTGTTACGGAGCGTGCTTGTAAAAAAAGTTCTCAAAACTACACCTGAAAGTTCTTTGGTCGGTCATCTTTGTACGGTCGATCGTCATGATGGGGTCGCCTTCGAACCAATTCATGAATTCTCCTTTGACAATCGAGCCGATTCTATGCCTGTGGCAGTTTTGAAGCTGTCGCGATAGGTAGGCCAAAGCCCCATTTCGCTCAGCTCGGCCTTCGTGACGGTCCCTATGAGCTGCTCTTCATCATCTGGCTCGTCATCTTGACAGCTAATGATAATCGCCGATGCTGCGCAGGGAAACTCAAATACAGTAGGCTCTCTATTGCTAAAGTGTATACGAGCGCTTCTTCGTGTCTCGTTGTTGATCATTGGCTTTCCGCCGGTCCATGAGCGCTCGTCGGAATTTTCTCCGTGCTTTAGGTGCATGGCACAGTAGCAGATGTGCTTGGCACCGTCAGAGGAGATGCCGGAGATGCGGCTGTCGGGAGGGAATAAGGTTGTTTGACTGTCTTTGCTGGCCGTGCTTGCGGTGTTGTCGGTGGCTCCCGTCATCTTGGATCTGTGAATAAAGTAGGTGCCGCTGGGTAACTGATGTAGTACTTGTATACTACTTGTGCTCTATTGCATATATAGACAAGCTTCAGCGGAGCTGCAACTGCTGCTCAGATCATTTACCTTATGCCATAAGTTCTCAAGAACAAGCGTGCTGCTCGTGGAATGGTTCGGAGAAAGGAAGTGCAATACCTCCGGTTCCCAGCCTGGGCTCTCCTTCGGCTTCCCACGTCATGCGGGGGTAGACACGGTCATCTTGGAATTATCATCATTTGTGTGCTGAATATATCCGATGAAATTTTCCTATGGCTTGTTGTCCATCTACTGCTTCATTATACTCCGTTCTTCAACTTGAATCCTCGCACTCTCAGAGGTGGCTGGGAACCGCCCCTATTGCAATCCTTTCTACGAACCATTTCGCGAGCGACACGGTTGTTTATGAGAACTGTTCGCATTCATCTCTTCTCAGGCCGGGATTGTGGCACGCATTCTTTCCCACACCCACAATACAATGTTATCTGACTGCTTGTCACTCGGTTCTCTGGCATTTGGACGACAAGTGACCACGAGGAAAGGATCGTCTCCAGGTTCGACGTCAAAGAGCCGAGGATAGTTCAGGCGACGTCTTGTGGTAGGCTTACACTCTTCACCTCTAATTGTGCATATAATAATCTAGCTTTACGAGAGCCACCAGGTTTCATACGCTGATAGCCCCTACCACTCAATGCAGTAGACGAGCAATGGCATCATTGGCCCTCTTGAAAAAGCGCTTGCTCTTCCGAACAGATTCACTCCCAGCCCTCGAATCGTCCCAATCAAATTCATTCCCAGCCCTCGAATCGTCCCGATCAGATTCTCTCCCGGCACTCGAATCGTCCCGAAAAGAATCACTCCTGGACTTTGGATCGTGCTTGTCATAAAAGTCATTGAAACAATTTTTGAAAGTTCGTTGGTCGGTCATCTTTGTACGGTCGATCGTCATGATGGGGTTGCCTTCGAAACAATTCTTGAATTCTCCTTCAACAAGAAAGCCGTATTCCAAGCCTGTGACAGTTTTGAAGCTGTCGCGATAGGTAGGCCAAAGCCCCATTTCGCTGAGCTCGGCCTTCGTGACTGTTCCTATCAGCTCCTCTTTATCATATGACTCGTCATCTCGAAAGCTGAGGATGACCGCCGATCCTGCGCAGGGAAACTCAAATATAGTAGGCTCTCTATCGCTAAAGTGGATACGAGCGCTGCGTCTTTCGTTGCTGATCATTGGTATTCCGCCGGTCCAGGAGGGCTCGTCGGATTCTTCGCGCTTTAAGTGCATGGCACAATAACAGGTGTGCTTGGCACCGTTAGAAGAAACGCCCGAAATGCGGCTGTCGGGAGGGAATAAAGTTTTTTGACTGTCCTTGCTGGCAGAGCTTGCGGTGTTGTCGGTGGCTCCGGTCATCTTGGTCTGTCGTTGGGTAACTGGCGTGGTGCTTGTATGCAACTTGTGCTTTATGGTATATATAGACAAGCTTCAGCGGAGCTGCAACTGCTTGTCAGAACTATTCACCTGGTCACACATAACGCTGCACACTCCTTTCTAACTTCACCATCGTTGTCTTTTCAACTGACATCGATGCTCCCTTCTCAGAACCATTCCGCGAGTTTCGAAGATGTTAATCATAGATGATACCTGTCACAAATAGTGTGATGTGACCTACTCGCGTCCTGGGCTCTCCTTTCTGCACTATCCTCGGCTCTTTGACGTCGAACCTTGGACGACATCTTGTTGTAAACTTGCACTCTTTATTTCTGATTGCGCATACATATCTTCATGCAGCTTTACGCGAGCGACCAGATATCCTTTCATACGCCGATAACCCCTACCACTCAATGCAGTAGACGAGCAATGGCACCATTCGCCCTCCGAAAAAAGGCGCTCGCTCTTCCGAATAGATTCAGCCGAGATCCCCTTATCGCGACGGGAATTAGCCGGGACTCGGTTACTTTTCGTGCGGGCTGTATCTCGGCCTATCGCGATGGAGAATGCCGATATTCGCTTCTATATAACAACGCCTCTCTTCCCCTCTTTCTCGCTTCCCCATCTGCCCCATTTTACCTCTGCACAATGACTGAAGCATACATCAAGAAGCTCAACTCGATCCCCAAAGAGGACTTTCTCGTATGTCCTCCTCCCCTCATCTGCCCTCCATCCCCTCCATCTCCTTCAAAACTAACCCCAAAACCCCAGTTCGGCCCCTCCCCAATCTCCTCCCTCCCCAACCTCTCCTCCCACCTCTCTCCCTCCAGCACCATCCGCATCTTCTCCAAACGCGAAGACTGCAACTCTGGCCTAGCCTACGGCGGCAACAAGGTGCGTAAACTCGAGTATCTCGTCGCGGCCGCCAAAGCGGAGGGGTGCGATACGCTGGTGAGTGTGGGCGGGGTGCAGAGTAATCATACGAGGGCGGTTACGGCGGTGGCGAAGAGGAGTGGGATGGGGAGTGTGACGGTGCAGGAGAAGTGGGTTCCTATTGAGTGAGTGTTTTTTTCTCCGTCTTCTTTAGGTTGGGTGGAAAGGGCTGATCGGGTGGTAGTCCACCTCTCTATGCGTCTACGGGGAACATCCTCCTCTCCCGTCTGATGGGCGGTGACGTCCGGCTCAACCAAGAGACCTTTGATATCGGACACAAAAAAGCCACTGAAGATGCTTTCAGAGAGGTGCAGGCTAAGGGCGGTAAACCATAGTACGTCCCCTTCCCTCCCTCCTCCCTTTCTCTTTAGCTTCATATCGACGGGGTGCAAGAGCTGATGGAAGCAGCTACATCCCCGCAGGCGCCTCCGACCACCCCCTCGGCGGGCTGGGCTTCACCGCCCTCCTCCTCGAGCTCCTCCCCCAAGAAGCCGCCCTCGGCATCTTCTTCGATACCATCATCGTCTGCTCCGTCACCGGTTCGTCCCACGCCGGCCTTGTTGTGGGTAATATCCTGGATGGGCGGAGGAGGAAGGTTATTGGGATCGATGCGAGTGGGAAACCGGAAGCGACGAGGAGGCAGGTGGAGAAGATTGCGAGGGATACGCTGGGGATGCTTGGGGAGGGTGTGGGGGAGGGGGAAAGGGAGGAGGTGAGGGAGGAGGATGTGATTTTGGATGATAGGTTCCATGCGGGGATCTACGGGATCCCGGATGACGAGACCATTGCTGCTATGCGCTGTAAGTCCTCTCCCTTCTCCCCTCTCCCCTCTTTCTTCCCATACCCTTCCCCTTCCCCTTGACCATGACCAGTAAGCTGACAATGGAACCAAAAGTGGGAGCCTCCAAAGACGCCTTCATAACAGACCCAGTGTACGAAGGCAAATCCCTCGCCGGTATGATCAGGCTTATCCAGGAAGGGTCGATCAAGGAGGGGTCGAATGTGCTTTATGTGCATTTGGGGGGGCAGCCTGCGCTCAATGCTTATAGTAGTTATTTTGAGTAGAGCTGTATTGGAGTGGATTGAGTGGATTGAGTGGATTGGGTAGATCGAGTAGATCGGGTAAATCGAGTAAAGTAGATCGAGTCAATTGAGTAGATTTTGAGTAGATTATTGGGTAGATCGAGAGAGCAAATGATTTTCTGAGGTTTGATGATCTGGAATGAATATCTTTGGTTGTTTTTGCTTTGGCTGGTCTTTGAAGGCGAAGGTACAATTTCGATACCAGTATGCGTCGAGGGAATAAGTCTATATTTGAGGCAAGTGTGGTCTTGGCGGATTGTTGCTGAGCATCTTGAGTGGTGAGTGTTCATCTCTGGGCGTCAAGTCGTATGGCGTTTGCAGGGCTGATAACTCTTTCCGATTTGAGGGTCGAGTCTTTCCGCACAGTCGTTCGAGAAGAGGGGAAGTGAGCAATGCGAGTACACGAAGCATCAGTAACACCATCGCAACATCCCACCTTGTCTATATTGAATGCTTGCTGCATATCCCCCATAATCATACACTCCTAAAACCCTCTCCCCCTCCCACCGCCACCCCTCCCACCCCTCGGCCCACCCCTCGGCGCTCCCCTCCCTCCAGGCCCGCCCCGAGCCCCACCCCGTCCACCCCTGGCATCCGCCCCAGCCTTTCTCTTCTTTGGCTTTGGCGCGTCGTCAACAAGCAAGGTATCTAGGGGCAAGGAGTCGGGGAGGATGAAATAGCGGATGTTGTTGCCGCGGATAGCGATCGAGTCGAGGGAGATTGTTTCTTGGGAGCGAAGGGTGAGTTTGATGGATTTGAGGTGGGTGTTCATTTGGGGGTCGACGGCTTTTCTTGTATTAGCATGGGAGAGTAGACGTGAAGAGGGGGGTGGGCGCACAAGTGATGGTTCCGTGGATGACGGTGCCGTTCTTGAGCTCCATCGTGACCGTCTCGTTATTGAGCTTCATCAAAAACCTATTCCACCTGTCAGCTTCTTCCCCTGTGTACGCAGGCTTGAAACACACCTGACGAGCTTCATGTTGAAAGACGGAGTCGGACGAGTTGGTACAGACAGGAAAAGGAGAAGGTGCGGTGAAGCAGGGGTTGTTTTTGTATAGCAGCTTGAGTGGAGGAGGAGAGACAGAGGAGATGGGCGGCGGCGATACCCGGCGTTTTGCGCGGTGGCACTCGACGCGTCACAACGAAGAATGCGCGTGAATCGTTCATCATCCTGCCCCTCTTCGTCGTCTTCTTCTTCTCTTGCCCCTCCCCGCCCCTCTCGCCCCCGCCCCGCCTCGCCTCGTCCCCCGCTGTCGCATTCCCCCGGCTCCTGGCTTCCTGCTCCAACTTTCAGCGTCCCGCCAGCTCGCATATTCACTTCACCCGCCTCTCCGCTTTAGCCTACGACAAATCCACTCTCAACGACCCCTTCTAATATATATCAATAACGCACCACAATATATCAGCCCTTGGAATCAGCGCCTTGACGGTCTTTCCACTATAAACACCCGACAAACACACGACGGATATTGGGAATGCAGTACAACAATTCCTACCTCCCTCCCTCCCTCACCTCCCCCCCACCGACTTCTGCTAGTGGCGGCGGGGGAGGGGGCTATGTACCCCCTCATCAACTCCAGAACCCTTCTCCCCAACAGGGCCTTGGCGGCTTTGGTCAGGGCCAGATGGGAGGTTTTGGCGGTTTGAGCCAGCTCGGTGCAGGGCAGGGGCAGGGACAAGCGCAAGGGCAAGGTCTGAGGACTCTGGGCGTATCCCCCAATTCCCAAGCTCACAACCAAACGCAAATTTCCTCGCAAGGCCAAGGCCAGGGTGCTGGGCAGGCAGCGGGGGATAGTATCAAAGTCCAGCCGCTTTTATGTTCAGGCCATACCCGGCCCGTTACGCATCTGCAATTCTCCAACCTGTACGTCCTCTTCCCCTTGCGTCATTCGGATGGGGATGAATGCTGATGGAAAGGGGAAAGGTTGGATGATGGGACGTATCTTTTGATTTCGGCTTGTAAGGATGGGAACCCGATGCTCCGGAGTTGGCTTGGAGATTGGATTGGTACTTTTCTTGGTACGTTCCCTCCAAACGCCGAACGACGAAAGGGGTATGGAGCTGATGGAGGGGTAGGCCACAAGGGCGCAGTCTGGTCTTCGAAAATCTCGCTCGACACTTCTAGGGCTGTGACAGGCAGTGCCGACTTTACTGCGTACGTCCCTCCCTTCCTCCTTACTTCGTCCTTACTGCCTTCGCAAGGACCATGAACCAGATGGAAGCTGATACTTGCTGTTTTGTAGCAAGATATGGGATACATACTCTGGCGAGTCCCTGCACACTTTCTCACACAACCATATCGTCCGATCCGTCGCTTTGAACCCTCAACAGACTCCGCAGTATCTCCTCACCGTACGTCCCCCCCACACACCTCATAAGTTCAAGCTGACTTGGTATAACAGGGCGGGCACGAAAAGAAGATCCGCCTATTCGACCTCGGCCGCCCCGACGCCCAGCCCCTCGTCCTAGGAAACAGGCCCGACGGCCTCTCCTGCGACGGCACCATCAAGTCCCTCGTATGGGACGAGTCCTCCAACGGGACGACCGGCGTCTCTGCGGGCGAAGATGGCAAAGTAAGGTGGTGGGATTTGAGGACGCTGAGCGAGGTTGGGAGTCTTGATCTGGGAGAGGCGGTGGGGAGTATGGAGATTGCGCACGGGGGCGGGACGTTGTCCGTCACAGCGGGCAGTAAAGTCCACTTTCTCGATATCCTCCGGCAACACCCCCCCGTCACCATCCCCCTCCCCCACCCCGCAACGTCCGCCTCCCTGCACCCCTTCCTCCGCGACCGATTCGCCGCGGGCTCGGCCAACGACCCCTGGGTGCGCGTGTATGATCTGGACACGGGGAAGGAGAAGGAGGTGTACAAGGGGCATCATGGGCCGGTGTTGGGGGTTGCGTATAGCCCGGATGGGGAGGTTTATGCTAGTGGGAGTGAGGATGGGACGATTAGGCTTTGGCAGACGAATCCGGGGAAGAGTTATGGGCTGTGGCAGACGCAGGATTAGGGTCAACAGGAGAGCCGTGTGGCGGGGTGGGATGGTTGATGCAAGGGGAGGGGGAAGGGGGTAGGTGACTAGATGCGGGAGAAGTGTGTATAGAAGGGGAAGGCTTTGGCGTATGCAGATGAATACCATGCTACAAGACACTTTGGAGGGTTGGCATGGCAATGCGGTGGTGCGGTGGTTCCGGTGATAGCGGCAGGGGTGGGCTGAGAGCGAAGGGTTACGAATTTACATCGAATCATGCATAGGACAAAAGGATAGTCGTACTCTTCCAGAAGGATTCCTTCTGAGCACGATGATGGACTCGCGATAAGCAGTCGCCGACGTGTGTGTGTGTGTGTGTTTGTGAGAAAGGAACGACACCTCATTACTTGGACGTGAATGAATGCCCTCCTTGCACATGTGTCGATGCGTGAGGCTGCTGATTCATACGTCGTCATTTCTTTTTCCGTGCATTAATGGAAGGAATCAATGCCCGCCGTTGGGGTGTTACGTCGAAGAAGACGGAAGAAGAGAGGAGTGAAGAATGACCGAGGATGAATGTGTTTTATGAGAAAGGATTTAACACCCTCCTTTCATGAACGTGAATGAATGCCCCTCCTTGCATATGTGTCCATGCATGAGGCTGCTATCTCATACGTCGTCATTCTTCGTGCATGCATGAATGGAAGGAGCGGATACCCGCCGTTGCGGTGTTACGTCGAAGCTGACGGAAGAAGAGAGGAGGGGAGAGCTGAATTCATCATTGGTCATTCTGGCTGACCACTTATAAACCTGTCTCTGCTTCCTCATGAATTGACCAAGGCAAATCAAGTTCTTTCTCAATCAATTGAACGCTATACAATGGCCGACTTCAACATCAATGCAAACGAAGGGGCTATCACCATACCCCCCGGAACATCATACTCCACTATGGCTAACAATCAGCCGCTCAGTTGCCAGACCACGTTGAACGACTCGGTGACTCTGAACACTGCTGAAGGTTTTGACCCTTCAGAGTGGAGGGATGATGGGAAGGACGTCTGGGTCGAGCCGCTGGTTCGCCATCATGCAAGTCTGTCATTAGTAGACTTGACCTTGTGCTGATAAGCATTGAAAATATAGTGGGCGACACGCTATCCGGAACGCGACACCGGCACCGACTTCGTCAGCCAAGACCCCCTGAACACCAAACGAGTCCTCGCTCCCACCAGATCCATTCACAAACATATCTCCCGAGGAGGATTGAGAAACGATGATGCCGTGAGCCATCTGCGCGAACAAGAGATCGACGTCTCGAACGCTCTCTATGGGGCTTTTATGGAAAGTGCTGATGAAGGGATGTCGAATGCCTTGACGTTTGCTATGGCGCATGTCGGTGATGAGGCGGATGGGGGACCGATTTATACGAAGGGAGATGCGCAGGAGGTTGCTGCCCGTCTAGCGCGCGCGCATGTGATTTCTGTACTCGAAGCGCAAGTGGCAATGGAAGAGGAGATCAAATCGATCACTCCCGAGGAACTGGGCTGCCATGAAGACGACTCGCCGGTGGTCAAGGAGAAGATCAAGGCGCTGTATGTGACGAGCGTCATCAAGTCTTCGAGGAAGGTTATGGATGAGTCTCTCAGGTCGGGAAGGTCGACGGTGGTGTGGGATGGGGAAGGGGCGAGGGTCACGCTTTTGACGGGGCAGCTGTCGGGGATTGAGCGGACGAGGGAGTCTGGGTTGTTTGATGATGAGAGACGATCGTGGATTTCTCTGGACGGGGAGAGGAATGGTGTTATGGAAGATACGAATGGGAATCGAACGCGCTTCACCGTCATAGCCGAAAACGGTTCAGAATAGATACATATCCTGCATTCTCTATAATCAAGAGAGCTTGGCTGATATGTTACTACGCTGCAAAGCCTGGGGTAGAGTAACGTGCTTTTGTCCGCATGGATCATGTGTTCGACATTACGAGCGGAGACGAATCCACATACGCATATGTGATCGTCTCAAGGGTGTTAACAAATCTGGCAGCATTGAAAGCCGCTTATGATGACTTCTATGCAAAGATTGTCTGGATAAGACTGTGGGCGGGAGAATAGCCAGCTTTGGTACTTTCGATGACGTAGTGGCTTTTGTGGAACAGGATGGTTCCCCAGTGGAAGGATAGACGATGCATCACTTGGGAGGACGAAACAGCAGGATAGGAAATAGCGGCACCGACAATTCTACTCCAGTTTGGAAACAATAAAAGATCTTTCAGCTCGCTCTACACTTTCTCGGAGTGACATTTTGCTGGCAAGCTCCGCAATACTGACTCGAACTTCTCTTTTGTGTTCTGCAAGCCTTCTTTCATGGGGTTTCAACTTTGGAAGGTCTGAGTGAGTATCTCAGGAAGTCCGCTTGGGAGTGTTCTGAGTCTACGTTACTTCCTTTGTGAGTCACCGGGAGCGACCGGGACCCCATAGTAATACACCGCGTGGAGTTATTCAAGATCGAGTGGAGACTATTATAAGGTGAGCCTTAGTGGCTGCTCTTGAGCTGCATAATCAAAATCATCCTACCCGCTATTACACAAGCCACCATGGACTGTCATACCCAAGCTCTACAATCAAATATCGGTCAACATACGGACGGAAGAGAGTTCAATACTGGCCGCCGCTACCTCGAAAGACCAAAAGAAAGACCCAAGACAAGCGACCGGGTACTGAACCTGTACGAAGATAAAGAGTATGACGGGTCGTTCGACAACAAGCCGATGCATCTGTACGATATCAACTTTATCCACCCATTTCAATTCTTGGAGACTGATCAGGTTCGGTTAGAACCGTTTGTGGTATGTCTGCGTGAGCCTACGTGTACAAATGAAACTGGGAGGCTGATCAGATGAGGTAGCCCGTAAAGCACATAGACGGGTTTCTCGCTCTCCCGGATTCTTCTTGGAATGTCATGGGCGACCTTGGCCCATATAACCGGCAGACGGCGTTGGAAGATATCGAAGCGTTCAGATCAGATCCGCAATGTCTACTTTTAGCCATCATGGATAAACAAAGAGAAAATGCTGAAATGGATGCGTTTGCAGGGGTCTACGGACTGATAGAAGTCAGTGAATACATGGTGAGTCGGTTGCGAAAGAGCACGCGATGTTTTGTTGAAGATTGTTTGTCACAGGATGCCGTATTCGGCGTGATTAACGTCCACCCTAGATATCAGAGGACTCATGTCAATAGCCACTGCATGTCTCTCGTTCTGTCCTATCTCTTCGACACTCTCCGACTCATCCGTGTCCAGTACGATGCTGTCATCTTCAACGTTCAGTCGATCAAATCGGCCGGGCGTTTTGGGTTTAAAGAAGAGGGTATTGCGAGAAATTACAACGGACTAGTTCCTGCTTCGAAGAAGAGAAAAGGAGAGGAGAAAAGACAAAGTCAGGATATGTGGTTGGGTTCTATGACAGATTACGAGTGGGACACTGAAGGTAGAAATAGGTTGAAGGAGATGTTGAAAAGAACGCCCGTGGACACGACGTCTCTGGAGTAGGATTGGTGTATCTGTCTTTTGGTTAGGGTCGGATTAGGCCATCTTCATATCGTGTCGATGCAAAGTGCTTGATCAATCAACGTGCTCTCCTCGGCGGCAGTGATTTACGCGTCTCCAATGAAGTTGATGTTGGTCGATGCGCGATACTTTTTGAGGGCGTTTCCCTATGGAAAAAGAGATATCGTTATTTTGCGATCTGGGTCCAGATACCCAGCGCTTCTATCATCCAGCCACTTTCACCTCCTCCTTGACTTTGCTAAGACTCTGCAGATGAGAAAACCCTACCCTCTCTGTCACGCTTGGGGAATGCCCTTGACGTGCTGAAGAGAGTTTTGTTGTAAGGGGCAAAAACCTTTTCGTTCTTGTCGCATATGAAGGAGAATTATGAAAGAAAACTCTGGTCTATATATACGGAGAGCACGGTCCACTAAACACACTACTTGAATGAACAAACTACAAAGATGACCCTATAACCATGACACTCTCTCCATCGGTCACGTGACTCACAACAACTTTCGACGCGAAGCAGAAGCCCAGCGCGTACCTTGCGCGTACGTACCCTTCTTAACTGCAACTTAACTGTCCAATCACTTGTTCCCTCCCCTACACAATCCCCGACATGGCATCAAGAACCACCGGCAGATACACCTCCCTCACATCCCTCGACCCCCTCCCAGTCGAACTCCGCATCCACATCCTCGATTATCTCTGAAACACCTCCCACAAACCCACTCTCGCTACCATCGCTCGCGTATCACCCGAATTGCGCAAAAAAGCAACCGTACGCCTGTACCACACAGTCGACCTCTGCGCCGACAATGCTGAGCTGTTCCTGTACGGATTGGCGGGCGACAGTATCCAGCGATTGACCGCGGAGGAGACGGAGCTTGGGTGGTGGCACTATAAATCGGGTGTGATGGGTTTCACGGCGTCTGTGGCGATGAGAAGGTATAACCTTCTTCGCCTTGTGAGGATGGTGCGTTTTCCCAGATATCTCGAGTTGGGCGCGTCAATAACAGGAAACGGAGGCTCAGGTGTAAATCTCTTGGGGGGGGCGTTTTGGTCTAGAAACTGACTCATTTGTAGAAGCGTTCCCTATAGGACCGCACAGATACAAGCTAGTGGCCATCCGATCTCGGGGCTGCTGCTTTGGTTGCTGTGACATAGGCATTGGGGGATTTGAAGAGGTCTTACAGGGTGTAAGTACGACGCCACACGTTTGCTACCTTGTCAATACACAGACTGATATCTATCAGGCTCGACCATGCACCGTGCCAACGTCCTGCCAACGCCCTACCAAGGATATGCCTTCGTTACTCGGTATCTCTACGCAACCTCACTCCTACTTCTCGGTATCTACGCAACCATACCTCAAGTAATGGTCCAGCGCGGCTTTGGAGCTAGAGTGTGGTACTTTTGTCGAGCTTGGAAACATATGGAAAGAGTACTAAGAAGTGAGAGATGGGAATACAGGGCAGAGGTTTGAGTGGAGCGGCTTTTTCTATCTGATGGACGGGCTGGAGTTTTCTTCTCGACCTGCCTGCAATGACTGAACTACAAAACATGAATCTTCATTAGTATAACGGTTAGTATAACCGCTTCTCACGCGGTAGACCAGGGTTCAACTCCCTGATGGAGAATATCTTTTTGTCAATCTACTTTCTTTGTCCCGTCGCCGGCAGCGAGACATACTGCTTTCATGCTTCCACACCTTGACCATGACGCTCTCTAGCATGCAAAGCCTTCTCTGTGGTGCTCTACAGAGACACTACTAAAATGCCGTTTACATAAGCCAACAACATCCCCTCCACCGTGCGGCGACCGCCGCCATTCAAGATTTCCCAACTGTAAGCTGATTATTGTCCTCTTGCACGCCGCTGTCCTTCTGAGCCCCCTATCCACCATGACCACCAACCTTTACGCCGTCGCCGGACCCTCCACCCACCCCTCCCCCGAAGAACCCGCCTCTCCCCTCCGTTCCATCCCCTCCCTGCCCGCGAACCACCCGTCGCTCGCAGTATCGACCTCGGCCGTGCCCGGGGTGGGCGTCGCCAAGCCGGGTCTGAGCGTGGATGAGCATGGGGAGGTGTTGAAGGTACCGGCGTTTTTGAATAAGCTGTATACGATGGTTAGTGATGAGACGGTTAATGAGTTGATCTATTGGGGGGAGAACGGGGATTCGTTTTTTGGTATGTCTTGCGTCAAAGGGATAGGGTAAAGGGCTAACGATGGGGGTAGTACCGAATTCAGAACAGTTTGGGAGGGAGCTGTTACCTAGATGGTTCAAGCACTCCAACTTTTCCAGTTTTGTACGACAGCTCAACATGTACGGGTTTCGTAAGTCTTCCCCTGCGGTCACACGGTCCCGAGCTCACCCCAAGCAACAGACAAGGTACCGCACCTCCAATCCGGCGCCCTCAAAACGGAAACCCCCGTCGAACTCTGGGAATTCGCCAACCCCTACTTCAAACGCGGCCAGCCCCAGCTGCTGGCCAAAGTGACGCGCAAGAACAACCGACCGTCGACGTCTGCCCCGACGGCAACGTCGCCCGTCCCCGGCGTATCTACACGGTCCTCTGCTGCGCCAGCGCTCCCGCCTCAGGGTGGTGGGGGCAAGTATCTGATTACGGATGGGACGACGGAGGGGGAGAATACGGCGCTGGTGGCTCCGAATCAGATGATCGACTTGTCTGCGATCCAGAATGGGATCGCCGCTATCCGGCAAACGCAATCGACCATCTCGGCCGACCTGCGCAAGCTGCAAGCTTCCAACGAAGCCCTCTGGCGGCAGGCATACGAAACGCAAGAGAAGCAGCGTAAACACGAAGAGACGATTGATCTGATCGTATCCTTCTTGGAGAGATTGTTTGGGACGGAAGGGGAGGGGCTGAAGGGGCTGAAAGAGGCGATGAGGAGGGGGGTGGGGACGAGGCAGGGGAGGGATAGGGAGGGGAGTGATGGGGCGGAGGAGGCGCAGGGGAGTGCGAAGAAGAGGAGGAGGGTGGGGTTGGAGAGGATGATTTCGAATAGGTCGCCGGTGGAGGATGATGATGATGATGATCGGCTCGTTGAAATTGGTACGCACCTTCGTTTCTTTGTTGTTGTTCTGTGGCGCTGACGTGTTTGAAGGTTCTTCGCTGCCACTGGACACCCCCTCAGCGTCGGGGAGGTTCCAATCCCTCCCTTCAGAAGACTCGAAAGCACCCACCCCCGTCCCCGTTTCGTCCGACCCGACATTAGGCATCAACGCCCTATCTCCCATGTCGGACTTTGACCCCCTCCAGCCGAGCAACAACAACGCCCTCGCGCCATACTACTCTCTTCCTCCACCCACATCATCCGCCTACCCACAACCACCGAACCAGAACCAAAAGCAGAGCGTCCAAGATCAGTCCAACTTGTCTGCCCCCCTCCTGTCGCCGACGACGACGTCTTCGCTGGCTTCGTCGCTCAACCTCGACCCGACGCTGCTGCAGACGACGATAGGCTCGCTTCTACAGAGTCCTGCGGCGGCGCAGATGTTTTTGAATAGCCTGAATGCGAGTGCGCAGGGGCAGGCTGTTAATGGCGGTGGACGTTCAGCCAACGGAGGTGCCGCGGGGCAGGATCCCACACTGGCGCTCTTCTCTCCTTTACCCCAGGCAAACCAGCCCAACCCCTCTTCATCCCTCTCCCATGCTTCTCAAGGCCAAAACCAGAACCAAGCGCTGCTGCAACAAAATTCAGAGCTGCTCAAGTCTTACCAAGATGCGCTGGGCGTGTCGGACGGGTTGGACGGGTTGCAGGGTAGTATTGATGAGCTCGTCAGGTCTATGGGGCTGGACCTGCCTACCGCGGATGGTAGTTTGTCCGGGACCGGGTCAGGGTCAGGGTTGGAACAGGGGCAAGGGGTGGGTACGGATGGAGGAGCAGGAGGAGAAGATTTCGACGTGGACGACTTTTTGGAAAGTCTGGGTAAGGAGGAGGATGATCCCCTGGCGGGGGCTGTGGATGTTCCCCAACCCGATACCCCCGGGGCGGGTATCGTAAAGGTTGAGAAAGAGTAAATGGAAGGACTTTATGGTGAACAAGTGAGAGGAAGGAAAGGAGGGGGTTGTACGATAGACTTTTTATCTTTGTATACATTAGACTCACTTAATAGTTTGGAGTATCATGTTTCCTGCCTTGCTTGGTCAAGGATCAAGGATCAAGGAGATGGAGATGGAGATGGTATGGGAAAAGGAAGAAGGATCATCATGTATCATTCATTCTGCATCCTCTGCAGTTCCCGAGTTGCTATCGTCAGGATTGAGATCATCTTATTGCTTTGGGATGGTCACTCGCCAAGCTGAGATGCTTGTAATAATATGGCTTGCCATTGTATTCTATCAAGAAGGTTGTCTTCTAGCAAAGAGAGACATAAGACCTTCATCTGTTCAATGTCCACCGCTCACACGACTGCCCTGCGGCGCAAGTTGATAGACGAGCTCAGTGATACTCCTCAGACAGATTCCACATGCGACACTGCTCATTTGAACCTCACGAAGGATAACCATAGCACACCTCAATGTACATGTATCACTCTGAGCAAGCATAGCTAGTCGATTCTCATGTAGAATGGTGCATAAGAGTCGCCAAGAAGCCCGTTACGTAAACGATCTATGCTCCTCGGACGTGACGCGCGCATATCTTTCCTTCTATTTCTCGTCATTTCTTGTATCCTGCCTGCCATGGACCCCCACCCAGCACCCTCCCCCGCCAAAAGACGTCCCCCGCCTCCGACTCGGGGCATCCTCAAACCCCCTCCACCACCCGCAAAACCCTCGCTCGGCAACAGACTCAGGGATATCGTCTGGGGCGACGCCGAGGGAGAGACTCGCAGTCAAGACGGTGCTGCAGCTAGTGGGGGTGGAAGGAGGGAGGCGGGGGAAGGACAGATGAGGGGACTGCCGACCCCGCGGGCGTTGGGCGGACAGGGAGGGACCTTGGCTTCCTTGTCCGGGAGGTTGGCGTCCGGCTTTGGGAGGCTGGTTGCGCCGCAGCCTCCTGCGACTGTGGGTCCTGCCAAACATGAACCTGCTCTGTCAGAACGCTCGGCGCTGCAGGGGGAGAATGGGGCCGAGCAGGGGCAGCAGGGGCAGGTGGTGGCGGTGAAGAAGAAGCAGCCGTTGAAGAAGGCGACGTTCTTGTTGCCGAGCATGAGCGTCACTTACCCGATATCGTCGCAAGGGGAGCCGTGGTCGCTGAAAGTGCTGGAGGACCGTCAGAAGGTATGTCTCTTTCTTTCTCAAGGTGGACATGGCTGACGACTGGTCCAGATCGAGGTAGCCCAGCGACAGTTGTTGGAAGCGAGCACAGGCCCCGAGTACTGGACCCCTCAGCGCTTGGTCACCTTGTATGAGCAAGCATGTAAATCAAGAGAAGAGAGACCCAGGATAGGTATTGTTCGCGCGCTCGAAGTGAGTGCATCCCTTGCGACTATGAGCAAGGCTGACAATGAGCAGACATTATCAACAGCCAAACCCAGAATCATCCACCTCGTCCACCGACCCGTGACCCACGCCACCATAGGTCACCCCCTACCTCCACCTCAACATCCCATAGAATCGCCCCTCACCCGGCACTCGTCTTTCCCTTTGGCAGACTTGCTGGCCATCCAGTTCGGCTTGTATGAGCTGTATTTGGAAGAGGGCCTTGTGGGAGAGGGTGTAGCGGGGGAGGATGTGCTGAGAAATGTGTTGCATGGGTTGCTTGTCAGTGGAGGATTGGGTGTGCTGGGGCTGAAGGGGAATAGGAAGGTGAGGAGTGGGGGGTGGCGTCTACTTACAGTGTTTCTGAAGAAGGTACGTCTATTCATTTGATCGTGGAGTCAAGAGCTGACAATGTGGATAGGCGAAAGACTTGAAGTATCTTGACGTCTCTGAAACAGTCTGGGACAGAAAGAGTATAGAATACCTCGTCCAATCCCTCCACGGCTCGAACCCTACCCCTCCTGCACCCACCGCCTCCTCTTCGACTTCTGAATCATCCCCCGCCAATGATCTATCAACGACCACCGAAGAGCAAGAGGAAGAAGAACACGACCAAACGATATACGCCCCCTTCGTCCCGCCAGCGCCGTTACTCAAGCCGAGTACGAACGCAGAGGAGGAACAAGGGCCGGCGGCGTTGGTCAGTCTGAGGATGGATGGGTGTGGCCTGAAGGGAGCTGTCTTGGAAGTGCTCGGTGAGTCCTATAAATAGGTGCTGTGAGGTCGAGTACTGACAGGGTTGATTTCAGCGCAAGGCATAAGGACTTCCCGTCTGCACCATATTTCACTTCGATCGAACCGGATTTCGCCTCAAGGAGCTGTTGCGGTCGCTTTGATGATCAGAGATTATCCGGATAGCGGGGCTGTCACACTTGCGGACCGGCTGGGTAGCAGCTTGACGAGCACGGGCGCAGGCGCGGGTTCGGGGGCGTTGGCGGGGGCGTCTGGATCGCAGGTACCAGCAAAAACTGAAGTACCATACGCCCCAAGAGTCCGAAAAGCCACCAGATCCGTATCACCTCAACCTCCTTCCCTCCCTACCGCCAAACCCTCATCCCCTCCTCCCATCCCCGAACGCCCCGCTCTTACTGCAACAACAAAGCCAAAGAAGGAAGACAGCGACAGCCTACCTGCCATACCCACCGTCTCGTCGACTTCGTCAGGCGGGGTGGTGAGCAAGACGGTGCCGGAGGGGTATCGAGCGCCAGAGAGGGGGAGTGTGAGGGATAGGTTGGCTATGCCGTTTACGGCTGAGCCTTTCGATCAGAATTCACACCCTGCTTCCGCTTCGGAATCGGCGTTGGGGGAGAAGGAGCCGGCGGCACATCAGCAGGGTGTGAGGGGGCCGGGGAGGGGCAAAAGTTTGGCGTTGGAAAGGAATGTGAAGGCTTTGGAAGGGGTGGAGAGAGTTGGGAGGTTGATGACGCTTGATTTGAAGGGGAATGATATTCGCGTGAGTGTGGAGCTATTCGGTGTTTGGTGTAAAGAAAGCTGACGAGGGTTGTAGACGGGTGTTTCGTATATCGCTCAAGTGCTGAAGAGGAACCGAACGCTAAAAGTGCTCAACCTCTCGAGCAACAACATTCCTCCCTCGGGCCTTGTGCTTTTGGCAGAAGCGCTGAAATACAATACCACCCTCGAGACTCTCGATCTGTCCAACAATCCTTGCTGCTCAACTCCCACTTTTGGTACCGCAGGAACAGGCGTGACCGAAGGCATCGAAGGCGTCCAAGCGCTCCGGATGGCATTCACAATAAACACCTCCCTCAAACGCCTCTTCCTATCAAACACAAACCTCACCAACGAAGGTGCCATAGCCCTCGCCGAATTCCTCCCCGAATCCAAATCTCTCCTCCACCTCGACCTCACAGAAAACCCGGGTGTGGGCGAAGCGGGCGTGATGGCGCTCGCCAAGGGACTTCGTGGGAATGAGTTTGTGAGGTGTTTGGATGTGACGATCCCGCCCTCGACGGGGGAGGGGTGGCAGGATGGGGAGAAGATGGGGATGTGGTTGCGGATGATTCTGGAGATTTGTATAAGGAATACGGAGCATGCCGCGCAGCTCGTTTCTGCCGAATCGTCCTCCCCCTCCACAACTACTGCGGCGGCGGCGGCGGAAAAGGAGAAGAAACATGGGAGGTCGGCGTCGCATGTGACGAACCAGATCTGGGCGCCGTTGAAGAAGAGTGCGGTGTTGAAGCGGGGGAGGGAGGATGAGGAGGAGAGGAAAGAGAGGGAGAGGGAAAATTTGGTCAAATCGATGGAGGGGAAGGTGCGGGCGGAGGTTTACCAGCTCGTGGCGGAGGATGTAAGGAAGGAGGTGGTGCAGGTTATCAAGGGGCTGGAAGACTGGCTTGCCGCTGATCTGAAATCTAAATCGCTGGCTTCACCTGTATCGCTCCCCTCCACCCCCTATGCCGAGGAACACGCCCGCGGAAAAGTCCTCGGCGAGCGTTTGGTGGAAGACATTGAGAGAGGAGAAGAAGAGGGACTGGAAGAGTCGTTGTCTCTCAACGAAACGCTGCGCGGGGTGCTCCAAAAGTGCGAGGGCTTTGTACCGCCTCAGCAGAGAGTCCTCTTGCCGTCCGAGATTGTCCAGCAACAACAGCTCTTGTCGCCCGTACCGACCAAGCACCACCGGCGAAGTTCGTCTCGCAACTCTGCGACTTCTTCTACCCCTCGCCGAAGCTCCGTCCATGGAAGGGTGGGAAGTTTGGAGATTTCGAGCCCTAATTTCTCCCTGGGCGATTCGGATGAAGAAGGGGATAGCGATGCGGAAGAAGTGGACGTGGGGTCTATCGAGCGCGGTGCTTCCGGCACAGTACCCACTCTTGGTTCTCTCGCCGCTACAGTCGACGCAGCTGGTGAATACCCCGAGACGCCCGAGAAGGATAAGAAGGAAGAGCAGGGGGCGGGTAAGGGACTTGGGTTTGAGGTGAATGATGTGCAGAAGGAGATTGAGAGGGGTTTGATGGAAGCGCAGGCTGAGCTGTATTCGCCGTCTTCTTCGCCCACTCGCGCTTCGTCGGCCGCCGCCCCCGCCTCTCCCACGACACCGACCAAGCCCGCGCTGGCATCCCTCGACGTGCCCGCCCCGACTGGCGCCACTTTGACCCCAGGCGACCATAGTCCTGTTGAAAAGGTGTCGAGGGCGATGGTAGAGGAGGAAGGTGAGATTTTCAGGAAGGGGGTGAAACTGGGCGTGGTGGATGATGAGAGTGAGGATGAGGATGAGACGACGGCGGAGGAGATGCTGGGGAAGAAGGGCGAGACGAAGAGGCGGGGAAGCACTGGAGTCAGTGGTGAAGAGTTGAGGAAGGAGGTGAGTTGTTACAAAAGCTCAAATTTGGCGAATACTGACATGAAGATGTAGATTCTCGAAACCCCCGTCGCAAGGAGTCCAACCAGAAGAGTCATCCCTCTCGAAGGCGAAGAAGGCGAGGAGCGAGAAGAGCATGAGGACAGCGCTGGAGAGGAGTAAAAAGACCCTTGTGCGAGGGTTTGTTGATTAGAATACGTTGTGATTTATCACTTCGTCTGTGGACTATACATGTTCTTGATTCCTGTTATGACGATGACGACAATGCATATTGGTATGGATAGTATTTTGGGAGCAGACGTGTATACAAGACTCCTTCGCTCCGAATATGAGCTCTCCATACAATGGACGACCGCCACCTCAAGCAACAAACTGCAAATCCGTGTCGATAGCTACGTTGACCCATTAGCAAAGAACAAACTGACCGTGTAAGAGCTACTCACGGTGACAAGCGCTCAACTGCGGTTTCTGGGTATACCTGCCCTTCATCTCTTCGCGCACAGAGATAAGAAGCTCTTGATAACTCTGGTTGGGGTTCTTGTTGAGCGAGGCGATGAAAGCCTATTGAAAGTCAGCGTGAGACCTTTGTCACCAGTCAACAAACACACATATGACATTGCGCCTGTAGCCTTCCCAGCTTCCTGAGTATCCGCGCTCTACTCTCACATCAGCTTCTCTCCTCATAGCATGAGCCACATCGACGTACAGTCTGATCATCCTTACACCCCGACCACATCACAACATCCGCCGGACTCGTCTTTGTCTTTTTCGTCTTTTCGTTTGCCTGATTCGCCGAAAATGCCGATTTGGCAGCACCAAAGAGAGACTTCATGATACCGTTTGTGTCGCCACGGAGGATATCCATACCGGCGCCGAGGAGGCCTTCGGAGGCTTCTTGGAGGAGGTCGGGTTCTTTGATGTTTCCTTCGGTGTCGTACTGCGTCGAGTCAGCGGGGAATGGCGGGTGGGGCGAAGTGGGAGAGGAGGGGTGGAGGATGGGAGGATGGGAGGGACGTACGACGTAAGGGAGGTCCATGACGGTGGCAGAGTGGCACGAGTCGAAGATGGCGGTGAGATGACAACCTGCAGGAAGAGGTTGGACACAGAGCTCGTGGCTAGGTCCTATTAGTTCTGCTTTCCAACGCTTCGAGAGTATGCACGCTTACACTAAGCAAGGTCAGCGTAATCTTGTGTTTGGTTGAGTAGACTCACTTTCGTCGTCGATGATGAGCCCCTCGGTCTCGTAATCAAGAGGACAGATAGCCTCGTCGTCGCCATCCTGCTCATCTCCATCCAAATCTTCAGTCTGTGTCCCGTGTCCCGAGCTACGTCCCATCAGCCCCATCTCACTTCCGAAGTGACAGACATACTAGTGCAAAAACAAAGCATCATCCCTCTGCGCCCCATCCACCAACCACTTCATGCCCTTGATAATATTCTCTCTATTCGGGATAGTTCGTGGGTCGTTGGTATCGTCGGTTAGCATGACAATGTCTTCGAGTTTGTAGCCGTATCGCTCGGTGATGAATTTTTGGATGTTGTGGGCGTCGTTGATACAGCCGGAGAGTTCGGCGGAGGTGCCGATGTAGTTAATACCGATCTATGGCACATAAGCGCTATTTCCAACATCAGATGAGATGGGGGTACGTGCCAAAAGAGCCTTTCGGCGACCGCTGCACCTCGAATACTCAAAGAACGCTTGAGCAGTCTCGCCAGTACGAGGGTCGGTGAACTGAGGACCGAAATGGTGTGGGTGCGGCTGGCCGTTGTCGCTGGGAGTGGGCTGGTAGCCGCCAAATTGGTGTTGCTGGGCACCGTATGGGGCTTGAGGAGGGGCGTACCCGGCGTTACTATCATGCTTGTCAGCTACAGTGCCAGGATGGAAGGCGAGGGACGTACGAGGGCTCGTATTGCTGAGGGGGCGCACCGGGGTGAGGGAAGCCCTGGCCTCCGTAGCCGTCATCTCCTCGAGAATCGCCACCGTAGCCTCCTTGTCCACCGTATCCTTGCTGCTGGTACCCGCCGCCGCCACCATAGCCTCCTTGGTCGTATCCCCCGCCGCCATATGGCTGCTGGCCGTATTGATCTCGCCCGTACTGTTGCTGAGGGTACTGCTGCTGGCCGTACGCCTGTTGCTGACCATAACCGCCTTGAGGGTACTGGTTGCCGTATCTGAACATGAATTAGTAAGCATCTCTATGAAGAGACAAAAGACTGACTGCTGCTCTTGCCAGCCGTTGCCACCGTCTCGGTTACCTCCACCGCCTTGACCACTCATCAGCTTGCCCATCATGCCCGTCATCCTACCCACAACAACAGCAATTGCAATAGTCGCAGCAGCCCATGGTTAGCTATAGTTGCGCAGTTGAAAAAGGAGAGAGACGTACATTTCCATAGCAGCGCCACCGCCAAGCCCACCAAAACTTTGTGGTTAGTCAGCACACATCCTCGCGTCAACGAAGCACACTGCCTACCCTGCCCCGCCTGATCCTGAGTTGGTCGGCTGCTGCTGATATGCCTGCTGATCGTCGTATCGCCCGTCTTCCTCCTGGCTGGAGTGATGCGAGCTGTGTTGGCTGTCGCCACTTGAGGAGGAAGAGCTGCTGCTAGAGCTATTGGAGCGAGAGCGAGAGCGGTCCGACCTCCTGTCCTCGTAGTATTCGTCGTCGAAGCCGCGCTCTTGGGGCTCTTCGTAATCGTCGCCGTAGTCAGACATGGGGGTTGAGTGATAGATGCAAAAGAGAGATGGGGATACAAATGAGATGGGAATGTGCCAAGAGACGGTTGACGTGGCAGACACCCACAAAGGACCCCATATACAGTAATAACGTGGTGCGGCGATCGCCTGTGCCTCGTGCGCGTCGTTCAACATGGGGAGGGTGGGTGTGGCAGCGTCGACAACGGCCTTGATAGGGTAGCTGATATACCCTCATCCATATACGTGCGGTCAGCACACATCTACTGACTGATTAGAATATCGATGCATCCATTTCGCGGATGTATATTACCTTCCGCTGATAACCGTCGTTCTGCCATGCTCCTCATGCTTTCTGACGCAGAAGCTTACGCTGACGAGTCAAGGCCCTCTTTCAGAACTTTCACCGCCTCCTTCGGAACGCCTGCTTCCCAAACCACGTCAGAATCCCCCATTCTTCGGCTCATAAGCGACGCATTAAACTCAAGCTAAACTCAAGCTGTCCGCAAATGTAAGAAAGCAACTCTCGGCACTTGTCAGGAGCGGATATACTCAGGACTTTGGCTCTGTCGAGAAAGCCGATAGCCCGGGACAAGAATGTGGAGTTTTTGTCTCATTCCGTGTAGACCTCTAAAGAATTCCCTGGTTCATTGGATACCGTCTACTAAAGGGAAAGTTGATTGTCGGCTGACGGGAGGAGAGGAGGAGGGTTTGGTATCTAACGTGGCGTGAGTGGCAGCTTTGTTCAGCTTGGGGGCTTGGTTCGTGAACGCTTGAGCGTCGGGCATGGCTTGCAGATAGACATCTTGTTCATCTCAGTTGGAGGTTTCTCACCCGGTGGAGGATGATTATCACCTGCGTGTTTTCATCACTCATTACCAGCAGCCTCCGATTCATGTTGAACACCAAGTCCTCCGTGGGCCTTGATGTACAAGCCTCTTCCGCTCCTCATCAGTTTTAGTCCTCAAAGATGGAAGAAAGCGTACATCATCAAGACTGCTGCAATCGTTCGACTGGAGTGGACCAAAGCCGAAGGAGGACTGAGTGTGGTGCAGTTCGGCATTGCTGGTAGGAACGGTGGCCATTTGCATAGGGGTGAAAGGAAGAGATACTGTCGCCGTGAGCCATGCTGTCCGGGATGGTCGTTATGGCGTGCTTGAATAGAAGGTGGAACGCTGACAGAGAGATAAAGAAAGAGAAAGGAAGCGGAAGCGGCGGGAGGGAGGAGACACGGAAGAGCGAAAAGAATAGAGCGGAAGGTGTCGTTATCACCCGTCACCTGCAAGCTGACATGAGCCAACTGAAGTTTAACCTTTAACCGACTTATAGAATATCACATTCCAGCGATACATGACTCAAAAAGGGCACCAATACGTTGTTGATTTGATTCACAATGACTATTGAAGCAACTGATCATAGTGCCCTCCTGAGAGTTTCCGCCGCCCTCATCATGAGACGCTCCTCCCATGAAGCTCAACAATTATCGTCATCCGAGTGTCTTAGGCTTGCGGAATACGCCTCCAGATGGCTGACCAGCTCATCAGTCTTCTCGCGACAGGCAGATGGATTGGTCCGACTCATGCTCCTCGCTTCTTTGAAGGTTCTCACGATATCGTCCTTCATCAAATGATGGTCTGGCATAAACATTAGAAGGCTGGCGGTCCGATACAGATTTTGTATCAGAGACATAGAGGACGGAGGACGACCATCAGAGCTACCCGCATCGTGAGGCGAATGTCGAGGAGGGACGTTGCCGGCGGTGGTGCTGGAAGATTGCTGCGGCGACATGTGGACGTCGACATGGATCTCGGACTGGGTCTTCTGGAGCGTGAGATTGGCGAGGGTAATTCCAAGCTGCGCGACGCGGCTGACCAGCTCATCGGTGAGCTAGACAAACAACGTTAGCTATTGTACGAGTACGGTTTTTCGAGATGCAATATCGGCGGAAGTAGTCAGACATTTACCTCTTGATCTCTGCTGACCTCTTGCTTCTGCGAGTTCGAGAGATTGGCCAACGTAGCTTCGAGCTGTGAGACACGGGTGATGAGTCCTTCGGTATCCTAGAGATACGTTGTTAGCTATAGACGAGTAGGGCTTCTCGAGATGCGATGTCGGTGGGAATGGCTGAGAAATTACTCCCCGGTGGATGACTGCCTCTTGCTGCAGTACCTTGCTGGAAACGTGGCTGGCCGCCTCTTGCTGCAATACCTTGTTGTAGACTTCTTTGAATCGCTTGCTCTGCTCTTCCAAAAGTTCTTGGATTCTCGTGTTCTGGTCTTTTGCGGAAGCCCAGTCGAACTTGAGTTGCTGTAGGAAGTTTGTGGCTTCCTGAACCCTCATTGTCAGAAACCACCTTCTGGAAGAACAAGGGGTGTACGAGACGTGGCAATACAACTCACCTCGGCCAGCTTTTCTTCGTCAATCATCTCATTCGTGCGGGTAGAGCTGGTCTCGGAATGTTGAGCAGCTTCTTAATCATTCGACGATCCGTACTGGTCCACCGGAGGCGGCAATTCCTATCATCAACAAAGTCAGCCACCATTTTTATTCTTATCGTCAAAAGCCACAAAGAAAATGGTAATGTACGCTCTTGTTGGGCTTGCAGCGGTACCTGTCTGCCCCACTGTAAGCTTCCTCGAATGGAGATGGGTTGGAGTCAGCGGGATCGGCGGATTCGGCGGAGGCGGAAGAAGAAGAAAGATCACTGGAGCCGAGGCTGATGACATCGTCTGCTTGAGGGCTACCGAAACAGCCCAAGGAATGAGAGGTGGAGTCGTTGTGTGTCATTGCAGTGATGATGGCTGGTATGTGGAAGAAGGATGGAAACAAGAATCAGGCGGGAAGGACTGTAAGGGATTGGTACAGATGTTGTGACGTGTAGGAACGCAGGGTTCGGTGCTAGGGTTGCCGCTATGGTCTCAGGGATGCGTAGGCTGGATTGCGAGATGAGGTTCCCATATATACATCGTGCCGCGTCTCCTTATCCTTTTCCCTATCGATGTATTCTCGACGTATAATCCTCTTCACCTATGTTCATCCTTCATCCCTCCAGTCTATTCAAGGTCGACATCTGGCGCCCTTAGTCAGATCCACTACGTAACCGCCCCTAGGTTACGCCGCCTATCCTTCCTCCTTCCTTTACAAGGACTGGGAAAGGGAGGACGAAGATAGCGGTAGACGTCGTCATTCAACAACGTCACTTCCACATGAGTCAACCTTGCGTCGCGTGTATATTATGATCTCGCCTGCAGGATCTATCTTCCCGTACCTATTTTGCCAACTATCTTCATGCCTCGGCAAGTCTACTCTTGTTTCTACCACGCTTCCTGTTCCAGTCGAGGTCCGACGAGCAATCATGTCCGGCGTCGTGATTGAATCCTCCGGGCATAAGCCCACCCTCACCTCTGTCGCAGGCACCTCCCATGACCACCTCGACTTCATCCGTCCTCAGCTATCCGGATCCCTCAAAGTACGCAAATGCAGTAAGTCCCTTCCTCTATGTTGTATAAATTTAGGTTCTGCGCACACCTGCGATGTCAATGATATCTAGGTAGAGAGCGTGCTATTAGCCAGACATGGCATTGAAACGCCACCATACACCTGACGACCTTTCAACAGCTGTCTCAAGGTACTCGTACAGAACAAGTCGACCAAGTTAGCACGCAAGAAGGCCGCCGGGGAAGAGCGCTGGGCGGCCCTCGCCGCGTGACGTCACACTCTCCCTTGACCTGCTGCCAAAGTGAACTGATGCCTCTGTTGCCTCTCTACAATCCCCACCATGTCCAGCTACGACCCAGTCATCGACGAGGTCATCACCCCAGAGCAGTTCCGCCAGTCCATGCGTCTGGTCCGGCTCCAGATCGCCGTCCCCATCTCCGTCCTTATTGCTCTTGGTACGAACCTCGTATGCGCCCTCGTTCTCAAGCCTGGTCTTAGTACGTGATGCCCCTTCATATTGGGTCATATACTGATAGCAGAGTAGCCGGGATCAGTGCACTGTTTCCCACGCTGCTCACCCCGAACTCGCTCATGCTCGAGTTCTATTATGCCTTGCTGTTCAGTCTACAAAGTGGGTCCATCCTCTCGAGTTCGCGTACAGAGCTGATGCGTCAATGCAGTCGGATTCTGCCTCGTACTCCTCTTGGCCAGAAAAGACGTAACAAAGCAGACACTGGTACACGGTGTCGGGCTGAGATTCGCCCTCGCCAATTGGCTCCAAGCCGCCTGGGCCGTCTTCTTCGTACGCCCCTCCCCCACCTCTTCAAACCCAAGCTAACAATCCCCAGACCCTCCAATTCTTTATCGGCGCCGAAGCTGTCCTCCTCCTAAACGCCCTCAACATCCTCTCCATCCACCTCACCCTCCTCCCCTACCCTCCCACGCTCAAACGCCCCCTCGACGCGCTTTTCATTCACGCCCCCATGACCATGTTTCTCGCCATCTTGTTCCAGGTGGACTGGATCCATACGGGATTTATAGCGATGGGCTGGGTGACGAGTGGGAAGGAGAGTTGGGGGAGGTGGACGTGGCAGGCGGTGGGGTGCGTGGCGGGGACGCAGGTTGTTAGTGCGATTTGGTCAGGTATCAGGAGGTTATAGTACGTCATTCCCATCCCTTCTCTCTCCTTTTCGTCGTAAGCTGACCAAGTTGTAGTCTTCTGACAACAGCAAGCATCTACCTCATCCTCTCCCTCCTCTTCTCCTCCCCCCGCTCCAACCCCGAACTCCCCTCCACCCAACGCCCCAAGCCCACCCCCCTGCTGGTGGTGCTCATCGCCTGCCTGGCGCTGCATCCGATTACGTTGTTGGTGGGGGTGGCGTGGAAGAGGAGTTTGGAGAGGCAGGGGAGGATCAGGTTGGAGGAGGATGTGGAGAGGGCGGAGGAGCGGGAGGGGGGTGGGCATGGGCATGGGCATGGGCACGGGGGTGATGGGGAGAGGTTTAGGGATGACGAGTGAAGCGTTTATACTTTATTGTGAGAGTGAGGAAAGTATGATAATGAAATGAAATGTAAAAAGCTCTGCATGATTGATGGGGAGTCTTGATTCTCGTGGGTGCACTTTGCCCGTCGCTTTCGGCGAGAGAGGCAAGGTGGGTTCATGGTTACATTGGAGGAGGATGTCGAGGATGATGTGGGTGACATCCGTAGGGAGGGGGAGAGTGGCCAGGTTGTCGGACATGCTGATCTCGCGTAGATATATTGATGTAGCAGTCAAAGTGATAGGCGGAAAGCGTGATGTGAAATTGATCCAGACAACAAGTGCTCGAAGACAATCTACAAGACGTGCACAAGGGCAGACGAAGAAAAGCTATGCCATTATTCCCCAACCATTCCCCGCCTAGCTATCGACCGAACATACAAAGCACAGGGGAAAATGGGGAAATATTACCCCGTTGACTCATATCGAATCTTCGTCAACTTCTCGGACAAGCCGATCTAATACGACCCAGTGAGTTGGCTACACCTCTTACAAAGATAAAGCCTCCAGTCACACCATGTTTGTCACGCTTGGGGAATGCCCTTGACGTGCTGAAGAGAGTTGGGGAATGCCGACGTGCTGAAAAGAGTTTTGTTGTAAGGGGCAAAAACATTTTCGTTATTGTCGCATATGAAGAAGAATTATGAAAGAAGACTCTGGTCTATATATACGGAGAGCACGGTCCACTAAACACAGAACTAAATGGACAAACTACACGGATGACCCTATAACCATGACAATGTCCGAGCTCAATATATGGCAGAATACATGTCTCAATTTGGATGAAGATAAAGAAGAAAAGGTCGCCGAGGATCCTCCTCAAGAGGAATGCCTCGAGACATCGTCGCCAGAGGCATTGTCATGACTTGTCGGAACTGACTGATAAAGAAAGAGCAGACAAGCACGTATAACGCGACCACACGATGATGGAGAAATATTCACCCAAGCTTGCTAGTGATTCCCGGTTCTTGGCCGAGCACATGACGAGATCGGTGATGAGCGAGTTGAGATATTGCCTTTCAACGGAAAAGCCCAGATTGCGCCCGAGACGGTTGAAGCTAGGCTCATTCATTCAGGCCACACTGTCTCTGCCAGCTCTATCGACTTGCTTGTCAAAGAAGAAACGAGAGAGACGGGAGAAGAAGTGGAGGTCCCAGCGGGAAGAGCAGATGAGCTGCAAATAGATGTGTCCTCTATTTAGACTTATACACATTGCAAGCTCGATCGGGTCTATTCATAATCCGCTAGCGGTTCGTAAAGACTTGTCCGCTCGTGACTTTAATAACAGCTGACGTTGGGACACAAGTAAAGCGTCTTGTGATAACTCAACTTTCCACTCCACTTTTGACAACAGCAATTGAGCGAAAACATCATATCGGGGCCCGCATGCTTTCTCAGAGAGGACGACGAAGAATCATCTTGTCCGTCCCCATGCCCATCACACGAATCCTCTGCAGACCTCGAAACCATCCCAGACGACGACCGAACCTCAAACCCCCAACAAACTCAAACCATGCAAGACGATTACACCGGCCCACCCGAGACAGTCGCAAGCCAGATCGCCAACTCGATCATGCGGGAACTGAGCCACCTGCCGTATCTCGAAAGGGACCGACTGGCACGCAGTGAGGTGGAATCGTGGCTCGTCCAGTCAGGGAATACTGTTATGAGCAGCTCGATCACGTACCCTGCTGAAGAGGAGACTGAGGAAGAGATGGAGAGGTGTGAGGAGGAACGGGGGGAGAAGGTTGACGCTTGCCCTGATGAGAATCCGTCCTCTAGTTCCGTCTCTGAAAGATAGAGTCGGATACCCACAGCCCTACTACTCCTGAAACACCTGGAACATTTCTGGAAGACTTGTATCATCGTGCATATTGCACGGTATCTTTGTAGAAATGAACGAAATACTATCTGATCATGCACGTTGAATCGTGAGTCTGGGGGTGCGCTAACCCTAGCAGTTACCGATCGTAACGCATTCTGAATAATGGAGGATTTCGATTTGCCTGCTCAGAATAGTATGTACTCTATATAGTTTGCAAAAAAAGAGGTAAACGGCGGAGCCCTTCTTCCATTGATTCTGATCATCTCCCGCCAGCTTCTTTGGCATGGCTGCCGGTCAGGCCGCGGAATAGACCAAATTGTTTATATATGCATGTGAATAAGGTCACCCTTCTGTCATCTACTATCACAGCATCGACATTGTCATGTCAATCAACGTGTGCGCCCTTTCGAGGTCAAACGCTATTGTTGCTTGAGCCCGACGCCAGCTACAGAATGCTAGAATCGAGATCCGAGACTACAAGAGATGGATATACCTATTTTTTGAGCTGACTCTTGACGGCAGAAGGTGTACACTTCTAAGGAGGACAAAGACGAAGGGTTCATGCCACTTCCAGAACAAGAGGAAGGGAGGATGACGCGAGAGTGGTTTCATCCATTTTTAGTTGTGGATGAAGTAAGAAGATGCTTCAGCAAACCTTTTTCCCTTATTTCGACCACCGCCACATGTAGACCCTTCCTTGGATCTGATTTGATCTGGGCTTTGCCATACTGCGGTGGACGTCGGGCAGCTCATTCTAAATACAGCACGGGGGGGTATAAGATAAAGAGGGATTCCGTTCGATTCGATTGTCCCCTTCTCGATCAACTTAACTGTCAGATACGGTATTCACACTCCTACAAGAGCCTACGCTAGTCATACTTACCATACCAACCCAAGTATATCATGTCTGACTCTAACACTTGGCCATACGAAGAATTCAGTCCACTCCTGGAAGAAGAGGGCGCCGCCTACTATGAAGACCGTCGTGCTAGGTATCGTGAAGCATCACCCCAGACATCGTCCGATGATTCTTCAAGCGAATCGTCAAATGAGACGGAGGATTTCGCAGCATTCAACTTCGACGAGGAAGAGCGAGACCCCCGAAATTGGGACTACGTTGACCCCGAGGGTATGGCCACTCGCATTACCAACTCCGTCATGAGTCAGTTGAGTCATCTGCCTCTCGATGAGAGAGCCCGGCTTGCCCTTGAAGAGGTGGCGTCGTGGTTGGGCCAAACGCAGCATAGGTTGATAAGTAGTTCTATAACATACCCTGCACAAGATTATACTCCAGAAGAGACGGAAATACCAGTGGAGGAGGAGTATGGCGACACGAGCGTATCTTCCTCAGATTCTTCTGAAGAAATTTTAGACGATTAGATCAGGCATGATTGCCGCAACATGAATACGGAGTCTGGATGCGTTTACAGTGTATCGTTACTACTACAACCTGAAAAACCACGCCATACACTGATAGGATCACCGTCGCAAAAAAGAGACTTTCAGCAGCAGGTGACAACGAAGAAAATTTTCATCATCATTCCTGATTGTTTGCAGCTGGCGTACATAACTTTACATGGAGCTCTGCAAGATGCAAAGCGAGATCACCAGAGTAAGGTTGGTTAAAAGTCTAGTTAGAAGCGAAAGGCGTCGCGTTGTCTGCGTATCGAGAGAGCGTTCAAGGATGTTGAAACGTCATCTCTGTCAGTCTTTGGATTGACCAGCCTGCCACACTTTTTTTATTTGAGTCTACATCTCAACGTGACTGTGGGTACTGTCAGCCTTCCATCTAGCTGCTGGCCCTCAACCCCTGCTCCTCCACCTTTACCAACACCTCAGATGGCCACCCCCTAAATAAATATCAATCTTGTCGGTCCCTGTAAGCTTGCGTGATATGGGAGACGTTGCTTGCCTTTTGAGCCGGGTTTTTGGATAGACATCTGGTCGGCCGTCACTGGATCCGCCTGGATTGCGCCCTCATGTCTAGCTGGGCCATTCTCGACAAAAACAGCACCTCCCTTGTAGGCAGCCGAACTTACTGACCACGAAGTGAGCTGTACTTTGAAGCTTTGTGCTAAATTTAGTTCACAGCCCATACTAGTAAGGCTCCAACGGTCTTCCTTTCGACCTGGTCATCTTCTGCTAGCTGGGTATCCTCAGCTGGGCCAAAGTCGGGGGTATATATGTGTCACACGTAGTTATTCGCTGAAGTGGCATGGCGCTGAGTTGTGTGGATGGTTGAAGGACGCGCGGTGTACATACTCAATTCATATCTCGTTGTCTACTCTTTCCTTATGCGATAATACCGAAAAGGTCTTTTCCCCTCCAAAAACACCTTTTCCAGTCCCCTCCCCTGCTGCGTCCCAGCAGGCCGTGACAATATGCGCATGTTGAATATCAAACTTCCCATAATACCAAGCTTTCCTCTCTAACAATCCAGCATGTAACGCATCATAATGCCCAAACGCAACTCATCAGAATACAAGTAGTCTTCTAGTCCATTGCAAGATCGAGAGGATGCTGACACTATGGGCCGCGCGCGAGGTGATTTTTACCCATTAATCCGGACTCAAGGAATCACCTCATGTATAGGTTATTGGGCAAAAAACTGGAAAGTCCGGTGATCATGATCACCGTAATTGTAGCTCAATGATATCGTAGTTTCAGGTTGAGATCACCCTAGTTGCAGCTTGGAATCATCTAATGCATGGGTTAAACTGGAGGTTATCATTACCCTTTATTCAGCTTGATATAATCGCTTATATTGGGTATATTTGAGGGTTATAATCACCTGCCTGGAGTATAAATATACATGCAGCTATGATGACCAGATACTAAACGCCAGTGGTCTCCTGCGCCTTCCGCCGGGCTTCCTTCTTGGAGTTCTCAAGCCGCTGCTTGAGGAGAGACTCGATGGGCCACTCTCGCACGAAGGGAGAGCCATCGGCGAAGAGGATTGGGAATTTGGCTCTCATCTAATAATATATTAGCCTTGTTGTGCGAGAATGAGGTGTAGAGCAACTTACCGCATGCTTGATGAGGGCTAGGTCGTCTGTCTGGAGAGCAGGATTTGGCCGACCTTGTCCCCCAAGTGGAGGTCGGCGGCCTTCCTGATCGCCGCCTAGAGGGTGTCAGATGCGTCAAACAAACATAGGGTTTGAACTTACGGCCAGAGAATTCCAGAGATGACGGATCAGAAGTAGCTTGATAGATGTGAAAGAGAAAAAGAGATGCAAATTGGATGCAGATAGATGGCAGACGGCGGCGGGGAGGTGACTCGAGGTGAGTCAACTGTTCCTGATTCGCGTCGGACGTCCGAGCGTATTGAGGTTACGTCACACCGGCGGCGCAGGCCACTGGCTGACCGCTGACAGAGGACCGGCAAAAGTTGGGCAAAAGTTGGGCAAAAGCCACCAACCGACGAGCAATCTTACAAAACGACAAACGAACATCTTCACGCTCACCGACCACCCAACATGCCCGGCTTCGAGAAGTACAAGGACAGGAACTATACAAGTCGCCAGGTTATCTGCGAATGCTGCAACCAGCTCGTAAGCAAGGGCACCAGAGATGACCACCAGAGCCGTCTGAAGAAGAGGGACAGAGGTGCGGAGGAAGAGAGGCTGGAAGGTGAAGGGAGTAAGAGGGCCAGACACATGAATGAAGACCAGGAATCAGAAAATGAAGGCAGAGGTGGTGATCTCGTCATTGACGACGAACCAAGAGGCGAAGATGTGGAAGATGTGAGTTACTTATGCTGGGCATTGCAGATAGTATACTAATGCACTGTAGGATATCGAGCAACGGTCGCAGCAGATGAGCTCTCAGGGTCTCAGACACGGTGTCTCTGGTGGCAATTTGTTGGTAGCTGGTGATGAGAGAGGCAATGTGAGTGTCATGGTGTCGAAGATGAGCAAGACATCGCTCACACCTTTAAGCGAAACTCCGCCGAGCCACCCAATTCTCAAATGCAGCACCGCGCACCATCCTCGCTCAGCCAAGCTCCCAGCACTGTCGACTCTCTCCCAGATGCGAACGACTCGGATGCGGATGACAGAGAGCAGGGGAGGTCGTTCCTGGAGATGAAAACCAAGCCTCCGGCGACTCGGATCAAAGTGGTGATGGTGAAAGTGATGGTGGGGATGGAAGCAGTGGAGACGAAAGCGATGACTCTAGCGAGCGGTCAGAGAGGGAAAGCTCAAGTGCGAGGAGTGATGAAGCATCGGCAAGCGAGCAGATGCGTGCTCGAAAGATGATAGAATTCGGACCCATCAGTGAGGCTGGATCGGTGCTTTCGATTGTTGATAGCTTGCTGATTGACTGTAGGCTACACTGTCGATGACCAGACCGCCCGTGAGAGGCTCATGCTGTACAATTGGAAAGTCCAGAATAATGTTACCCGGAAGGCTTTCGACGGGTGAAGAGTTTTCGGAAGCCCAGGAGGACTTATATCATTGACAGGGGCACTGAAGCCAGCAGAGTGGATATTGTCATGTGATTATGGCTGACTATAGCTGTGTCACACGGGTCCATGACCTACGTTACAAGCTCTATATATGAATGTATCATGTAGTTTATGTATAAGACATGTCTATGTATGCAAAAATCCCCACGCATCAAGCTCGCGTGGGTCGAGATCAGATTACCCCTTTAAAGGGTGACGGAATCATCCAATTATTGGGTGATCCATAGTGCGAGAGGTTGGTTGGGTTAAACTGTATAACCGATAACCTTTCAAATAGTTGAAAATAACCCATGTGGGTAAGAATCACCGTGCATTTGGGTGACGTCCGTCAAATAACCTTCCGCGCGGCCCATAGTGTGACCAGTACTCTCGTGAGATGTACAACAAAGTACCATCACAGTCACCCCGGTACAGACTCCGTGGCATCATGTTCCGTGGTGTCATCGACAAGTTCCGAAGAGAGCATTGAAGAGTGATCAGGTCAAAGGTGGGGCTTTGTTATGTCTACGACGTCTTAGAGCTATATGCACCCTTATGAAAGCATCACATGGAACGACCCACACCGATGATCAACCGACCCGGAAACGAGAATATATTGTTGATCTGCAACCAGTATATACAATTACATTAAGCTAACAAGCTTTCATTCAAAGACACCGTTGGTGAAATGGTATCATGCAACTTTGCCATAGTTGCGGCAAGGGTTCGATTCCCTTACGGTGTATTTCTTTTTGCGTCTTTTTTTCTCCATTTTGTGTGCTGACATCGATGAGCAATCTCGCAGCTGCGATCATGGTCGTTGTAATTTTGATTGATATGCTGATATCATTATGTACCTGTCAACCTTGCAACAGTGATGACATAAGCTATGGGCTGTATCGCAACGCTGCGTCATCCATTTCTCAAACACACCATGTCTGCATATAACGACAAATACAACTCCTCCCTATACCTGACGACACACCTATACAACACGACGAAGAGCCCCGCCACGAGCCCGTAATCATAGAAGACATCCGTGAAATTATCAACTCTCTGTCCGACTCTTCTTCCGAATTCTCATACGACGATTACTTCCCACCAGCAGACACTCGCCGCCCCAACCCTTACCCGCCCCAGGACGAAGACGAATACCAGTCCGACTCGGGGCTCGAGCCTTACACCGAGAACGAGCGCATCCGTAGCGTCGCTTCCCAAGCCGCCAACTCTGCCATCGCCCGTATGACCCGTGAGTGGGCGATAGCTCGAATGACGCAGCAAGGGTATTTGTCTTGTCAAGTACAGAGACGGGAGAGGTTGATGCAGATTCGGGGGACAGACGTGAAGGGATGCCGGATGATGGTGCTGCTCCAGTAGACTCTTCTGATCCATACCGTTCGTACGATCTAGACGATGGAGACGCCGCCAATGCGCGTTATCACAGCAGCATCGATGACTACTAAGTACGGTCCAATAAACATGTACTTCACTTGCTACGGAGAGAGACGTGTTTGTTGTCTATTGCAGATGGGCAAACATTCGTATGCTAGCACAGACAGCGGAAATTATACAATTGCATAAGCTCAAACGAAGCAACGAAGGCAGCCAATGCTATGTACGATCAGAAAGTTAAAGAGTATGGGAAGGGATTAGACCAAGAATTCTGTCAGACAGCATAACAAATATCACATGACCAGTCTCGTAAACACCACGTTCCAATGTCCACATTATCTCCCCTACACCATCCATGCACGTTTCTCCAGCGATCTTCCCTCGCTCCCATACACAGCGCTCTCTCCCTGCTCACAAACCTTCAAGCTCGGGAGCTTAGAAGAGAGAGGCAAGAGCAGCAACACCGCCCAAGAGGGCAGCGACCACACCGACCTCAAGCTTGCCAGCGGCAGAAGTAGACGAAGAGGAGGAAGCGTTGGCGGAAGAAGCAGAGGCGGTGGAGGAGGAGGAAGAGCCGGAAGAAGCCGCAGAGCTAGACGCAGCCTCAGAAGAGGTGGACGCGACGTCGGCAGCGGCGGAAGCGACAGAAGATGTCGAAGCCGAGGCAGATGCAGAGGAAGATGCAGAGGAAGAGTCGGTAGAGGAAGAGGTGGAGTTGGAGATAGTGGTGAGGAGGGTACCAGTACCTATAGCGCAAAGTCAGCTCCAGTCAAGCGGGAAGTAGGAAGGACGTACCCCACTCGACAGAGTCGGTGGTGTTGGTAGGGTCGGTGGTAGATCCATCACTGCCAGCAATCTACGGATAATCAGCGCAGTTTCGCTACGGGCGCACAGGCCGGGTAGGGTACCAGGGACGTACGGTGAATCGGGTGGTCCAAGTAACGTTGCTCATGTCACCGCCGTTGGTGCTATATATAGTGTAAGCAGAGCACTGCGAGAGACAAGGGGCGTACTCACAACTGCAAGAAGTAGATTTTGGAGTAAGGGCTGACGTCCGGCGCCGTGAAGGTGTAAGAAGAAGCGGAAGTACCGTCGATACCAGTGGCGACGGTGGCAAGGGCAACCATCTACAGCTCTGGTCAGCTACACTTGGAAGACGATGCGGAGCGCAGAAGCAGAAGCGACTCACAGCAAGGTTGGAACCAGTCATCAACTGGATCTCGACGTTGCTCCAGTCATCGACAGAGTCCACAGTCCAAAGCGCCTCAATATCCTCGCCGACCTTGACGGAGGTGGAACTGTCGGGGGAGGTGGGGGCGATGATGGCGTTGGCGGCCAAAGCAGCGAGGGAGAGGGCGGTAAAGGTCTTGGTGAACATTTTTTCGATGGTTGTTAAGAAAGCGGTGCGGAGAGGCGGGGCGGCGGGGATAGAGGGGGGAGATTGGTGTGCGGGCGTGGAACTGAGGGGTGTTGTAGAGAGCGACTGGAGTGAGACAGGTGTTCACTATAAATCTGGTAGGGAATAAATAAAAGCAAGATGAGAGAAGAAAGAGAAATGGAGATGCGAATTGGGAGGGGAAAACGATGTGCAGTATCCAGGCACGCAGTAAACACCCGAGGGCCCCGGCTCGGGCCTGGGGCCTGCCCGGCGTGTGCGATGCATGCAGGCTGCAGCCCTGGGTGGCTGGGAGTGAGGAGGGGGTGCATAGGGTTGTATAGAGAGCAGCAATAGTGGCGTCATGTATGCATAGTATGCAGCAAGTACCCGTAGAATGCCCACCATTCACGCGACTCCACAGAAAAAAAGACAAACGCGCATGAACCTTGATTTTTTTCCGACGCGTCAGTCCTCCCGTGATGAGCTGGGGGCGGAGTCATACTGCGAGCGTGACCAGCAGGGGCCTCGGCCCGTCGGCCGTATTGACTTCATTGGGCTGGGCAAAGGATCAGGCCGCAGCACCATATGTATACACTTCCAAAGCACTCTCTGCGGGTGTACGAGGACATACAGCGACCTGACTCGGTCGGCAACATGAAGCAGGCGTTGAGCAGGCGGAGGGACAAGAGCGGGTAATGTTAGCGCGATGTCTAGAACGGCGCTCAGCATCGCATCTACATGTCACTAAGACAGGCGCAGAAGGTGACTGCTCAATAATGTCATATGCATTGCGATCCCATAGAGATTCTCCTTGGTCTATTGACCCTCCTGAGCGGACGGAGGCTATGTTGACCGATCGCCCCCTTTGTGCGGACTTCCGCACATAGGGTCGATCACACAATCAGCACCTTTCTCGCTGACATGTACTGATACCACGACACAGCATAGCCCCGCCCCCGCTATCATCCTGGCATGCTGACCGTCAAGATGATCTGCTGACCAATCGCTCCCTTTGTGCGGACTTTCGCGTATAACATCCGTCACACAATCGGCACCCTTCTCGCTGACATGTACTGATACCACGACACAGCGTAGCCCCGCCCCCGCTATCATCCTGACATGCTGACTGTCAAAATGATCTGCGGCTATTCATGTTTCAGCTCCGACGCTCTCTCCTCTTATGACACAAAGCGCTATATATGCAAGCTCATCTTCAAATGTACCTCATCTTCAGATCATTGAATCCCTTCAACCATACACCGCAACCGAAAGCAAAGACCAGAACAAATGTCAGAAGACGAGCAAGCTTTCTCCAACCCACCTTCCCCACTCTACCTCGACTCCTCCCCCAACGACGACCCCCAACAAAGCGAAGCCTCCACCAACTCCGGCTCCAGATCCCCCTCCACCTACTCCGACCCCGGATCTGACGTTTACGGACAAGAAGACCTCTCCAAGCTCGAATACCACCTCGACCCCGAGAGCGACATTCCCCTCGCCAACCAGCTCCGGGCCATGACAACTCACTTAAATACTGCCCTCCAGCTCCACACTGACATGTCGCGACAAGAGCGCAGGGATTTCATTCTCAGTAAGGTCGAGAGTAGCCTGTCGTGCGCAGGGATTGAAGGGCTCGAGGTGGATGTGCGTTTGCGCGATTCTGATGACGATGGATCGGGGGAGGATGAAGATGAAAGACGAGGTCGAAGCCCTCGCCGCAGGAGAAGTTTCAGCCTGGTGGAAGAAGAAGAACAAGAAGAATGAAGCGGATGTCGAAGCGCAGAAGTACCTGTCGTGGGGTCATATCTTCGTCCATTTCCTTGATCCTCTTGGCAATGCATTCGAGCCTTCTGGTGTCAGTACCGCTGCATTGTAAAGACCTATGAACAAACACACCACATATCATGTCACCAACGTGACCAGTATCACCTTTTAGGCTCATCTGATAGGAGCATTGCCCGAAATGCAGCGTGATACGTCCCGTGGTTGTCCAATATAGCCTTGCATTGCAGCCCGTCACGGTCACCTTTGACATGTCACAAGATGATCCTTGAACGCAACGCTCAAATGCTTATTCTGACTTGCAACGCTCTGACATTCTGCAAGAAAAGAAAGGTAGACGCTTCAAGTACCTCCTTTCATCGCAGACGCCTTTGTCATGTCGAAGAAACCTGTGCATGTCTTTAAAAAATCCTTGGTACTAGACAGCCTTTCTGAAAACGAAGATTTGATTCCCATATAAACACCCGCCACCCACAAGATATCGCCCATCACCCTCCATCAATTCTCAACTCTGATCTCATCATGTCCGACGACGAAAACGACCAAACCAACACCAACCCCTCCTACGAGACCAGCACCAAAGCTTTCTCAAACGGCTTTTACGAAGAGCACACCTACGGATACTCTTTCAACGACCTCGCAGGCGATATCAGTGAGATGGCTAGCAACATCGTCGAAACGCTCATCACTGTATACCCCGAACTTGACACTGAGCGCAAGAGCGCATTGGCGAATGAGATAATTGCGCGTAGTCTTCGGGAGAGGAGAATTCCGGGGGATATTTTCAAGCTTTCTGTCAATGAAAGTGCGTTCGATCTATCAGTGAAGAAGGACGAGAAGGAGAATGGGCAGCAGGAGGAGCAGGAGATTGAGAAGGAAGAGGCGAAATGAGGATTGGGTTTAGAGGATCTACAATAGTAGTCGAACACGAAGTCAGATGCATGTTGAATGACAAGTTATCCAATGCTCGGATGATCATCATCAATCAGGGTGAAAGAAAGGGTGGAAGCGCTTACCGCTGGAGAAGTTTGAGTGATGAGGAAAAAGAACAAGACGAGTAAAGCAGGATAGCAAAGCGCGGCACCATTTTTGGCCGGATGATGGTATACCTCATACGCCACAACAAACGCGCAGTATGCTCTCTCACACAACATTCATCCATCTGTGCATTTGAAACGCAAGCGTCGTATTAGTCTACTAAAGTGTCTCTTGGTTGTAGTCCTGCAACCCGTTGGTCAGATCTTACATGTCTCGCATTGACCCGTGAATGCGACGCTAGATACATAAGCTAATATTGATGTACAACACTCTGACGTTCCACGATGAAAGAAAGGTAGACGCTTCGAGTACCTTTCATCACAGACGCTTCTCCCATGTCGGACTCTCCCCATGTCTTGGAAAGATCCTTAGTACTCGACAACCTTTGCTGATAGGCCTAAGTTCAGTCCCATATAGATATTCCGCCCCCATAAGTTACCGCCCAACAACCTCCATCAACTCTCAACTCCCATCATGTCTGACGACGAAAACGACCGAACCAACACCACCCCCTCCTTCGAGACCAACAACAAATCTATTTCAGACCGCTACCCAGTACACACCCACGGATACGCTTCCAACGACCTCACAAGCGCCATCAACGAAATGTTCGGCAACATCGTCGAGACAGTGATCACTGAATTCCCCGAACTTGACATTGAGCGCAAGAGCGCTTTGGCTAATAATATGATTACGCGTGATCTTCGGTGGGCGGGGATGTCGGTGAATAGTATCGATATCTCTATCAATGGAAGTGCGTTCGCCCCAGCGACGGGGTCGGTGATGGAAGAAGAGAATGGAGCCGAGGATGAGGCGGTGGAAGGAGGGCTAGGGGTAGAGAATCTGAACATCAGTTGAGCATGTTAGAAACGAGAAGTGGGGAGCGTCGTAGAGGGAGAAGGCAGATGCATAAGTATACGTCCAGTCGACTTCAGTATCGCCCTGGGTCAGAATTGTTGGGATAGAGACCCGTGGTCGTTATGGTCCCGTAACAGTTACCTTTGTCCCGTTACCTTCACTACGGTACATCCTACCTATTTAAATCTTTCTTTCCGCTCTATCTCACATATATATATATTCTCATAGCTACGCTCCCTAGTTCCCCACCATTCTGGTCATCTGTGTGTTTGGAAGTACACGTTGACTGATACCGGGAACTAGGTATGTATCACCATTCTGGTCATCTGTGTGTCTGGAAGTACACGTTGACTGATACCGGGAACTAGGACGTTAACAAGAATGACAAATTCTCAGCCTGCACAACTGGTGACCCCGTAGCGAATCTCCTCGCATTGTCTTCGAAGGTGTCGTTCCCGATTTGGCTGGAATGGATAGAGCTCTCATGAAGGTTTGCCACAGTGATACATCTGAGCAGTATGGCCTATCTTGATGACGTATAGTGCATGCACGCCGGAAGACCACATTGTTGTCTGTGGACTCGTTACTCTTTGGCCACCGACGTTCTCAAGGCGCTTTTGATTCCCCTCACGATGACTGGCGACTGGCCTCTGAACCACCTTTCAAAGATCATAGTCCGTTTTACATGTCACTTGAAGTACACACATATATATACAGTACAACTCGATACGTACTTGTACATTGATACATCTCCCCTTTGTAGGCTACTTTCTCGTCCCCTTCCTAAACTTGTATTTTTCCAACCTCGAAACCGTACTACCCGCCACTTTCACTCCCTTCTCCCCATTCCCCGGACCTCTCTCTGGCGAAGGCGTAAACGACCCTATATCCTCATCTTCATTCCTCTGCCCCTCTCCCGCCCCATTCTGCTCCTCCCCTTGCCCGACCACTCGCCCCAGTCCAATCTTCACATCCCTCTTTCCTCCACTCCCACCGCCTCTCGTAGGGGTATCGACATTGTCGGGCCATCGCTTGAAGACGGCATCGTCTTTGAGAGCTTTGGCGCGGGAGGTGGAAGCGGTGCCGAAAGAGGGGACGACGATTTGTTTCTTGGCGGGGAGGGAGGTAGGGACGAGGGTGGATCTGGAAGTTTGGTTCTCAGTGGAAGCGGTGGAGGTAGACGCAGACGACGACTGGGGCAGTGTCAGCTGTCGTTGTCGAAGCATCAGAAAAGATGTACTTACGTTCGTCTTGGTCATCTTGACGCCATTAGCCATCTTGGTTCTCATCACAGACCCTTGCCCGAACCCATTCGTCATGATCCCAGACTTGGTCGCGGCTACTGCCGGAAGTGGTGTCGAAGCAGGCCTGGCGATTCCAATGCTCCCCCTCCCTCTCGGCTTTGGAGTAGCCTCACCTTCCGGCGGCGACGACGACTAAACCCACATCAGCCCATGCCCCCTACAACAACACAATCAAAAAGTCGGATACTCACAGACTGTCCCCCAAACGCATACTTCATCCTCCACCCCCCCGCCAACAGCTTCGCCTTCTCCTTCCTCTCCACCTCCACCTCATCCATCTCTTCTTCTTCCACTTCCGCCACCTTGGACCGCTTCCTCTTCTTCTGGCTCGACGTAGGCTCATGAGAATGAGAGGGCGTCCCAAGCTCTTCCGAGTCTATTGAATCGCTCGAAGGCAGGTCGGACCTCCGGCGAGGGGCCTGTCTGCTGAGTTGTTTTGAAGTCATTGGAGGGGCAGGCGAGGATTCCGAGTGGGGGAGTGGAGGGGACGAAGAAGCCGGTACGATCGTATCCTTCGACGAAGTCGGTTCCAGCACCCTCGACAACCTCAACGTGCCCCTCCCCCTCTTCCTCTCCTCCGTCGCATCATACTCGCTTCCAAATGAATCTCCTCTACTTCCTAATCCAGCTCTCGGCGTGAAAAGCCCACTTTCCTCCTTCTCCCTCTGCACCCCCACCCCCACCGCCTTGTTTCTCGGGAACGAACTCGCAACCAGTTTGTCGATCTTTGGTATAAGCGGACTGGAGCAAGGTGGGCTGCTGATAGCCATAACGGACGGGCTCTTCGTCTCGCTCAGCCTCCCATCCTCCCCATCATCCTCATCCTCCCGTTCTTCCTCCTCTTCGACGAGCCGAGCGGGCGAGCTTCCCGCTTTCAAACTCGAAACAGCCGGCGAAGGCGACCTCGTCCCCGCTCTCTGCGTATCAATCATCATAGACGACTGTAACTGCGCTTCATCCCCCGAATCATCTTCCCACAACAGTTTCACCCCCAGCTCGGGGGTTGACTCTTTCTTGGAAAAGAATTTGCTTTTCCTCCCAGCTGGGGGCTGATCGAGATCTTCGGAAGAAGTTGTGGGGATGGAGTCAAGCGATGGTATGGGCGTTTGGTCGGATAGGCGGCAAGCGCCGGAACCGAATGCGCCGATAGGTCGAGGAAGTACCGTCGGTCTCTTGACACCTACACCTTCCATCAGCCCCATGCTTCTTCCAAAAACCAAATGACGTACGTTGAACGAACCCATCCAACGTCCCCCTCCCACCCCCACCCCCAACTTTCCCATTCCCATTCTTCTCCGGCTTGAAATTCGGCCACTCATCAACAATCTCCACCCTCGTCTCCGGATTAACATCCCCCCTCGCCATCCCCCTCGCCACACCTTCCTCTATATCCTCCCCAACCCACCGTTCACCTTCTTCCCCCAAACCCGCTTCTGGGAGAGGATTGAGAGGGACGAGCTTGCAGAGTTCGGGGTGGAATACGCGTTGGTGGAGGAAAGCTAGTTCGGCGAGGGCAAAGTCGGCGGGGTAGGTTTGAGGGACGAGGGAGCCTTCGAGTCGAAGATGTTGAATGATCTTGGTACTGGTCAGCCTGGCATATAGATGAGATGACTGTCAAAGCTCACTTTTTCGACCGACGCGAACCTTCTCATCAACCGATGGGCTTTCTTGAGGCCTATACCCGGTATAGAGTCGAGATAGTCACATCCAGAAAGCATCTGGTGCGTATCCGTCAGTATAGTAAGCCATGGAGAGAATTAGAACATACCGCCATACGCCGAAATTGAACGTCCGTCCACCCGTGCATCGGAAACTCCCTACATGTCGCCAGCCGATCACGCTGTATCCACACACAATCCCCATTGCTATCCAGCTTGAAAACGACCTGAATCTGGGTCAGTATATTCTCCAGATAAGAGAGGTGAGCATTGACTCACTTGCCGACAACCAAACACCAATAAATCCGAATCTTCCGTTATGATGCCATCGACATACCCTTCTCTTTCCAGAAAACACAATTGAGCGTCTGCCTCGTATGGTGCCACGATATAGTCCACATTCTCAGCCCGCAAAGCCTGCCGCAGAGTCAGTTTGTCTTGATCAAAGCAGGAGGGCACGTACTTTGATGAGTTGGTATGCCATCTCGGGCGTTATATCCACGCATTTCGTATACGCATCTCGTGCCTCCTTGTGTCTACCTTGAGCTTCGAGCGCTTTCGCCTTATCCAGATTGTCCGCTCGCGACCTATACGAAATATCAACCGCGAGCCAAGTATATGAGACGAAACCAACCTACCTCGCTCTAGACACCTCCGTCCCTCTTTTTGCAGGTAAAGGTCCTCCGTCCAAGACGATAAATGGTTCCACACCATGATGCCGTAGGATGCGAACGCGATGTAAGGCATAGTCGACGAATCTGCAGAACATTAGTCGATGCTACGCGTCGCATTCTGAGCACTTACTTTGTCGTGCGTTTCCCCTTCACCAAAGCTTCGGCACAGCCGAATGCTCCTCTGTGAAGCCATACATATCCCTGAGACCCTACGTGAGTACATAGAACTGAGTTTCGTCTACCAAATCACCCACATCTACAGCCATCCTGTCCGACGCGTCTGTCAGCGTACGCGTCTCGGGATCGACAGGCTGACTCACTTCTTTCCCTTGAAGTTGGATATATGGCCATTGACCTGGACCTCCTTGAGGAGAGGAAGCAACCCCGAGATACCCATGGCTGTGACTGTGAAGCATAGAAAAGCGCGTCGTTGATTATTGAAATCCTCCGTCAAAACAATACGTTCTGAGTACGTAAGCAGCACGGAACAGCAACATCATCGCCGCCATTCTCCTCTTTCATCCTTTCTTTGTCCTTTCTCCTCTCAATCCTGCTATACTCCCAGCTTCCCTCCGGCCATGTCTCTCCCCCATGTACGTACACGCCGCTTCCGCTATCCTGCGCCCTTCTTCCCCTTCCACACACCACGCCAAAGCGATGTGAACTGACCGCGACGTCTGTAGTCCGCGTACGACCCTCGGCGTGTCTTTCGCTTCAACCTCCCCACATTCGAGATCGGTCCCAGGACTCGCTCAATTGGTACATACGTCTCTGGAGGTATAGTACGTACACCGTCTTCCCCACGCTCCATGCGTCTCCACCAAGGCAGATCATCAGCTGACGACCCATGCCCGCTCCGCAGTTCGCCCTCGCCTACTTTCTCCTCTTCGACGCCGCCACTCTCTCATCCCACGCCAAACCTCCCCCTGACGCCCCTTATGATGTCGTCCCCGTCCATATGTCATTTGTAGACTGGATCCCCGCCATCATCTCCACCTGTACGTCTCACACATCCTTCCCTTCGTTCAACCATTAACCGATATATCGATAGTCGGCTTCATCATCACATCGATTCTCGACAAGTCCCATCTCACTTCTGCATTCTCTTCCGACCCCTGGGCCTCCGAAGGATCAGCCGCTTGGCGAGCGAGGGTGGTCCTGTTTATTGGCGTTGCGATGATGGCTGGAGGTCTCGCCGGCAGCTTGGTACGTCGCTTTCCTCTTTCCCCGATTGACACTGGAGAGACAATTAACAACGATGCAGTGTGTTCTCATCCTCAAGTATATCATCCCCGACTTTTCCGGCTACTTGTGGTACGGCGGTGCGAATGTGGCTTGTAACACTGGTATCATGATTTCGTACGTCTTCCGTCCATTGATCTGCATCACAGGATGGATGCTGATGACAATTGCAGCGCTATGATCCTCTGGATCGCTCAGAGCGGCAGCGACGAGTATGAGTACCAGCTTACCGTCTAGATGGAAGAGAAGAGGGGTCTGGAAATCTTGTATAATCTATGCGATGTGCGTATGCATCGTGGTATGTGAACAACGCTGCTCTTTGATTGGGAAATGGGCATGTCGGAGGTACGCAATAAGGGACGAAGGGTCGAGCAGGATGCCCAGGGAGGCTCGTCACGGGCAGAGAACCGAAAGACATATAATAGAAGAGCTACATCCCATATTCACAAACATCTCAATCAAAAAATAAGCATTCTACAAACCACCACCTATACTTGCAAGTACCTCACATAGTTCGCCACCTTTAATACACACCCCTTAAGCGGTAGCAGCAGCATCACACTGCTCTTTCTGCGCCGAACAATCACTAACGGTCGAATCTCCACTCCCAGAATTGGCAGCATCCGCACTAACACCCCATTGTCAACATCTATCATCCAACTCAAAAGGATAGGTGTGGAGACTCACCACCCGTTGAACTGTTGATCACAGCTCCTCTGGAACGCAGCAGCAGCATTGACAAACGTATCCGTCTTGACCTGGAACGGCTTGTCCCCGCCGACGTTCGTGACAGGCGTGGCGGCGACGCCGTTGAGAGCGCCGGTGAAGGTTTGGAGGTTATCGCCCGAAGCAGCCGTCGTCTACCTCATCGTCAGCCTCCATTTACACATCGAAGAAAGGAAGAAAGAATGAGGGACGTACGGAAGAGGCTGTAGAAGCTGAGGAAGTAGAAGAGACACCGGCGGCATCAGCAGCGCTGGTAGAAGCCGCCGTCAAGGAGGTGGTGGAGGCGGAAGAGACACCAGCGGCGCTATCGTCCACTGCACTTGTCGCTGCCGCTGCCGAACTAGCTCCAGAGCCCGATCCAGTACCTGTCGAAGTAACACCCAACGCAGATTCAAGCTATTCCATCCCATCAGCTCAAACCCTTCTTCCCTTTCCCCGACGCCAATGAAGAAGAAGAAAAACTCACCTCAGTCAACCAAGCGTCCGCAAAAGTCTGATCCTTCTCCAGCGTCCCAGCAGTAACCTGCGAGTCCAGATCCGCCGCTACCGTCTTGCACGCTTCCCTCGTAGCCGCCGACTGCGCGCACGCGTTGACGAAAGTGTCGCACATGAAGGCGGTGATGATGGAGGGATTGAGGGCGGAGCCGTGGGCAAAGTTTGTTTGGTCGGTCTGAGAGGGGCTCAGCGTTGGTAGGACATGGGAAGAGGAGGACGTACGGGTTCGAAAGTGAATTCGTCAGCGGCGCGGTTGTCGAGACCACCAGCAAACGTCATGGAAAAGTCGGTGCAGGCGCCAACATCAAGCGTGTCTGCCGCAGCAGCAACGTTCGTACCCTATAGACACATCAGCTAGAGACACAGGGATAGTGAGAAGAGAGGAGACTCACGGTACTGGTGACCGCAGCAGTCGATGCGTTCGCCGAAGATTCAGCAGACCCTTGACCAGTCGAAGTGACGCCGAAAGTACTCTCAAGCTGAACCATCCCATCAGCTCCATCTCACTCCCATGCGATCCAATATCAAACTCACTCCAGACAGCCAAGCACCCGCAAACGTCTGATCCTTTGCCAGCGTCCCAGCAGTAACCTGCGAGTCCAGATCCGCGGCTACAGTCTTACAAGCATCCCTCGTCGAGGCGCTCTTGGCACAGGCGTTGACGAAGGTGTCGCACATGGCGGTGGTGATGATGGAAGGGTTGAGCGCTGAGCCGTGGTTGAAATTTGTCTGATCCGTCTACAAAAGGTATCAGACAAATGTAAGAAAGAACAGGAGGGGAACGTACAGGTTCGAAAGTAAACTCATCAGCCGCTCGGTTGTCGAGACCACCGGCAAAGGTCATTGAAAAGTCGGTGCAGTCTCCGATGTCAATATCCGCAGCCGCAGCGTTGGTACTCGACGTAGCCTAGAGATTGTAAGCTTCTGTTCTCAATCATTATGTGATAGTATGTGATAGGGGGACGTACGGTCGAAGCAGCCGCGCTCGAACTGGAAGCGGCGACGGCGGCGGTGGCGGAAGTCGCAGTGGCAGCAGCTGAAGAGCCGGAGGAACCAGAAACGGCGGCAGTAGCAGCGCTCACACCAGCAACAGCCGAGCTAATCTCTGCTTCCGTAGCATCCTTCTCGTCCATCAGCACGCAGTTACTGAACCAACAAAGTCAAATCTCACCTCTTGCAACAAGTTCTGCGTAAAGATACACCTATCCGCGTCATCGGCATCGTCGCACGTATTTCCCGCCCCTGTATTGTCGGTAGTCTCTCCAGCGGCGAAGGTACCGCTCTTGAGGGCATCGCGGGGGTCTCCGCCGACGGAGGCGATCTGCTTGGCGAGCTCGAGAGTGATAGCTTTGTTGGTTGCCGCGGCGCCGTCCGAGGCAGGGTCTTGATGCTGGGAGATGGCGGCGATTTCGGGGTTGGTAGCAGTCTCGTTACTGTCATCGTATCAGCGTATGATATCAGAAAACAAGGTTATGAAACATACCAAGCAACACTAGCCAACCCGACCGATCCCGTATTCCTCTCCAAAGCTCGATAAATCAACGCAGCCGTCTGGCCAGCCACATCCCCAGCGGCCTTGGCGTTGGTAAAGGCTTGGTCGGCGACGGCCTGTTGGAGACAGTCGGTGTCGGTGACGTTGCCTTGGCCGGCGGCGGCGGCAGCGTTTCCGAGTAGCGCAAAAACACTGTCAAGATCTTGTCAGTATATGAGAGTGGAAAGGGACGGAGGCGACTCACGGGTCTTGGATGTTCTGAGGGTTATCGATGTTGAGGGATGCCCGAACGGTCGTCAAGAACTGTTCGTGAGAGTGCTCTGTTCGTTTCATAAGTACAAACACTGACCAATCACGCGCTAGTAATGAGACATACCTTGAGGCACCTCTCGTTTCACCACTCGGATAGGGGACGCGTCCAGCCCGGGAGCAAGCGCCAACAAAGGCAAGAGAGCGAGGAGCGAGGAGGTGTACATCGTCAAGATGAGTTTGTCGAAGTGATCTTATCAAAAGACGAAGATGTTGAAAAAGTCGAACCAGCCGATGGGATGGGAAGCCGTAAAAGATAGACAGAGAAAAAAAAAGGCAAGCAACCGGTGCTTGAATAGAGAAGGATATCAGGAATGAATGTGGATGATGGAGATAGTGGGAATGGCCAGATTGTGGGCGCTATATATGAGCATGAGGCGAAGTCGATCAGCTCGGTGCAAAGATCCATAGCACCTGGATACGCGAAGAAGCAGGGGCAAGATTGTCAGCAAGGAGTGTCAAACGTGACGCCCACTTCCGTACTCATGTTTCTTCTCAAACTGGCAACATGTTGCAAGCTGAGAGGGCAAAGTGCCCCGGGGTCGACAAGCGGACTACAGACATCAGCGACTCCTCTAGAACACCCGATTCACTTCAAAGCCGGCAGCCACGACGTACCCTCGGGGCCTTCCGACCTTCTCGAGCCCCTCATATGACCATCCAAGAGATCCAAGATACGTTGAGTAAAGTGACAACGACTTGCAAAGACACGGTTACGCGTAATAAAGCACTGACAACAACGGCCCTGATCGCGGATCTGATCCGGAGACCCAGTTTGTGCAAAGTTTGTGTACCTTTTTTGTTGACAACGACCGTTGATACGCGATCTACGCGACTCGCTGAGTGTTACATACATACAGCTGATGCGCTGACAGAAAGCGTAGCTCAGAGATGCATGATATATACGTACTACGGGTGGCTTGGCAAGTTCTAGACGTGGTCCCGCAAGCATTGAGCCCGGCGGAAATCAGAGCATCAATTTCGGCAAGCCTTGACGACGACCCGGGCCGGTAACGTTGAGCACCACACATTTTACACTAGACTGTGACACGCTCGCAAAGTATATAAATTCTTTTGAAAGAAAGCCAGGAAGTGCCCTTGTCTATACCCACATCGTCCTGGGCATATGTAGTAAAACCCATGAGACTCGACGTGACTCTTAAGCAGCAAAAAGAAAACGACGGCAACCGGGATTCCCAGGTGGTCCCCCACCCTGGTACTGACCGATCGCTCTCCTAATTCACTTCGCGGATCGGACGGGACGCGGTTCTTTGAGGAGGCTATGGCCGTCGATGTCTGTTTGAAAGATATTAAATTGATAGACAGACGCGATTGTGGTGACGAAGAGGAAGAGAGGGTTCTATTAGTCCTTGTTTTCTAGACTCTGGGGGGCGTTTCTACTGTCTCAATGTAAACGATTCTGCTATTCATAACACTCATACAATAGATCTTTCATCCTACTGACATGACAGCCACCGATGCAAAAGTGGGAAATAGAGAATAGAGAAGAGTGGTCTCGACACCAACATTGGTCGAGCGTGCAGTCCGAACCGGATGTTTGGCACGAGAGTAATGATAAATGAATCATGCATTTGCAAGTTATGCTCCTTGAATGTACGCCTACAGCTGAGGATACACAGATGTCGCAGGATGAAGTCGACTTTGCTTGCGATCGTGCACGTCGAATCAGCATACGCGAGCACAGGAACCAAACAAACAAATTTTCGCGACGCGTCAAATTTTATCGTCCACATCCAAAAATTTGCTCTCTCTCGGTCAGATCTTCCATTGCATCGATGCATCATATCAAGAACTGTTTAGGGACATGATTCATGCCTCGGGGCTGCAAAAAGAAAAGCCTCCGGCGGGGCTCGAACCCGCAACCGCACGATTGACTGATGGCCCGTAACCGGTTCAAGCAGACTCGTTAAGAGTCGTGCGCGCTACCGATTGCGCCACGGGGGCTTTCTATGTTTGCTCGCTAGCTGTTTAGGTTTGAAAATTGCCCAGCGGGTCATGACGATATCCAGAACAAGGACTGATGCTTTATTGAGCATTGCAAAGAGTAGAAACGATATCGACGACCCGACCGACGTAAGCATGTCACGTAGTGGTGTTGAAGCACATCTGAACAAGCATGTACACTTTTCTTGCATAGCCCAAATCAACATCCAGTCTATCTTTCTCCTTGGAAACCCAACCAGATCGCCGAGGTCCACACTTTTGCCCCATCCCCCTGCCTCTCCACAAACCATACCGGCGCCGCCCAATGCTTCCCATTCTTCCTCGGTATCTCCACCCTCCCACTGATATCACTAGCCAAGCTCCCTGGCTCGCTGATTTTCTCAATAGCAACCTCAAGACCGACGCCGTCGACGACGGCGAGGAGGTCGAGTAGAGGTCTTTTCGAGTGGCTTCGAGGTTGAAGGAAACGGATTAGGCTTGAACGGATCTCCAACCTTTACTAGCGTCAGCCAAAAGCAACAAATCGGATAGAAGACACGCCTTGATATATCCCTCCATCCCTCCTTGTACCCGTACTTCGCCGACCTCGTCATCCAACCACTTCACATCCAATATGAAACCATCCCTATCCCCACTCGCAGGGCTTCTGAACTCGACTTGCCCGACTCCTGACGTCCAGTGAACTTCTTCGAGGATGGGTATCGTCCTCAAAAACGCGTCCAGTACCCCGTGTGATGCCGTTGATGACAGTGATAGCACCTTTGCCAGATAGCTTGTGTGCGGGCCGACGGCGTGACCTAATGTATAATACTGCTGTATTTGGTGTCATGCTGTCTCCTGTGGACTGCTGAGTGTGAAATCACAATGCAGAGTCCACATAGAAGGCGAGATAGGCGAAGCGCGACAAAAAAGATATTCTCCATCAGGGAGTTGAACCCTGGTCTACCGCGTGAGAAGCGGTTATACTAACCGTTATACTAATGAAGAAGTGACCGCTGAAATATCCAGCTTACGATGTTTTTGGAATTAAGGACTTGTTTATTCTCTTTCATACAAACAGCCAGCTCGCTACCCGCACTCAAATGTCTCCCGCCGGCCATTGCCCGGCTCGCCGCTTGCCGGTGCGTGTGTTGACAGTGCCTGGCGAGAAAATATCATCTTCACCATCTTTTGATCATCTTGCATCTTATCCACACCGCAATGTCCTCCGCAACCACCACCGCCCTTCCCCTCCTGCCTCCCGAAATCCAAGCAGCCATCTTCGACCTCCTCCTCGACCTCGGCGACAAACACACCCTCGCCACTATCGCCCGTACCTCCCAATACCACCTCTCTCTCGTCCTTCCCCGCCTGTACGAATCTATCGAGCTCTCCGCAACCAATGCTGCGCTGCTGTTTGGCGATACCGGCGATGTGGGCCGCATGGCGCAAGGATTGGACGAGATGCGCAGGAAGCAATCATTACTGTCGCTCGTCCATCGCGTCACATTCCTCGATCTGGCCGCTCTAGACCTCTGCATGACTGTGCAGCCGGCCTACGAGCTCGCGCGGATAATTTCTGTCACTCCCTATCACCCCCGCCCCCCCCGGCCAGAAGAAGCCCCCCTTAGCCGGTATCTCTTCCCAAACATCACCCTCGAAAACCCATCCTCCACCCTCATATTCTCTCAACCATTCCTCTCAGCTCTCCAGCGTCACCCAGGGCCATATCTCGTAAGAGGCACCCCCACCCACCCTCTCTTCCACCTCGCCCCTTCTTCCGGCGGCCACCCGCACCTCACATTCCATCTCCCGCCTCAGCCGAAACCGATCCTGAACGCATTCATATGCGACATGCTGTGCGCGTACAAGAGCCGGGCAACGACGATAGTGGGCGTGGAGAGGGATATGAGCTGGGATTTGGGGCATTCTGAGGTGGGGGTTTTCGAGCTGGGGATGAAGGACGTTGTTGGAAAGAGCGAAGAGGAGAAAGAAGACGATACCGTGCATTCCATCTGGTGAGTCTGCTCTGCATCCGTCATCACGCAGCAAAAAACTGACACCACCTAGCGAACATATCCACCTCCACCCCCGACTTCAGGGCGTACTACTCCTTCCCTCGCCTTCCACCCCCCTTTCCCTTTCACCCGAACACGAACACGAACACGATTCTTGCGCAAGGATCGAGGAGGCGGTGAAGAAGCAGGCGGCAGTCGGTGGACGGTTCTTTGTGCGCCCGAGTAGGGAAGGTGGGATCATTGGCGCCTCTGTTTCAGGACGACGTGTGAGTATCTCTTTGGACTCTGTACTCGAGTGATGGATGAAGAGAGAGCTGATATAGGCACAGTCGCCTCTTATTCCATCCGCCTCGAGCTCAACGAAAGATTCGGATACCGAGGACGTCATTCGCTGAGCTGTACTATATACTCCGACCTGTCATGTTGTATTTTCGCTACCATATACGCCCGGACTGTTGTCACATTATGCATGTCCTGAGTCAGGAGGTAGAATCTGGCAGTGGACAGTGTACGGAGCTTTGGGCATTGCAGCGCTTTCGTGCGACCGCAATTCTCAGTAGGACCAGTAATGAATCTGATTCAAGGTAGAGTCTGCATGTGTCGTTGGTCCGAATGAGCATGCAACTCGAGCGCGCAAGGGTGCAAACATCTTCATCATCATCATCATCAACATCAAACACTCGCGTTATCCACTTCGACATCGTATGTTATAGAACTCCTAATCAACGTATATGGCGTTCGACTCACCACGATGCCACCGCTTCACGCGCAAGCTCGGCTTGCTGATGGAGAGGTAGATGACTCAACTCTCGCATTACGGATTGGGTTATGCAGCTCGCCATACGCTGGGGATCCGCGTATCTCGACTCTAGTTGTTCTTGTTCATCCTCCGGGGCCGGAATTGTACTGATATCGTCCCTGTCTTCTGATGAGGTGACTGACCAAACAGGTGATGATGTGGATGATGATGCTGGGCTTGGTGATGTTTCGCGATACCTCTCAGCTTCGTCCTCGTCGGTGTAATCCTCCAGTTCTGTAAGTGGGCTGAGCGCTTCTTCGTCTTGCGGTGTGTAGGATTCGGACATGGTGCGTTTTGCTTTTGGATGGTAAAAGTTCAGAAATTTGATTTCGTGGTGCGTGGGTCTCAAGTGAGTAGAGTAATAATAATCAGACGGAAGATCTGGTCGGAGTATTTGGTGAGCGATGATCGGAAAGAATGGAAGGGTCTGCGTCTGTCGTCGGTGGCGGCGGTCGAAATCGAGCGCGAGCGCCGAACAAACGAAAGATCATTCCCTATCTATCCCCGCTCGAGCGCTTTGGTCAAAGGCGCAGTAAACCTCTCGTGTGTCTAAATATGGGTATTCCCTTCTGTCTTCCCAAACGTGCACGTCGTCCGCCCATTTGTTTCTACACGAGTCGAAAGGTCTCTCAGCGATGACTGATAGTGTCTTGTAGTCATATCTAACGTAGAGCCGGTGTTTGGATCACCACATCCAGCGTCCAGCTGCACAAGTCATTCAACGCCCGACCGCAGCATGTCATTTCAAAACACGATAATGATTACATATGCATGATCCCATCTCCTCTCACTCGCTCCCATCATTCTACGAGAAATGCCTCAACCCATAAAGAAGCACCTCCCCTCTCTGATTCCCCACCCCCAACCACTCCCCTCCACTACTAAACCCAGTACTCGTCACCCTCCCCAGCGGCGTGCCGTCGGTGGGCCAGTTGTTGAACGCCGTCCCCGAGGGGAGGTGGTACACTTTCAGCTGATCTTTGCGGAGGGAAGAGGAGGTGGCGAGAATGGAGGAGGAGGGGTGCCAGGCGAGGGAGGTGGTGGGGAGGGTGAGGTGTTGGAGGGATTTGTAGGGGGTTGGGGAGAGGGGGGTGAAGGAGGGGGATGAGGTGGTGGACGTGGGGGGGAGGAGGGAGGGGGTGGAGTAGAGGTTGACTATGCCGGTGGTGGAGCTGCGATGGAGTTTAGTTGAGACGAAGCGATCGACAAGAACAGAAAGACTCACCCAACAGCCGTATACTGCCCATCCCCACTCCTCTCCATGACGTTCCCGCCCCTCATCCCCTCATCCCTCCACTTACCCACAATCCCCCTTTGCCCCACATCCCAAATCTCCACCTCCGCCCCATCCCTCCCTCCTAGCACATTCAGCTGCTTCCCCGACGCAGACCAGTCGAGGGCGGATATGGAGCCGCCTCGGCCGGATCGGAGTTCTGCGACGAGTGCGCCTGCGCCGGAGGGGCCCCATTCGAGCACTGACACTGCGCCTCTGCGGCCTGCAACGGCGAGGAGCGAGCCGTCGGGGGAGAAGCGATGGCGGGAGAGGTCGTTTGGCGCGGAAGGGGAGGGGGAGGAGCCCCAGAGGTTGCGGGGGGAGCGGAGGCAGCGCTGGGAGGCGAGGTCGTATGTGTAGTAGTATGGGCGGGAGCCGGTGAGGAGAAGAGAGGTGCCGGAGGGGTGGAATGTGGATTTGGAGAGGGGGAGGGAGGGGAGGTGGAGAGTGAGGAGGGTGGGGTTTGTGTGCCCGTCAATCTGGGAGGATGTTAGCCTTGAGAAAATGAAGGAAGCGAGGAAGGGGGGGAGGGCTTACGTTGAAGAAACGGACGCGTCTGTCACCGCCAGCGACGGCCATGACGCCGACCGTCTTGACGGGGTGCCAAGCAAAGTCGACGACACCTCCCTGACCGCTCTTGGACTCTCGCTTGTTGGTAGTGGGGTTTGTCTGGTTGGCGTTCTTGGCTCGCTTGAGGTCGAGCGTCCCTTGGGGAAGCGGGCCGCGGGAGGTGGAGGAAGATGAAGGGGCAATGAATGATTTGGTGGAGGAGAGGAGGGAGGAGAGCGTGGGGGTGCCGGTGGGAGTACGGTTCTTGGCCCAATCGGGGACGGGATGGAGTGTCTCGAATCTACGCCGGGGTCAGTATGTCCTCGATACGAGAGAAAAAGTAGCTCACTGTTCTTGTAATCTCGCCTGCAAAACCCTCCCCTCGACCTTCTCCCCACTCATCGCCTTTCTCTTCCCCCTATCGATCTTTTTCAACCTCTTATCCCCAGCAATATCCACAGCCACCATTTGATCCGCCGGGTCCTCCCACAGCGTAGCCTTGCCCTTCTTTGCCTGCTTCTCGTACTCTTCTTCGAGGTCGATGAGGCCGGAGGGAAAGTCGAGGGTGGGACGGTGGGCGTCGTCTTCTTCGTCGTCAGAGGCAAAGTGGAGCTCGTCGTCTTGGTCGTTGGCGGAGGGGGAGAATGCATGGAATTCATGCTCGTCGTCGTTAGAGTCGGAGGAGGAGGAAGAGTCGGAGTGGGGGGATGGTTGGCCGTCAATGTCGATTTGAAAGTCGTCCGCCATGGGAGCGTCGACGGTGAAGAGCTATGGACCGTTAGCAGTGTATATAAGAGGGGGGTGCGGGCTTACATCGTGATCTTCGAGGTCGCTCATGCCACTCTCATCGTCGTCTGCTGCTACCCTTGCGCGCTTGTTGCTCCTGCCGAAGAGGCTCTCCTCGAGATCGATCTCCTCCTGGTCTTTCTGCCAGTCATGCTTGATTTCCTCGCGGGGTGGCTGAGGGGCGGGCTGTTGCTTGTCTCTCTTCTTCTGGCGGACCATGCCGTGTGCTGTGCTGTATGTATGCTGTATATGGCAGAGTGATGTACTCAAGAGACGCAAAGATTTATGAAATTTGGTCCCGCCGCCTCCACTTGTGCCTGGCCCCCTTTCGCCCGACACTTGGCGATCCGAAAAACTCCATCTCCATCTCCCCATCTACCATGTCGTACACGATCCCCACCACCATCACAAACCTCAAGGACGGCGCGTGGAAGCAGCTCACCTTCCCCTCGCTCAAGAATGACCTCCTCCTCCGTGCTGCCCGCGGCGAAGAGACTGAGCGCGCTCCTGTTTGGGTCATGAGGCAGGCTGGACGATACTTGCCCGGTACGCACCTCCCTCCCATCCCACCTCGCTTACTGACATTATTCCAGAATTCATGGCCGTACGCAAAGGCCACTCTTTCTTTGAATGCTGCCAAACCCCCGAACTCGCCTCCAAACTCACCCTCCAGCCTATCGACCGTTATCCCAACCTCGACGCCTCCATCATCTTTTGCGACATCCTCGTCGTCCCCCAGGCCCTCGGTCTCGAGGTCCTCATGGAGCCTTCCAAGGGCCCTGTCCTTCCGGCCCCGCTCGTCACCCCGAAAGACTTTGAGCGCTTGAACAAGGATGTCGATGTGCAGAAGGAACTCGGGTACCTCTTTGAGGCCATCACCCTTACCCGAAAAGGTCTCGACGGGCGGGTACCGCTCATTGGGTTCTGTGGGGCGCCGTGGACGCTTATGGCGTATATGTGTGAGGGAGGAGGGAGCAAGACGTTTGAAAAGAGTAAGAGCTGGTTGTACAAGTATCCCGAGGAGACGAAGGAGTTGTTGATGAGGGTTGCGGATGTTTGTGCGGATCTTTTGGTTGGTCAGGTGCTTGCTGGTGCTCAGGTATGTCTCCCTTTATCTGCTTCCTTCTGCGCCATCATCCATCTTCACCTTCTGCGTCTTCTCTCTCTCTTTCTCTCTCTCTCCCCACCTTTCCTCGGAACCCCGCTGACACCTCCCCAGATGCTTCAAGTATTCGACTCCTGGGCCGGCGAGCTCACCCCATACCACTTTAAAACATTCGCCCTTCCCCCCCTCTTGCACATCTCCCACAAAGTCAAGCACGTCCTCTCCACCCTCGGCCACCCCGGCGTACCCATCACCCTCTTCGCCAAGGGCGCCAACGCCCCTTCGACCTACCGCCTTTTGGCCGACCCTGCTGTCACGGGGTATGACACTTTGGGGTTGGACTGGACGGTCGACCCTGTTGAGGTTCGGGAGCTCGTCGGTCAGAAAGTGAACCTGCAGGGCAACTTTGACCCCACCGTGCTTTACGGCGGTAGAGAGGGCATAGAGAAGGAGGTGGAGAGGCAGAGTTGGAGGTGGTTGGAAGCTGGGGGAGGGTGGATTGCGAATTTGGGGCATGGGATTACGCCGGGGGTGAAGACGGAGGATATGGGGTGGTTTTTGGAGTGTGTGCACAAGTATTCAAAGAGGGCGTAGTGAGCGAGCAGGGTGTCTAGAATAGACGATTGTCATGTATAGCATTAGACTGGTTGATTTGGGTTGGTTTCAGCACGCTGGCGGAGGCTGAGCCAGTTGGCGAGTGGCCTTATAGCGGCATGAAACAACTTTTTCTTGTGCGCAGGTCTAATTGGCTCGACTCATGGCTCTGGTGGCTTGCTCGCTTTGGTTGCTGACGCTCGCAGGCGAAACATACGCCCTGTCGCTCGCGCTCGCTCGATAACTATCCATGTCCCTTGTGGCATCATATGCATACTTCCGTCGCCCTGTGAACCATCACTCATGCTTCGGAAGATCTGCATCTATGGATCGTAATCTACGCGCCGTCTCTGATGTCGGTCGCGCCACCGCTCTGGAGAAAAAAAGTCAGCGCATGCGTTGCAATCACCCGTTCTGACGCCATCCCCTCCCCCAGCCGCCCACACCACTCCGCAGTCGCGTTCCCTCTCCTGCCTGCCTTGCCCCCCACTCCCCTCCTGCGCCCAACGGGCCCACAACCAAGTACAAAAACGGTAAAAACTCCTAACAGCTTCCATCTCCTCTACCGGACACCTCCTATCGTCTCCACAATCCACAGCATAACCGGGCGCCTCCCAGAAGTTTTCGAAATCGTTCGGTTTGCCGCTGGGTTTGAAGCCGGTATCTTTAAATGGCGTTGGCGTTGATGATTGGGGTGATGAAGAAGACGAAGACGAAGACGAGGAAGGGGAGGAAGGGGAGGAGGAGGATGATTGGAGTTTGGAGAGGAAGGTGGGGAAGGAATCTTTGATCTCGGAGGGCGCGCAGGGGTGGGGGGCTGGTTTGTGGGGGGCTAGACGATGGTCAGCATGTGAGTCGGAGGAAGAGGGAGGAAGACGTACGATGTTGGATAGATTTACGAGAAGCGCCGAGGAACTTAATCATGGGCTTTAGTAGTGGGAGGCGCGGAGGAGCTGAGAGGGACGCATTGTTGGGGTACGTTGGCGAGGGATAAGGAGGGAGAGGGATCGTGTAATGGGGCGATATAGGTATGCAGAAGCGACGCCGTACTTTTGATCCCGGTCGGACATCTCCGAGGGAAAGCCGATGCTCCATTCTCGTCCCAAGACTGTCCCAAGAACAGACGCACCTTCTCATCCCCCGCATCCATCTACACTCTCCCACCCCAACTTCGCTCTCGCCCCTTGCCTCGGGCCCCTCTTCGGCTCCCCCTCCCTGCCCCCCCCCTCCCCGGAGAGTTACCAAACGCGTCGAGACCTGCTGACATCAACAGAGACAACCGCCTCATGTCTCGCTTCTTTCCATCTCAGAGCCTCGACGTGCGCGGTGCGCGGTATAATGGGGCGTGTGCATCCTCGAGATGGTAACTACTCTAACCATCCACGCGCTGTCAGATTAGGCACATCATGGGCAACGCACAAGAGTGGGTCCACTTTTGATCATTGTCGCTCAGACCCCCATTGCTTTAACCGTCGAGTGTTATGAGCGTTGAGCGATCACGAGTGGGTCTCTATTCACATGATGTTTCCTTGCCTTGTCACCTTCTCCAGTATTCCAATCGCCTCGCCTTTCCCCTAGCGCATTTCATATTTCCCCGAGGCAAAAGCTTCAAGGGAAACTCGTCGAGTCCGTCACCCGAACCCTCAAAGAGAACGTTTACAAAGAAGACGGCCTTAGGTTTAGGCGGGGATTTAGGTTAGCGGAGTTAGCGGGGCGTTAGGAGAGTTAGCGGCAGAGTCTAGCCCGGGAGGTTAGCCGGGGTTAAGCGGGGTGTAGCGGGGAGTTAGCAGGGGACGGTTACGGGGGGACAGTCCTGCGGGGTTAGCCGGGGGTTAAAGCGGAGGAATTAGC